AGTAACGGAAAAAGGGTCCGTGATTCTATATCAATCGGTTTGTGAAAGAGTAAATCCTCACGAGCGAACCAGTTAGCGAAATAGTATTTCCCCGAGTCAAGATTATGAAAAACGTAGCGGAATGGGGTCTTGAACTGAACGACGGTAACTTCATCGCCGTTGTGATCCTGGACCACTTTTGTTTCCGCCGAGGCGAATTTCTCTTCTATATACTCCTTGGACGGGATGAGATCGTTGATACTGAACTCCATTTTATAAATTGGTTTAGTGTATTTAAACCAATTTCAATTTTGATATCAATCGTAATTTTAACGCACCGGTGTCAGGATTAACTTTTCCACATCACCCACAATTCGGACCTCTTTGGTTGAATCCAAAACGACAATTTTATCAAAAAGCACAGTCCCCATGGCTTCCGTATATACTGCTTGAATCTTTGTTGGGATACACTTTAGCGTTTCCCACTTTGGTGATGATTTCATGCCTACCCACGTATCTTATACTCATCTCTTTCCGTCCCAGATGTGTTTCTAAACCCTCCCGCAATGAGCAACCATACCACGATACCATTTCGATCTTTTTGTGGAAGGATAAATCTCGAGGATCTTCTTGGTCGCAACAATAGTATTCCCCTCCGGGAATGTTATAAAAAAAATAGCGGAATGGGGTCTTGAACTGAACGACGGTAACTTCATCGCCGTTGTGATCCTGGACCACTTTGGTTTCCGCCGAGGCGAATTTCTCTTCTATATACTCCTTGGACGGGATGAGATCGTTGATACTGAACTCCATTTTATAAATTGGTTTAGTGTATTTAAACCAATTTCAATTTTGATATCAATGTTTCTGATTTTTACGCCACTTTTTATGAGCCTCCTCCAACCAATCATAGTAAGTTTGATGTGCTAATAGCTGAAGTGGATATTCAATAAAGGTTTCGACATAACCACAAATGTGGATCGCTTTGGTTGCAAACCGAATTCTAATGCAATTGATCCTCACACGTCCCATACCTCTCAAAAACTCAGCATCGGGGTCTTCGTGTCGATGATAATCCCTTTTCGGTCCCCCAACATCCGCTTCAATTATATCGTACCCCCTGTATTCGTTAATGTCCTCTCCTTTAGTCATCAGACATTTTTTCAAGGATTCAAAGAATACAGGTTGGGAATAGGGATTAATCACGATTGGTTCGATGTGGAGATATGTACCCCAATGATAATCAACGCTACCAATGTTCTGAAACACGTAGTGGAACGGAGACTTGAACACAAGATCGAAACCCGGATCGTCACGTGGGATTAGTATCGCTGAGGCGAATTGTTCTTCCATATATTCCTTGGACGGTTTGAGATCGTTGATGCTGAACTCCATTTTTATAAATTGGTTTAGTGTATTTAAACCAATTTCAATTTTGATATCAATCTTTACAAATGTTGGATATCCGCATCATCCACCCACGAGTTAAACTTAGCCGGACGCCCACGCCATTTGACCAGGTGCTTCTTTTTACCGCGAACGGTTTTGGTTTGGAGAATTTCCTCAATTACCGCTGTATCCGATGGTTTCGACACTTTCTGTAATTCCTGATTGTAAATTGGGGAATCGATATCTTCTCCCGCCAGATCTTGGATTTTGTACGTGACGGGAGTGGTTGGATTGATTCCGACCACAATAAAGGTTTCTTCCGTCCATTTCACGATTTTCGACGTATTCGCAAACGGATCGCGTTTAATACTCATCTTGACATAATCACCGACCTTAAATTTAGCGCGTTGTTGTGGGATTTTATTCCATTGGGCTTGGAGTGTGTCCTGGATTTTTGATTCGTTTTCCGGATTGCGCGCTTGTGTCGGGGTCATTTTGATGGTGGAATGTCGAGTCGTGTTGTAATTTTCCGTTAAATCCGGCAACACTGAGACCCAATCGAACGTGTTATTGTGTCGGCTGTATCGGACCCATCGCATTTTCATCGTGAGAATAACGCGTTCCGCCATCGATGCCTTCGTATCACTATTCGAGTGATAATGGGTGATGTTGTGCTTTTCCATTAATTTGCCCATCGGCTCATTGAAAAACTCTGTCCCTTGATCCGTTTGGAGGAGGGAGGGGTGACGATTGTCGGTGAGGACCGAGGCAAATGCTCGCGAGACTTCTTCGGCGCCTTTCGTTTTCAATGGGATAGTCCACAAAAATTTGGAAAAGGTATCGATAATCACGAGGATGTAGCGATACCCTTTATTATGTTTGATTTGAAAATTCATGTCCGCGAGATCGGCTTGCCACAAGTAATCCAGTCCGCGAGTGATCGTCGGCCGGCGTGGAAACTTGAAGGAATTCGGTTTCAAATAAGTGTATGAATCTTCCGTCGTTAAATCTTGTGGCGGAAGTCCATTCTCTTTTAGCTTTCGATTGAAGGCGGTTTGTCCGATAAATCCGAACTTTGGATCAGTGTATGACATTTTTGTGTGGGTGGAAACTTTTATAACGAACTTTGTTTCCAGGCTCCGGTGTTTTACGCGCGCGAATAAAAAATCAATTTTGGCGAATCGAAAATTGATATCAATTTAAATTGTTTTCAACTATTTTCAAAAATCATGGCCATTCGTCGTACCCGAAATCGTGTTCATCAAACTCTCCCGCCCGTTGATTGCTCCCAATGCACCTCGTGCAAAATGCGGGAGCTCAATGTGGAGATTACTCTGTCAGTTCTATCCGTGAAATCGGATCTCCAAAGCCAGTATCGATACGATGCGGTCGAGAAGAAACACTATCTGAGAAATGGTGGCACAGAATCGGAGGCGACAGTCGAGGAAGTGAATTCCCTGCTCAAATACCTCCTCGATCGGACGTTGAACGATATCAAACGTAAAATTGATCAACTCGACCTCCCCGAAGGAAATCTGAATGCGTTCGTGTTTAGCATTTTCAACGATCTGTTGTCGTTTGCATTCGTAAATGCTGTAAAGTCCGCTGGATATCCGATCGAATAAATATCATATTTCTGTTTCACACAGACATATGAAATTGACAATTGTACAATATTTTTTATTCATTTCAAAAATGCTGGCAAAGAAACAATTGTCCAAGCTGTTCGATGACCTGGAGTTATTCGTTCCGGCGAGGGTGCAAACCGTAAAGAATCCCCGTCAATCGTTTATTTTCGATGGGTCGCGTTGGAATCCTGTGACTGAAGAAGTCGCTAACAAATTTCGGGACCAAATCTATCTTGTATTTGTTGCACCACACATTGATAATTGCAGTGATGATCCGGATGTTTGTGCGCGAGCGAACTCTGCGAATGATCGTTTTGTGAATGTGTTATCCAAAACTTTTGTTTGCGATGTTCCTGATGAAATTTCATCGCTACCCTCAAGGATCCAAGAACGCTTTGCTTTTCAACGCTGGCGTTGATTGTCCAAAAATATTACAAATTTTCAAAAACATTTACAAGTCTTGTTAGAACTCTTGTAAATTTCGAATATAACGGGACAGAGGTCAAGGGTTCGAACCTCAGCGACGACATTCGGATTGCATTAATGAGATCCGCGGTTTTTTGTTTTTCGGTTTTCAATGTCCGAGGACATTTCTGGCCGGCCGAGCCGAGCCGAGCTTCGGCATTTTTATTTTTTAAATAAAAATGCATTTTTCCTCCAAAGTCTTTGAGCAAATTCCAGAGACAAACCCTTATTCTCCATAATCTGATTCGCTGAGAAAAGGACCATCGCCCCGCCCCCCTCCCCCCTTAGAAGGAGAAATAAAAGGACCATCGCACCCCTCCCCCTCCCTCCGAAAAAAAAAAGGACCATCGCCATCCCTTCCTTCTCTGGTGGAAGGAACGAGACTGGTCTGAACCATACAGTACCTCAATAAAAAAGAGGTGAAAAAGTGGGTGGTCCTCCAAAAATCTTCTTTTTTTCGCTAAGGCCTTTTTTTTCTTCCATACGAAAGCAATTATTCTTTATCACTCTCTCACTTCTTCACCTAAAAAAAATAATAATATAATATAGTCTATATTGATTGGGATCTAAAATCGAGGTTACCCTCGGTCACTCTCACCCGCGCGAAGCGCGGACGTCAAATCGCGCCAGCGATTTCATCCTCTCTATCTACTACTGTGAGCTGCGGTTTTGCAGCATTTGCCTCCTCGTTCACAGTAGCAACAGGCAAACTTGGGCTTGTGTGCACGCAGCGTCATGACAGTCGAGTGACCAGTATGGCACGCTTCGCGGCATGGCTCGCAGATCCCTACAAGTGCGATTCAGGGGAAATGTCAGATGGATCTCCAACCCTTTTTTTTCGTTCCCTCAAACTGGCTCGCTGTCAACACGCTTACAGTTCAATTTGCACGTGCCGCATGAATAGTAGTTTGTGATGTTGCTTGCGCCTTCTACAAAGCTGTCCTTGGCACACAACCGCGGACACTCGCTGCCAACGAGCAGTCAGTGAAAAGACGCTTCGGTTTTTTTTTTTTGGTGCAAATCGTGCGCCAACAAACAAGCAATCGATATTCCGTACCTTTCCCACGTCAGTGCACCAGTGAACAAGAGCGCATTCACTGGACGCAAGGAATAGTCTCGCAGAAGCGTATCCTGGGCGCCCGACCAAGGAATGGCAGTTTCACCGGCTTCCGCCTTCACGACCAGAGTGGACGGCGACACGATGCGACTGGAATCCCTGTATGTATCGAGCATAGGCACAAGGCACACAACGTTCGTTGCACGATCAGATGAGTCTTAAGGAACACCTCGCCACTCAACACCACCAGACCCTTACACGGCACAAACGAGCAAGCCTGCATCGGCGCTGGCGGACATGATCTTGTCACCGACCAACTCCTCGAAGCGCAGCTGTATTTGCTGAATCAGCCGCGAAACCTTGTCCAGGGGAGACATGACCAGGTCGCGAATGCAGATGCGAACACCGCCGCGCACAAGGTAGCAGTTGAATGCCACATTTTCCGTCTTTGTTAACACGGGTACGTACAACGCACGCTCGAGATGTCTGTTTGAGGTTCACCGAGCAAGAGAGAGAGAGAGAGAGCGAGAGAAAGAGCGAGAGAGGGCCGTGTTTTGTTTAGCCTCAACCCACCAAAGCTCCGAACATTGAGTCGTACTCACTTGTCGCAGCTCGCGATCGTATTGGCAACCTCCTTGTCAAAGCGCGCAGCTACTTGCTTGAGGCGCTCGGCATCGTCCATGCCTGTGGGAAAAATAGGCGATGTGTTTTTCTAATGCCGCAAACTTAAATCATCACTCGCTTGTTCAAGGGTGAATTACCAGCTCGAAGGCGCAAATCTGTAGAAATTCGAGACAACTCCGCCTGCTTGTTTGCTTGTGATTCCTGTGCATTCAAAACAACAAGACATTGGCAACAATTTCAATTTTGTTCAATCGAGCACAACCACTCGAAACGCTCCTCCTGCATACCTGAATTTGAGCTACATAGCCGGACACTGCTCGAGCGAGATGCTCTGTACACCCGGTTTCAGCATGAATAGGTGAGCCCTTTCTGAGCGAGTCCATTGCGGCACGAAATCAACAAAACTCTTTCACCTACTCGCAAACACGCGTTGAAGCTCAGTCACCGCGCCAGAACTGTCCAGATCTGCGTCGTCATGCACGGGGCTGTCGCTGGCAAGCGTTGTTGGATCATCAATCACAATCAGGGGCTCGTCGGAAGCCATCAGAAGAGCAGGAATTGGCGCAGCGCGGGTCGGGGCGCTGCAGAGAGCGGACGTCTCTACGAGGCGCACCAAATGTGCTGCATCGGCAGCCTTGCGCTCTTTCTGGATCATTTCTATCCCACCATCAACGGATCGAGAGACGAATTGAGAGGGTGACGGTCAGGTTTGGACGCGATCAAGCTCTGAAACGGCACACTCACCTAACAGTGCGTCGTACTGGTGGTCCCGCTGGAGCACAACGCCGCCACTCAGCCTTGTGTTGCAGCATGGGCAAACGGGTCTAAGCAAATCAGCAACCAAGTCACGACCCTCAGTGAGCAAAGTCGGATCGGAGCAACAGCGTTCTTTCGTTTCGCACAGTTCTGCAGTTGTCTCGCTTACTTGCGGTTGAGGCACTCGTCGATGCATGACTTGCAGTACCGGTGACCACACGGGATTGTGATTGTCGTGTTTGACAGCAGACTGCAGCAAATGGGGCATGTAAAATGCTCAAGCAGCATTGTTGACTTTTGATTCCCAAAAAAAAAAAAAAAAAAAAAAATCCCATCCCAAAATAACTCGAACAGTCAGCGTTTATCAAAGCAGAGGCGCCAGCTCGCTCAGCCAGTCTCGACCCGGTGTAGCTTCGCGCGCAACACAGCATGACAATGTAGCAATACTATACGAAATGGACGTACGCACCGAAATTAGGTCGGGTGCTTGCAAGGAGAGCGTTGACATTTTTTGGTTTTGTGTTCGGTGCTTTGTTTGGTTTTTGGAAAAGACTGAGCAGCTACAAATGCCCCCTCCTGAATTCTAAATTTACCCGAAACGACCATTGTGCATGCGTGCAACGAGGTGGTACTCAAGAAACGCTTGTTGTACATCAATAGCAGGCAAGCAACACTCAATCATGCGAGCTGTCCGCTTTGAAATAACGCGGCAAATCGCTCAATATCCTCGGTAGTCTGCACGGATAGCACATCTGCAGGGACCTTGTACGCGCCATACTCGGAAGGCTGGACATTCATGGGCGAATCCACGACGCGAACTTCGACCGTTTCCCCTGAAAGACCCTCTAATTCCTCCCAGTCAAAGAGCGCCGTGCTCGTTGGCGCGTGATATGGGTTGAAATCAACCAGTTTGATAATTTCGCGCGAGGGGTTGAAGTACATGTCAAAGACATCTGCTCATCAATCGGACAGAGTGAGAAAAAAAATGCAGTCAATTCAGATTTTCGTCCGCCGTCGCTCAACGTCCGTTCAAGATTTCAAGAAGAGAGGCGATCATCAATCAGCTCAACCAATTCAAGGCGCGACCTACAATCATTGTTGGGAAAGTTTTCGCGCACATGCTCGGCGAAAAATTCAGCAATCTGCAATCGGATGGTCGCGCGCATGCCGGGAAGAAAATCATAAAAGTTGGACACGTCGCGTTGTGAGATTGCTGGACAAGGTTGGCAAAGGGGGAATACGTGTAAGTTAGCAGAGTAGCAAGCATCAGCATTTAACGCCCAAACGCACAAGACGAAACCCGAAATGAAAACCGAAAATCTAACTCTCTCTCTTACCGATCAACTGGCGATTCCGAACAAAGCACCGAAACTCCATCGACCTCAGCAAGTCGTGCCACCGCCGCAATGCAAGGAACATGGGTACAGAGTCGGGCTCATCGTGCAGATCCGAGCATTCGTCAAATCTGCCAGAGTGGCATGATCAAACCATGAACCAGACCATCCTCACGACTCCTTCCACAACCACCACCAGCAGCAACACTTTGAGGACGTACGAGTGGCAGAGGTCGTGAACAATAAAATCCGAGCTCTTCAGCAACAAGAACACTTCGTCTGCGCTGACACACTTGATGGTGCCTCCAGGGATGATCCACGAGGCATCCTATTCCAAAAGAACAACGGTAGTCCCTGCAGTCAGCACAGCGGCAAGTGTCTCGACAATGGTCGCAACCCTGCTTGAGGTCTTTGAAACCCAGTTTGACCATCGTACCTGTGGAGCACTCCAATTGAGCTTTGGAAACACGGGTCCAAGCGTTGCAATGGCGGCTTTGATTGCGGCTTCGAGTTCGGGGAAGTTTGGCGCCTGTCGACAAAGCAAAAGGCAAAGACATGAGACATCGGGTCGCAATGCGCCATGTGTGAGGAAAGGGGTGGATTGCAGCAAAGTGTCATCACCGCCACACGAGTGACGCCAAGCTCAATGTCGCGCATCCACCTTTCCCCACTTTAGAGAGCAAAGTGCTCGACTACCACAACCCCCATTACATCCAGCGCACATGGAGACACACAGAGCGACACACATCAGGGTCGGAACGTACGGTCGGAGCAATGCTGTCGGTCTCGCTCTGGCTCTGCTGCTCCCAGTCGTCGTCGCTGCTGTCGTTGCTGTCAAACCCAGACGCCGCCACTCGGTTTGGCTGTGCCAGTGAGCGTGCCGTGCCGGCCAGAGCAGAGGCGCCGTCGTCGTCGTCGTCGTCCGAGTCCGAGTACGAGTTGAGGTCGCGTGGATCCACCTTGCCAATGGACGAGCTGTCAATCATGAACACAAGGGCATTCGAGGGGGTGGAGCAGTACAGTTTGATGACATGTAGGATGAGCAAAAGCGAATCGACAATCGCTCCAATGGAAGCCACTTCTGAGATTTGGAGATTGTTGTCGCTTTACTCTTTCGACAGGAAGACGCCGTCGGCAAGCAAGTACTCGACAAAGTCCGAGGTCAGGGGCAGGATTTCAGTCCGCAACGACACATGCTTGAATCGCGGATACCACGATGGCAGTGCGCAATTGAGCACATGCTGGCGGGTTGGTTTCGCGGGCATTCTGAGAGAAGAACGAGAGAAGGCAAAAAAAAAAAAAAAAAAAAACTGAGACTGAGCCGCCAGAGAACAACAGATCAAACTCTCAAATGGAGTGCGTAGTGTACTTGATCTATTACAATTTGCATTGACACTACATGAACGATCCAGTCGTCCTCTATTCAATGCCGGTTGAAGAAGTTTCGTATGAGCTGCAGCGCGACGACTTGCCGTCCGATCGTCAGCCAGCGTCACCGCCACCGCCACCGTCGCCGTCGCCAACACTCGGCGAGCGTCTGAATCAGGTTGCGCCGTTCATTGACGCGCATCTTCGGTGCGTGATTTTTTGTTGACAGTCCGCGACGTGATCTTGCTGATGACGCTGACTTCGGTTGTTTGGTTTTTTTGCCAAGACACAGCGAACTCCGCACTGCTGCCACAGTCTCACTCGGATTCGCGACTGTGCTGGTCGTGATGCGTTACTCTCATCATGTAATATTGTTCGTTCATTTTGCGAGCGAGTGAGCGAGGTGCAATGCCCTGGTTGCCGGTCGCAATCTCAGCAACAAAAAGGCTCAACATCTCAACGCTTTGGGTCTCGCACAGGTCACGCGTTGGACTTCGACTGCTCAGGTGCCGCAGCAGGCAATTCTAAGTCGAAAACGGATACGAGCAGCGGTTGTTGGCGTCGATGTTCAGCAACAGGCACTCCAAGTGTGGCATTTGCCGCTGTGGCGCGTCTGGTTGCGCAGCTACAATTTGCCACCAGCGGGACACATGGCAGGTCAGTCGAGTCTGAGGGGGGAAACAGATTTTGGATATTGTAGAGCAGTGGCGATTATTGTTGCTCATGATGGATGGGATGTGATTTTGACAGACACCCTGCTCGTTCGGTTTCCGGGCGTCCAGCTTGCAACAGACGAGGAGAGCGTACTTGCCTTGCACAAGGAACTGTGCAAATCACCCCGTTCATCCCAGCCTATTGTGTTGAACTTTGAAATCCTGACAACGACCAACGCAGTTCGCGAAGAGCTTCGGAAAACACTTCCGCAGGCTTCCGCTGGAGGCCCGCTTTCGTCCCATCTCATCAAGTCCCCAGGACGGTTGCTTGGCGAGGATGTAAACGCTCTACTGTGTCATGGCTGGCGTTCGAAGGTAGGTCGACAAAGTGGCAACTGAAAGACTTGTTTTGTTTTTTGGGTGTTTTTTGTTTTCGTTTCTTTTCTTTTTTTTATTATGTTTCCGCCAAGACCTCAGCTCTCAACACTCTGCTCATTCGACAGGGATTTCTTGGACGAAAAGATGAAAGTATCGAACACACGCTTATCAGTGCCGGGATTGCCACGGTAGACCGAGAGTTCTTGACCAGCAGCGCGCCTTTTGTGCAGGAGCTGCTCACTCCGTTCGAAGTGCACGAGCTGCTCGAGGCGGAGCGGCACGCAGACACATACGAGCGTGGTATCTGGAAGGCGGTGCATGTTGCGCGTCGACAAGAGCAGCTCGAGCACGCTCGGCAACAGCTGTTGCGCAATGTCGTGGAGCCAGCCGCGAAATTGGCATCTGCAGGTGCCAATCTTACGGAGCACGCAAGAGCCGCAATCGCCTCCGTGTCCGAAGCCACTGCCTCTGCAACTCAGTCTGTACTCCAACGCGGTGCAGCACTCTCAGACGCAGCCAAGTCGTCGCTGACTTCAAGCGTCGATTCTGTCAAGTCAGCGGGTGCCTCCTTGTCCGATGCGGCAGCCAGTGCCGCTGAGGCCATGAAGAAGGCTGCCAGCTCTGCCACATCATCTGCCAATGCAGTTGCAGGGGCGTCGGCCAGTAAACTTGGCAACGTTAGAGCCGATGTTGCCGAGCGCGCTAAATCCGCTGCCGATGCAGCGGCGGAGACTGCAGCCAGTGCTGCGGCTGCACTCAAGCAACACAGTGCAAAGATGGCCGAAAGCGCCCAAGCAGCAGCATCTGTCGGAGATCGAGCGGTTTCCGCTGCATCGAGTGCCGCCGCCGCGCTCAAGCAAAGCAGTTCAAAGATTGCAGAAGGCGCCATGGCATCCGTCACTGCAGCATCGCAAAGCGCGCGCACTGTGGCCAATGCTGCTCAGAGCACTTTGGGCACGGCTGCTTCGGCTGCCAATTCCGTGTGGAGCGCAGCGGCCAAAGCCCTTTCACGGCAAGGTCGCAATTCCCAACCCAACAGCGATGCTGAAGCATCAGACAAGAATCAAAAGCCGCCGCAGCAGCAGCGGCCCAAAGATTGGCCGTGAGCATTAGGTGGTCGGCGAACATGCACGAGGAAATAAACATTGTATTTCATGATGAAACAAAAAGTTTCACGAAAAAGGGGATTCAACTCTTCGAAGAGGTCAAAGAGAAAAAGAGTTCAGGGTTCTTAACAAAAAAACGCGGTCGAAAACCAAAAAGAAAAAAAGGGTGTCACAACAATCCAACATATTCAATCAAAAAATTAGCCAGAAAAAAAAATAATCAAGAAAGAACGGGCCAAAATTACAGAGCATGGCCAAGGTTTTCAATCTCGTCCAGAATGAACTGAATATCCTCCTCGGTGACGGCCGGGTTGGAGAAGACCATTCGGAAAAAGTTGGGGAAGTCGTCGAGCGGCTGGTAGCCAATCATCATGGAGCCACGGTATTGCATGCCGGCCTTGATGACGGGGGCCACGCGATGCAGGGCTTCTCGTCGCTCAGTGTGGTCGAGGTGGCGCAGCGATGGAGGGACGTACCAGAAGCAGACGTTGGTGCACTCGGGCTCGTAGACAAGCTCAAAGCCTGGTCGTGCGCGGATGAGCTCTGCGAGGCGTCGCGAGTTGGCAAAGGCATAGTCAATCTGGCGCTCGTAGCCCTTGTCGCCCTTTGCCTTCCATGCCAGCCAGAGCTTGAAAACGTCGACCTTGCGGCCGCACTGGATGGCCTTGTCGCCAGTGTCGTACTCGGTGTTGATCTTGTCCTTTTGGAAGAGGTATTGGGCGTTGGTGGCGTTGCAGCCCGAGAGGAGACCAGAGGTGCGGATCAGAATGGCAGAGCACTGGAGCGGGATGCCCATCATCTTGTGCGGGTTCCAGGTGACCGAGTCGGCAAGCTCGACGCCGCGCAGGAGCTCGCGTTGCTTGGACGAGACGAGCGCGCTGCCGCCCCAAGCGGCATCAACGTGCATCCAAACGCCGTGCTTTTTGCACACGGCGGCAATCTCCTCGAAGGGATCGAACGCGCCGACAACGGTGGTGCCCGCGGTCGCGTTGACAAAGAAGGGGGCAAGGCCGTCGTCCTTGGCAAGCTGGATCTTGGCGTCGAGGTCGGCGGGAATCATCTTGCCGCGGCGGTCGACGTCCACGGCAATGACGTGGCGCATGCCGAGGCCCATGAGCGCGGCGCCCTTCTTGATCGAGTAGTGGCTGTGCGACGAGGTGAAGACGACGGGGATTTTGCCAATGGCCAGCAGGCCGTGCTCCTTTGTCTGGGGGAAGTGGTAGTGACGAGCAGCCTGCATGGCGTACATGTTGCTGATGGAGCCGCCGGGCGAGAAGAGGCCGTCGCCGGGCACGTTCACGTCCCAGCCAATGAATTCGCGCATGCGCTCCAGCATGTACGCCTCCATGAGGATAAAGACGGGGGCAACCTCGTACGTGTACATGCTCGTGTTGACCATGGTTGTCAGCCACTCGCCGACCATGGCGACAGGGTCGATGCGGGCAAAGAGCTGGTTGTAAAAGCGCGGGTGGGACGTGCGGACGCCGTGCTGGAGGGTGGTTTCGCAGTACTCGACAATCTTGCCAAGCGACTCGGGCTCGTCCGTAATGCGCATGTCGAACGCAGCGAGCAAATCCTTTGGTGCAATGTAGTTGACGACCTTGGCGTCCTCGCGCGACGATGTTTCGCGCATATAGTCGGTGAACAGGGTGGTGATGCGCGAGATGAAGTGGGTCATGACGTCCGTCACGGTGCCATCGGGCAGGGTCAAGTCTAAAAGGCAAAAACAAGAAGGTATGGGGTTAGGAAAAAAAAAGCGTCGGAAACGGAAGAAGAAGGGAGAGCGGAGTCATGATGAGGGACGTAAGGCAATCTGAGGGAGTTGAGGGGTCGCCCCTCTTAGCTTTTGCGTTTCAAATGCATGACTTGCAACAATGGTCATTTTTCGATGCATGTCTGTGTGGGGAGATGGAGTAGTACGATGGACGGCAGTGCGGTTTTTTTTCTTGCCGTTGATCACAAGCTAAAACCTGGTGATTTTCGCTCGTTGTGATGATTGTGAATGAAAGATGGCCAAGCAAAGTCCCACACACACACACACACGCATGCATCCAGAATACCCAATCAGAATCACCCACTCACCCCACTCACAGTGAACGGGACACAGAGGTTGGACAATGAGCTTCAAAAAGTCATCCCCGTGGGGTTGGTTGGGGGTTGAGGTTCTTTCCTTCGCTCCTTCTCTCTCATTTTCTGAACAGTGATGACTCGAACGCTCCATTGTTCACACACTCACACTCTCATCCCCCAAGTGCTAGTCACTCGGGGCTCGGGAAGAAGGAGAGCGATGATGATGACGATGATGATGAAAAGTCACAGCATCTTCACGTGAAGTTCGCCGCAAATCAAAAAAAGTCAAAAAAATAAAATAAAATAAAAAATAAAAAAGTCATGTGGACATCAGCAGAACCGATGACGAACAACCAAAAAAGCAAAGAACGAGAAGGATGAGCATATGAAGAAGGAGCAAAGGAAGAGGAAGATGAAGAAAGAAAGAGGAAGGGAAGAGGAAGGAAAGAGGAAAGGGGGGGGGGAAACGGAAAAGTAAAAGGAGAGCGACGTGAACGAGGGGCGAGCAGATGAAGCGTACCGCGGTGGAAGAGCGCGTTCAGGTCTGTCTTGGAAGAAGGGGTCACTGTAGTGGTTGTAGTAGTGGTGGTGTTGTTGCTGCTGCTGCTGCTGCTGCTGGAGGGCAGGGGAGAGGAATCGCCATCGCCAGCCATTGTCGCTAATCTGATTCAAAGTGTGGTGCTGTTTGAAAAAAAAACGGGACTGACTGAGTCGCATTTGGAATATCGAGGCAAGAAAACAGAGATGATGGAGCGGTAATAAGCAAGGAGCAAAGGGGGCAAGGAGCAAGGGGAAAGGAGCAGCGGGAGCAATCGAACTCGCGAAAGCGCGAATGCTATCACGACACGCTCAAGCATCAAGCGTTCAACAAACGCAAAAAAACAACATGTCACACACGCAATAAAGTCGTCAAAAAAAAACCATCCAAGAAGCTCAGAGCAACAAAAAACCAAAAAAAAAAAGAGTTACAACAAGCAGTATTCCCGCGTGGTCTCCCACCGCAGTACTAACTACTCTCATGGTGGTTTAACTTCGCAGAGCGGAACGGGATGCGGTGCATTCCACCAGATATGGCCGTAACTGAAATAACATGGTTGGGCGAGGTGTTCATAACTGAAGCAACAGTTTCTAAGACTTCCAATTCCCCACGACTGCACGCCTTTGCCGATTCTCTTGCCGTGCGTTCCCCCCCTTTTCCTTCGCGCAATCTCGCATCTAATCATTCAACCCAAACTCAACAGACAAAAGTCAGGCAATCCAAAGTTCATTCTTTCTTCCTCGCTTCTCTTTCTTCTTGCTTCTTCTTCTTCTGCTTTTTCCTTCCCCCTTCCCCTTCACCTCGGTCTCGTCTTCTGTTCCTCTTCGATGAGCACCTGGCAGCAGCAGCATCAGCATCAGCCACCGTCGTCGTCGTCGTCGCCGTACCGCCCTGCTGCCGCCGCTGCCACGGCATCATCATCATCATCATCGTCTGCACTCGCCCCTTCGTTCGCCTCTGCTGTCGCCGCCCCATCAGGATCATCGTCCCTGTCATCGTCGTCGTCATCGCCATCGCCACTGTCATCGTCGTCGCTCGTCCACACCGACCCCGCCGCGGGCGTCGTGGGCCAGCAGCACCAGCTCCAGTACCAGCAGCACCCGTCGAGCGCCAAGTCATCCGCGTCGTCGTACTTGCCTGCATCGCAGCGCATCCGAGCCGATCGCTTTGGCATTGCATCGCCGGGATACCAGGCTCATCAGGGGTCGTACGCGTCCCCATCGTCGCCAAGCATCAGCCTCGCGCCAAGCTCGAGCGGCGTTCGCATCTCGTCCGCCTCCGCATCCACGGCCGTCAACTTCCACTTTGATCCCGAAGACGCCTCAGGCAAAGGCAGGCGGCGTGCTGTCGGTTTATTTCGTGTAAGTTTCAGAGAGTGTTGCACTGGATCGACGTTGATGCTGTTACTCACTTTCATTGATACTCTTCTCTTCTGTTCGACTCTGCAACGAATCTTGCAACCCGAATTCATGGTCATGATCCAATCCAACCATTTCCATGGCGGTGGCCCATCCCCATCACTCTAGTTCTGGAATCAAATGACAAGGCTACAACGCTCTCTGATTCTCGTGCTGATGCTGACCAGCGTCGTTCTGCTCGCCACGTTCCTGCCAATCTCGGAGACAGTGGCTGCACAAGATCCGCTGTTCGTGGACGAAGGACTGGTCGTCAACGTTGGCGGAAATGGGACGCATCTGCTCGACCAGGCGCATCAACGGTTTGCAGTGGGCCAGACGCGCGAGCAGCTCGGGAAACTTCAGCAAGACATTGCCCGCAGCGAGGAAGAGCGTCGACGGAATGGAGGAGGTGGTGGTGGTGGTGGTGCTGCGGCAGGGAATGACCGCGATCCAGTCCCGGATGCCGCGGAATTGCCGGAACGAGCTGGCAAGCTCGCCAATCAGCTGGAGCAGGCAAACCGTGCACAGCGGCAAAAGCAACTCCGGGAACAGGCCGAGCAGGTGCGACTCCAGAAATTGCAACAGCCTCCACAACAACGGCCACAGCAACAACCTGCTGCAGAACAGAAGCCAGTAGTCGGTGTTGCCAACCCAGCATCACCCAACCAAGGTCGCACTACTGAATTCACCCAACGTCAGCGTGCCGTCATTGACATGTTCAAGTGGTCCTGGGCTGGCTACAAAAAGTGCGCCTGGGGCAAAGACGAGCTCTTGCCTCTGAGCTGCTCCTCCCATACCTGGTTTGATCTTGGTCTCACCCTGGTGGATGCCCTCGATACCATGTATTTGGTGAGATTTCATGATTTATTGGTCCACAAAACCTTGGGGAAGCACCGAGTTAGCAAACGGTGGACTGCCTTTTTTTTTCTGTTTTTTTTTCTTTTTTTTTCTTTTTTTTCTTTTTTTCTTTTTTTTTTTTTCTTTTTTTTTCTTTTTTTTTCTTTTTTTGTTTGTTTGTTTGTTTGTTTGCTTGCTTGTTTTGTTTGCTGACTCTTTTTTTCTTGTTTTGCATCGTCCGCCACAGATGAAACTGCAAGACGAGTTCAAGGAAGCCCGTGATTGGGTTGAAAACCACCTCCGCATCACCGAAGCCGGTGATGTCAACCTGTTTGAGACCACGATTCGCATTCTCGGCTCATTGCTGACCACGCATCACTTTACGCAAGACGACATGTTCAAACAGAAGGCGGTATGTTTTCACCTCAGTGTTGGTTGACTTTTTTGTTCAAGTGCTACGTTGTCAGCCATACCTCACACTTGAGACTGCGCTCCATCTTCACTTCATCCAGATCGAACTGGGAGACATCCTGCTCCTCGCATTCCAGACACCGTCCGGCATTCCATACTCGGATGTCAACTTGAAGCAGCGGCGAGCGCACGGGCCCGTGTGGTCTTCGGACTCGTCGACTGCTGAGGTCACGACCGTCCAGCTCGAGTTTCGGCACCTCACACACATCACAGGCGACCCCAAGTACGCCGGCGCTGTCGACAACGTCATGAACGTGATGGAGCGCAACATGCGCGAGGATGGCTTGGTTCCCATCTACATTAGTCCCACCTCTGGCACGTTTTCGACCAACCACATTACGCTGGGCGCGCGAGGTGACTCCTACTACGAGTATCTGCTCAAGCAGTGGCTCCAGGGTGGCAAGAAGGAGGCTCGGTTGCATAAAATGTACACGCGCGCCATGGACGGCGTCATGAGCAAGCTCGTTCGCAAGACACCCAACGAGCAGCTGACCTACGTCGGCGAGCTCGACGGCGGAGTCAGCTTCTCGCCAAAGATGGATCACCTGGTGTGCTTCTTGCCGGGTGTGCTCGCCTTGGGCCACGTGAATGGGTTCCCTGCGTCGCACCTCGAGGTCGCCAAGGAGCTCCTGTACACATGCTGGCAAATGTACGAAAAGATGCCGACTGGCCTGGCGCCCGAGATTGCCTTCTTTGATGGCGACCAGGCCACCAAGTCCGACATTCGTGTCAAGGACGGCGACGCACACAATCTCATGCGCCCGGAAACGGTCGAGTCACTCTTCATTCTCTACCGTCTCACCAAGGACGAGCGCTACCGCGAGTGGGGCTGGAAAATCTTCCAGGCCTTCGAAAAGCACTCGCGCGTGCAGAACGGCTACACGAGCCTCAACAATGTCAAGGTTGATCCTCCGCCACGCCGCGACAAGATGGAGAGCTTCTGGCTGGGCGAAACAATCAAGTACCTGTTCCTGCTCTTTAGCGACGATGATACTCTCATTCCGCTAGACAAGTATGTCTTTAACACGGAGGCGCATCCTCTTCCGATTTTCTGAAATTTGTAATTTCATTTTAAAATTTGTGTCAATTTTCAGTTTGTGAACGAACTATTCTTGGTTGTGTGTGTGTTTGTGTCTTCGTAGCGGCTGTACAATGCCATCATCGAATACAACACTTTCTTTGCCATGTTGTGGACGGTTGTGTTGTTTTTTCGAAACTACTGAATGGGTTCATTCATTGAAAACAGGTGTATCAATACAAGCAAACGAAAGAACGAGCTCTTTAGGCCTTTGCTGATGCTTGTTGCTGCATGAGTTGGTTTTGCAGCTTCATGACCTGGTCCCAAAAAGCAAAATCAATGAAAAGCGTCAGCAGCAAGACAAACGGCAGAGAGAGAGGATTCGACTTTTATTCCGACACTTACGGTTCCTCGCAGTGTGTTCATCTTCTCGTCGTACTCCTTCATGGCCTTGTCGAGGCGATCGCTGTCCGAAACAACCGCAGAGTCAGTATTCAGTCGTTGAACGAGAGTCTGCCAACAATCTGGTTGGTAAACTCTTACAGCTCGGTTGTGATAAAGCCAATGCGCTTGTCAACGTGCGACTTGGCCTCGGGCAAATCTTGCTTGACCAGAGCGGGACCAACAAGCTTGTAAACAGAGCCTTCCGAGTCGACAAGACGCAGCTCCTGTCCGAAAGCAACCAAAGCAACAAAACCAAAGCGATTTCGTGAGCATCCGCATTTCGCCCCCCACTTCCTTTGTGATTCAAACACAAACTCCATCAAGTGAATTGCAAACCAAACACCACCATGTCTGACGACATGAGATGACACGACAAGCATGATTCAGATTTCAATGGCTTTTTCGCAGAAATGCACAAGGTTGAGATCTCTGCATTGGAGGCGCAGTTGAAGCGAATCGAGACGCCGCAGTGGGCAGCTCGCTCGTCACTTTGATCAAAGCACAAAACCGTGTCGTATCTGCCATCTGGCTCCAAGTCGCAGCGCACCATGGCGCAGGCGGGGGGAAGCCGAGCAGAACAAGCAAGGCAGCATGGAAGCAACAGGAAAAGTCTGTTACCTCTTGAACGAGCTTGTTCTCGTTGAGCTGGGTCTCGAACTGCGTCCGGCTGTCGACAAGCTTGGAGTAAGCTAGCCAAAGATGAGAGGGAAGGGAGGGGAGGGGAGGGGGGATGTGAGTTAGGAACGAGCAAGCCAATGCACACCGCCTTCCACTCCACTTGGTTCTCCCTCTCTCCGATCTCCCGCTCGCTCTGCAGCTCTTCCACAAAGGCGGCATGTTGCAACAAAACACGGGTGTTTGGCGCCGGGCATACATTGCTGGAGCTTTCGGAGCTCGTCGACGTGCGACTCGAACTGTTGCTGCAATGCTGAGATGGACATGGTTGTTGTTGTTTGGCAAAAGTCAGACTGAGCTGTTCCGAGGTCTCTGAAAAAAATGGGCAAGTACATGTACGACAATGGAAGGGGGGTAAGGGTGGTGGTGGAAGAGCGACCAACAGCAATGGATCTCAGAATTCGCCTGTCAAAGCAATCGTCCACCGTCGAAGCCGAACGCTGATTCTGCCGTCCCCTCCGTTCATGCACCTTTAACAAGCACCAAAACAATGAAATAACCAAAGGCGCAGTAGCACGCACCTCCAGACTCGTTCGCGAAGAAGCGACTTGTAGCCGTGAACCAATCCAATGCTCACAGCCACCCTCGTTGTCGGATGATCATTTTCAATACTGCAGATTCGAAATTACCGACCACTCCATTCTTTATTTTGTTAAACAACTCTTGATTTTGCACAATGCGAGAGACGCGGTCATCAGCAGCAGCAGCAGCAGTTGCAGCGGTTCCGTCGCCAGTTGCTCCTTCGGCAGCAGCAGCAACAACCTCCTCAGCGTCCGCGCTGCTGACCCATCCGCACCTGCCGCACAACATGCACGATGCAAACGAGATGATGCATGCAGGCGCAACGCTGCTGCACGACGCGGCCGTCGAATCCGTTGAGGCCGTCAAGCACGCGACGGCCCACGCCATCGACGCCATGGCCACCGCCAGCAAAACCGCCACCGACCGCGCCCACCACCTCGTCGAGCGCGTTGAAGAGACGGTACAGGGACCACTGGCATTTTTTCCATCCATTTGACTTGCTGTGCCTCTCTCTCTCTCTCTCCTCGGTTACAGTTGCACAGAGCACCATCGCAATAGCCCAATCGGAGGAAGGCGCGAGATTGATTGTTGGGGCAAAACCAAAAACTCAAACAAACGGCCGCTTTTCGTTTCTTCTTATTGTTGGTCGCTCCGCTTCCGCTCTTTTCACTCGCTGGCTTTTTTCTCCTTCCAAACCTCTTTGCTTTTCTTCTTTGGTCTGACCTTGCTTTTTCCATTGTTCGACTATTTTCCATCCAACTGTTCCCGATGTTTGGTTGCTTTGTTGTGGTTTTTCAAAAGTGGCGCGACGTTAAAACGAACAGCAGTCGATACACCTGTCAACCCAGCTGACCACCCGCGCAGGTCCCTCGGACATTGTGAACTGCGTCGGTGCGCAGATGGAAGGGTCTAGTTGCAGCTATGCAGCTCTACGCAGTCATGGCGGAAGGAGGGAGAGCGAGAGAAGCGAGAGAAGCGAGACGCGAGGGAAATCGGAGAAAGGTGCGGTTTGTGGTCTGATTTTTAATCCCCCGCCGTTCTTGCCCTATGACAACATGATACGAAAGGGGGGGGGGCTTGTCCCTTTATCGTGCTCGTTCGTGTCTGTCTGTCTGTTAAACTTTGTAATGACCGTCTACGTCGCTTCTTCCCGCGCTCACCTTGAATTTGTCCCTCTTCGTCCGTCCGTTGTTCCAGGTCCACAACATTTTCGCCCTGTACTCGTTCCACCACATCCCGGACTGGCTCAGGGACAACGATTTCATTATCGGTGGCTACCGCACACAGATGAACTCATTCCGCGCTTGCTTCAACTCCATGTTCTACCTGCACAACGAGACGGGCAACATTTACTCGCATCTCATCGGCTTTACCATCTTCCTGGTTGCCGCTTGTTGCGCTGGCTACGGCTACCTGTCGCAGCACGATTTTGCCGACCAGGTAGCGTATTCTTGGTTTGTGCCTGTCTGGATTTATTCGAGCATGTGACTGACATACAGGAATGTTTTCCCCTCTCCTTTTGGTTTTTGCCAGGCCGTCTTTTGGATTTTCTTTGTCGCTGCCATGATCTGCCTGATGATGTCCACACTCTTCCACCTCCTGTTCTGCCACTCGCCACGCATGTACGGCGTCTTTAGCCGCCTCGACTACACGGGCATTGCGATTCTGATTGCGGGCTCCTTCTACCCATTTGTCTACTATTGCTTTTACTGCCACGAGACGTCGCGTGTCATCTACCTCTCCATGATTACCATCCTTGGTGTTGCGTGTGCCTACGTTGCCTGCTCTCCCAAGTACGACGGTGTCGCCTTCCGGTACGTTTTGGAAGTTGTTTTGTTTTGGTTTTTTGTTGTTCTGCATTGCTCACCACTCGATCCATTGTCGTTGTGTTGGCTCATCGCTCGCTTACAGAACAACTCGCATGCTGTTGTTCCTCGGAATGGGCGCATCCGGACTTTTGCCTGTCGCCCACTACACGTACCTGTACGGCCTCGCAGCTGCCGTCAACACCTCTTCGTTGGACGTTCTCGGCATTATGGCGCTGCTGTATGTCTCGGGCGCCGTCATCTATGTCACCCGCGTGCCCGAGCGCTTCTTCCCTGGCAAGTTTGACTATTGGGTAAGCAACCATGTTCGGGGTTTTTTTTCCGTATTTGACAGTTTTGTCTCAAGGTGAAAGCTCATCATGCGTCCTTCTTCCACTACCACTACCACAGCTGCACAGTCACCAAGTCTTCCATATTCTGGTGGTCGCTGCCGCCTTGACGCACTACTATGGCGTGTACACTGCAATGCAACACCGGAAAGAGTTCCAGTGCAGCGTTGAGCAGTCCATTCTTGGCCTGTCTAGCTTGGTCGGAGGAGCCGATCAAAATACCTCCAGCGTCTTTGTCCCGAGCTCCGAGTTCTGAGTTTTCCCCAACAAACACCCCCGGCGCATGCGTTAGATTGCTCCTGTTGTTGATTCCGTCCTGTTGTTATTTGTTGTTGCCTATTGTACAGACCCTGGTTGGTTGAACGCGTCATGAGAATTTCCATGTCAATACATGTACTTTTACTCGATCGTCTCTGCTGTTTCTAGGTCGCGTTGTCCTGTTTGGATTGTTGCAAAGCGCGAAACGTTTGCGATTTCTGAATCTGACTGAATCTGAGATTTTCCACTTCGTTGCCGCCATTGTCTGCACTTCTTCCTTCCCCTGATTCCTTCCATTCTGATTTTCTTTCATCATTCTTTTTTTTTTCTTTGTCCCCCGCATTGTCTCAGAATCCAACAACAAATGCCCTGTGGCTGCAGCCTTCGACCAAAGCTGCGGCACCAGCGCTTGGTGGACGGCGTCTTCCCGCTGGACCCTTCCGACGGGATTGTCTCGCTCAACATGACCAAGCTGACCTTCTTTGCTCTCCAGACACCCGGCAAGCTGCCCCAGGTCGGCAAGCGCCTCGCCAAGCGCCTCCGCCGCGATCTCACCAAGCAGCGCTACGGGTAAAGCAGTGGAATGAACTTTGCATCCTCTCCCGCCAAACAGGTCCTTCAGGGACGGAGGAGTGTCTCTAGAAATGGACGTCCATCATGATATCGATCAAGTAGAGTGAAAACGGCAGCAACAGCAACGCAGCAGGAGCATAAAAAAAAAAAAAAAAAAAAAAAAAAAAAAAAAAAAAAAAAAAAAAAAAAAATTCTGTTCGATGTATCGTTTACCATTGCCTTGGGCGAAAGCCAGACCAAGAGCCGCTGAGAGAGCCAGCCAAGTGACAGATAGTGAAGAATTGTCTCACTTTGATGGCTGAACCGAACGCTGGCGAGCAGTCTTCAATGGAAGCCTCCTCTTCAACCCCTTCGCCCTTTGAGCTCATCCTGCTCTTCAGTCACCCTGCTGCCCTATTCACTGAAATTCTTCTGGAAATGCGTGAAATACAGAAACGTCTATGTCGCAATCAAGGCGATGGACTCGCTCGTGCAGGCATGCCACACGCATCTCCACTTGTTCGTCGAGAGCTACCTGCTCATGGTCGAGAACCTGCTCGAGTCGAGCAACGCCGATCTCCAAGTTGCTGGCACAAACTCGGTAAGAGGGGGGAACACGAGTTGGGGTGCTGGTTTGTTGGTGGGGTTTGAACTTACCGATTTGTCATTCAAAAACCCCCACTAGTTTGTCAAGTTTGCATACATTAAGGAAGAAGACACCCCATCCTATCACCGTCGCTACGACTTTTTCGTCAGCAAATTCAGTCAGATGTGTCTCAGCCATGTTGCTTTGGCGGAAGACCGCACCAAGTTAGTGTCTTTGCATCGTTATTTGATTGCTTTTGCTGGTTTTGCTCGGTTTTTGACTGCTGTTTTGACCTGACGACGCCTGCTCCACTTCCTCCTCCCCTTGATTCCCCCAGAATCCGACTGGCTGGATTGCGCGGCCTCTCTGCTCTCTTTGTCAAAACTGTCGATTCAAACTCTGGAAATATCTGGGCCGATCTGGACAAAATCGTGCCGGCCATTCTGCTCAACTTGCGAGACGAGAAGGCTGCATCACACGGGTAAGAGGGCTTCGAAACGTCAATTCTTTGCTCCTCCTTGGTCCTCTTGTCTCACTTGCCGTCTTCCTTTTTGCAAGCCGGCCAATCTCCACGTTTGACACCTTCACACGCACCGCCTCCATCTCTTCCCCGACTCCCTTGGTCGGCAGCGGCACTGGCGCGCTTGTCGCCCCCACATCCACGTCCTCGGCTAGCCCGCTCGACTCGTCCTCGTTGCTGGAGGAAGCAAACCCGGCCGCGTTGGCGCAGTCCTGCTTGCGCGAGATGGTCTCGCGTGCCAACTTTGCCAACGCCAAGGCCATCCTGAGCCCGATGCTGTCCTTCCTCGACGCAACCGATGGCTGGTCGCCCAGCTGGTTTGCCATGGAGTGCTTCCGAATTGTCATGTTCTCGATTCAGTCGCAGTTCTTTTACATTCCAATCACCGACCTGCTCGCGCATCTGGACACGGCCTTTTCGCTGCAACGGCAGCTGCTCTACCTGCAAAATTCCGTTCTTCAGCAGCGAAAGGCCCTGCAGGAGGGTCAGCAATCCGCCGCCGCGGTGCAAGAGTCAGCCTCATCGTCCGCCGCTGCCGCCGCCGCCGCCGCCGCCGCCGCCCCCACCTCGCCGCCGTCGTTCACCACCGTCAAGGTCGGCATGCTTCATGTGCTGAATGCTGCCATTCAGTTTGCACGAGGCGCGTCTGGTCCGTCTGTTCTGCAGAGCTTCAACATCCTGCTCCGCCAACTGCGCATCAGCGTGGACGTCATGTCTGCCATGCAAGAGACGGAAATGAACGACCGGACTGCGCGCCGGGTTGAGGAGCAGCAGTACCAACTTGCCGTCATCCACGCCATTGGCGTCTTTGCCGACAACCTGCCCGACTACCAAAAGATGGAGCTGATGCAAGTGATTGCCGACAAGCTGTCGAACGACGCCTCGCTGCTGATGGACACTGCGGCTGCCCCACTGTCGATGCAGCAGCGCGACAATGCCTTGGTTCAGCTCCACATGCTGCAGGCAATCTTGCGCATTGCCAAGCCGTACGCGTGCCACATGGTGGCCGACAACACCTTCCCTTCGACCTTGTTCGATCCCTTGCTGAAGCTGTCCGTTGTCCCAGACCCCGAGATGCGCCTGCTGGTCCAGCAGCTGCTCCAGCTTTTGATTTGCCGACCTTCCTCGCCGAGCCTGGTGCCGGCGTCGGTGCTCTCGACCACGGTCAAGTCGCCCATCGACACCATTCTGTCAAAGGATACGCTGATCGTCTGGCGTCTCACCGACTCCGAGTCCAACTTTTTGCGCAAGCTGCATTTCGCGATTTACGAGCACGTCATCCTGCAATCCAACACGGCCATGCACTTCCAGGCGCTGTACACCACGCACGGCCTGCTCCTCCGCCTCTTTGGCTTTTATCAAATGGTCGATCTCGTTCGTGTCCTCTTTTCGCTCCAGGACTATGCCGAACAGCAAACCGAATGGACTCCCAACCACACTGCTGTCATGCACGCGTTCATTGCGGCCCTGTTCAAGCTGAGCGCTCGCCTTGCGCGCAACCGCGGGCTGTACAACTACGTGTCCAAGGTATGTATGCGCCACGCAGCTGGAGAGTGCAAGTTTGGAAGTAGGTGGGGGTGGTCGTTTCGTACCCTTGTTGATTGTCGCTCACTTTTTGGGTGTGTTTTCTGATCGAACAGATTTTGAGCAATCGCATCGCCACTGGCTTTCTCGTCTCACCTGTCGAGTTTGAAGATGACGCGGCAGCCAATCTGGCCTTTTTGCAGTCCCCCACCGCCGAGACAGATGCCGCCGAGTTGGCATCGAGTGTCGCGGCTGCAAACGTCGAAGAAGACGAAGAAGGCGAAGAAGAGGATGAGGAAGATGCAAGCGAAGACGACGACAACGAATCCGGAGATGATGATGATGACGACGACAACGCCAACAACGCTGCGCAGAAACCAGAGGACCAAAGCGACAAGGCTCCGACCGTCTCTCAAACCGAGACTGATGGCTCAGCTCCCGTCAGCTCTGAAGCCGACGCACCCGCGATTGATCCGCGCATTCTCGAAGCCCGCCGTGCTGCGCAAGCCGCTGCCATTGAATTCCTCACAGTCGCGCAAAACATGGAGCCCAGCGACGCCCGGAAGGAAATTCTTGGAGCTGACGACGCTACCGCCGCTCCGACCACCCAGCACGAATCCAGCGGTTCTGGCACCAAGCATGCACAGTTCTCTGAGCAAGTTTCTGTGATGAACGAGTCAAAGAAAGATCAGGGCGCGAAGAAGGAGAAGAACAAGAAGCGTGCGTCCAAGAAGGCCTCTGCCTCTGGCAAGAAAAAGTCGGGCAACCCCAAGTTCATGTTTGACGCTGATGTCACTGACGACGCCGTGCTGTTTGAGCTGTCCACCGTGGTTGCGCTGATCAAAGCCGAGCCCGTTCCGGACGTCAACATGGCCGATGTGGCCGAGATGTTGCACGTGCCCTACAAACACGAGCGCGTGATTGGTACGTTTTCTTGTGTGGTTGTGTGGCGTGGGGTGGGGTGGGGTGTGGCGTTGAATAGCTCTCGGCTGACTTTGCTCGCTTGTTTTGCTTTTTTTTTGTTTGTTTGTTTGTTTGCTTGCAACAGCCGTGCCCTCACCCCGAGTCCGCAAGTCGGTCATTCCGAAGCCCGCCGTCCCAGCCATTGCGCGCCCTGCCGCAGTTGTACGTTTTTGTTTTCAATTTTGTGAATTCGCTTCTTCGCGGAGCTCGGCTTTGAATCTTTCACGTTCTCGAAAGCTGACCTATTACCTCTCTTGTATTCGACCATGAACAGGAGGCTCCTCGCCCCACAACAATCGACGTGTCCGCCAACTCGTTCAAGCGCATTCTCGTTTCTGCCCCGCAGCAAAGCTTGACCTCGTCCAAGCACGTTGATTCGCGATCATTCCAGTTTGTTTCCTTTGGCCAGTTTGTTAGCTCGATTGCGGATACGGCAATCCATCAACACATGATCCTCAGCAAGCTGCTTGAAGTGACCTCTGAAGTGTAAGAGATTTGCGAGGACTGGTTTGTTGATTTTGGTTGCCGCTAACCTTGAACTCTGTCTCTTTTTGTTTTTTGGTTTTTGTGTGTGGGACTGCCTTGCTTTCACAGCTCCGCTCACTTGCCTTTGAGTCCAGAGGAGCAGGCTATTCTCGACCAAACGGCTGCCGAGGAGGACGACAGCAATCCGTTCCTGTCGTCCGCCGCTCTGTCAGGCCATTGCACGTTGAACCTGCAGCTTCCGACTCTGTTTGCGTACTAGTGACGCCAGATGTTGGACGACTTGCGATTGTTTTGAAAACGTTGCTTGAATTTCTGTTGTTTTGATTCCAAAGACGTAAATATTCCTTGCGCTGCCCCCACCCTCCATTTGTTTTATTATTTGCTTGGTGTGATATTCTTGCCTTTTTCTTCAGCATGTCCTATTCTTGCTCCCATGCGGCGTTTCAGTCTATCTTGCTAACGGTAAGGGCAAACTTGAAGCAATTCCAAACCAAAAAGCCCTCCATTGTTTGTGATCAACAATGTCAGGATCAGCATCCGAATAAAAGCAGGTCGCAATGTCAGGAGAGCGGATGCGGGTGGGTGACGGGTGGTGGGTGGTGATGGGTGGGTGGTGATGGGTTCGGTTCATCCAAAGGGCCACGCGATGAGGTGGAAACCACCATCACCACCACCAGAACGCTGGTCACACTGCCAAACCCCCGGCGGCTTGAAGCTGGGTCCCATGCACCTCGGTACCAGCCGGCACCAGAGCAGACCACCCTTCCGACTGGCTGGTGTGTTTGGTGGGATTGTTGATCTGAAATGCATTCGTTTGGGACCCGCATTCACCTCTGCGAGTCCGTTGCTCGCCCTCCCTGACCGCCCCCCCCTCCTCATCTGAGTCGAACCGCTCAAACCTTGTCGATGGATGCATCGGTCGGTGGTCGGTGGTTGAACAAGAAGTCGATGATGCTTGTGGGAATTGTGGCTAAAGTTCTGTTTTGTTTGGATTTTGTAGATCACTCCATGGTAGTACGCGGCCTGGTCTCGCCGCAGAGACGTCTGCTGCTGGTGGCAGTCGCACTATTCGCGGCAATCATGCTGGACCATCCGCGAGACGCTCTGGCTGCGAGTGCCTGCAGCGTCTGTGATTGCTCCACGCCAACGTTCATCACTTGCAGCGTTGCCTCGATTACCTCCGTCCCGACCGGCTTTCCAGTGACTCTTGAGCAACTGTACGTCCTAAGAAAATGCGAACTTGCAGTATCGGGTCTTGTCAAAGCTGTGTGTGTTGGCATGTTTTGGTTGATGTGATGTGCAGAGTCTGACCGATGTTGATTTTGCTCGTTTGTTTTTGTTGTGCTTGGTTGTTGATGCCCAACCCGCATCTCTGCAGATCACTGAGTAACACTGGCATCACAAGCGTTCCCGTGAACGCGTTTTCACAGCTGACCAAACTTGAGTTTCTGTACGGCAGAGCATTCCACTCGCTCTTGTTGCTTTTGTTTCTCGGTATTCCCTGCAGCGCTGCAACGTTTCTGACCTGAACCACTGATTGCTTCAGGAGTCTTGCGTACACTGCGATAACGTCAATCGCCTCCGGAGCGTTTACAAATCTCTCGCACCTGACCTTTCTGTGAGATTTGAGTTTGGCTACCAATGCAGATGGTTTGATATTTTGGCTTTATGAAGCATGCTGGCTGACGCGTCGTCGCCTCGTAATACCGTAGAGGATTGTCCGGATCGCTTCTTGTCAACCTCCCGGCTGGCGCATTTAATGGAGCTCCAAACCTTGAGTTGTTGTGCGTCACTTTCGTGTGAAGCAAATCGCTCCGATCTTTTTTTTTTCGCAACACTCACTTGTCATCCCTCTCAGATACCTTGCGGAGACAAAGTTGACTGCCATCCCCAGCAGTGCATGGACTGGACTAACTGCCTTGCGGTACTTGTAAGCCGTCATTCCAACAGTCGTATGTGTACGCTGAAGGGCTCCTTCTGATTGGTGAGTATTCTCCTGTAGGTACATTGACAGCCCACAGCTTTCAACCATCTCGGCAAACGCCTTTTCTGGTCTCACGGCTCTCACAACTCTGTAAGCAATGAAATCTAGCGGAAACTGCTCGGTCTTTTGTTTTTTTGCTTTGTTTTGTTTTTTTGTGCTCGTTGGTCCCCCTCATTGTGCTCTTCATATGCTCTACAGACTTGTTGGAAACCCAGCATACAGATACATTTCCCCCAATGCTTTTGAGGGCCTCCCAGCGCTTCGAACTCTGTAACAATTCCTTGACTTGACTGGACGAGGCTTCCGCGTTCTCAAAAGAGCGCACCCAACTCACCGTTATTGTTGCTGTTTCTCTCAGGTCTTTAACTGGTTGTTCAATTACCTCCCTTTCGGATGGAATTTTCAACGGATTGGACGAGCTTGAAACCCTGTAAGTGCTCTGAAATGTTTTGGTGGCATTTCGACTTCCACACTGTTTGTTTTTGTTTTTTTTTTTTTTTTTTTTTTTTTTTTTTTTGCTCACCTCTAAAATCTGATGCATCCCAGGGATATGTCGAACACTGCCGTTACAATCCTTCCAGCCGACGCTTTTGCTGGATTAACCGCTTTGCAGGACTTGTAGGGCGAGGTGCAGATTGGGTCCTTGTCCATCCTCCTCCGAAATTGACTTTTTGTTCCCGTTTGCGCAGGCTTCTGGATGGCTCATCCCTGCTATCCATCCCAACTCAAATATTTCCCGCGTTGAGTTCTCTTGAAAGCTTGTATGTGGAACATCTGCTCGTTTGCGTCAAAGGATGATGTTGTGACGAATGGTTTTTTTTTTTTTTGTTGTCCGTTTTGGGTTTGCACAGAACTTTGTCTGGCACGAACATCACAAGTATTGGGCCCAATGCCTTTGTTGGGCTCTCGTCGCTCACCACACTGTAAGCTGGGCTTGCAATTCGCTTGCCATTTGCTGGCAAAACGCTCATTTTTTTTTCTTGTTTCTTGTGCGTTTTCTTCATTGTTTAACTGGCCGTGCTCAGAGATTTGTCAAACACCCAAATTGCGTCAATTGCACCGAACGCTTTTGCTGGCCTGCCGTCTCTTCGATCCCTGTACGCGCAAACAACAAGCTTTGCGAGAAATCAGATTGCTGGCTCATCTTGACCTCTCATTCATCGTCATCTTCTTCTGCTTGAACTCCCCCTTGCAGACGTCTTTCAAACTCCCCAATTACCTCGCTCCCGCCCAATGTATTTTCCACGCTTACTCAACTGCAAACATTGTATGCCTTTCGCTTGTTCGCTTGTTCGCTTGTTGCTCCGCGATTGCATCCTACCTCACATCCTGACAAACCTTTCCCCCCCCCCCCCGGTTTTGAATTTTACGTAGATCATTGCAAGCAACAAGCCTGACCACCCTTCCTCCCGGACTGTTCCAAGGCTTGTTCAACCTGGCCACTGTTCAACTCCAAAACAACAATTTTGATGACAATTCCGGCCGAAGTACCCCACCACCAAGCACTTATGGCACCTGGTCCAATCCGATTCGTAAGCGAGAGGACGAGCGAGAGAAATGGTTGCGACTTTCAATGTTGAAAATCCAAACGTTGTTTTTGGACATTTTGTATTGTGTTGTTTTTTGCTGACCCCCCATCAGCATGCAATCCAACCTGCGCGACGTGCTTCGCCGCTGGTAGCACCTCTTGTTGCTCGACCAACTGCATAAGCTGCACCTCAGCATCCGCTTGTTCAGTCTGCGCTCCTGGATATGTTAGACCTGAAATCGGCTGCCAAGCAACTCAAGCAACAAACGAAAGTCTCGCGACGGTCGCATCGCTCGCAACCGCGACTATCGCGTCTGCCTCGTCCGCCTCCGCTCAAGCTGCTTCGCTGGCATCGGCGGCGCAGCTCGCTTCCGCAGCGTCAACTTCCCTCGCCTCGCTGATTTCACATCTCGCCATGGAATCTGCCTCGGCAGCGTCTCTCGCGTCCCGCGTCTCTGGCAGCTCAGCCTCCGCTGCATCCATCGCAACCGCGGATGCTGCATCTGCCTCCTCGGCCTCTGCCTCGGTTGCTAATCTCGTGTCCTTGACGTCAGCGCTTTCAGCCTCAGAGGCGTCGGCCGCCTCCACGTCGCTCGCTTCCTTGGCGGCTAACTCTGCGCTTTCGGTCTCGTCGGCAGCCGCCCTGGCGTCTTCTGCGGCAGAGCAGGCTTCCTCGATCGCCCAAGTCGCCTCGTTCGCCTCCCTGGCAACCCAAGCTTCCGGTGCCTCGAGTGCCTCGGCTTCCCTGGGATCACAGGCGTCTGAAGCCTCTAGTGCCTCGGCCTCGATGGCGTCTCTAGCGTCGGGTGCCTCGACTGCTTCGGCCTCTGCTGCATCAGCATCCACACATGTTGCTTCAGGCAGCCCAGCAAGTTCGTCGCCTGCCGTGGTGATTGGGATTGTTGTAGCACTCCTGGTGGTGCTTCTTGTTGTGATTGTGGTGCTGGTGCGACGACGGCAGACACGTCAAAAGGCAGCCTTGGCGGGATTTTCGGATGACCACTCGGCCATTCCGATGCAGAGCGTGAATGTTCCAGCGCGTCAGTATGACGACGACGCATCATCGGCTCTGTACGCTACGGCTGGTCAAATCTACACGACAGTGAACAGAGGCGCCTCTTCTCCGTATGCGTCAACCCTCGAGCCGTACGCGACAACCAGCTCTCAACAGGAAGGAGAGACGGCGACGACGACGACGACTGCGGTATACGGCGGATCCGACCGGTATAGCGTGCCAGGCGGGCATGCCACCGTCTACGCAACCCCAACAACTGCAGCTGCAGCGAGTTCTTCCGCGCCAAAAAAGCTTCCTTCACCATATGCGACCACCCTCTTGTCATCTGCGACGACAACAACAACAGCAGTAACAGCAACAACGGCTGCAACAACAACAACAGCAGCATCAACGCGTCCGCCAAACGAAGAAGCAGTTGCTGCTTACTCCACGTCTGGGCGGTACAGTGTTCCGGGATCGCACGACAACGCGTACAGCGTCTCACGAGCTCCTTCTTCCGCCGTACCAGCGGATACTCTGGCATATGCGATTTCTTCCGAGAGAATTTACCACACCGTGGACCCCGCCACGAAGAATCTGCGTCGAGAACTGGTGATTGGCGAGACACTGGGTGCTGGTAACTTTGGTGTCGTCATGCGGGGCAAGATGCCGGCCCGTCTGCTTCCTCCAGATGCGCACTACCTGCTGCACGATCCGTCTCAGCACGACATTGATGTGGCTGTCAAGATGGTGCAAAGTGACGCATCCGAGAAGGCGCGCCAAGATTTTGTTGAGGAAGCCAACATGGTTGCACGGTTTAACAGCCCTAACGTGATTCGCTCGATTGCTGGGCTCTTTGAGACGGAGCCCTATCTGTGCGTCCTCGAGCTCATGCCATACGGTGATTTGAAAGACGTGTTGCTCAAGTCCGCGTCTCAGTCGTTGACGTGGACGTTGGGCGAGTTTGCCCATGCCCTGGCGCAAGTTGCCAGCGGCTTGAGCTACCTCGAGTCGATTCGGTTTGTGCATCGCGACATTGCCGCTCGCAACTGCCTCGTAGGCGCGGACTTGACGGTGAAGATTTCAGACTTTGGTCTGACCCGCGCTCTGGCCGAAGAAACCAATTACTACCGCATGGAATCCAAAGGGCGTGTTCCCATCAAGGTGATTTTATGATGCGTTGGAGCTTGTTTGCGCGATGTGTGTGTCGGTGTGTGTGTGCGGCGCTCGCTCTTGATCAAGCTCACATTGGTTTTGACCTCTTGTTTTTCGTTTGGGCTGGGTCTCCTGCTTAGTGGATGGCACCTGAATGTCTTCTGTACCGCAAGTTTACGCACAAGAGCGACGTGTGGGCGTTTGGCGTCGTTGCATGTAAGCATTGCGCGTGTTGGCTCGATTGATCACAGAAAACAGGCTATGCATATTGAGGCTCGTTGACTGATGTACCTTGCCTCTGTTCTAGGGGAGTTGTTTTCTTATGGAGCCTCGCCATACGGCACAATCAAAGGACCCGAGATGCTCGTGCTGCTCGAAACCGGAAGCCGCCTTGACCGACCTGCCGAATGCCCGGTCGATTGGTTTTCGCCAATCTCAGCCTGCTGGACGCGAGACCCGGAGGCTCGGCCAAGCATTGCCGTCCTGTGCGACTTTTTTGCGCAAAAAGCTGATGGAGCTTCTATTCGAGACATTGGCTTGCTGTTGCGTTAACGCTTTGGGACTTGCATAATTGAACTTTTGAACCTTTAATGGCATTTTATTTACAAAATCGGTACGAGAAACAACGATAAAGCGGGGGGGGATGCTTTAATGAGGAGTTTGGGCTGAGGTAGCCGTGGGCAATTCTGGGGGAAATAGCTCGCCAGCGGCGACGGCGGCGGCTGGGGATGATGGCTGGGTGTGTATCAGCCGTGGTGTTCCAAAGCTCGACTGCGCCGAAAGCAATGAAGGAGGAGGCGCTGTTGTGGCACTGGCACTGGCGCGGGGTTGTTGCTCTTGAATCAAGCGGGCAATGAGTTGGACGACGCACACGAGCAGCGGACCAATGACCACTCCAGGTAGATCAAAGGCGTACAAACCAAGCAGAATGCTCAGACCAGTAATGTATGGGTGCGCATGCTTGATTTCCGTCAGAATTTCGGGATCGACCACCCACGAAACAATCAGGTGAGCTCCCACTAGAAACACGCCCGTCCAAAAGTAGTCGTCAAAGAGCAGCTGGACAAACCCGATGAGACTGACAAGGTAGGAGGGCACGAATGGGACAAGGGCAAAGAACGCGGCGAGCAGCGAGCTAATGTATACCAGGTCGAGACCCAAGACGGAAAAGGACAGCCACGTGAAGATGGCATGAAACGCGGCAGTCTTCAGCGAGGCAGAAAAGACTTGGGTGACAGACGTTGAGAGGCGAGTGGACACGTTGGTCTTCCAGTGCTGATCCAGCATGACGAGCTTGTTGAACAGGGCAGAAATCACATCGTGTTCGGCAATGAGCAGGTAGTACAGGCTGGACAAGAAGATGACAAAGGAGACGCCAAAGTTGACCATGAACGAAACAACCGAGAGCGCAATGTTGTAGGACGACGTGAGCGTCAGCAAGACGCTGCGCGCAAAGCCAGAGCCGAGCGCAGACGCTGACGTCGACACCCCCTGCAGGACGGTGGTTGGATCGACGTCGTTGCCGAGGAAGCGCTGGAAGCCAAGACTCAGCTCAGACCAGGCCGAGGCGTACAGCTGCTTGTCGGCCAGCGAGGCAAAGTTGCCCTCGGCCACTGCCAGAATCAGAGTCGAGATGGTTGGAGCGCCCTGCAGATGCTCTCGGACAAATTTCGACACACGAGAGGGCTTGGGCGCAGCCGCCCCTCTGTTGCCACGCCAGCGTGAGCGGGCGCTGCTTTGCATCCGGGCTGCTGGTCGGCGCCCTTCGTCGACAAAGCCATCGCGAGAATGGTCGCCGCATCCTGTGGTGCCAGCGGAAGCGGAGCCACCGCCACCACCACCACCACCGCTACTACTGAAACTACTCGTGGAACTACCACCAGGCTCCGTGATCGGGGGACCGTCTTGCCCTGCTGCAGCATCGTCTACCGTGGCTTGCTGGTGATTCAGCCTGCCTCGGCGCCGCATGCGTGGCACGTACTCATCGCACTCGTCCTCTTCCCAAGCGCGACAGCGGAAGGAATCGCGCAACTTGATCGTGTAGGTGAGGGCGGGCGACACGCAATTGACCGGAGGTCCGGGATTCACAGATTTGTGGAAGGTTTCGCTGATCAAGCTGGCAATCTGCTGGAAGCTGATGTCCGGGCCAAACACCTCCGTCCACCGACTCTCGACATAGGTGGTCGAGGCATTGACGACCGTTTGGACGGCCGAACGCAGCCGGGGGTCATCCAGCAGTGCAACGACCTTGGTGTTGTGCACGACCTTCTCGTCCAAAAAGTGGTAGGTTGTGTCGGCAAGATCGCGCGTCTCTGAAAAGCACTTGTACGAGAGCGCGAGCGACCCGACTGTCAGGCCAAACAGGAGGGCCAGGATGACTAGAACTGTCGCGATGACTTCGGCGTTGCTCCGCAGCATGTGGTAGATGGAGCCTCCCACGAGTCGGTAAGGGAAGATGATAAAGTCGCGAATTTTGCCCAGCGCTCGCGAAGGCCAGCCATTGAAGTGCTGATCCACATCCACGAGATGTTCGTAGATGTGGAACGGGCTATTGCCGTAGACGAACAGCAGGATTGAAATGATGGCGAGCGCACAAATGAACGCCATTCCGCAGAGGGCGACAAACAAAAAGAGGGTGCCGACACCAATCACCTCAAAGACCAGCTCCCAGGAAATGTAGAGCAGACAGCAAAGGAACAAGGTACGGAAGTACTTGGCGCTTATGGACGCTTGCGGTTCCTGCGAGAATTCGTTGCGCAGCGGCGAGGATGGCATGTACATGGGAGGGGAGGCTGGAGGTTGCGGGATTGGCTGCTCGGCATCATTCTCATCGCCACCGCCGCCATCCTCATCATCAACGACAACATCCTCTTCGTCCTCCAGCCCCTCGGCCTCGTGATTTGGCTGAGGTGCTGGAATGGAGGACGCTGACCCGCGATCCACCGCGTTGAAAAGACTGCTGCTGTGGGCGTGGGCCGAAAAAAGCGTCGATCGGTGCTGCGGATCGGGACTCGGAGGTGCTTGTAAATCATCCTGAAAGCTAGTGTCGCCAAAGTCGTTCGCGGTGGTGGTAAAGCTCGACCCACGGGATCGAGTTGGCGAGCCGAGCGGACCGGCTCCGTCGTTCAGGACGAGCGAGTTGCGCTTGGACGCCGTGCCGAGCGACTCATTGTTCACGTCGCTTTGGTACGCCTGCGACCATGGCGGATGAGGCGGTGGCGGCGGAATGCGAGGTGGCTGTCGACGCATGGTTCGCTTCCAGGCGGCCAAGAACTTGACCTTGAAGGCCTCGGCATACTCTCGCATGTCGCAGTACAGCCGTACGAGCATCATGTGGAAGACGCGCACAGCGGATCGAAAGACAGTAAACATACGCAGCAACGATCGCGTGAACGAGTACGACATGATGAGCGGGGTATCGTCGGCGACAGGGCTGGCGCCACTTCCAGTGACAATCTGGAAGAGCTGTGCTGTCGTGTCGAGGGCGCGCCGAATCTCCTGCCCTAGCCAGACGCGCGTCGATCGGAGCGGCAAGGAGCACAGCACTGCCCAAAACATTGGCGCCAGATACGGCCGCAAGAGAATAAAGTTAAAGTACATGAGCAACACAAACAAGCCGCCGAGAATGTTGACCGTGAGGCTCAGAAGCGCCGAGGTCAGCATGCGCGACTGCTCAGGATTGAGGCCCAGGCTGAGCGGCGCAGAGTTTGCAGCATCGGCCCCGCTCTGGGATGGGTCTGTCTGAGCAGCTGGGTGCGACGCCATGTTGGATGCGAACGAAGCAGCGTGGCCACCGAGCCGACTGGCCAAATCCCCGAGCAGCGTCTGTGAATGCACGTAGAAAGCTTGTTCGCGCGGATGCATCTGCAGCGATCGACGAGATCAACTGGTGCTCAAACCCTGGCGGCGATGCCATTGTGAAGTGGTGGAACTGCGCGGCAGCCATCCCATCGAGACTGACTCCAGCAGCACCAGCAGCACCAGCAGCAGCACCAGCAGTACTAGTAGAAGCAGCAGACGGCGACGCCCATGCAGAGTGCTGGCTCGGTGGTGCGAACGAGTACCAACCAGGCGAACTTACTGCTTGAGCGGCATTGTGAAGAAACTGGGGTCCTGCTGGCGATGAGACAAACACGCCCGACGGAATCAGAGGCGGAGGAGGATGCTGCTGCTGCTGGACGGGCTGCGCTAGTGGTGGTGGCTGCTGCTGGTGGTGGTGCTGGTGGTGGAGCACGGCGGGACTGCTGGCTGCTGAGAAAGCCGACGGCATCGGATGGTGGTGCTGCACGACAATCTGCGCGGGCGTCCCTGGTGCGCCGCCGCCGTAGTAGACGTGGTAGACGAGGCTGCTGCCTGGATGTGGCGGCACTGGCACTGGCACTGGCACTGGCGCTGCAGTGGATGCAGGCGGGGACGTAGGCACACCCGCCATGTTTTGTCCTGCTTTTGGTCCTGTCAAATCCGGATTTGTTCTGTTTCTGAGAGCGTACGAACAAAGAACAAAGAATGAGTGAGAAGCAGAAGAAGTATTAACACAAGAAGTTTCGAGTGTACTGCATGATCACAATGTCGTGTGTTGCGTCGACCAAACAGACACACAGCAAAACTGAACAACAAGCTTATTCTGTAACCCCAACACGCTATGGTGCGGCCGTAGCTCCGACTCGATCCTGTATGTTGTACAACATGCAACATGCGCTCCTGAGACGGAGGAGCGCGCAGCAACAACCAGCAATACAGTATGACAGTCTCACAATTTTTGGCGCCAAAAACAAAAGAACAGAAACCAACATTCTCAGTCAACATCTTTTATCTGCACTAAGAGCGGGAGATTTGAGTTGTTGTTGTTGTTCAGTCAAACCCGACCTTTTAAAAAAAAATTTCTTATTCTGCCTTTGCTTTGTTTTCGTTTTTGTTTTTTTCTTCATTTCTCAGACAAAAACGCAGTTGTTTTTTTTTCTTTCTTTTTTTGTTTTTTTTTACAGCTCTTTCCATTGCAAAGCGAGCCAACACAGCGACTTGAATTGTTCTCACCCCACCCCCACACACCCCTCTCAGCATCAACCAAAACCACCGCAGAGTGAGAGCGTGCCAATCGAGAAAAAGGAGAAGCCCCCAAACCCAGCTCAAAGCGAATCACAGGCACAGGCGCAGGCGCAGGCGTGAAGGTTCAGCGAGATATGGAGGCAGCGAGCGCAGCCGCAGCGTCTGGCTCTGACCCTGGGCCTGGTCCTGGCTCTGGGTCTGGGTCTGGCTCTGGGTCTGGCTCTGGCTTGACCGAGTACGCTGGGGTCGCTGGGGTCGCTGCTGCTCACCGTGGAATTGGCTCGAGCAATGCTTCAGGCGGCACCAGCACCAGCACCAGCACCAGCACCGCATCGTCGTCGTCATTGGTGCATGCTGATGCCATGTCTGGCATGCCACCGGGGTCGTCGTCGTCGTCGTGCTCGGCTGCAGAGTCGTCGTTCAAGCCGCCTGCTTCCTCAAATCTTCCCAATATCAACAGCAGCAGCACTGCGTCCCCGTCCTGTGGTGCAACCGTCGCCCCCGCGTCCCCTGCAGCACCAGCACCTGCACCTGCAGCACTCGATACTGCGCGCCAAGAGCCCCAGCACACCGGGCGGAGCTCGTCCAGCAGCAGCCCAATAAGTAGTGCCAGTCATCACATTGGCCCGTCACACCAGCCGTCGTCAATGACGATGATGATGATGGTGAGGTCTGACACCACCAGCTCAGATAATGCTAGCAGCACTGCAGGGATTAATCCGCCGACTCAGCTTGGGCGGGTGGCAAGCAAGACCACGGTCGCAGTCCAGTCACCAACCCCGCCACCGCAAGAAGTCCACCCTGCAGCGACCATGCCAACAGAACAATCATCGTCGCCGTCATTGGGAACACCTGCTGCGGATGCTGCTGATGCTGATGCTGATGCAGTCGCCGCAACGGCGTCGTCGGACGTCGCACCCGAACAGGCTTGGACTGCTCAAGCAGAGTATGCACTGCCAGTGATCACGTACTCGGATGGCGGCCACGAGCGATCGCTGTCTGATTTGAGCGAGTCCCGCGACCACCAGCATTTGGATGTGCTGCACCTACAACGCGGCCGCAGTCGGCACCGAAGTAACAGCGCCTCGAGCGACGCCAGCTTTTTCAGCAACTCCAGCCTCCTCACAACCGTTAGCACGAGCAGCCTCGAGTCAACCACAAGCGAGGATCACAGTGACATGGAGGCGCTCCATCGGGAACCCCTCTCACCGTCAGCCCGCTTCAGGTATATGCAACACAGCGAAAACCCATCATCCGCAAGCTCTGAAACCTCGCTCGCCGTGTCCCACCTTCGCGACGACAGCACAGACTCGACAACTTGGGCCAGCGGCCACTTTACATCCTCCGAAGCGCTCAGCGATCACCATTCTTCCCCACGGCAACACGCAAGCAGACGCCCTTGGCTGGCCGAGCATTCAGCCAGCGATCCATCCTGGGTGCCAAGGCGCACACGCTATTCCTATCTGCAATCCCTCGAGCACAACTTGTTGCCATCGGACGAGAACGGTGGCAGTGGTGCCCAACAGCATCAACAACAACAGCAACAATCTGCGCCCAAGCAACCTGGTGGACCAACTCCCACCTCGACATCCACTTCTCCCACGACCTTGCAGCTGACGGAAGCCGCCGAGGCCGTGATTGCATCAATACGACGAAATAGCCAGTCGTCGCGTGACGCAAGCAGCCAAGTACCAGCCGACGGCGCATTATCAGCAGCAGCAGCAGCAGCAGCAGCAGCAGCGATCGGAAGCTCGTCGGTGCGACCACATCACCAGCGGCGGCAATCGCATTCCAATTCCGATTTCGACCATCCCGCCTTGGTAACGCCAGTTAGCTTGGACAGGGAGAGCGAAGACGATGACGACACGCTTGGTCCATTTCCATTACCAACAAACAATCTCTCCACGCGCTCGTCGTTCGACGCTGCTGTGGGCAGTGGATTTCAACCGGTGGCGGCATCTCGCGTCCGCTCCCGCTTGCAGTCCCCCAGTGGCGGCATTTCACTCGTGGAGCGCCTGCAACAAACGTCGGGACTGCGCGTGATTGAGGACGACGAGCCGCCAGAACACGGCGAGCGACGTCTCGGCATGCGCCTGTCCAATACCAGCATGGACCAACCCATCGATCTGAGTGCTGCGATTGGCATTGATCTCGATCGTTCCACGGGCCTCAAGCGCGATGACGAGTTTGCGTATGAAAGCGGGCGGCCCCGCTGCACCTCCCTCACCATCCTTCCATCTCAGCTATCGCGCCAAGGCTCAGGGGAGATTCAGGCGGCGAGCTTTGCGCAACAGCTGCCATCTGTCACGTCCATTGCTGACGATCGTGACTTTAACACTTTGGCATCCTCCGCCGACCTGTATCCATCCTCCTCCGTTCTGGACGAATCGCGATCGCCATCCATTTCGAGCGGCCCGAGAACGCCACAGACACCGCTTGATCACTCATCGAGCGCCTCGAATTTCCCTGCGCTCACGTCGCCCGCGAGACGCGCGCCTGTCACCTTCCAAAGCGACTCGAGGGACTCGTCCACGCATTTCAGCGAGTCGGATGCCTCGCCATCCGCGTCTAAGGCGGCTTCGGAAGTTGCCACCTCGCTCCTGGCCCAGAAGCGGGCAGCAAGTCGCCAAATGTCGCTTCCAGTGCGTTCGCGTGTGCTCGCACCCGACGCTTCAGTCGACGTGTTTTCCAGCCCGAGCAATCTCATGTCGCCGCCACCGACCCAGCTGCGTCGAGATAGCACGGCATCCTCGGTTGGCGTCGCGTCCCCGCTGTACATTGCCTCGCAGCATGCGCATGCTTTTGACAACATCCCCCCGACGCCGCCGGGTCTGGTCGGTCGCGACTTTTTGTCACACGGCCGGCACGACTCGCATGGCGAAATGGATGTCCAGTCTCCATCTGCGATGGCGGCCATGCGCGAAATCGAAGAATCCCTTCTGGCCAACCAGTACATTGTTAAATTTTCTGATTTGACGCTCGAGCACGAGGTGAGTCGTGATCAAAAGGGGGTGATGACGTTTGTTTGTAGTTTTGAAGGGTTGAACAAGGGAGACGTGGAGGATGCAGTTATTGCTCGTGAAATGTCTCACCTCATGGATTGGTGGCTGCTGCCTTTTTACCTGATGCGACACAGCTGGGTCGAGGAAGCTTTGGTGTCGTGTACAAAGGGCGGTTACACGGCTCGCCGATTGCTGTGAAACGACTGCTGCTGAACATGCCCGAGAAGCTGCTGAAGGAGTTCAATGCCGAGGTGTCTGTGATGCGGTACGTGCTCAATTGGTCTGAGTGAGGCGGGATTTTGTTTCTCACAGTTTGTTTCTTCCATTTCTGTGTGTGTGTCTTTTGCATGCTTCATCTCTGTGCGTGTATGACGCAGCCGGCTCCACCATCCGAATGTCATCTTGTTTATCGGTGCGACCGTCTCACCCGACCCGCTGTGCATCATCACCGAGTATGTCAGCAAAGGCACGCTCGATGGTATCCTGAATGACGACGGCCAAGTGATTGATCCCAACCGTAAGCGGGTTTCCACAGGATTGCAAGTCTTTGTGCGCGGCAAGGCGATTTCCTAACCTTTTGTGTGCTTTTTTTTTTTTGTTTGTTTGTTTCAATTCATCAGGGAGACTGCGCTTCTCGTTGGACATTGCGCGTGGCATGAGTTGGCTTCATCACTACGGTATCATCCACTCTGATCTCAAGCCCACAAACATTTTGGTCTCGGAAAATGACAACTGCAAGGTACTGACGCCTTACTCTTGCGCATGAAGAGGGCTGCAAAAACATTCCTGGTTGTTGTGCTTCATTTTTTTTGTTCCATTTTGTTTGGCGTTCGACAGGTCGGCGATTTCGGTTTGAGTAAAATGGTCAATTACAATCGCATGTCCGTCAGCAACACTGGAGGCGGTGGCACTGTTGCCTACACGGTAAGTTGCGTTCGATGCGATGCGATCGATCGATAGTTTGTTCCGGATGTATGTCTGGGTCGTCGAACTCGGGGACCAAGGATCACCCTGACCTCTTCTGACTCTGAACTCCATGACAGGCACCTGAGGTCATCCGTGGAGAGCGACTCACAGTCAAAGTGGATGTGTACGCGTATGCAATTTGCATGTGGCAAATTATCACGCGATCCCAACCCTACTCTGGGATGCACTCGCACGCAGTCTGCTTTGCCGTGGTTGCACGTAATATGCGCCCTCCTGTTCCTCAGACCGCTGAAGAACCCTATCTCGCTCTTATGATCAAGTATGTACACTTTGCTGCTTCTTTTGGTTGCTGTCGTCGCTTGCAAGACTGGATTTTCGTTTGCCGAAACCACTCAACTCTTCGCTCCGGCTTGTTTTTTCGTTTTCGTTTTGTTTTGTACCTTCTCCGCGTCACCCCCAAACCCGCGCTTTTCCTTCCACTCTAGTTGCTGGGCCCCAAATCCCAGTGATCGACCGGATTTCGATTCCATCAACACCACTCTCACCACGATCGAACAGAACCTGCTGACGCAAAACGACCAGCTCATTTTGATGAACAGCTCCAGTCTGTTCCAGGCCTCTCCAAGCCACAGCGACAATCCGACCAGCTGGACTGGAGAACAGGTGGCGGTTTGGCTTGACATGAAAGGATACTCGGCCTACATCAACGCCTTTATGGATGCGGAAATCAGCGGCCGCGTCCTGCTCACGCTCACAGAGGCCGATCTCAAGGGCGAGCTTGGTGTTGCTTCTTTCGGCAAGCGCCGGGAGCTTTTGCTCGACATTGACGAGTTGCGCCAGCTTGCGGGCCAGCTGGAAGAGTCCATCAGGCTGCTCGCAGACGACCGCGACCCCAGCAACGGCAACGGCAACGGCATTCCCTTGTCCATTTCCCCGACCGGTCAGCTCTCGCCGGCAGCGCCGAGGTCGCGCACTTCCATTGGCTCCATTACTTCGCTCCCGGCCATTACGGCTGGGGCGATCGGAACCTTGAGTGCTCCCACCTCAAACACTATTCTGGCTGCGCTTCCGGAAGGTATCGCGGTTCACGTCCAGCAGCCCTCGACGGACGACACTGTGCGCAACAACACTCAGAGCCCCAACGCAGCCCCGTTCCGTCCAAAGAGTTTGTCGCTCAGCCGTGCGCCTTCGTCCTCGGTGCTTCCCCAGGGCGCTGAAAAGCATGACGTGCATGTTTTGGTCCGCTCCGGCTCTAGCACCTCGCTGGCGCGTGCCTCGTTCACGAGTCTGTCTCGAGCTCCTTCCCACCACGGTCTGCATTCAGGCTCTCAACTCTCCAAGACCGCCGAACCTCGAGTAAGGAAGGCGTGTTTCCGGCCGACCTGCGTTGCTGGTGTTGTTGGTTTGGGTGATTTTTTTTGTTTTGTTTTGTTTTGTCGTGTTGTGTTGTGTTTTTTTTTTCTGGTCGTGATTGTCGCTCACATTTGCTTTGCCTTGCTGCCCCCCCCCCTCCCCTCTTCCTTTTCTTGCAGAAAATTGCCGTGTTGAAGCGCGTCGCATCCGCCGGCAAACTGGCCTACCTCTTCCGATCACACGATTTGTCGGAAGACGACCTGCCGAAAGCCAAGACCGCCGCCCCAGTGACACTGTGCGACGTGTGTCGAATGCCACTGGCTGCCGTGGTCGATCGTCTGCTCAAGTGCCGTGGCTGCGGTTTGCGATGCCACTTTGAGTGCTACCCCGAGATTGCGCACACTTGCCTCATTCTTTCCACCTACGCCGCCAAGCAACTTCAACTTGCCAACGAGCCGGTGCCTGCCATTGCACCCGCTGCGAGCACTGATACCCACACCGATGGCAGCGCGGCGAAGGCAAACAAAACAGGAATGGCTTCGTCGCCCTTGCCTGGCAAACCCAAAAACAAGGGGTCGTTTTTCAGCATTCGCAGCGGCTTTCCCTCAAGCGCCAATTCTGGCGCTTCTTCGGCGGCAACGGCTGGTGCCACCAGTACTGCAAACGCATCGTCTGGAGCAGCGTCTGTTGCCGCGCCAGCGGCGGCTGTCACCGAGTCGGACGCTGTGGTCGGCCCGCCCTCGACCAAGCAGTACATGGCGTTAGTCACCAGTCCGTCTGCCGAAAACATTGGCTTTGGGACAAAGCCGGAAAGCATTGTTGACATTTTGGTGGAGCTCTTGATGACCATCAAGGACGGCCAGGCGCTCTACAACGCCGGTCGCCACAAAAAGTGCTACGAGCTGTACAAGACGGTCGCCAAACGGCTCACGATCAGCTGCACCACCGATTTGAACAACATCTTGATGGCGCATCCCGACAAGATCAAGCTGGCCGTGCAGCTCACGCCCTTTTCGTCAAAGTTTGCGCCGCCTGGACCCATGTCGCGCGCGCTTCCATTCGCTGCGCTTCTCAGCCAGGCCGAGGCGGTTGAAAAGACCAAATCCTCGACGTTGGGCGGCGAAATTGTGCGATCCTTGTCCATGCAACCTGGCGAGACGCGCCCCCCGCGCGAGCCCAGCCAGACGATGCCGCCAATGTCGGTTGCTGACGTGCACAAGCACCGGGCCCAGCTGTTTGCCCGCAAGAAGACCAACCGGAGTCTCGGCGGCGAGGACCAAATCAAGGCATGGCTGTCGTCTGACAACATTACGGCCAACATGATGACGTACAAGCAAGAGCGCCAGCAAGAACTGGAGACCAAGCCCGCCAGCAAGCCGTCCAGGACGCCGTTGTCCTTGCAGTCATCGGTCGGGTCCAACGACGGGGGTGATTTGGCGAGCGGCGACAGCCACGATCAACCGCTTGCGTCGCCGGTGAGCTCTAGTGGATCCTTCTCCACCCACAGTACCGATTTCCCGGACTCGCACACTTCGCCAGTGACTGTGCGATCACACTCGTTCTCGTCAATGTCGCACTACAACGTTGGTGGAGACGCCACGAAAGCGGCGCGCACTGCGCTCAAGAAAGTTCGCGACGAGGAGCGCGAGCGTGACAAGGAGCGCGAGAAGGAACGTGAGCGCGACCTCGCCGAGCGCGAGAAGCGCGAAAAGAAGGAGCGCAAAGAGCGTGAAAAGGAAGAACGTCGCCGCGAGAAGGAACTTCGTGAAAAGGAGCTTCACGAGAAGGAGGAGCGCGAGCGCGAAAAGGAAAAGGAGCGAGAGCGCGAAAAAGAAGAGCGCCGCCGTCGCGAGAAGGAGGCTAGGACTTCCATGGCTGGAGCCATTCCTCCCACCAGCCCAACTGGCGTATCTTCAGTGCCGCGAGCGCTTGGGCTGCACATTCCCCGCAGTTCATCCAACACCATCTTGAGCACACACGCAGCGCACCCGTTTGTGGTGAATGCCATCTACACTCAGCCCGCGCCTCCGTCTCCCTCGCTTGTGGGTGCGACTGGCTCGACTGCTGCTCTCGATTTGGAAAGCACGTTGCAGCTCTCAGCGGTCGACGCGAGCATCCCGACTTCCGTCAAGCGGCAAAGCTGCGAGGTTGACTGGGCACCGCCAGCCAAGGCCGCCGCCATTCTGGGCATTCAGTCCATGCTTGCGCCTGCAGATCAGGCTGCCCTGGCGACCGAGCGGCCGAAAGGCGGCCCGCCCACTGCGCCAAACTCGGCCCCCATGCAAAAGTCGTCTTCTGCCGTCAATCTGCCAATCCCGCAAGACATGCCGGTCCCGCCGTCGCCCACTCTGGCTGCCCTCTCGTCCGAGCCTTTGCCAACGACCTCCCATGCGGCATCTACCGCTGGCGCGGCCGATACCCATCCAGTAGCGGGCAGGTTGTTTTCGGGCTCGTTCTGGGGTGGCGTGATTGGCAAGAAGACGTCGCGGACGTCTGTCAGCTCGCCCGCAGCCGCAACGATTCAATCGCAGTCCAGCACTTCGCTCGCTCTGGTAAATGTCCCCTCGACCGGAGAGACGAGCAGCACTGCTTCGGCAGATTCAGCAACAGCACGCCCGCCCGCCGACACCTCGCCCTCCAACGCTACGTCGACAGGATTGTCCGGCGGGCGCTCTACGCAAGACCTGCATCATCCCACCCCGCCTCCAAACCCGGCCAAGCTGTTTGCAACCACCCTGCTTGCCCCTGGCGGGCTGCTGTCCACGCGGCGGCGCTCAGTGGAGTCCATTTCGTACAATCCGACGCTCGTCACATTCCCGGCCGCAGCCGTCACATCCAAGCCGGTCTTTCGTCGCCCAATGTTTGGAACGAGCATCATCAAGGAGCGCTCAGCGTCCACCGACGACGGTAGTGCCACACCGAGCACCGCTGCTGCTGCGCTTGTCACCGCCGCGAGTGCGGATGCGTCCGCGCAGTCTGCCAAAGTGCTCCGAGGTGGCTCGTCGTCCAGAATCCGCCGGCCGTCCTTTTCCAGCTCGTCAGAGGCCCCGTCCATCGCCGAGCGCGTGTCGTCTCCACCGCCACTAGCAAGCTTTGTCACCTCGATTGCCGGCAGTGGCCATCCAGTAGCGCTGCACACATCCTCGTTCCCGCCCCTCTCGCCGACCGTGGAGCTGCCATCAACCCCAACCTCTCCGGCGGCGCAGCCTCAGCAACAACCGCAACTGCCACAACAGCAACAGCAGCAACAACAACAACAACTTCCACAACAACTGTCCTTGGTCGAACCGCTGTCCGTATCGGTTCTCAATCGTCCGTCTTTGGACGAGTTCTTTGTCTTTGCTTGCAAGCTTGTGGTTCACTTATCGTTCGCACTTCAACGTCTGGACAAGCGCTCGCGCAGCTGGGAGAATGCTCTCCTGCTCAAATCTGCGTTTGACATTGTTTTGTATCGCGAAGGCGTCTACCCGGCCTCGGATGCCAACCAGCAAGAGCAATCTCTCGACTTTAAGGACCTCAAGGCTGACGGCTTTGTTGAAGTTGTTCGATTGTGAAGGATGGTTGTTGTGTTGTTGTGGTGTTTTTCGTTCGCTTTATTTATTGTTATTCTTCTCCTGCATAGATGTAAATGTATTCTTCGGTTTCTTTGTTTCTATTCTTCTTGAACGGTTTCGCGTTGACTCATGGACATTGTGTGTCATTTCTGAGCCACTCTTTCTCTTTCTCTGCGACAATGCCTTCCAAACTCATCAACAATCCTGCGAATGTAACGTTTTCGAGCCGCGCGACTTTGACGATGGAAAATTTGCTGTTCACTGTGACTTGTTCTGTTAATTCTATCATTCTGCTTTGCGCAATCACTGCTCGGTTGTAGGCAGTGGATGAGGCGCTGGACGGCGTCGTTGCTGCCGCTCAGCACCGCTTGGCACGACTCGCTGCTCCGTTCCGCCGCGTCGTTGTGCGCCGTGATGCCACCCACGCTCGATCAGATCGCGTAATGCTTGTCTCTGGCGGTGGGTCTGGCCACGAGCCCGCTCATGTCGGTTACGTGGGTCGCGGCATGCTCAGCGCTGCAGTCTGTGGCGACGTGTTTGCCTCGCCCCCAACGGCCAATGTGCTCGCTGCCATCCAGGCGTGAGTGATTCGACCTTGTTTGTCATTTTGACAGTATAAAGTGGTGAAGAGTTGAATGTCGGCAAGCACTGTCGTTATTTTTTCCACTTGGCGCTCACGAATTCCGATTTCTGATTCTTGTTGATCTTGCTCGGGTCGGTCAGCGTCACAGGTCGGCACGGAACGCTGGTCATCATCAAGAATTACACGGGCGATCGACTGAATTTCGGACTGGCCGTCGAGCAAGCACGAACCTCCGGGCTCAAAGTGGATGTCGTCGTTGTTGGCGACGATGTGGCGTTGAAGAGCGCGAACGAACTCGCAGGTCGTCGCGGTCTGGCGGGGACGGTGTTTGTCCACAAAGTTGCCGGAGCGCTAGCCGACGCAGGGTGCGGAATGCTCATTTTGCTGGTTGTTGCTTTGGCGGGAATTGCGCGTGCTCAATTTTTGCACAATTTCAAATCCTGGATCAGAAACCCGCTGCAAGCTGTGGCGCATGGAGCTCGGATCGCCGCCCAACAAGTTGCAACCATGGGCGCATCGTTGTCGTCATGCTCGCTACCCGGGAAAGAACCGACCTTTACCGTCAAGGACGGAGAGATGGAATTGGGACTGGGTACGATCATGAACGAAAAGGAAAAGGCAGTGAAAGAATATCTCGAGACAACTCTGACGGTTGGTTGGCTGTGGTTTTTGATAATAGGCATCCATGGCGAGCCTGGAGCGCTCACCACCTCCGTCAAAACAGCCGATCAACTTGTGGAGACGTTGCTCGATCGCATTGGCCAAGTGGGTTCGGCTGGATTGTCGTCATTCCTTGAGGCTGAAGCCCCTGTCGCCTTGCTCGTGAATAATCTGGGAGGCACAAGCAACTTGGAGCTGAGTGTTGTTGTGAATGCCGCTGTGCGACGACTTCGTGAGTAGAGGCTGAGCGCGTGCTTGGGGAGCTGCCAATGGTGCTCATCGTCTTGGATACACTATTGGGCAGAAACACATTATCGAGTCAAAGTTGAACGCGTCTACGCAGGCGCGTTTATGACCTCGCTTGAGATGGCTGGCATCTCGTTGACCGTGTTGCGACTCGACTTGGCCGAACCAGTCGCAGGGCTGACCTCGCTCGCTCCGCTGTTGGACGCTGCAACGGAGGCGTCGGCTTGGCCTGCCACCTTTGCCTCCTCAACGGTGGTAGAGTCCGGAGACATGCCACTCAATCCATGGATCCAAGTCCCAACGCAAGCTTCAGATGCTCCGGCTCAAGACGGTGGCAGTCCTTTGACTGAACTGACACCTCAAGGTGAGTGCAATCCGGGTTTTTAATTTGTGACGACTGCAAAAACAGCTCACCACACAATCGCGCATCCGAAATGCAAATGACCGCAGGGAAAGCCATGTCCTCTCTGCTCCAGGCGATGGCACAGGCACTGGTTGATGCGGCTCCAGAACTTGATCGTCTCGATCGGTTGGCGGGAGACGGTGATTGCGGTGAAACGTTCAAGCGCGGAGCCATTGGTACGCGGATGCGTCGTAATTCCTGAAAAGCGGTTTTTGGCAGCGCTCAATCTCACTCCTTGTGTTGTGATCTGTTTTTTTTTTATTTCTGGCTGTGCCGTCAAACTCATGCTCAGCTATTCAACAAGCTTTGAGCCATCCAACGTCAGACCTCACGAGAATGCTGAACGAATCACCAAAGGAACTGCTGAGCTGGATTGCGTCGACCTTGCACTCGGCCATGGGAGGTTCGTCCGGTGTGCTCTATAGCATCGGATTACATGCTGCTGCACAGTCGCTACAGGCCACTCAAGGCAGCAGCCCACAGCCGCGTGACTGGCTCGGTGCGCTTTCGCGCGCGATTGAAGCAATCCAGCGTCACGGCGGTGCCGCTTTTGGAGATCGGACCATGCTGGATGCGCTTGGTCCTGCATTGCAGGCTGGATTCACTGCGATCGGTGCGTTTTCCTCGGTTGAAGGCGGTGCGGCAGTGGTGCAAGCAATGGCATCGGCTGCTCGAGCGGGCGTTGAACGCACGGCCACCATGAACGCCGTTGCCGGGCGGGCCTCCTACCTTCCCCATGTTCATTCCGCGGATGCCGGTGCCAATGCCGTCGCCGTGTGGCTGCAAGCCATGTATGCAGCGCTGTCCCAAGCGTGAAGCGTTGTGTCGTTACTTTTGGAATTGGCGTTCATCACTGATTCACTTTTTTGTTGTTATTTTCAAATCTGAACTCATGTTGTTCGCCCTCATTTCATTGATAGCATGCCGTTTCATTCTTATTGCTTTTTGCATAGCTGAGCATTTCCTTCTTTAGAATTTACTTTCATTCCTCTTTTTTTTTTTAAAAAAAAATCTCTTCTTCTTTGAATAAAAATGGCGGGTAACGGCAAACTGAGCAAGTTCCCGGCTGTCGCTGCCGCGCTGCAGGTCATGCTGCTCGTCTTCTTTGCGTGCTTTGTTGCGTATGGCCACGACGCGTCCAACTATGCCGACACGGACAATGCCGCCGCCTCGGCTGCGATGGTCTTCAAGTACGGCAAGTTCCAAGACGTCCATGTGGTAAGTTTGGATGACTCGTTTTTGCGCAGAAAAATGAGAGCAGAAAATTGGCGGATTTTTACGTTTTCAATGCTCGTTGCACAATGCTCGAGGAAGGGAGAGAATGTAGCGCGAAGAAGAAGAGTTAGATGGTGGATGTGCTCATGAACATTGAACACACTGAAAGATGAGCTCAACCGAGCGAGATACAGCGATAGAAAGACAGAGGCGTGACCTTTTTTTTTGCTTTTTTTTTAAAACATACAATAAAAAATCCATGCTAACTCTTTGCTTTGCTGTTGCTCTTTCTTGTAGATGATGTTGATTGGCTTTGGCTTCCTGATGACCTTCCTGAAGAAGCACGCCTTCACTGCAGTCGGCGTCAACTTCTTCCTGACTGCGTTTGTCCTCCAATGGGTGACGCTGACGAACGGCTTCTTTGAGAAGCTCTGGGAGGGTCACGACGCGCTCGACCATAAGATTGAGTTTAGCATCCTCACGTAAGTTTCCGCATTCGCTCTCTCTCTCTCGCTCTGTTGCGCACCCGTCCCCCCTTTCTCTTCTTCTTCTTCTTCTTTCTTTACATCCCACTACGCAATGACGTAGCTCTCCTGAGAGAGCAGATTTTGCCTTTTTTTTTCTTTTTTTTCTTTTTTTTAACTGTTGTGCAAGCCAAGAATGCCAACCTCGTTTCCATGTGCTTTGCTTTGCTTTTTTTTTTTCTTGTTGGGGGACTTTGACTCGCTCCTCCGCCGTTCTCTCTCGTTCTCCTTCTTTCTCTCTTTCTCTTTCTCCTTCTCTCTCGCTTTGAAGTGTGTTTCTTCAACCCTTTTTCTTTCTTTTTTCTTTCTTTTGCTTTCTTTTTCTTTGCATTGTTGTGGATCTTCAGCAAAAAAACGAAAAACGGGGCACTTTTTAACAGTTAAAATTTGACCAAACGAACAAACGAGCCTTTTATCGTTTTTATTTTATTGTTGTCACTTTTTGATGGTGTTTTGTGAGTGCGGCGGGAGTGCGTGCGACTGCGTAGACACTGCAACCGAGTGTGTAGCAATGGTGTCTAGCAGATGCGCTGCGGAACAAGCACCCACACAATCTGAGCATCCGAAAAGCGCACAAATCTCGTCCCATTTTGAATGCGGCGTGACTTTTGTTTGGTTTTTTTCCGTCCATTTTTTTTTTTCCTTAATCCCGCCCATCCCCTCGCTTTGCCTTCCTCTCAATGTGGAAGTTCAAAGTTGCGCGAATTTCGGCCATTGTGTGCATCACCCTCAGCATTGGCCGGGTTTTAAGTGCTGCAGCAGGCCGAAAATGGTGGGTGTCACATTGTCAGTGTGACAACATGGTGCTTGACTGTGATTGGAGCACTGAAATCGCTCTGGCTCTGACCCCCCCCCCTCTCTCACTCACTCACACTCACACTCTACCACGTTCCCCAAAATCATAAAATCATGCGCTTGTGATGATGTTTCGAACAACCAATTTTGCTCACGTTCCGACGGTCGGTCTCACGACAACAACAATAGAATGATCAACTCGGACTTTGGTGTCGCCGCCGTGCTCATCTCGTTCGGTGCGGTTATCGGCAAGGCTTCGCCGCTCCAGCTTGTCACCATGGCTTTCTTTGAGTGCATTTTCTACTCGGGCAACATTGTAAGGCGGCGGAGGGACCAAAAAAAAAAAATCGGAAAAATGCGATTCGCGTCGCTTGGCGTGTTTTCGTGTGTTTGTTCACCGTGGTTGTTCCTCACAATCTCTGTTCTGCGTAGATCCTTTGCATCTTCAAGTTCAACGTTGTCGACATTGGTGGCTCCATTGCCATTCACACGTTCGGCGCGTACTTTGGCCTGGCCGTTTCGTACATGATTACAACCCCGAAGGCACGAAACAACAAGAACAACGGTTCCATGTACTACAACGATCTGTTCGCCATGATCGGCACCCTCTTCTTGTGGATGTTCTGGCCCAGCTTCAACGGTGCCCTTGCCTCTGGCTCGGCCGAGCACCGCGTTATGACCAACACCCTTCTCTCGCTCTGCGGCTGCTGCGTCTCTACTTTTATCTTCTCCATGCTCCTCCGTCAAGGCCACAAGTTTGATATGGTCAGGATTGCGGCGACCACGGGGCTAGTTTTCGATGGATGTAGAGGCATATTTGCTCACCCCGGTTTCTTTTTCTTTTTTTCTTGGGGGTTTTTTTTTCACACACACGATTGCAGGTCGATATTCAAAACGCCACTCTGGCTGGCGGTGTTGCTGTTGGCGCTTGTGCCAACCTTGTTATTCAACCTTGGGGCGCACTTCTTATCGGCATTGTCGCTGGCTTTGTTTCCGTTTTCGGCTACACTCGCATCCAGGTATTGAAAAATTGGTGGTTTTTGGCTGGATGATTTGACCTTGATGCTTTGGAGGGCCTTTTTGTTGTTTTAACTCAATGCGAATTCGCTTGATGCTTGGTAGGGTATGCTTGAAGAGAAGATTGGCCTGCATGACACTTGCGGTGTGCACAACTTGCACGGCATGCCCGGTCTGCTCGGTGGTATTGCTTCTGCCTGCGCCGCCGCTGCCGCTGATACTTCCACCTACACTGTTAGGTACGTTTTTAGATTGTTGCAATCGGTTGATGGATGCTTGAATGTGTCAGCAGGTAGCTCACTTTTTGCGTTTTGGTTTGCGTTGTTGTTTGTTTTTTGTCTGTTTCTGTCCTTTGTTGCTTGCAGCGGTATTCTTGCCAACTTCCCAGACCCGATCGATCGCAGCCAGTATGTGCAGGGCGGCTACCAACTGCTTTCCGTGTTTGTCACGGCCGGCATTGCCATCGTGTGCGGCCTGTTTGTTGGATGGATTATCCGTCGCCCGTGGTTTGAGCCCCCGGAAACCAACTTCAACGACGAAGAGTTCTGGCACGTGCCTCTTGGTACTGAAGATGACGACCCGGAGATGGACCCTGCCAAGATTCGCGAGATGAAGTTGGCCAAGCCGCAGATGAACGCCCGCTCGAACAACTTCAACACCGCCATGCGACGAAAGGGCCCTGGCGCATCCAACAACACGATGCGTCTCTCGGCCACCACCTTTGGAGCAAGCCAGCCAGTCAAGGACCCCGCCGCAGATCGCGTTATGGCCGCAAATGCCGCCTGGGACAACCCGCTCAACCGCGGCAGTCTCGACGTCCCTGGACGCGGTCCTTCTATTATCGTCGAGTCTAGCGATGATATCATTGCCCAAAACTACAAGCTAGACATGGAAGCTGCCAACTAATGGGCTGTTTGTTTGTGGTTTGTTTTGGGGCCGAGGGGTCTTCTCCTCGTTTCATTGGTGCGCCGTTCTTTTACTTATTTCGTTTTTTTTTTCCTTTTTCTTCTCTTGTTCGCTCCTGGCTCTGCTTTGACGTTTGTTGAAGACTAAGGAGCAAAAGCTTTGTCATGGTTACTTGTCGTTTCGTCTGTGTTGTGAGCAATTGTCCATGTGTACGTGCAAGGATATGCAATTTTGTCACTTTCACCATAATCGTGTTTTCATGTTTCTCAACTTTGAGCAATCATCAAGGGGGTGAACACCGAAAGCGCAGCGAGCAGCGTTATTTGTTCTTCTTCGTCTCGGTAGATTTGGCGGCGGCGGCGGCGGCAGGCTTCTTGCCCCAGTAGAGCGCAAGCTGCAAAACAAGGACACTGTTGAAGAACGAGCTGGCAAGGACGATGGGGTCGCTGACCTGCTTGAGAGTAGTAAAGACGCGTCCAAGCGAACCACCGAGATTCATGGACAGAGTGACAGCCGACAGCTGGCCCGTGTGACCGTTGCGGAAGTTGGTGAGGATCTAAAAACGCAATCGGCGGGGTTTTCCATTGTGTGAGTGGCGAAACAAACAAAAAAAAACATAACAAAAAAAAAAAAACATAACCAAAAAAAAAAACATAACAAAAAAAAAAAATACAAGAAATGCCGATAAGGCGAGCGCCACCACCAACTTTGTACCTGGGGAATCTTGCTAACAGCGAAAACGGGAATGGTCGCCAGCAGCATGAACTTGAGGTGATCGCCAGAAACAAGGCCAGAGAAGATCGAGTAGGCAAGCGCAACTTCGAACAGGATGGCCAGGCCGCCAAGGACGTAGGCCTTCGAGAAGTGAACGAGGAGCAGCAGGAGAACGAACGACTGGATGGTCAAGAAGAGGTACTCGCCCCAGGTGCTGCACGAAATCCAACGCAAAGTGAGATGCAACCAAATAAAAAATAAAGCGTCCACGCATTCCTCCATCGGTCTTCAATTCGAAGACAAACCTGAAGGGATAGTTGAGCACAGCGTTGTAGCCGAAGGTGGTAATGTAACCAGCGAGCTCAAGAACGTTGGAGATCATGCTGATGCCCTCGGCGTTGCCAGCCTTGACAATCTTGAGGATTTGCGGGATCTTGACTGTCCAACGTTCACCGCAAAGCAAGACGCAAAACGGTAAGACAAAAGGTATACTTTCCAGTAGTCAATACTGCATCGGTGGTTCTCTCTTGTCGGTCCTGCATGGGGGCACGGGCCACACATCGATGCTTTCCGTTCGAATCTGGGGCGCACTGCTGCTCCGATCGCCAGCCGCGTCAGACTTCTCCAATCCATGGTGCTTACCAAAGACAGCGCCGAGGATGATGACGTAGCCGAGCATCTTGGCGAGCAGGTGGGACAGGCAGTCGACTGCTCAACCGCAAGAGTTCAGTTCAGTTCAGTTCAGCTCAGTTCAGTCCATCCCAGTTCAGTTCAGCTCATATCCATGGATCGATAGACAAGCTAGTTTACAGTTGGCAATGTTTTGCTTGACGACAAGCTCATCGAAGCAGTGCTCGCCGAGCAGAGTGACGAGGGATTGGGTGACGGTTTCCATTATGAGCGAGCAAAAAAAAGAAGGACTGATCATCTACATTACAGAGAGACAATCCGGATGTACCGGTCGGTTGGAACGACCAGGAGGAATACAAATGCAATGGGTTGGATCGTGTGTGCGTTGCTTGGAGAGTAGCGCTCCGATTTTCTCAGAATCGGAGCACCAGCGCCCAATGGCTGATTTTGACTGTTTCGAGGGGGGGGGTTGGATCTGATCGTGTGTTACGAGCAAACCCTGGCACCTCAGGTCCCACAGCCGGTTATGGATGGGTTATGATGGGATTCTCGTATTTAATACAAAATAACAAGAGTGGGTTAGACCCAAGGGGTCTTAACCGTAACAGTGTTGCTTGGAGAGTAGCGCTTGGATTTTCTCAGAATCGGCACTGATTTTGACTGTTTCGGTTTTTTGGATCAGTTCTTGTTTGCGCTTTCACAATGCTGTCGTATCAGAGTATGACTAAGCTACAGCGCATGCTGTATGACCAAGCCAAGAGTGCAAATGCATATTATGACCTCCTGTAAGAGAAAGCCCGAGTGTATTGGAGACAGCGGGACAGCGCGTGAGTGTGCTGATGAAGTGGACGAACAGGCTGCCGGGCCGAGTTGGCGTTGCAGGAGCGCAGGCCATTGCCGAGGGACTCAAAGTGAACACGACGTTGACTTCGCTCGAGTAAGCTGAATCTCGCTTATACTGAAACATTTGGAGGTGGGGGGGAGGGGCATTGAGAGTGGCTCACTGATGGGAGGGATGGATAGACTGATGGAGCATGATATTGGCAATGATGGCGCCAAGGCATTCGCTGAGGCACTCAAAGTGAACACGACGCTGACTACGCTCTCGTAAGGCATCTCACTTTGACTGATACATGAGAGTGGGTGAATCAGAAGAGTGCTCACTGAGGGAACAGTCTGCCACAGAATCAGATTGGAGACGCTGGAGCGCAAGCGATTGCTGAAGCACTCAAAGTGAACAACACTCTGACATTTCTGAGGCAAGGCATCTCACTTTGAATGATGCATGTGGGTGGGTGATTCAAAAGAGTGCTCACTGATAGAGGGGATGGACAGTCTGCCACAGAATCAGATTGGCCAAGGTGGAGCGCAGGCGATTGCTGAGGCGCTCAAAGTGAACAAGACGCTGACTCTGCTCATGTAAGTTATCTCCCTTTGACTGATGCATGTGAGTGACACCAGCAGAGAGCATTCAGAGTGCTCAAGGATGGAGGGGATGAACAGTCTGCGTGAGAATCAGATTGGCTCCGCTGGAGCGCAGGCAATTGCAGAGGCACTCAAAGTGAACACGACGCTGAAGGAGCTCCGGTAAGCCATTCCACTTTGACTGATGCATGAGACTGGGTGATTCAGAAGAGTGGTTCCTGATGAAGGGCATGGTCAGTTTGGATAAAAATCAGATTGGCGATGCTGGCACAAAAGCGATTGCTGAAGCACTCAAAATGAACAAGACGCTGACTAAGCTCAAGTAAGGGCATCTCACTGTTACTGAAGCATCCACGAGTGGGTCATCCAGCAGAGGGAATTCAGTGCTCACTGATAGAGGTGATGGACAGTTTGATTGGTAATCAGATTGGCGTTGCCGGAGCAGAGGCGATTGCAGAGGCACTCAAAAGGAACATGACGGTGCAGACGCTCTCGTAAGACATCTCACTTTGAATGGTGCATCCGAATGGCTGGTTTCAGCACGGCATTGAGCGTGCTCACTGATGGACGGAACGGACAGTTTGGAACGGAATCAGATTGGCGATGTTGGAGCTCGAGTGATTGCTAAGGCACTCGAAGCAAACATGGCGGTGACTACACTCTCGTAAGTCATCTCACGTTCACTGATGCACGTGAGTGGGTGCCAACAGAGCACAGTGAGAGTGCTCACTGATGGAGGAGACCGACAGTCTGTGTGAGAATCAGCTTGGCGATGCTGGAGCGCAAGTGTTAGCTGAGGTGCTCAAAGTGAACGCGACTCTGGCTGTGCTCTAGTACGGCATCTCACTCTAACTGATGCATGTGAGTGGCTGGTTTCAGCACGAGTGCTCATTGATGGACGGAACGGACAGTTTGCATGAGAATCAGCTTGGCGATGCTGGAGCGAAGGCCTTTGCTGAGGCACTCAGAGTCAACATGACAGTGCAAAGACTCGAGTAAGTTGCGGTGCGCTTGACTCGCCTTGGATATTGAGCCAGGTCAACAAGGGCCTTGTTGCGTTGCCATCCTCACTCTCGTTGAGCGACAGTCTAACGGGTAATTGCATTGGCAATCTTGGTGCTCAAGCGATCGATGAGGCACGGCAAGTGAACGACGAATGTCGCGTTAAGTAAGTTGCCCTTGTCAAAAGGAGCCGAGTGATGCTCATGGACTGTTTCTTCCCCCCCCCCAACCTATGGATTTGCGCTGGTGACTGTTAATTCATCTTGCTTGTTCTTCGCGCAGCATCGACCGCCAGATCAACCCTCTCACACTCTCCTTGCGTCCACGGTTGGCAACTGCTGAGGACATTCAGGCCGTGTTTCACCTGCTGACAGGCGGACCGGAGTTGGAAGCTCAACCCGCATCTCTACCGGCATTACCATTCGAGATTGCGGAGCCCATTATGGACGAAGCGCATTACTGGCAAGGCGTGCAAGATACCAAACAAGTGCACTTTGCTGACATTTTCCCCAAGCATCCGCTGAAAGTCACTGTGCCTCGAAGCATCGATGAAAATCCGATCCAAGTGAAAGCAATTCGCGTGATTCGTGAATGGAAGAAGCCTTCCCACAATGCTGGTGACAGCGTTGTTGAGTTGACTGTCCAAGATGAGCAAGGTGCTGTTCGATACAAATGTGTTGCGAACCCGACTTTGGTCGATTCCACCTTGGAGTTTGTGACGATTTGGCGTGCGGATCATCACATCATCCGAGAGATGCGCGAAGGTTGGAAAGTTCAACTTGTGCCCAGCGAGTTTTCCGACGAGTTCTTGTTTGAATCTCTTTATGTCGGATATGTCTAGTGGCAATCTCCAGCTCAAATAAACAAGCCAAGTTCTCAACCATTGTAACAATACGGCTTTAGTTACAGGTCCACCTCGGGCCAACAACCTGAGAGATGAATCTTGGCACTTGAGCGATTGGCTGGAACTTTTTCTTCGTGAATCGACAGTCCATTTTTTTCTTCGAATTGGGGGTTTTGGCTGCTGAAATGCCTCCGCGCTCATCAACCAAGTCCGCGCTGGTGTGTGCGAGTATTCTGGCGCTCGCCATGGCAGTGCAGGCGGTCGCCTACGACGCTTCGACCAGACCGCCTCAGCGCGTCGTCTTCCCGTGGATGGGTCTCGAGCGGACGCAGGAGAACATTCCGCAAGACCTCGCCACACTCCAGGCGCACAAGGATGTCATCCCGTGGGTGTCTTTCGAGCGATTCAACTTGGTACGCAGTGCCCTGGAGCTGAGTTGGTGTGCACTGGAGTTGAAGTGGGAGGCCGCCTTTTTTTGCCGCTAAACCAGGCTTTGCTCAACCTCGCTTTCCTTCTCTCTCCTCATGGCTGTATCGTGCGCTTCTTTGGTAGGGTCCCAATGGCACTTTTGTCATCAATGAACTCACGCAAGTGGGTCCGACGCTGATTGCTGAGGGCTTTGGTAAACAACATGTTTCGTTGTCAGTGTTGTGTTAATGCTCCGCATTGACAACGCACAATCCGCTTTGACAACTTGTCATCACAGGTACCTTCCCGATGATATCGAGCTTCCCCGATACCAATCCAAACCTCGAGTACACGCGGGAGGTTTGCGCAAACCCCGATCCGTTCATTGCCGACTTGGTCTTCAACCTGCTCAAATTCAACTACACTGGCGTCAATGTCGACATTGAGCCCGCGGGTGGCATTGGCACCTACCAAGATGCTGTTGCCTATGCAGGCTTTCTGGACAAGCTCAGCCGCGCGTTGCACCAGCACGGATTGACGGTGACGGTCGATATTGCAAGCTGGACGCCCGTTTGGAACTTTACGCTGCTCGCCGAGACGAGCGTCGATCTGTTCGTGACCATGGACACGTATACCTACAACCAAACGGCGTGGACCCACCTCTTTCAGAAGGCGCTCGATGCCTTCGGGCCGCATCGGCTGGGCGCAGGCATCATGACGGTGAACGCCGACAACAACCAACCGCTGTCGCCTGCTGATATCAAATTCCGGTTTGATGCGATTGTCGCCGCCAATGTGAATGTGATTGGCATTTGGTGCATGCCGATTCCCGATCAGTTCTGGCCCTTCATTGATGCGTACATGGCGGGCACGGCCATGCCCGAGTTGTGAGGGTGCTTTTTTTGTGTGTTCATGTTTTTGTTTTTGTTTTTCTTTTTGTGCCATCAATAATAGAAGGCGCGCAGTGCCGCATGAATGACGTTGCACAAAGAGTTGGGTTGTACCGGATACGTGTAGTGTCGCAGCCGAGTTTTGGTTTGGGCGCGAAAGTCAAACAAAACGTCAAATTCTGTCGCAGCTTCGTCGTGGCCAGAGTTTTCGCAACTGACTTGAGGTCGATGGTTAAATCGTATGCGCATTGATCTCATCATCGACTGCAACAATCATGGTCGTGTCTGCGACATTGAGGTGTCCGAAAATCCAAACGAGGTCGAGCACATGATCTCGCCAACTGCAACATCTGTCTCGCCCCAGCTGTTCTGTCTCATTTTACTCTCTGCTCGTCTGCTCTGAAGGCATTCTTCCCCCCGTGCGCACCTTGTCTGCAAAGGGGGCTACGCACCTGATTCTCGACCTTACAACGAAAAAACAACTGCGTGAGCCAACGGGGGTGAGATTTGTGGGAAGAGCGGCTATTTACTTAACGCTTTCGCTTCACGTTTTTGGCTTATTAAACGGATTTACAACCACCATAAAATACAAAATCTTCCACCTCGCTCTTGCAATTCATTTTACAGCTTGGCAGATCATTGCGCAGCAGTCTGCGAAGCAGCGATCAACATGGCTGGGGTAGGTGAACATTACTCACGCAGCACGCAGATCAGCGCGCTGATTCCACCGACAGCAAAGCCAGCAAGCCAGCAACAGTGACCAGAATCACACGTGTGACTTTGATGTGGTTGCTCGCCCGCCTTTCCCCCCCCCCCGCTACTCTGCTCAGCCATTCCGTTGGATTTTAAAATACTCTGTTACCACAAGTCACAAGCATCAACGCGGCTGGCTCAGCGCAACGCAAAGCGCCAGCGAGCCGCGTCTCACAGTGTGCGCCTCGACCAATGAAATTGCTGCAAAATTGTGCGGAACGTGAACAAAACACCAAAATAAAACCCCAAAATAAAAATAAAAAGCAAACAAAAAATTACCTGTCATGTGTGCGCTCCAAATCTGCAGGCCTGGAGCACCCCCTGCGATTGCGTAGATGCATGGATGGGGTGCGCGCGCACACTACGCAACGACCTGCATTGAATTCAGGCCCAACTGGCCGACGCAGCGGCCGCCAGCGTAATTGTCGGCTTTTTTGGCTTTTTCGCTGTTTCCCACTGTGGTAGCGATTTTTGGCTTTTTTTTTTTCTTTTCTTTTTCGTATAAGTTTGCTCCTTGTGCCGTGTTTGACCTGCGTTCGAGCTGTTTTCGTGCTTTAGTGCACCTTGCTGAAGCATCCTTCCTCCTCGAACAGCCACACAACTCGTTATGCATGGCTGTGTTGGTTTGAGATCATGCACACAAAATTTGGCTTTGCTCAGTCTTGCTTTTTTGCCGCCAACTTATTTCACGTTTTCAACGCCGTTCTTTATTTTCTGCTTCTTGTTTTCGCTTTTTTGTGAATTCTGGACCACTGTCGCCGAGGTGTTTCTCTGGTATGTTTCCTTGTCCATCTCACGCACTTGCGCACTCGTGCTCCTGCTCCTGCCCCTGCTCCGTGTGACAAACGTGCGCTGGAAAATGTCCAGCCACTCAAAATCGCCCACCCCCTTTTTCACCCTTTCACCCGGTTTCTGCTCAGCGGTGCTTTTCCCGCGCTGCCACTCTGCACCATTCCGCCCTCCCCGCCTCCTCTTTGACGCCGGTGGTTGCATCGTCTCTTTCGATGCCCTGCGCTGCAGCGGCAGTGACAGCACCCCTCCGTGTCCCCTCGTTTTATGCACATGCGGTTCTGCTTCTGGCGGTGGACTCACTCAGAACGACATCAGCCACTTTTATTTTCCTTTTATTTCGATTTTTGCCGCTACCTCCACTCGAAAAAAAGAAAAAGCCGCGCAAACTGCTTCCTTGGCTAGCGTGTGTCCGTTTGCACATCCAGCTCCGCCGCTTGGAGGATGTCACCGTGTGCACTTGTTCTCCCTTGCTGATCAGTCACACTGCGGTGCGCAATCGAAACGAAGGCAAAAACGAACGAAAACGCAAAAAAAAAAAAAAAAAAAAAAAGCCGCATTTAAAATTGAGGCCGAAAACATGACCAAATGAAAAGAACGTGAAAAGCGTTTTTCTGTACCTCCATCCGAAACCTTTATTTTTTTTTTTTTTTTTTTTTTTTTTTTTGCAAGCCATTTTCCATTGGTTTTTTTGTGATTGGGTTTTTGCGAGCGTTCTTTTGTTTTTGCTTTGTGTTGTCTTCTCTTTTGCTTGTCTCGTTCTTCTGCTGTTTTGATGTTGAAATGGCTTTTGGTTTGTATTCCATTGCGAATTTGGCGAGTGGCGGGGAGTTTCTGTGGGACTGGGGTCACACATGGCTTATATTCTCACCCACAGTTGTCAAACCGCTTGTTGTTCTTGTTGTTCTTGTTACAGAGTCACACACACACACACACACACACATCTACTTGACACAACAATGACCGTCTCAAAGAAGCACGTCTACCAAGCCATCGACCAGGTGCCCAACGCCGAACTCCGCGTCAAGGCGGTTGTCAAACGCATCTTGGACACGGTCGCGCCCGCCTTGCAACAAACACAGCAACACTTGGCCGCATCCGCCCTGGCCACTGCTACGAATGCTACTGCTGCTGCTGCTGCTGCTGCATCATCTGTGCCTGCCGTCAAGCCGTCATCCCTCTTTGCATGGGGCCGCATGACCATTACCATCAAGGACGACGCGGCCAACACGATTGAGCTGTGGAAGCCAAAGCGCGCCGACATTATTGCCGTTTTTGCTCACATTCACATGCACCGCCGAGCGCTCTTCTCGGCTCTGGCGCCCGACTTTGAGTACGTCTACGAAGACGCGTCCGGTGACGACCGTGACTTTTCCGCCGCCCAAGCAGTCGCCTCGCAGCAAGAGCAGGCCTTCGCCCAGCAGCAGGCTCACTGTGGCATGCCCAACCCCGACTGCCCCGTCACACAGGCATGGTTTGCTGCCGCAACAGCTGCTGCTGCCCGCTCCGCCGAGGCTTGCTCGGAAGCGCTCCCGCGCGTCGAGTTGGACGCACCCGAGTCTGATTTTGGCGCCATCCAGGAGGCGCTCGATCGCTGCTGGGGCGTTCACAAGCGCACCCTCTGCCCGGCACTCCGTCGCATTGGCGGTGTGGTTGCTCCAGTGGCACAGGCACCCATGCCCCGGCCGCAACCCTCCGCTCCGATGATGGTTTTGCGCCAACAACAGCAACCACAACAACAGCATCAGCATCAACCAACGCTCGAGGCGCCCGTTGATGCATCGTTGCCCGTCAAGAGCAACCCCTTCCGTGGCCTCGAGTTCCTCGCCTCGGCTGCCAGCGCACTGCTCGAGTTGGAGCTCCAGCAGCAACCCGCACAAGTCCGCAGCCTCTCGCCTGCCGTGTCTGTCTCCTCGTCCAGCCTGTCCGCGCCATCGTCGCCCGTTCCAGCGCCCTTGCAGACACCTTCCTCGCCCGAGATGCAGCTCGTCGCGGACGTCTACGAGCCAGCCTCCTACAGCTACGGGTCGCCGCAGCCTTCGTCCGAATCTGAGTGCGAGTACCCTTCCTCGCCCAAGATCCGCGAGTCCAAGAAGCAACAACGCAGCATTGCCCCATACTCGATTGCAGCTCGTCCCCGTCTGCAAAAGCAGCAGCAACAGCAACAGCAGCAGTTGCAAATGCAGCCGCAGCCACAGCCGCAGTACTACTTTCACCAGTTCCAGCCGCAAACCCACGCGCAGCCTCGGCAAGTTGTGCTCTTCCAGCCACAACAGCAACAGCAACAGTTTGTTCAGGAATCAGTGGTTGTGTCGCAGCAACAGTACTATATGGTTGCTCCTTCCTTCCAGCCTCAAATGATTCAAGTCTTTCCAGCGCACCAGCAGGCTCTGATGCATTGATTTTTTTTCTTGTTTATTTTTTTACTATTTTGGGTTTGTATAGATTGATGGATTTTTTTTTTTTTAATTATCACTTTGTCAATAAATCTAGGATTGAATCTCTACAGCGTTCATGTTTATACGCAATGCTGTGTTGTTCGCTGTTGACTAGTTCGTCTATTGCAATAGCGCGCGCTTTAACTGTGATTCATTGGGACTGAGGAGGGTACCGTTGTGGTTGGTGCTGCTGCGGGCGCTGTTGCGATTGCTGTTGCGATTGTTGTGGCTGAGAATGCTGCTGTGGCTGATGATGCTGTGGGGGATAATGCTGCAGTGGATGTTGCTGTGGTTGATATTGCTGAGGCGGATGTGGCTGAGGCGGATGAGACGCAGCGGAATGGGTGCTTGGTCGCGGCGCATATCGCTCAATGACAAACGCCGGGACTTGGAAATCTCCACGACGAAGACAATTGGGAATACGATGCCGCGGATTTCTCGGCGCCACATATGGCAGGCTTGGATCCACGTAGTGCGGCAGATGGTGCGTCACCCAGCTGTGGTCGACGGGATTTTGAGCGAGCCGCGGGATCAGGACGCTCCCGAGCGCAGACCCGATTCCTTGAACGCTTGCTTCGACCATTTTGTCCGCAATCGTGCAAAAGCTGTCTGTAAACTTGGTGCCGGCAGACTGCTGGTAGAGCGGGAAGAGTCCGTTGGCCAAAATCTCAATGATGCTGTTCGAGCCCCGCGTCAACGCGTCCGGACTGTACTCGCGCTCATCGAAGAACTTGACAAAGTACAGGCACGCTTGGCGATCGGTGAGCGTGCCGCACGCGCAGTCTGCTCCAGCGAACAGGCCGGGGCTCTGGTGATCGACCTCCTCGCGCCACTCGGCGTTCAGCTGCTGCGCTGCTGCGGCCACAAACGCAGGCGCAAAAAGGCTCTCCGGCCGGTCGGCTCGGGCGCGCAGCTCCGGCGGGACGTCAAAGCGCCCGCCTGGCAGGGTAATGCTGCCCTTGTAGCTCGCAACGAGGCGGATTTTGAGCGCGCTCGTCCTGCGTTGCATCATCTGCGCGTTCTGCAATGAGGGAACGTCACTTGGAGCATGGTCGAGCGTGAAGCGCCATTCCGTCGGCGGGACGTAGATGGCAATGCCGAACGCAACGTTGTCCGTTGTCGGTTGCATTGAGTTTTGCAGATACTAAGACTGGACGAGGACGAGGAGGAGATTGTGTATTAGGGAACAAAAGAAACTCGGAAATACACACACAACCAGGACGAGGTGAACACAGGCCAAGGAGTGCGGAAGGGAAATATGCTTGTATCCCAACATGTGAATGTTTTACTGCTTCTGTACGTCCTTGAGAAGCGCTGCCAGACGACCAAGGGCTGTGTCCTGCTTGCCAGCAATGCCAACCCCAGTGCACACACAAGTTAGAGTAAGCAGGCAAAGCCACAAGAGCCGGAAACCAATGAAACAAAAAAAAAAAAAAATACACCACCACATCCGAAACTCTGCTTGGTTTTACCATCTGCTCGGGAGTGGCGACCGAATAGGAGGCGCGCACATACGACGATTGACCACCGCCAGGGACAAACGCATTGCCGGGCACAAGCAGCACATTCTTTTGAACGGCCTGTCGCAGAATGAGATCGCGCGTGTCCGCAATGCCGTTCAGCTTAAACCACACAAACATGCCGGCCGTCGGTTCGTTCCACTCGGCAAGGCCCTTGAGATGGCGATTGGCAGCTGCAAGGAAGGCGTCGCGTTGAGTGCGGTAGAATTGAGCGACATGGCGCGCGTGGAGCTCAAATCCAGGGATGGACAGCTTGACGAGATCCAAGCCAGAGTCGTACGGGGCACTGGTGTCGCCGGCAAGGAATTCGGGCTTGGGCATTTGCGTCTTCCACGTCTTGAGCAGCGAAGCGGCGAGTGCCTGGGAAGAGCCGCTCGCGTGCAGGTTGGTCGCCTGCGAGTGCAAGTCGATGCGCTCGACCAAAGGAGTCGGTCCAGTCACATAGCCGAGGCGCATTCCGGCCGACAACACCTTGGACAGCGAGTCAAAGCGGAGAACGCGGTCGTCAATATCGAACGAAAGGTACGACGGCACGCGAGGGGAGGTAAATTGCAAAAAGTAGTATGGGTCGTCCTCGATAATCACAATGTTGTTTTCAGGGCGGCGGCAAATGTCGTAGATGCGGTGCTTGCGCTCGAGCGTCTGGGAGCCCCCGCTTGGGTTGGATCCGGTCGGAATGGTGTACAAGACACGCGGGCGGCGGCCTTGCGTGGCCTCGTTCCAGTTCGTGAGGGCCGAATCGAGCGATGCCGGGATCAAGCCTGGATGTGCATGAGAAGAGGGGTGTGTGAGCAATCATATGCGATGTGAGCGTGGCAACACAGCAGCGAATAGAGAGGAACTCACCGAAGGCATCGGTAGCCAATCCATGCAGCTTGACTGAAAGCGGTTGGAGTGCCGACAGCGAACCGCTGTAGGTTGGGTTTTCAAGGAGGAGCGTGTCGCCCGGACCCAGAAGCATTTCGAAACATTTGCCAAGACCGTCTTGCGAGCCGACGGTGACCGAGAGGGAGGATGGAACCCGGAGCTTTCGGTCGCCGTAGTGATACTCGACCTGCATTTGCTTGAGAGCAGAAACGAGTTCGGGCAATCCCGGGGTGGCCGAGTACTGCAGCGATGCGCTCGTTTCTTCCGGCGTCAAGTGGATGGTGCTTCCGTCTGCGAGCGTGTAGGACATGCCCTTGAACGGGAAGGTCGCTGGGTTGGGCATTCCGCCTCCGAGCGAGATCTGCCAGTTTGAGACAACACGCAAAAGAAATTGTTGAGTTAGAGATGTTTAGAAATCCAACAGGACAGGACAAAACGGGAATTTCGGGATTTTTGACATTTCTGAGATTTTTCTTCTTTGCGCGTCTCGGCCAAACCCCCTTCCCCGATTCGTGTGCCCTCTGGTCTGGCTGGCTGTGGCGGTGAACCGTACCATGCCTGGCTGCTTGACGAATGGCATGAGCGCGCGGATGGCAGACTCGCGGCGCACGCGGCTTGCAGGGCTCAGGTACGACGCATAGTCGAGCGGCGGGGTTGGGGTCGCAGGCGGACCAGCAGCAGCAACTGAAGCTGAAGCCGAGGCAGTCAGGGAGGTCGCCGAGGTCGAGAGGTGACTGCGTAGCTGGTTCTGGATCTGGATCTGGATCGGAACGGCCATGGTGGCAGTGGCAGTGGCAGTTGTGGTGGCAGTCAGCAGCGGTGTCAGGCGGACGAGCGAGGCTGAAACAACCGAAAGCATGACCCCCAGACGAGCACAGAAGGAGAGAAGTGAAGTGATGCTTGCTTGCATCGTCCTTCCCATCGAAATTTACATGGGCTGTGCTGTAAACACAAAAAACTTTGATCTATCTGCAACACCACCTGAAGCACTGCTGATGAGCGTGCAATGTTTACATCTCCCGTTATTTGAGAAAAACAAGGGACGTGAAACAGAAAGCGCGGCTTTTGTGCAGGCACTTCCTGACAGACCTCCTCTGACATTATGCTTGATCTGGCTATCGAGTACTGCACTTTACACAAAGTACTCGTGCAAGTGCGCGAGGGTTGAGAAGCTCGGCAAGTCTGCCTGAAGAAGTGCGTTTCGAGTCGCTCTAGATTGAGTGAAACAACGAGACAAATCCAATGCATGTCCATGCGTTTCTAACTCATTTACTCACCTCCAGTGAAACACGGAAATGCTTAGCACAGTTCTGGAAAGCGTCGATGCGAGCAAGTCAGTCACTTTTTCTTCTAATTTTTTTTCTGTTTGGAAAGCTCACAGCTTGTTTAGCTGTTTGTTCAAAATCTTCTCAAAATGCTGTCGCCTCATTTGATGACCCCGAAACAGTACGAGCTGTATGACAAAGTCAAGTATACGAATGGATTCCTCTCGTAAGGCAAGCCCGAGTTTGTTGGAACAGTGTGACAACGCGTGGGCTGATCAAATGAAAGACAGGCTGCAACACAATAAGCTGGGCATACCTGAAGCTCAAGCAATTGCTGTGGCAATCAAAGAGAATGCGGCATTGCATGAGGTCCAGTAAGTCATCTCACTTTGACTAACGCATGGGAGTGGGCGGTCCTGCCGAGCATGAAGAGCTTTCACTGATGGAGGGGATGGACAGTCTGGGCTGTAACCAAATTGGAGAAGCGGGAGCGCAGGCGATTGCTGACGCACTCAAGGTAACCACGTCGGTTACTGGATTCCAGTAAGGCATCTCACAACGTGGATGCGTGAGAGTGGGGGATGCCAGCAGAGGGCATTCTAAGTACTCACTGCTGAGGGAACGGACAGTGCTCACCGCAACCAGATTGGCGACGTTGGAGCGCAGGCGATTGCTGAGGCGCTCAAAGCGAACACGACGATAACCAAGCTCGAGTACGTCATCTCACAATATCTGATGCTTGTGAGGCGGGGGACAGGGTGTGATCCAGCAGAGGATTGAAACGTGCTCACTAAGAAAAAAAAAAGTCTGAGTCTGAACCAGATTGGCGACGTTGGAGCGCTGGCGATTGCTGAGACACTCAAAGTGAACAAGACCCTGACGTCCGTTCGGTAAATACTGAGTGCAGCAAGATGCTTTGAATATCGATCGACTCGTATGCCAATTTGCTCTAACAAACATGCCACGTCAGTTTGAATGATAACTTCTTGACCCACGTCGGAATTTCTGCTCTCAGACAAACAGGCAATACCATTTGTAAATTCAAGTAAGACCATTTGTTTATTGCATTCGGTTATGAAGAAACAAAGTCGAACGGTATGTCACTCACATGGTTTTTGTGAACTTGGGCTTCTTCGATGGAAGTTTGGAAAACCAAAAAGTTCCACCACCTGCCGCATCGGTTCAGATGACAGGCAGTGTCGCAGCAACCCCTCAGCCCCAACCTTCTGTCAATCTTGCAGTTGAGAATCAGCAATTGCGCTCCGAACTCGCTACCAAAGAGCAAGTCCTCGCTGCAAAAGTTCAGGAGCTCGCTTCCAGAAATGAGGCGCTCGGGACCAAAGACCAAGAGCTCGCTACCAAAGACCAAGAGCTCGCAACCAAAGTGCAGGAGTTGCAACAACTGCGCTCAAGTCTCGCTGCCAAAGATCAGGCGCTCGCTGCCAAAGATCAAGAACTGAAGTCAGCTCTTGATCGGATTGACGTCCTTGAGCGCAATCAGCCCGCTGCTGGATCCGCGTCGAACTTTGACGGACCCATCCCACAAGTTCCTCTCGCAACTCTTGTCGCCGCCACGAACAACTTTGCCGCTGATTCTCTGCTTGGAGAAGGAGCATTTGGTCGCGTGTACGACGCCAGTTTGCCTGGCCCTCGCGTTGCCATCAAGAAGTTGTCTGCCGAATCCAAGCAGGGCACGGTTGCATTCAAGTCGGAACTGGACTCTTTGTCCAAATTCCGTCACGCAAACATCATTGCGATTCTGTCGTATGCAGAGGAAGGTGACGAGCGATGCCTGGTCTACGAATTCATGCCGAATGGTTCAGTTCGCGATCGCTTGAATCTGAAGAACAACACCCCTCCGCTGACCTGGGCCCAGCGCCATAAGATCGCGGCCGATGTCGCCCGCGGCATGCACTACGTCCAAACGGCCTTTCCTGACCATGCCCTGTTCCACCTCGACCTCAAGACGGACAATGTTCTGCTGGACGCGTACTTTAACGCAAAAGTGTCTGATTTCGGTCTCGTCCGAGCTGCTCAACACCTCGATGATAAAAGCTACCTGCGTACTCAAAACGTTCAAGGCACAGCTGCTTACATGTGCCCCGAGTTCTTTGCCGAGGGCAGAATGACCATCAAGACGGACGTCTTCGCCTTTGGCATGATTCTGCTCGAGCTCGCGACCGCCGCCAAGCCCGGGCCCAGACTGAAAACTGATATGCGCAAGGCTGTGAAAACCCAGAAATTCGTTGAGATGCTGGACTCGGCCCTCAAACCAAGCGAGACAGAGCTCCAGAGCATCAGCGAGCTTGTCATGCTTGCGATGGAGTGTCTTGACGACGCTGCAGACGATCGCCCGTCCTTTGGTAGCATCCTTGTTTCGTTGGATCCGTGATGATCCATCGGATCGCTGAAACCCTTTGAGAATGGGGCGATGGTCCGCAAAGTTGGGGCTCTGTCGTGAACGCAATCCGCCTGCATTTCGTTGAATTGTGCTCTTGCATGATTGTCGTTTGGTGTTTTTGATGGAACGTCGGCGTTGTTTTTGTGTGTTGCCGAATCACTTTGTTCAATCCGATAGTCAGTCTGGAAAATCTGTGTGAACTGTTCCATTTATACCAGTGCATGAATGGGGGGGTACGGTAGCCAGTCTTTTACACCTGTCTCAGATTCTGGCAAATTTCCCCCAAAATGCAGCCACAATTCGCGCTGCTGTTTGCTGCAGCGCTCGCCGTGCGATTGTGCCTGGTTGTCTACGGCGACTGGCACGACGCTCACTCCCAGGTCAAGTACACGGACGTCGACTACCATGTCTTTACAGACGCGGCACAGATCGTTGCTCATGACGGAGGGTCGCCGTACGATCGCCACACGTACCGCTACACGCCCTTGCTCGCATGGATGCTCGTGCCGAACGTGCTCGTCCACCCTGCGTTTGGCAAGATGGTCTTTGTCGTGGCCGATCTGCTGGCTGGCTGGCTCATCGCGGCCATCCTCGCGCTGCCCCAGTCGCCAGCAGCAGCCGTCAAAGCGTCCGGCCGCTCGACAACCACCGCTGCGACGCCAAGGTCACCGAATAGCAATGATGCGACTGGCATACCTCGGCGATCGTTGCGAAAGCGCACAGTCAAGGATGGACTGGGTGACGACACCTCAACCAAGATTGACCAATTTGACAATTCTGGCAATCTGAGATCGTCCAAGGCCGAAACTCCTGCACCCACAGCAACTCAATCAAGCAGGATCCATTACCACTGGTTCTTGGTCGGGCTATACCTGCTCAATCCGTTGCCGATTGCAGTGAGCACGCGCGGCAATGCCGAAGCACTGTTATCGGTGCTAGTGCTTGCTTGTCTCTACTGCGCCTCGCGTAAATGGCACTCCACGGCCGCCGTGCTGTTGGGTTTTGCTGCGCACATGAAGATTTTCCCAATCATGTATAGCTTGCCCCTGTGGCTGAATGTTGATGGCGACTCTGACACAACTTTCACAACTCAAGCCGGGTACCTTGATCGTATCATCCAGTCTGTGCGAAGGTTCTTTTCGTTGAAACGGCTTTGGTTTGGCGCCATCGCAGCTGGTACATTCCTGGCTCTCGGTCTCTGGATGTGGACAATGTAAGGCAGCAAATGCGAAATGCGTGCTTTCGACTTTTCAAACTAATCGATTCGCGTGCCGCTGTCAGCTACGGTTGGCCGTTCTTGCACGAGACATTTCTGTATCACATCACCCGCAAAGACCATCGGCACAACTTTTCGCCGTACTTTTACATGCTCTATCTCACGAATGGGGAGAGCGATGTGTTTGCGCGTGTTGTCGGTCTTGCCGCGTTCTTGCCACAAGCCCTTCTTGTGGGTATTGTTGGCGTCGTGTTTCATCGCGACCTTGGGTTTTGCTGCTTTTTGCAGACATTTCTATTTGTTGCGTTTAACAAGGTCTGCACATCGCAAGTAAGCAGCGAAAAGCGGTTGCATGTTGTTGGGTCGTTTGTGTTTGTTCTCCTGACTCTCTCTTCAATATCTCCTCTGTGTGTTTCTGCACCTTTTGTTCTTGGAGCAGTACTTTGTCTGGTATGTTTGTCTACTACCCTTGGCAGTCAGGTCGACCAATCTCACCTGGAAGCAAGGCGCAGGGCTGTTTGCGCTCTGGATGGCTGTGCAAGGCCTCTGGTTGGCACCTGCGTATCTCCTCGAGTTCCAGAGCCAGAATACCTTCCTATGGATATGGCTTGCAGGCCTAGTGATGCTCGCGGGCAACATTGCCATCGCACGCGCGTTTATCCTTGCTCGAGTCGTCTGAGCGTTTGAGTGTATCTTCCTTTTTTTTCCTTGCAACAAACAGCTCGCTTTCACATTTCATGTTCATTTCTTCATTTCTTGCTTTCCAAGTTCTTCTTCGTGTTTATGTTGCTCAGTCTCAACTTTCACACAATGATCAAGAAGCTGTCATCAGGGTCTGACATTGCCGCCACTCGTGCGATTGAAGCCGAAGTTGCGCGGCTGCACCAGCTCGAGACCCAGGCCGGCCACGCTCTGAGCGCGCTCCTCCTGCTCCACCACAACGCATCCACAGAGCCAGCGTCGTCGTCGAGCAAGAAGGGCGCGTCGTCGACGACCTCTGCGTCGGTCTCTGCCTCACAGCAGCAGCTCCGCCACGCTGTCGGTGATCTCCTCGCCGTCCTCAAGGCAAGCCACCCTCGGCCATAGGCGTTTTCCCCTCCTTCTACACGAGCTCATTTTCGAGATCTCGCGTCGAATGTCCAAGTCGGGGTGGGAGGAGCGCAGGGGGGGTGTTGCTTTCAGTGGGACTGACGTTTTGGCGCTCCACATGGTCCGACTCCACTCCTCCCCAGTACCCCCCTCTCAGTCACAGTCACAGTCACAGTCACACAGCTCATCACCCACTATTGACAATCTCGTCTTGCATTGGAACTCATCGTTTCGTGTCTGTCTGCTTTCCAGGCTGCTCAATCCGCTGCAACCAAGGACGCAAACCCAAAGCTCGTCCAGCGCACTGTGCACGCGGCATTGCTCGCTCTGCGGCGCGTGATGACACAGTTCCTGCATGCTGAACATGCTGCTTCGTCGTCGTCGTCGTCATCGAAAGACACCTCCGCTGCGCACAAGTCGAAAAAGTCGCGCGTCGAGCAGGACGACTTGGACATTGTGCCGTGGCTGCACGAGCGCTACCTCGAGTTTGTGCGCCTCGCGCTCGGACTGCTTGCGCATCGCAACGGCGTCATCCAGGCAACGTCCATCGGCGTGCTGATGGAACTGCTGAGCGCCGAAGCCGAGCAGCTCGCACAGGAAGCCGACGCTCAGTCCAAGACGCCCTTCCCATCGCAGCTCTTCTCGCGCATCCTCGCTGCTCTCGTGTGCAATGCCCACTTTGGCGATCAACTCGCGAGCGCGTTCATCACCGGCTACCTCGAAAAGTTTGACGATGTTCGCTTTTACACGTACAAGCATCTCGCCAGCCTGATTGCTGTTGAATCCGCACGCCAAGGCTCGCCCCAATCGCAAATCACTCAGGCCAACATCACCATGGCCCAGTTTATCCAGCACATCTTCCTTCTGCTCAGCAGCGCCAACATGGCCAACACTGCTGAGGACTTGAACGGCTTCCACTGCGGCGAGCCTGTGGGAGGTATGATGACTGTTTCTGTTGGTTTCCGTAGTGGGGGGGTATTTGTAAAGAGTGGGCGAGGGTAAAGTGCCTGTCTAACTCAATTTTTGCTCGTCACTGTTCCGCAGCCTCCAAAATCGCCAAGGCAAGCAATCGCCAGGACGCCCGCAACAACCGATTGAAGGTCGCCTTGTCCCACGCCGAAATCAAGCATGACGGACCCAGCAAACGAAGGCGAAATCAAGCGGCCAGCGAAGCCGATGCGGACAACGCTGGATCGGATGACGACGACGATGATGCCCCCAAGCGCAAAGGCAAGGGTCGCCAGTCTCAGCGCCAAAACAAGTACAATAACGACGACGACGACGACGACGAAATGTACGACATGGATCTCGTTGGCGAAGACATGGACACGAGCGACCTCGGCATCCAGGACAACAGCCTCCAACTCCACCCATTGAAAAACCTGACCGAGCATCGCGCCGTCTTTACCGACTGCTGGCTGGCCTTGCTGCGTCTTCCACTGCCGATTGACATTTACAAGCGCGTGCTCATCATCTTGGACGAGCAAATTCTTCCCCATCTAAACAAGCCCAAGTTGCTTATCGACTTTTTGACGGAATCTTACAACGTTGGTACGGTCGCGCACGTCTGCTGCTTGTCTTTGAAGGTTGATTTGTGTTTCTATGACGCGCTGATCGTGTCTTCATGCTGGTTTTGTTTCAGGTTTGTTTGTTCCAGGTGGTGTGGTCAGCGTGCTTGCCTTGAGCAGTCTGTTTACCTTGATTACCAAGCACAATCTGAGCAGAACTGCTTTTTGAATGACGGTCGCTTTGACTCAATCCGACGTTCACTTGTCATTGCTCGCCCTCCCTTCTTGTGTCACAGCGACTATCCCGAATTCTACGCCAAGCTGTATGCCTTGCTGGACCCCCAAATCTTCCACGTCAAGTACCGTGCTCGGTTCTTCCACCTGGCTGATATCTTCCTGAGCTCGAGCCATTTGCCGTCCTACCTTGTGGCCTCGTTTGCCAAGCGATTGGGTCGCCTGGGGCTTTCGGCACCGCTGCCTGCACAAAAGTTGATTCTCCAAATAATCTTCAACTTGATTCTTCGCCATCCTTCGTGCATGGCTCTTGTGCATCGCAATCTCGAACGCAAGCTGGGCGAGCTTGCCGAGTCTGTTCCATCCTACAAGGAAGATCCTTTCGATGCCGATGAGCCCAACCCGGCTGCTACCCGTGCAGCTGAAAGTTCGCTTTGGGAGCTTGATGTAAGGGCTGCTTGCAATATGTGCAGTGCTGTTTGGCTCGAATCCTTTTGCACGTGTGCTCATCCCAGTTGGGGCCCCTCTCAAACACTCTGTAGGCAATCAAGAGCCACTTTTCGCACGACGTGACGCAGCAGGCTGCCGTCTTTGAAGGCAAGATTACCAAGATTGAGTACGATGTGAACGACATTGTTGAGGATTCGTACGCTTCGGTAAGTCTACCAACTGGTTCTCTTTGAACCCCCAATGAGAAACGCGCCAACGCTCACTCGCATTCCTTCTGTTTCCAGCTGTTTTCCAATCTCGCAGGTCGCAAGTTCAAAGAAGTTCCGTTGTCCTTCGACACGGTTGGAACATTGCTAGACTCTCAAGAACTGTCGCAGTTGTGGGAGATGAGTTGATTTGCAATACAAAGTCGTTTACGAACAGGGTTGACAAAAATACATGAAACTAACATAAAGTGAAAATAACAAAAAAAAAAACAATAACGATGAGTTTCGCTGGTGGGGGAAATATCAATGCATGGCGCCTGATCGCGAACCTGTCGCAATGACGCAGGCAGGATTGGCATACGTTCGTCGGTGAAGCCAGTAGCAAACGACAGTCGCAACTGCACACGCCAAGGCCGCCAGAATGAAGGACAGCCGGAAGCAAGCGACACCGTAGCAGTTGGTTTGGGTGGGATCGGCAATCTGCGACACGTAAATTTGGCTGTACATGATGCTGAACAGAATCGTACCCGCGGCAGGCGACAAGACTGTCATTCCCCAGTTGGTACCGAAATGCTTGAAGCCAAACAGCTCGCCGACAATGACGGGGCCCAGCGCCATGAGGCCGCCAAAGCACAGCGCTACAATGATGGACGCCAACGCCAGCTGCGCTGGGAATGCTGCAACAAAGACCATTGCACCACCCATTCCGGCCACCGTGAGGAGCAGTACCAAAACGGGCGACAGGACCCGTCGGTAGGCATCGGCAACAGAGCCCCAGAAGATGCGACCACATGCGTTCGCAATGGCAAACGCGACCGTGAGCGTGCTCTTGTTGCAGCCACAGTCTGGCTCTGTCGCAATAATCGAGCCGAGCTTGTTGATAAACATGGCACCAGCACCATCTTGCATTGCCATGACGAAAAACAAAATCCAAAAGTTTGAATTGAGCAGCAAGCGCTTGCCGGTAATGTCGAGATTCGGGTCTGTCTGTGCGAGCTGTGCGAGCTGCTTGTGACTCTCCTCGTCGACAGAAGGTGCGTTCTGGCCTTCGTCGTCGTCGGCGGCGGCGGCGGCGGCTTCTTCCTTCTCTGCTTGAGCATCATCGTGGTCTTCGTCGTCGTCGTCTTCATCTGCTTCTTCCTCCTCTTGAAGGCGAGCGTACTTTGCCGACCGCCGCGACGATCGCTGCCGCTTTGGTGGTGTCATGGCAATTTCAGTCGTGCCAGCCGACGTTGACGAATGCGCAGCAGCTGCTCCGTCGCCACTCGACGGAGGGAACTTGAGGAATATTGCACCAATGATACCCACGAACGTATAGGCGCCCGCGACGAAAATGTAGTAGCTGTTGGCCTCGTTGAACGCCTCGTAGATGAGGGTGAAGATGCCGGACGAGAGCCCGACGCACGCCGCGAGCACGCCGGTCGCCTTGGCCCGGATGTGGAACGGCAACCAGCGCAGATTGACAGCCATCGCGGCCGTGTAAAAGCCGTGGGAGGCCTGTCCGATGCCAAAGAAGAGGGCGACGAGCAGCTCGTACGGCGTATCCGTGGGCGCCCAGAACGTCCCCGCGAGGCTCGCGTACGTCACAAGGTAGCATCCGCTGGCGATTGCAGCAGAGACCAGGCAGGTCAGGCGCGGGCCAAAGCGGTCAAAGAACAGGCCCGACGTCACGCCAAAGTACATCCCGAGCAGGCCCGCAGTCTGGATGGCCGTGATCTCGGGCTCGGTCAGCTCCAGGCGCGACTTGATGCGCACGCCGAGCACGCCGAACGAGTAGATGGTGCCCATGCATAGCAGCAGGAGCGTCCCGCAGCTGAACGGGAGCACCAGGCGGCGTGGCGGACGCAAATCCGTTAAGATGGCCGCCACACCCATTGTGCTCAGTGTCTGAGATATTTTGTGAAGGGAGATGGGGAGATGGGAGTGGTCGAATAAAATCACTCGAGCTTGATCTATTGCAGCGAGTGAATCAAGAAGACTGCGTGATTGTGTTCTGTTCATTATTGTTTCCTTTTCTTAGAATTTGTTTTGTACAAAAGCAGATGCTCAGAAGAAGAAACAAGCACCCACCACTGAAAAGAAGCAGAAAATACAAAGCAGTAAAAAAAATATCAACACACGTTTCGTTTTTTGGTAGTCGTAGCATGCAGGATCATCGGACAATCGCCGTTATCATGCTGAAACAGTCACATCAGCCTCGCTTGGGGCCGAGCTTTCAGCCTCGCTGCTCGTCAAAGTGACTGCTTTCGGGCGTTCGTGCGTGGAAGATTTACGGAGAACGTCCAGCTCGGCCAATTCCTGCCCGATGGCGACGCGGTGGTGCTCGTGCCTTTCTGCAATCCACTTGGCATCGAGCGTGATTTTACTCAAAGCATTCTGTTTGAAAACCCAAAGGAGGCGAGCAACAGTTGGTCTCAAAAAAAAAGAACAGTAAAGCTTCTGCGTTGCCTCGGCATCGGTTTCCCGAGAAGGCAGCGAGGTTAACATTTTGAACAGGGCGCCAGTGTCATGCAGCGACATCAGCGACATCAGCTCGTCGTGGTGGCGACCGATCATTGCCAGGGCAAAGTTGAAGAGCAGGTTTGTGCCCTCAAAGAGGATGCAGTCCCAAATGCGAAGGGCAATCTTCAGAAGAAGAAACAAAACAAAACAGGAATCAGCAACGATGATCAACCCAAAACTTGTGCCAACAATACCAAACCAACATCTCGAAACCTACCTTGAGCGGCACAACGTTGGCAAACAGAGTCAAAAACCAGTTCAGCGAAATCAGCGTGATATCGACGCAGTGCTCCTCCAGCTTGGCATGCAAATCAGGATGGCGTTGCGCAACAAGCTCCTTCAGCACACGCTGGTCTGCTTGAGCGCCGAGAAGGACCTTGGAATAGTACTGATCGGGCAGCATTCGAGCCATCAACGTTTCCATCATCCAGTAGGCTTCCTCTTCTTCCATCAGAAGCAAGAAGCTGGCGACAATCACGCCCATGCCTTGGCAGTAGCCGACCTCGGGGAACCGCCAGCACAGCGCGTGCAGGACTCGTCTGAGTCGCGCAATGCCGGGGGCATTGGCAGACGCAAAGAAAATGTTATCCGGCATGGTTCGCAAAAGATCCTGGAAAGAGAGGCAAGCAGAGGCCCAGGTTAAACCACTTCAAACAATAACAAAGAAACACAAGCAAGTGACGTCGCCCATGCTGCCTTACCTTTTCGATTTGTCGATGGTACTCGCCATGATCACCACCGGATTGTTGCTGCAAGTATGCATACATGTCTGGCTGAGACCTCCATTGGCTCATGGCGGAGGTGGCCCTCAACCAAATCTGCACAGGAAAATCGAAAACAAAAACAACGTCAATGCTCAACACAAATCCCTTGAATCCATTCCTTGCTTGTCTCTCAAGCTCCTCCTTACGTGACGCCGGAACTTGTTGGGGATGCCTCCGCGAATGAGCTGGGTCAGATTCTCGGCAGGCGGAAGCGTCGCGCCAAGAGTCGCCCACCGCACCTCCTTGCTGCGCACGTTGTACACCTTTTCAAGATAGGCAAGCCATCGAATTTGATGCCTTGTGCGCGCTGTATCGAGCTCGGGCGAGTGATGGTGGTGCGGAGCGGGCACCAACGCGCGGGAACTCGAGCAGACCGAGCTCAACTCGACACCATACTCGTCCACCGGCATCAGCCGGGCAGAGCCCTTGCTTGGAGCGACCGAGGGACTGGCGGCCACGACCGTCGCTTTGTCTGTGGCTTCCGCAGAAGACGACTCATTGCTGCTGCTGCGCGCATTTCCTGATGTTGGACTGGCGGCCGAGGGTGTGGCTTCATTGCCAATCTTGCTCCAAATCGAAGAAAACAAATCCTTGAGACCTTGCGGGACAGAGAAGAGATCCTCATCGCTGTCCTCCGCCTGGCCGGCAGAGCCTTTTTGCCTGCTTGCAGCGGCAGTCTGACGCTCCTTCTCCAGCTCCTCCTGCCGGCGTTGCAAGGTGGCCAGAGTTTCGCTCGCCCAGCCACCGGCTTCCCAAGCATCGGGTGTGGGGCGTAGACTACGAATCACGCACCGATACGCCCGGACGTTGCTGGACAAGGTCGCTGCCGCGGTCGCCGCCGGTTGCGTGCGCGATGGTCTCGCGGTGGCATGAGTGCGTGAGTGCTTGCCGGCGCGTCGGTTGGATGCCTCGTCGCTGTCGCTTTCGGTGACAGTGTTGATTGATTGCGAGCGCATGAACGACGCATGGGGCACACCGAGACTGAACGAGGACTGGTGGCTGTCGCTCTCGTCTCCAGAGCCGTCCAAGTCGGCAAGTACCACCGGCTTGTACTTGAGCGAGGAACGAAAGTTGGACGACGATCCCGAAGAAAGGACGGGGAAGATGGACGCCGAAGGGGCAGGTGCGCGCTGTGCTGGCGACCCCCCAGACTCGGCCTCGTCCTCGGAACTCGGAGATGTCGTACTCTTGTCGTTCTTCTTGCTGGAGGATGTGGGCTCGTCCATGTCGCTCAAGTCGGACTCGCTTGCCAGACTCTCGACAAAGCTGCTCGCGTCGGAATCCGCGTCTTCCTTGCGCACCATTTCGGCCCCTTCTTCAAACAAGGATGTCGACGACAGGGACATGCTTGATCCATCCGCGGGTGTGGAAGCTTCCGATGTCAACGATACGACGTCAATGAGCTGCTGTGTGAAATGTTGCCAAAACAACAGAATTGATCATAAAAAAGTAAGTGACTCGATCGGCCTTTCTTTTTTTTTTTTTTTTCAAGAGACGCTTTCCAAGCTTAGTTACCTGGCTGGGGTTGTTCGCCTTGGTCGCTGGGGCGTTGACGGACGGTGTCAGAGCATTCCACTGGATGTGTGGCATGACCATTGGCTTGGCTTGGATGGCTGAGCTACCAGTGCTGCTGCCAGTCAACAGGCGATGCGATCCACTAGAGTGCTGTTGTGCCTGTTGCTGCCGTGCATTGGGCGCAGAGTGGAGACTGACAGACGTCGTTGTTGGCACGCTTGCAGACCGTGCCGCAATACTGCTTTGGCTGGCTTTTGTCGCGCTCCTCGCGCCAGTCGGTCCGCCTGACGAGCTCCGCGCCGTTGCTTGAGGCACTACCGACGACACACTGCGTCCAAACGGAGTCGGGGTCGGAGTCGGGGTCATGGCGTTACCTTCAGGGACCTTGTCGGAGTTGTTGGACCTGCATGTCGTCGCCCAGCCCGTCGAGGTAGTTGCACATCGAGTCGCTGATGGTGGTGGTGGTGGTGGTGGTGGTGGTGGTGGTGGTTGTATCTGCTGCTACATCTGTCTTGCCGTGGTGGGTGCGGCGGTGCTTGGCAGGACGGCGGACGGGCGCACGCTCATCCGCGTCATCATCATTCTCAGCGCCGTCCTCCCAGTCGTCGTCGTGGTCCTCGTGGTCCTCGTCCTCATTCCCGGCAACAGAGCGGTAGAGCGATGATGACTGTGATGATGACTGCTGGTGCTGCTGTGGCGCGGACGAATCCACGAGCGACGACAACCAGTTCCACATTGAGAAGAAAGGGGGTGAAGCGGGCGAGGAAGGAAACGAAGCCGTGTTCCACACTGGCCAGAAGAACGAAGGAAAAGCAAATGCACGCAAACCAAAGTAAGACTGCAGATGCAAGTCGTGTAACGGGAATTAAGAAGCCACGCAAAAGAAGAGGGACATCGTGCAGGTGGCAAAAATGGTCGGACAAGTCGATCATCGCTGCAAGACCGGGTGCAACGCATACAAGGTGCAATGGAGGCAATGGCATCAAAATAACAATTTCAATTTGAGAATACCAGATTGCAGCAATACCGACGAAGCAAAACAGAAACACCAACAACAAAGAACAAACACAAAAACACTGCAAAATCACCGGGCGGCTGGACAAAGTGGTGAGAGAAACAGACAAAGGACAAAGGCAAGAATCAACAACACAAGAGAGAACAAGAGAGAACAGGTGCGACCGACAACAACCGCACAATGAAAAAAAAATAGCAATCGACCGGCTGTTCAAAAATTACTTCTTGAAGAAGCGCATGTACACAACGATACCAAGAATGCCCATGAGAACCAAGACGATAATGTACATAATGAGGCGGTTTTGGATGATTCTGTAGGCAGGGCGCAGGGAGCTGTTAGTCCAGCCGCTCCCCCAAAAAAAAATCAAACAAATCAAACAAACAAACGCTGTTGCTCGCCTTACCGGTAATACATGCCGTTAAGAATACGCCGACTGCGAGTCAGGTTGTCGTCCGTCTCGTGCAACTATAAGAACAAGGGTTTCAAGCACCACAGTGAGAAATTGGAAGCGCGTGGACCAAACCTGCCCGGCAGAAAATAATAAACTCACCCGTCCTCGAACGCGAACAATGGTCTCACGCTGGGTGCCAAGCTCGCCAAGAATGTCCTGGCCAATGGCCTCTGTGATTACGACGCGACGACGACGATGTGAGAACAAATGAATCCCCCTACAAATAAACAATTCACCAAATTAAAAACTCACCAGATTCGGCAGCAACACGCTGTGCGTTGTCTAGCCGGCCGGTAGTGCGGTTCAGACGGTCGTGAGAGTCGAGAATGCGCGAGCGTTGGTCGTTGGACTGTGCCTCGACATCTTGGTAAGCACTTCGGCCGCCAAAGCCAGCAGGGGATCCAGCGCCAGAGCCTCCGCCGAGAAGATCGTCGCGATTGCCAGAATTTGTCAAGCCACGCTGTGAAAAACGACGGATGTGAGTTTGCTGGACAGGGGAGAGGGGAGACAAACGAAAAAGTTGGAACGGCATTCATACCAGCTCCTTCTTGATGCGAGCAAGCTCGTTCTGGTACGTCTTCAGCTTTGTTTGCAGACGCGGGCGGAACTGTGCCGGTGCGTTCTTGAGCTCGAGCTCCATGCCTTGCACCTGAGAGAAGCGGAAGAACAAAGTTAGGAACGGTGTTGAACTGTGACTGAGCTCGTGTCTCGCCCGAAAACCGAGCCATTGCGCCAACCCCAACCCCAACCCCAACCCCAACCCCAACCCCAACACAATGCAATCCTGTCTCTCGATTGGATGTGCTGTGATTGACGAGGGTCCAGAGAGGGCTTCTGGCTTACAATCTCATCGGCCTGGACGATTTCCTTCTCGACCGCCTTGATCGCAGCCTTGCGTTGCTCTGTGGCATGAAGCACCAAAAACAGCACACAAAAGTGAGCATCCCAGCGATCATCCCAGCGTGTTGCAAAGACAGCCGAGTGTGGAGTAGAAAGAAAAGCCAATGCAAACTCCATAGAACTCCATGGAGTAGAGTTGGATGGGCTGTTTGTTTGGGGGCCCCAGCATTCGAGCTTTGGCGCTTTGAGCACATTGGCAGCAGTAGCAGCAGCAGCAGCGTGATGAATGAGGGAGGACAGAAGAGGGTGGAGGGTGAAGGTGGGAAGAGAGGAGAGGTGAAGAGGAGAAGGAGAAGCGTGTGACTGCTGAACGACTGGACGATGCTTTCAACGGCGGGCCCCCACCCCCCTGGGCCGCGCAGCTCCATCAAAGCGAGGTGCTGCTGGTGAGAGAGAGTGGAGGGGGAAAGGCGACAATGGAAGTGCGGGAAGAGGGGGGAAAGGGCAAGGAAGCAATAATAATAATAATAATGAGGAAAATAAAAATAAAGGGGAAAAAAAGCGACGATGACGAGATTGCAAAGTGATAGGAACGGGATTCACTAAACGGCGCGTGTGAGCCAAGGAAAATAAAGGGCGGCTGCAATACGCTCCAGTGAGCCCCCCACAGCTCACCAACAACAGATGTAAAGAATCATGAAGCCTTACCGCCGGTAAAGTTTGGGATTTGCGAGCTCAGCTTCTTGGTGATGCTGGCCGAGATGTTGGTAAACTCAAACTCGTAGTTCTCAAAGAGCTCGCTGGACGCCATGTTCGGGAGAGTTGCACAAAGGAGGAGTGGTTTGGATCAGAGACTGAGAAACAGACTTGCAGATTTCGGATCTCGGAGCTGCAATCGAGGATTTATGTTTGTAGTTCATGTTGCAAGGCTTATCAGACGGTGGTACATTCGGGTTTGAAGCACCGGGTCGAAATGGCACTCTTTCGATTTTAATCGTCGGCTTGCTTCTCTTACGACCTCACCCGGAAACTGTAGCATGCTAGTATGGACACACAAAATTATCGTGTTCTCAAGAATATCATGAAGAATGAGGGGAAGGGCCGACAGGGGCAGAGCAGAATCCGGATCCAGCTCACTTTGGTGTTCGCTTTTTGCGAGACGCATCGCGACAACAACAGACAGAACAAGACAAACAAGTATTAGTCCCCGTAGAGGTCGTTGATAAAGGCTCTGCTTCACAATGGTGACGGTTACGCGGGATAGAACTGTGCTGCCGCTGCCTAGCCCATGCACTGGAAATCGAGTCGGATGCACTTCAATTTTAGGAAATAACCCAATTGCGATCAGTTTTTGTTTTTTGTTTTTTCTCTCGTAAGCTTTATTTGTTTGTGTTTTGGCGTGTTTGTTCCTTGTTTCTCTTTGTGTGAGTTTTGTTTTTGTTGGGAGCGTTGCAAACAAACTGCGCGGAATTCAGCAAAGTGGGTGTGCAAGGCCGCTGTTCGCGCATCTCTCCCCCTCCCCCTCTTCCTCTCTCTCTGGTGTGAGAATTTCCAGTCGCGCCATGGTTGCTGTTTGTTTTGTGTTGTTTTTGTCTTTTTCCATCGGAAGCTTCCGCGCTTCCGTCTTCCGCGCTTCCGTTGCTCCGTTTTCGCGCCAAACCCTTCCCTCCCCCTCATTCTTCACACCCCCCTTCTCCCGCGCCCGCCCCCTGCTCTGCACGCTCCGCCTCTGCCAGAGCAAACAGCCACCCTTCCAACGCAACTTTGCTGTCGCCACTGCAACTGCTCTTATCCTGCGCTTTGCTTTGGTGGCTGATGGGAAACCTCAATCAAAACAAAAGGCAAAATGCAAAAAGTAAACAAAACAAAAAAGCATACCATTCAACCAAATGCGAAACCCAGGCCTGGGTGCTCGCCGCTGTTTGCTTGGCTGATACGCACGATGAGGGGGGTAGTCTAGTACAGCGCACCATTTGAAGTGGGTTGGGACTCGGTCAAGCTTCGGCGGAAGGGGAGAGCAGGAGAACCCGGAAGAGACCCGTGACGTTGAGGTCTCGACTCGGTGCCACTTAACACCACCACCCCCCGGGCTCCCTGCCCCCTCCCCGAAGCCTCCCTGTCCCTGCATCTCCGCTGTTTAAACATTTGGCTAGTAATACATCGCAGACCAAGTGTAGAGTGCGGGGAAAAGATGCGCTGGAGCGTCTGCGCGGTTGTGAGAACAAAGCCCCGCAAAGATCGCCTCATGATCGCACCCAAATTCAGATCCAATACAGCCGCGCTCGACCGTGCTCGTCTTGGGCGGGTTGAGCGTCCCGTCTACAGCCATAATAGCGAGTCATTGTCATTATTTGAGAAACCAGCAGAGAAGTCTTCGGCCTATTCTTTGTTGCATACCATCCCGCTTCAGCAGCAATCGCTTTTCTCAGTCAAAACCGTTGGGGGGGGGGCACCTCGCGGTTGCATGCGCACACGATTTTGCTTATTAACTAGATGCAAAACTTGTCTCGACCCTGGCTCACTTGTTCACGCAAACAGACAATGAAGACACGCTCTTTCGCTCTGCTGCCGTTGCTGGTGCTATGCTTCATGACAATGCAAGTCGAGTGGTCGCAGGCCGTTCCTTGTGGTCCAGGAGACATATGCGACTGCACAGGAACGACCGCTGCCTGTGGAGACAAGGGTCTGACAACAATCCCAACTGCCATCCCTGCAAACACGACATATTTGTAAGGACAGAACCCATGCGCACTACTGCCAACCCCCTTTTTTTTGCTAAAGATTGCTTGAGTCGAGGACCTCACTCCTCGATCGCGACTGCCAGATCTCTCTACGGAAACCTACTCACCAGCCTTGACTCAAACGCATTCGCTCACCTACCCGCGCTGGCAGTCATGTAAGAAAAGGAGCATGCGGATGATAGAACACGACTTGGAAAACTCACTCGCGTCCAGTGCGGTGAGCTACAACCAAATCACTAGCATTGCCGCAGACGCGTTCGCCGGGCTGAGCCAGCTGACTCAGATGTACGTCGCAGAGGTTGTATTGTTTGGAACAAGGATTTGCCTGCTCACCTTTCGCACGGTTTACAGAATAATGCACTACAACAAGCTGGTCAGCATTCCTACAGATGCACTTGCGGGACTGACTTTGCTTTCCAACCTGTACGCACTTGCTTTCCTGGAGAAGAATTTGGGATTTTTGCAAGCATCTCACGTGTCGCACGGTCCCTAGGAATCTGGCCTCCAATTTGATCACCAGCATTTCGGCAAACGCATTCGCTGGAATGGTTGCGTTGGCAGATCTGTCAGTGTCGATGGTTGTTGTACTTTGAACACAAACAAGAACGGTTTGCTCACTTGTTTGTCAACGACTAGGGCTGTTGGCGGCAATCAAATCACAAGCATTCTGCCTGGTGCTTTTGCAACCTTAACTGCACTGACAAAACTGTGAGCCATTCATCCTTTTGTCTTGGGAGACCCGAATGCGAGCTCATCCTGTTGCGCGACAACTTGCATATTCAGGCAGGTGAACAGCAATCGCCTGACCAGCGTTCCAGCGGATGCCTTCATCGGACTCACAAGTCTACAACACCTGTAAGAAATTCATCTGACGCTGGTGGCAGAAAGAACAACGGCTCAATCGTCGACAACGACATCCTAGCACCTTCAACATTAACCAGATCACCAGTATTTCCGCCAATGCGTTCCCAGGACTGACTTCGCTGCTGACGTTGTAAAGAGCTATTTCGTTTGTAAGATGATATGACCACTCGGACATGTACTGGGACCTCATCCAGTGCGCGTTTTGTTAGATTCCTTAACAACAATGCAATCACGAGCGTTTCCGGCCGTGCTTTCGAAGGGCTGACGGCACTGACCTACTTGTACGTACGCACTTGAAGTTGAGTTGTAATAAGGATCAAGAACCTGAGCTCAGTCGTCGCATGGCAGAACCCTGGAGCGAAACCAGATTGCGAGCATTCCACGAGCTGGATTCACAGGGCTTCCCGCTATTCGGATCTTGTAAGCAAAAGATCTGACGTCAATAGGAGTTGTCACAAGTATCTCACTCGTGGCACGAGTGACTAGAACGTTGAATGAGAATCAGATCACAAGTCTTCCGCCCAACGCTTTCACTGCCATGACTACTCTGACCTCCCTGTATGCAAGAGCGCTTGTTGTAAAGTGTACGTCAATGCTGTGTGAATTCTAACGCGAAGGACTCAGGCCTTTGAATGCGAATCCGATGACAACCCTGCCGCCTGGCTTGTTCAAGGGCTTGAAAAACGGTCTCATCCTCAGTAGCTCCAACGCTAAACTCGCGCCGAACAACTTTAGCTTTGCTGAAAACACTGTTGCTCCGCCAAGCACTTATGGTACTGCGACCCAGCCATTCCGTAAGCTACAGTGGTTGTCGGTTGTTTTGCCTTTGCTTTTGGTGGTTTTGGTGGTTGTGTTTGTTTGTTCCCTCTTGGCTCTACTGTATTTCACTGACATCTTTTTTTTCTCCGTAGAGTGCGACACAGCCTGTGCCACCTGCTACGCCGCCGGAAACAGCTCGTGCTGTGGAGCGAATTGTCTGACCTGCAGCTCGGTCGATGCATGCACTCAGTGCTATGACGGTTATGAAATGGCGAGTGGATACTGTGTTGCGTCGGCGAGCACGAACGCCTCAGACGCTTCAATTGCGTCGGTTGCGTCAACCGCATCGGCATCTGTCGCGTCGCTTGTTTCAGTCACATCCGCCTTGTCTGCTTCGGCGGCATCCACCGCTTCTGCGTCCGTTGCGTCTGTTGTGTCTGTTGTGTCTGATGCGTCTGTTGCGTCTGATGCGTCTGTCGCGTCTGTTGCGTCTATTGCATCTGATGCGTCTGTCGCGTCTGTTGCATCTGATGCGTCTGTTGCATCTGATGCGTCGCTTGCTTCAGCCACTTTTGCTTTGTCCGCATCGATCGCAACTGCATCGGTGGCGTCGATTGCCTCTGATGCGTCTGCTAGTGTTGCTTCTACGATCGCGGCATCGATTGCCTCCGAAGCGTCTGCAGTCTCTGCCCTTGCGGCATCCGCCTCGTCGGCATCTCTTGCGTCGATCGAGTCTCGTGCATCTGCATCTGCCGCAACCGCTTCGTCCGCGTGGCAGACATCCGCAGCGTCGGCAGCCTCTCACAGACCGAACAACAGCAGCGATGCCGCTTCATCGTTGCCAATCATCGTTGGCGTCGTTGTCGGCTTGGCTCTTCTGTTGCTGCTGGTCCTAGTTGTGGCTCTGCGACGCCGTCACGTATCAAAGGCAACCTCCGATGGTGCCGGCACGCTCCTCAAGGGGCCGACTGAATCGGATCCTGTCCATCATGCAAGCTTGCCAGCAACGACCATGCTCAACCCGACCTATGAGGTCATTGCCGAGAAAGCGAATCAAGGCTTGTACGAAGAGGTCGGAACGGCCACGCGAGCTCCGGCTGGTTCCGCAGGACTCGTGTACGCTGAGACATCGGCGGCTGCATCCACAATCCGCTCCCACGCGCCCGCCTCCACCAGCACAACCTACGCAACGGTGATTAGCACGGCCGAGGGTCCGTTAGACGCCACCTATGCATCTGTGTCTGCAGTGTCTGGCGAGGTGAGCCTGAATGAACTGGGAACTGCTGCTGCCTCCAACCCGTATGCCGAATCAACGTACAGCGAGCCCATTGATGCCCAACATGCTTCTGTCGAGTATGCCGATCCTTCACTGCCAAGCCCTTCGACTGTTCGTGTGGCGAACTCGACCCCAGCCACCACGTACTCGACGATAGCCGGAGCACCGTCGTCTGCTGCCAGCGGTGATTACGAATCGCTTGCCAATTGATGTTTTCAGATGGTTGTCCTCCTTTGTGTTTCTGCTTTGTCTATGGGTCTTTCATTGTGTTGTCTTTGTCTTTGTATCAGCGGTCGATCTTGGTTTTGTGACCGTTTCAAGTTCCTTCTGTTGCAACATCGTTGTTTTTTTGTTGCGATTGTTTCTGTTGCAACTTCACTTTTTTAGTCTTTCTCAACACGCTCAGATTTGGTATTCTCATTCACTCTCAGTTTTTTTGTTTCTTGAATTGCGTTCGCTCTCAGCATTGTTCAGTTCTCTCGCGTTCTCAATTCTCTCCCTTCCTTTCACTCTCTGTCTCTATTATCCGTTTTTCATCCAACGTGCGCACGCAATGATGGCTGCCGACCAGCAGTCTGACGACGACGTTGCCAGCTCAGCGTCGACTACTGCATTGCGCGGTCGTTCTGGATCAGACACGTCGTCCGCTGACAATGCGGCTTCGCTCACTCCCCGCGTCCCACCATCACGACCATCGCTACCATTATCATCATCATCATCATTATCATCATCATCGCCGTTCAGTGACGCAGCCGCCGAGTCCGGTGCTCGACGCGTGAACAGCACTAGTAACGCCCGAAACCCAGCCACGGCAAGCACAAGCACGTCTTCTGCATGGGACGACCAACGCGCCCCAGACAACAATAGTGATAATAATCATGATCATGATGACAATGATGATGGAAATGATGAGCGTCGGCGTCCTGCTGCCAATGCCAATGCCGATGCTGCTGCTGCTGCTCCACCTCCAAGAACAAACAGCCAGCAATTGAGCGAGTCGCATCTCGAGTGCCCAATATGCATGGTAAGGCGATCATCACACAAAACGAAGCCGCGAGATGCGCTTAGATACAGTGGCAACAAGCTATCGGAGCTTCAAAACGCTCAATCCAAGTCACTCAAGTTCCAAGTGCAATTTCACTCATCATCCTGGTGTGGTGTTGCGTTGCGTCTGTTTGGTAAACAGAGCCTATTTCGAAGTGCAACGGATCTTTCATGTGGTCACAGTTTCTGTGGTAAGCGGCTTTTTGCACCTTTGTTGCTTTTTGTGTTGTGTGGATGTTTTCAACATGTTCGCTGAGCCTGGATTGTTTGCCTTGTGTTGTTTTGTTCACGATCGTAGCAAGTTGCATCTCAACGCAGCTACAACAAGTGGAACCCAATCAACGACGCTGCCCAATCTGCCGGACACCCGTTACCTCCATCCATCCGTCCTACTCGCTGCGTCGCGTCGTGGATGCGTACATTGAAGCCAATCCAGAGAGAGCATCGCAACTCTCGCCTCTCATTTCACAAGAACAGGTCGGTCACTGCCAGTTGCATGCTTGCCATACGAGAGAGAATTGCTCAACTCCATCGAGACCGATTTTTTTGCTGACATTTTGCTCTACTTTGCGTTTTAGCTCCTTTCGTCAACCGGACCCGTCTTCCCATCACCAAACTCGCTGGTCAATAACAATGCCAACATGGACAGAAACTACGAAGGCCATTTCTCCCCAGCACCCGAAAACCGCTCGCAGCGATCCCAGCCAAGTTCGGGCTCCGAGACGTTGATGGTCATTGTGTTTATTTTTACAGTCTTGCATATTTGGGATCCCTTCGATATGAAGACGCTCTGCGGGCACACCTGGTGGTGCGATTTGCTTCTCGATTCTTACGACGAGGTATTGATAATATTCTGGGTGGCGTTCTTCGTCATGCGAGCATTGTCGAACTTGGAGAATACGGCACAGTAGTTTGGATGCTTGCTGTGCGAGCGGCTACCCGGCTGGTTGTTCATTTTTGTTAACACGAAGTGCGCTTCATTGATGGTTTATTGTCCTTGCTGGATTATTGGACGCTGTGCTCTTAATTGTGCATTCATTGACAAGGCTTTTTGAATCGAGCAATTCTCTTCCAAGTGCGATAAACCAGGATCTCGCTATGGTAGCACATCTTCCGGGTTGACTGGATGCGTCAACGGGATGACGGATAACTTGTCCACATCGCGAGATAGCGCCTTTCTCATATCTGAAGGGTGAAAGAGTGGGGGGATAACAAAACCAGACAACAGGAGATCGACAACGATGAGACAAACACAAGAATGACAGCAATGCGGCAAAACTGCAAAAAAAAAACCCCCAAACACTTACCGTAGGCATCTTCCTCTTCCACGCCAGAATAGTAATTGAGTACAGTCCGGTACACAATGTAGCCAAACTTGCGGTACATGTTGATTGCAACCTCATTCGACTTGCGAACAAAGAGGTCGACAAAGTAGCATTTGTTTCTGCAAACGAGCATCAAAATGTTGAGAAAATCGTGCCGGGGCTTCCTAGATTTTGTTGTTGCCAACGCTGCTCATGGATACTTACTGCTCTGAGAGACGCTCCAGCTGAGCCATGAACTTGTCTGCAAGACCCAGACGGCGGAACTCGGGTGAGACGGTCAGAGCGGTAACATGTCCGTGATAGTCGGAATTGTTGCCCTCGTCCTTTCCCAAAACTGCAAAAGCAGCAACAGACACGCATTACAAGTGATGTTTGCCATTGTGAATGAGTACGAGCATGAGTTAGCAGTCACAGTGCATTGTGGATTGATGTTTGTTCGTACTGTAGCCCATCAGGCGTCCTGTGGTCGACTCTGCCGTTTCGCAGTAGTTTGGCCAGCGCGCGAGGTACTGCAAGTAGAATGACAGGTTGTACTACATCCCAACATGCGCACAGTGACAATGAAAGTGAAGCAGAGAGAGACCAAAGTGAGTGAAGCCAGTCAGTCAGTCAGGCAGTCAGTCAGTCAGTTCCTCTGCTGCTGCGGCTGCTGCTCCTCCCGGTGATCACCACGGATCAATAAGGACCAAGCTTGGTCCAATAAGATCAAGAATTGAGGGTCGACGGTCGACGGTCAACGGTCAACGAGGTCGCTCTCTGCTCGTTGAGCAACATTGCAATCACTCGCGCCTCATGGATGTGCATTTGCTTGCTTGTGACTCACCGTCTCAGTCAACGGATCCAAGTTACTAAACATCACATTCATAGAGTTCAACATCAGACAGAGAACACACCAGAGTCGTAAAAGTTGAGTCAACATCAGTACAACGCAAAAAAGCAAAGGGGAAAAAACGCAATCCCAAAAGTTCTCAGAGAAACGAGTTTTTGTTTGAAGTTGGTTTTTTTGTTTTTGTTCTTACACATTGTTGAAGCGAAACAAGTCGTCGCACACGAAGCGACGCGTCGTCGTCATTATTGAAGCAAGACAAAAGAAGAAGTGAAAATGACTGAATTCGGACATAAATGGATTGAAGCAGTTACTGCTTCAACTCGCTCTATTTTTTTGATTTTGTCTTTTCTTTGTCTTAGTGTCTTTGTTTCGTTTGTTTTTCACTCCTTTTGTTGTTGAGGAAGTGTAGCGGAGATGAGACGTGCGCCTGGCTACTCGTCCTCACACCGAGACAGCGACGACCACCACGACAGCTACGCATCCGGCGACCTTTCTGCAAAGCGACTTGCAGGCTCCTTCGGCTCGGCTGGACGGGCGGCCGCCACCGAAGCGCGGATTGGCCAGATGCAGTCAATGCTAAACCAGCTCAGCGGCAGTGGTCGATCTGGCGCATCCTCATCCTCATCCTCATCCTCATCCTCATCATCATCCTTGCGTCATGGTAAAGGGTTTTCATCGGCAATGGAGGACCAGGCGCCATCGTCCGGCTCTGGCGCGTTCGCTCGCGCGCAGTCCATTGTAGCGCGCGCGTCATCCTCCAAGTCCTCCACATCATCTAGCTGGTCCAAACGCAGCGACCGTCATGATTATGATAACGACAGTTATGATGACGCTGCAGGCGTTGGAGATGGTGATCCATCCAGCGGTGCATCGTCCTCCCGGCGCTCTATCTTTGGTGCGAGCACGCGACCGGCTCGCTGGGGTCGTGGCGGCTCAGACGATGACGATGACCATCACGATCATGACCGCAAAGCGTTCGTGCCGGGCACTGCTTCATCTCGAAGTCGAGCCGAATCGCGACCGTCGTCCTTCCCGGCGGCTGCGCGCGAGCGAAGGCACCGTGCTGCAGAGGCTGCCAACCCAACAACCGGCTTTTGGAGCATGTTTCCGAACGTGAGCAAGCGAGACCGAATTCTCATCATGATTGCCCTCGCCATGTTGCTGGGACGACTGGTGCACTTTATCATTCTCTTGCCGATCGTGCGAACGCCAGAGCTCGTCCCAGAGTACAATCTTGTCACTCTGCGCGAGTGGGATCGATCGTCCAGCGCTGCTCCACACGAGTACCAAACCAAGAGGCGGGTTCGCTTTGCCTCGCCTTCTGCTGCGTTGTCCGCCATGACTGGGAGACATCCCCGTGATGTCGAAGCACTAGCAGCCTTGGTTTGGAACGCGACCATCTTCATGACAGATCGGCCTCATCCCATCGTCATTCGCGAGTCCGGCACCAATCAATGGGCGGCGTTGGATACATGGTCGGTTGACTCCATCGTCCACGACCGAAACGACATGCTTGACGCCGTGTGTAGTGCCACCAATCCGCGTGTGCCCGTGCCCTCTTTCAACCCTCCTGCAATCCACTCGGAACGACTCACAGCCGCCGCTGTCCGACAAGCGTTTGCGACGGCACGGTCGTCTTCCTTTGCCCCTCTGGCGTTGCAAGCGTCCTTTTCCGACAAGGTGCCGCGCAAAGCACTCTTGCCGCAGAAGGCCGGACCCGACGCGCACAATCAGTACAGCGACTCTCACCAAGCCGCACCCTCCAGCGGCGAATCAAAGTACTGCATCGTGCAAGGGTCTCCTGAAACAGTTTTCGGTCGGGAGCGAGCTGCTGACATTTACTTGGGCGATCTTGTCCCGCCCGAGAACAACGCTCGTGTTGTCGCCCTTCCCACGGTCTCTGTCATTCCACACGGCGTCGCCCTGCCTGGACAGGTTGCATTCGACCCCACCTTCCACGTTCAAATCCAGGGCTACAGCGTTGCCACTATTTATGCAGGGGCGCAGCTGGCCGCCGCGCATCCAGTCTCTTTCCTGCATCCGAATTACGGCTCGGTACAAGTGCCACTTGGCCCTGAGCTTTCGGGACCAATGCTCCAACCGGAAGGAGAGGCATCTTCCTCCGAGCACTCAGGGCCCGTTGGGCTACCGCCCTACCCAGCCGAAAAAGTCTCCGGTGCCGTCTTCCCGACAGCCGAGGCGCTTCGGCAAACCCAGGTCTACCTGGCACCAGGAGATGTTGTGTTTGTTCCTGCGCATTGGATCTATACCATCACTCCGGCCCCATCCCCGAGCTTGCGCACGCATGCATCGTCCAAACAAGAAGCGCCCTCCAACGGTTACAGCGACCCAGCGACCTACAGCTCAGCCACCACCTCAATTGTACTCAGCGTCGGGCTGCATTCACCGCAACATGACCGAACTCTGAAGGCCATCTACGCCCCCGACGATCTTCCGCTTGGCAACATTACCAATGCACTCTTTTCGCCGCACATTCCCGCAGAATCGTTCACTTCCAAAGACCGCCTCACTCTCGAGAGCCTACAAAACCCAGTCTTCAGCTGGCGAGGCGTACTGGAAGTAGAGTTTTTCTTGGATCAAGTGTATCGCGCAGTCACCACCCGTCCGCAACTCGCCAACCCCATCACAAGTGCCCTGGCCAAGTCGCGATACGCGCCAGGAGCCCATTTCTACCAAGCCATGGCGGGTCACCCCATCGCCTCCATCAAGCGTCAGTGTGCGATATTCTCCCATTTTATGCGCCTGCCGGAGGACAAGAAGACCACTCTGCGCCGTGACTTGCAGCGCGCCCACTCCCGAAAGTACACAAACATGGATGACATGGCGACATCCGCTTCGCTAGATCTGTCGGAGCCGTTTTCACTCGACATTGTGACAAAACGTCGTCTCATTGATGCCGCGAGCGTCTACGGCGACGCCCTCTCCGAGCTGCCGGGTCCTATGCTCCAGCTGCACTTGCACAACTTTTTCGAGCATGTGCTGGCGCGCGCTGTTGGTGCGGAGAATGTCGGCGTTGTCCTGCTGTGGTGCCTCAGCCGGTCTTAGGGCAGAGGGTCTGCCACAAATGTTGGGGTTTTGTCAAAGCACACAAACGCACATGAATCATATTGTCACAAATAAGAGCGATAACAAGCATAAAAAATCAAAAATCGATAATAAGACATGGCTGTAAAATCACACAACAGGCGCAAAGGACTTTCAATCTGCTTTGACGTGCTGCAACAAGAAAACACAAAAAGCATGAGTCAAAATTGACCGAGAAAAAATCCATTTCATGAATCCATCACACACCTTCAGCCATGAGTGATGTAGCGCTTCGTTTGCACTCAAGCGTTCGAAAGGATCTGCCTTTAGAAGTCGTGTTATCAAATTTCGAGCTGCCAAAACAAATAAAGAAAACAAAAGTCAATCAAATGAACCAGTCAGAGATTGGGACCTATCGCCATAATCATTGGCATGGGATAGCTCCACGATCCTTACCTGCTGGAGAGATGGACTGCCATCCAGGATGATCAAACCGTACGTCTGCCCGCACAATCTTCTTCATCAACTCAAAGTCACTCTCGTCGTCAAACGGATAGTCTCCCGACAAGAGATTGTACAAAATGACGCCACAAGACCACAGGTCGCAAGCGTGGTCGTACTGCTTCCCCGAGATGATTTCGGGCGCTGGAACCCAAAAACCCAAACACCCAGTGAAAGTGAGTGCACAAAGACCAGTTGTGTTTTGTTTTGCTTTTTTTTCCTGGAGATGATCACATGCAATTTAGGACATACCCATGTAGTGCATCGTGCCGCAAGATGATTGCAGCAATTGTCGCTTTTTGGCAGTCTCCTCAAACAAACTCACGACGCCGAAATCTGAAATTTTCACGCCCTTGCTAAAGTTCTCGCGATCCATCAGCAAAACATTCTCCGGCTATAAATCCAAAGGCAACACACACAAAACTCGTGAGTTGATTCGACGAAAGGTACCACCCGGCCTTATCCATCAAACCAGAACAAACAACGTACCTTGAGATCGCGATGCACAACTCCAATACTGTGCAAATAGGCAACACCCTGCACAAGATTCTTCATGATGATTGCTGCAGTCGCTTCCGGAAACGAGTTGCGCTCAATGATGGCGTCAAACAGCTCGCCGCCGGGACAGCTGTCAATGAGAGAACAGTGGTGAGTTTCAAAAGTCAAAGAACGCCGGATAGAAAAACGAGGAGTGTGGCTTACAACTCAATTAACACGTAAAGGTACTTGTCATCTTCGGAGGTTTCTTCGAATGCGACCACATTTCGATGCTGTGCCTTGCGAAGCGCGGCAATCTCGTTTTCCAGCCGTACTTTGTCCACCACGCGTGCCTTGATGACTGCCTTCATGGCAAACTCCAGGCCAGTTTCGCGATTTTGAACAAGAAACACCATGGCAAAGGCACCCCTGTCAGCATTCCCAGACCGAAGGAAGTGAGCATGGCAAGGTGCCACAAACGAGGCCTAGCTCATCGTCTCGGTTGAACTTACGATCCCAGCTTTCGCTTTATCTTGTATCGCGACAAGATTGTATCGGAAAACCCGTATAGCTCTGTTTGTACGGACCACAGCATTGAGCAACTGGTCGACGAATCGAAAAAAGCAACGGATGGAAACAGCCACAAAGAGACAACACTGACCGAAACTGTGATCTTCAACCTCTTCGTCTTCCCGGAGAAGCCCTTTCGGTTCTGGTGCTGCGGAAACGGCAGGTGTGGTGGATATTGGTGCCGCGGTGGGCTCTGGTTTTGTTTCAGCTGGCGGTGCAGATTGCGGCTGTGCCAACGAGGAATTGGTGTTGGGAGTTGCGCCAACAACAGCACGCGAGGGTGGTGGTGCAACAGGAGAAGCAAGACCTGTCGCGGGGTTGTATGGTCTGGATGGTGGAGGAACTGGCTCTGCAGCCGCAAGAGAAAAAAAAATCAAATAGTCCAACGATGAGTTTTGATGGCAAATCACTGACCCAGGCTTGGTTGAGTTGTTCATGCTCATACTTGCGCCAGGTGCAAGTGTATCGGCCGACATCACAGTAGTGTCAGGACTGCCACGCTGAGGTTGCCTTGCAAAATCTGACCAGAGTTCAAAATCAAAGAGAATACAAACGTCAGCCATTGTGCAAAAATCCCAAGCCAAACTCCCCAATAAACATTGTCATGACACAGAATTGCAACCGAATTCTGAGAAAAAATTAAGACATGAGAAAAATTCAAACCAAAATTTCACCAAATAAGGAAAAATCTGAAACCTTGATGCAAAAAAAAAAAAAAAAAAAAAAAAAGTGTTCGTTTTGAATGCGAAATGCCGCGACTTTGAAGCACAAACAGAGCAGTGGAGCAAACAGTGCTGTTGTGTTGAAGCGAGAAACTTCAACATCAAAAGGCCGACGCGAGCGCTGCGATTTGCGATTTGCGATTTGCGATGCGGAACACTCTGCAAGGATTGGAAAAGGAAAGAAACCCAAAAAAAAAAAAAAAAAAAAAACTTTGAGGCTGAATAAACCTTAATCGGCAACTCACCCCCGTCAAACGCGATGCTATGGCAGTGCGGGCAGCCCAGGCGGACACCAGCCCTGCCCCCCCCCCCACAAAGCAAGACACGGAGAGCAAGCAGAGACGCATCGCAAAGAGAGGAAGCCAACCCCCGGGTGGCGGACTGAGCGGCAAGAGACGCAAGGAAGCGAACTGTGGCGGACAAGGCCACTCACTCACTCACACACGAACGAACACCAGGCCAGGGGTCAGTCATGGGGCTGCATGCCACACGAGAGAAGCACCGCTGACGATGCGTCATGAACAAGGCTGGGCAAGCCAAGGGTGGGAGTGACTCAGTCACCTCGAACCCAAATAAAATAAAAAATAAAATAAAAAAACTCCATTTTCATTTTGAATACAGCATTGTGCTGCTGATGACCCACACAATGCCCCCCCCATGTCCGATGAGCACGACGCCGCCTCCCGAATTCGCCAAAGCAGCGACTCATGAAAGAAGACCAAAATTTCAACCGCAGTTGATGCGCAGAAAGCGAGCGTGGCAAAGTCAACTGGTTTTCGCTTACTGGATCAAAAGCAAGACTGATTTCCTTTTTTTTCTTTTTTTTCTTTTTTTTGGGACTTTCCCATTGGTTTTCGATGATCCGGTTTCAACGGTTCGACAGAAAAACAAAACAAGGAGCATGAAAAAAGAAGCTCAGATTCGATTAAACAAAAAGAAGAGGCACAAAAAAAAATACAACAGTCGCTCAACAAAGAATCAATCGATTTTGAATTCACGATCGCGCGGACGCGTGCTTCTTGGCCTCGACCTTGAGCTTGGCCTCGAATTGATGATCAAACTTCTTTTGAGAACCTGTTCGGTAATTCTTGAGCTTATAACGACGCTTGGGTCTGTGTGTCAAAGAAAAAAAAAGCACGAATGTAAAACCATGAGCAAAACCTGAACCTGAACAACATCACGCAACAAACAACACAGAAACTGCCAAGTAACGTACGCGACGCGATCGCGAGCTTCAACCATGTTGCGTCGCTGCAGACTAAGGAAGCGGTCCTTGAGAAGATTGCCCTCTTGGACCAGCGAACGGAGCGTGTCGGGAAGCTCGTGCCTGAGCTTGACTTGCATGGGCTCCTCGACGAACGCCTTGCGGCCAAGACGCTTGGTCGCGTAGGGCTCGGTGGCCTCCTGCACGGCGGCCTTCTCGTCGGCGCGATCCTCAATCTCGTCCAACTCGCGCTCAACCTCCTGCGCAATACTCTTGGCACGGTAAATGTCTTGCTGAACACCACGCGCCTTCTTGGCGTCGGCAGCCGCTCGCACGCGCTCGCGCTCTCGTCGCTCGCGGTTGCGTTGGGTCTTGGTCTTGCGGGCGTCATCGGTAGTGGCAGGGTTGGCCGAGCGGTAGGGGGCAGAATCGTCTTCCTCGTCTTCCTCGTCCTCGTCTTCCTCGTCTTCCTCGTCTTCCTCGTCCTCGTCTTCGCTCTCCTCGTCTGATTGTGCGTCGTTAGTGTCCATTGCGGAAGTATCAGCGTCGTCGACTACTTGCACGACGAACGCGGATATTGCTGAAGCTGTTTGCTTGGAAGCTGCTAACTGTTTTGGTGCGACCGCCATCGGCACGGACGTGCTCAGGCCCTGAGTCACAGCCCCGCTCTTGGCCTGGGCCGCTGCATTCTTCTTGGACGCCTGGCTGTCCTTGGCAGCAAGGGAGGGGGTGTCCATAACGCGATCGTCGCTCCATCCACCGACAAGGGTGCCGTTGATGTTGAAGGCATCCTGGACCTCGTCCTCCCACTTGTAGTTGGCCTTGCCGTTCTTTTTGGCGCCCGAGGACACGTACGGCTTGAGGCGGTTTTTGATGCGCTCGGCTTCAGCCAACCTGGCGACTTCTGCTGCAGCAGCAATGGTGAGCGCGTCAGCGTGATCGTCCTGGTCGGGATTGTACGATTGACCGGGATGCGCGGCCATCACAGCCGGCAGCGCCGATGGCGCCTGACGCATCGTGACTGGAATACGCTTGGGCACGGGCAGCGTCGCCTGCACATAGTCTGAGGTGAAGCCCTTCTTGTTCCATGGGACTGGCGGGGCTTGCACGTTGTCTGTGACGCTGGTACTCAGCGCTGGAGTCGACCACAAGTCAAACCCGGCCACCTGGTGGCCAATGACTGGTGGTGGCGGCACAAAGGCGTCCTTCTTGGCCGCAATCGCGAGCGACTTTGTGACTGGGTGCGAGTAGTCCTCGCCGACATCGGAATCGGATTCGTTGCCGCTGGGCCTGGCCGTCTTGAGCTTGACTTCGCGCAGTTTCCGCGTGGGAGCAGCACGACCGCCCGCCACCGCCTTGATGAACTGGTTGCCTGCAATCACCTTGTCGACGTGCGACTGGCGCGGGGTGCGCTTGGGCGGACCACCGACAGCGATCATCAGTGCGCGCGGCTGCTCTGCTTCAGCCTCTTCCTCCTCCACTTCCATTGCCACAGCTGCTTCTGCCGCCGCCGCCGCCGCTTTGGACGCAGCAGTGGTCTTCTTGCTTGTGCCGGCAGCTGGCTTGGCTGCGGTCGCGGACGCCTTCGCCTTGGTCGCCTTCGACGCTGATCGGCCATCCACATGGGAGCCACGAGGCTTTGGCTGGAGCTCCTCCTCTTCCGGCTCGTCCTCGCCGCTCTCAGCCCCATCCTCACTGTCGTCACCCGTCGACATCTTTGCGGATCTGGTTTGCCTGAGACTGGTCTTGACGGCGGCGGCGGTCTTGCCGTTGTTGTTGGCGGCCGCCTTGGAGCGCGTCGCCACGCGATCAATCATGAACAGCGCCGCGTCGTCCCGCTCAGCCATCGCGCCACCCGTGCGCTCGTCGTGACGGATGGTCTCGATGTAGTCGTCAAACTCGGTCGTCGGGATGTTCTTGCGCATGTTCTTGGTGCCGGCCTTGCTCACTCGCTTGCGCTTGGGCTGCTCAGGCGCTGCTGCTGGTGCTGGTGCTGCTGCTGGTGCTGGTGGTGCCTTTGCTTTGACCATTTGCTTCAACTCTCAGACAAGATAATAAAAAGACTAAACAAACAAACAAACACTGCACGACCAAGCGAATGGGAATTGGTTTTGCGTTGGATTGATTGCGCTGTTGAAATTCGTCTCAAAGCATTCATCACCTCTTCCACTGAAAATCATCCACCGACTTCAGGAAAAGGTCTCTCAAAGTCCCCGTTGTGAAACATTCACTGACAAATTTTGCTAAAGTGAGCGTCCAGTTGAAAACCCCAAGCAACAAAACGAAAACAATTCAACTGCAAAAATGAAAAAAAAGCTCTGTTGAACTTTGAGACGATCGACAAAAAACATCAAAACTTCCGGCAAAATGGATATCACTCATGCACAACATCCGCCTGCAGGTTCCGCAGAACGGCCAGAACCAACGGGGTCTCGTCGTGCTAGAGGAACGGTTGCGCCATCTACCAAAGTACACAGAATAAACCGTCAGCACGTCAACTCCGCCAAACAAACAAACAAACAAACAAACAAAAAAAGCTCAAACACAACAACACGCGACAGGATCTCGAGCACAAAACATACCAGCTGCAAGTGTTCGTGTCTTTGACTCGCTTTGGATGAAATCCTCGGCAATCGCTGTAAAGAGCTCCTGAATGCCTTGGCCCGTCTTGCTTGATGTGTCAAAATACCGTGCGTGCACCTCGTCGGCGTAGTCTGACACGGAGTGGACATCAACACGGCCACTACGATTGCCCTCCGCTATATCGACCTTGGTGCCGCAAATGTACAACTTGCAATGCTCCTCGTTGTTTCGCAATTCGTTCACCCAGAATTTAAGCCGTTCAAATGATGTTGGGTCCATGACATCTGACCAACAAAGAGGAGGGAAAAAAAGATAGAGAGAGGGAGAGGGTGAGAAACTTCTTTCTTGATAGTTTGCGCCAAAGCGGTCGTTGTGATTCGGAAGGCGCTTACCAAAGCATGTGATTGCTGCCTTGGCGCCACGATAGTAAATGCGACTCATTGCCTCGTATCGTTCAGAGCCAGCGGTATCCTGATGATGAGGACAATGTGAGCGGGAGACAAGTCAAAACGAGATGTACATCCAAGGCACAAATCGGATCAAAGACACATCGGATCAAAGACACATATCGGATACCACCACCACCCACTGACTTACCCATATGCCCATCGTGATGGTATGGCCGCCAATTTGCAGCTTCTTTGCGCCGAACGCCGCTCCGACAGTCTGAACAATATCCACAAAGAGTCGGAAATTGTGAGTAACACGGGAACACACAGAGGTATTGCAACATAACATGATGTTGTTTGTGAGGTTTTAGATTTGCAGTGACGGCAATGGGAACCGCCTCCAAGCCTCAAAATCTCAGAATCTCCTCGGTTCAAGCAAAGCGTCGCTACAACGAAACAAACCGCTTCAAACCTAGCCCCTCAAAGATTTTGCCAATATGAATGTGCATCCCCCCCCCCTATGAAGGCTGGCCAACACAGACAGCAGAGTGACCATTGGGGAACTCAAAGCGACTGCGCAATGGCGATTTGCTCCTCGGAAACGTCCCCCGCTCTGCCTCTTCGTCACCCAACCAACCACCAAACCAACCAACCAACCAACCAGTGACAGCCACTCAATGTCAGCACTGTCCACACGCGGTTGTGGTCACGCTGACTTGTCCTTTGGCTGGGTTGATTCTTTCCCCGCTTCCCTCTTCTTCCGTCTCTCTCCTTGTCAAACGCCCGAAACCCAACCCCACTTGACCAACCCCCAAAAGTCGAGATGAACCTTGCAAAGCCAAACTGAGTTGAACTCGATCGCCCCGCTCGCTCGCTCGCTCGCTCCCGTGGACGTCACCGGACTCTGCGCAACTCCGCTCCGACATCCCCCCAACCAACAACTCTGCCCTTCTTTCTCTATCTCTTGGTTACAACTCTCGAAACCACTCACGGCTTGGTTGACGCCAAAGTTGAAGCGGTCATGCAGATAGCGATCGACCAGGCACGTCTTGCCACTCGCCTCGCGGCCGAGCAGAACGACCTTCAGATCGACTTTCGCTGTCATTTCTCCCTTCTTTTTTTTTTAGTTTGTGGCGAATTGTGTGAAGAGTGAATGAATGACTGAGCTGTTGATGAAAGTGTGTGTGTCTGACATGAACATCAATGCAAATCCAAAATACAAATCGAAAAACTCAATGCAAATCCAGTCAACTTTTTTTTTTTTTTGAGTTTACTGGTGCTTTGGTTCAGCATGGCTTCGCTGATCTGTTGTGCGGGTGAAATGGCTGCGTGCTGTGCCTGCCGTGCCCTGACGAGCTGCTGCGGGTAAAGCAACGCTAGTCCATTGAGACAGCATTTGGCGGGACTGTATCGTTCGCAGCCGCGACTGAGCTCCATGAGGAACCACCGACTCTCGACCAACTTCCCACCCTTTGGCTGTTTGGGTGTCTGTGCTTGGGGCTTTGCTTTGCGCATTGGCCGCTGGGGATGAGGACGTTGGGGCGTCTGGTACGGTTTGCTTGAAGCGTTTTTGTACGTGTTCGACGATGGCGTCACCAAAACGCGAGCCATCTGCTTTCCTACCATTGAGAGTGTCGCTTTTGTTGTTGAACTCGTCTGGCTTGCAATGCGGAGCGCATCTGTGTGTAAAAGCGACGGCGAGTTGCTCTGGAAAGCAAGGACGCAGGCTGAGGGGAAAAGAGGAAAGTGAGACCGACCCGTTTTCTGAGACGTTGAGAAGTTACTCAGAGCTCATGTTGAGATATTTTTATAAACAAAAACAAAACAGAAATTATTGTTTGGTATGTTGTCCCAACGCACTGCGTCGTGCTTCTTGTTTTGCAACTCACTACAATACTTTTTTTGCACTTTGCAGATTGGTCAGCCGCTCGGTCGGCACGCGCGTTACATACGCAATCATGTTCTTGACGGCCTCGATTGCGGCGTGGATTCTGAGCTCGTCGTGGGCAGAGGACAAGATGCAGAGCACTGCGCCCAGCTACCTCGATTTTGGTTGCAACGACAACGACCCTTCCTGTTACGGCACGGTAGCAGTGTATCGGGTCTGTCTGGGCCTCGTACTCTTCCACACATTCATGGCGCTGATCATGTATGGCGTCTCCTCGAGCAGCGACCCTCGCGCATCCATCCAAAACAGCTGGTGGCCGCTCAAGCTGGCGCTCTGGCTCGGCTCCATCATTGGCTGCTTTTTCATTCCGGGCAGCAACATTGAGCAGTTCCAGTACCCCAGCATGGCGGGTGCGATTGTGTTCATCCTCATCCAGCTCGTCCTGCTCGTGGACTTTGCCCACTCGCTCAACGACAAGCTCGTTGCCAAGTTCCAGGACACTCAGGCGCGCATCTGGTTTGTTCTTCTCATCGGACTCACCTTCCTGTTCAACGGCACCGCCTTTGCGCTGACTGTGATCATGTGGACGTACTTTTTGCCTGGCGACTCGTCGTGCCGCATCAACACGTTCTTTGTGACGTTCAACTTTCTGGTGTGCATCGTCCTGACGCTCGTGTCCATCTCGGGCAAGGTGCAGGAGCACAACCCAAAGTCGGGACTCTTGCAGTCGTCCGTGGTCACATTGTACTCGACCTACCTTGTGTGGAGCGCCGTCTCGAGCGAGCCCGAGAGCGACTATCCCTGCAACTCGCTCACCTCCACCGACTCGACGCAGAACGTCGCTGTCGTCATTGGCTTTATTCTGACGTTTATTTCAGTCGCCTACGCCGCTGTTCACACTGGGAGCTCCTCGGGCTCTAGTTCTGAAATGACGCACGTGCCTTCCTCCAGCAACTCGGCCATCATTGCCGAGCAAGGCGACAAATCTGGTCGTGCCGCTCAGGGCGATGATGGCGCTGACGATGACGATGAAAGCGGCGGCGTCAACTACAGCTACTTTGCCTTCCACCTCTGCTTTGCTCTTGCCGCCATGTACATGGCTGAGGTGCTGACCGGGTGGAATGACATTTCGAGCGGCAACAACGGCTTTGTCATCAGCCAGTCGACCGCGGCTGTCTGGGCCAAGATGGGCTCCAGCTGGGGCGTGTTGGTCCTGTACTTCTGGACGCTGATTGCACCCATGGTCTTGTCCAATCGCGACTTTTCGTAGAGCGTGGTTGTGTAAAAAAATGTTTGTGTGCTTGAGTATTCGTGTTTTCAGATCAAAATACACAGTAATGTGATTCTCCAGCTCGCTTTCTATCTATTTATGTGCTCGATGACTGTTTGCACTACTTTGTTCCAACTCCTTTTCCTAATCCTCTCAGACCTCTCTGCTCACTCTTTTTTTTGTCAACATGCGCTCGCAACCAAGCATTCTGATTACCGGCACTCCTGGCGTTGGCAAAACAACTCTGTGTGAGCTGGTTTCCGCAGCGACTGGCTATCCGCACTACAATGTCAGCCAGATGGCCAAGGACGGCAACATGCTGGACGGCTGGGACGAAGAGTACCAAACGCATGTGCTGAACGAGGACAAGGCAAGCTTTTGGAAGCAACGACCAACGCTTTCGCTCTGTCGCGCTCAACGAGGGAACTAACTCGAGTATCCAGAGCGTCAAAGTGCTGGGGGTGGGGGCGAGCCGGACCTGACTGGGCAGGCAGTTTTGGGGATTTGGTCGCTGTTGGATCCGGCACACACATGGTCCAAACTTGCACTCCCACTCATGCACTCGTCTGCCATTGTCGAGCTGTTGGAACTCATCCTGTTGTGTACATGTTTTTGTGCTTTGGTGGAACATTTTTGATCTGACACGCAGTTGCTGGACGAGCTCGAGCCGCTTGTGCATCCCGGCGGTGCGATTGTTGATTACCACGGCTGCGAACTCTTCCCAAAGCGATGGTTTGACCTCGTCGTCGTCCTGTGTGCCGATAACACTGTGCTCTATGATCGCCTGTCTGCTCGGTAATGCCGAATGGAGATTTTGCACGAGTTGAGCGACCAAAAGAGCAAGAAATCGGTTTGCATACTGACTCGATTTCGGTTGTTTTTGTGCAGTGGATATACTGGCAAGAAGCTGAGCGACAACGTTGAGAGCGAGATTATGCAGGTACATGGCGTTGGGTGATGGCTTGATATGTTGGGTGATTGGATGGACAAACTTTTTGCTGACAAATGAAAATGTCGTTGCTGCATCAGGTTATTCTTCAAGAAGCGCACGAGTCGTACGATGCAGAAATCATTCTTCACCTTGAGAACGACACGACAGAGCAGATGGAGCAGAATGTGCAGACCATTTCTGAATGGATTGCTCAGTACAAGCTCAAGCATGCTTAAAGTCGAGCGACAGTCTCATGTCCTTGTGTTAGTTGATTTTGTATTTCTTGAAATAGAGCTAGAAGGTGGTGCGTTATTCCCTTTGCCATTCCTGTACCTGCTTGATGAAATGAGAGTGACATGCATAGAAAGCGACACTCTATCTGCACTCCCATTGAAACGCTCGATCGTCGAAACAAAAGGAATTTCATGCAGAAGCGACACTTCCTAGTCGCCCAGTGAAACGCTCGACCGCCAAAACAAAAAGGAACTCATTTAGCTTGGAAATCGAAAAGTAAACATGATCTGTTGTTGAGTGATAACAGACGCCGCGGTTGCTGGGCGAGCAAGACAAAACACTGAAAAAACGCCTCAAAGGTGCTCCGCAGCGGTCGGTGCAGGCTCCTGGAACAGCGCCGTCATGCTCAAGCGAGTGAACGCACGGTTGTAAGCAAGCGGGGCACCGGTGCCAGTCGATCGCTTGGCAACGGCAACGTGCACCAGCTGCTCCGTCAGGTCGTAGACGGCAATGTGGAGATCGCCCGTCTGGACGATCGGCAAAATGTCGTTGATGGTGACCTCGGCCGTAATGTTGCCGTAGTGCTTGGTCAGCTGACGAGCGAGAACAATGTCATAGTTCGGGCAGAGCCAGTCCATGCCGTAGTAGACAATGTTTTCGATGCGCGGATGCCAGGTCTCGTTGTACGGCTGCATGTTTTGGTCGTCAAAGATGTTGGCAACCGAATACGAGTACTGGACGGAGCGGAACTCGTTGAGCTGTCAAAGAATAAGCAAAGCAAAGCCAGGTGAGCGAACGTATTCAAACGGAAGATCAGCACACTGTTTGTACCTTGCCATCGCCGACACCGAGAATCAAGGAGCAGGTGCGATGAGCGTTGGTGATGCGGTTGAGCGCGTCATCAATCGTCTGGTCAAACTGAAGGATGTCACGGAGCAAGAACTGTGGCATATGGTCGATCGTGAGCAAAACACTTTCGAAAACAAACAAACCATCAAGCACACAAGTTCTTCTCAGGACGGTCTTACAGTGAATGGAACACCAAAGCGAGAGTCGGATCCAAAGGATGCATCAGAGTAGGTGGCACCAATCTCGGAAATGGCCGTCTGAACGGACGAGAAGCCTGTGGGCCATAAACAAGTCAGTTTGCTGTGAAAACTGCATGATACGACCAATTACTCCCGTCCTCCCCCCCCCAAACGTACCAGTAATAGAGCCAAGCCAGCCAGTCCAGCCAATGTTGGCAAATGCGTGGCCATTGTCCGAGTTGGAGGGGTGGTAAACGGTAATTTGAGGGTAATCCTTGAACGGGCCGTCAACATCCCAATCGAGGGCGCGCATTTGGAAGAGCTTCCCTGTCGACGCAGTGGCCTTGCCCCAGGCGCCATACATGGAGCAGCCGCCCTTGGTCAGCTCGCCAATCATGTGAACGCGACGAATCATCTTGTAGTCCAAGCCGGTGGCATCGGCGAGGCCGTGCATCTCGTCCAAAAAGTACGAGCCAGTGTAAGGGTTGGTGGCATCGAACGTCAGGTCGAGAGCCGCGTCCAGGCTGGGGAAAGATGCGAGTCACGGTGAACAAGAATGTGCAAACAAAAAAAACAATGCAACTATTTGAACGTGCAGCAACAATCAACGCACCCAAAGTTGGCAATGAGATCGACCATCCATGGGCGCAGGTTGTGAGCGGTGCCATTGATGGCGGAATCAGCCTGACCAACGAGGTACGCCCAAACAGCGAGGACAAACTCGCTTGCCTCTTCCTTGAGAATCGAGCCATGAGCATAGCCCATCTCGTACGGAGAGCCTGTTTGTTTTGTTTGTTTGTTACAAAGAAATCGGTGCCGCCAAAAAATAGCACCATCAAAAAGCCAAAGCCAAAATCCAGCATGTGCGTTAGGTTAGCGGCATGTGGAGCGGGTCGAAAAAGCGATCGCGTCAAGATTCACCGACCCCAGACGTGGAGAATGTTGAACTGGTCGTCGCCCTGGCCGGCAATGAAGAGCTTGGCGTTTGTGATTGAGCGGACAAGCACGGGTGCGCTCGTGGTGATGGGCAGCGTGTTTGGCTGGGCGTCAGGATTCGGCTGCAGGAAGGCGAGGATGGATCAAAAAAAAACACAAAAAAAAAAACCACATCAGGAGAAAGTGAGCATGGCGCGCCATTGTCTCCAGCGGGTGGTCGGGGGGGGGGGTTGTGTTGAGTGGGTTTTTGTCATTGTATGAGCATGGTTGAGGGGATGCGGAGATGTGAGCGGACGGTGAGCGAGCAGAGAGTCGCGAAGAGAGCGGCAAAGATGATCAAAACAAAAAACAAAAATATAAAAAATAAAAATACAAAGCAGTTCCAATGGATGCTTGTTGAAGGCGGATGAGCAGCGAGATCCTTTTCATCACGCAACACTGCAGTGAGTTTGATGGGGGTACGATTGTGTGTAGAGTGTGGTGAGGGGGGGGGAGAAACAGGGCGAAATGGCGCCATTCGCTGCGCAAGCCATTTTGTTTGTGTGCCCCAATTGGACGAATGCTCCGCTACTCCTTCTCCGAGACAACGAGCGAGGCTGTCCGACCCGAGCAACGATGCGAGAACAAAGAACGAAACGAGCGGGCGAAAGGGTGCGGCGATTGGGGTCGTACCTTGCCATTGCAGTAGGCGCCGAACGCTGTTGGGATTGCTGCGCAGCCGAGCAGCGCGACAAGAACGACGAGAAGAAGCTTCATCAGAAAGGGTTGAAGAAGAAAAAAAAAAGATGGACTGGAGCAATGAAACCTTGGGATGGGGCGGCTTGGTGAGGGTTGGTGTGATGAAATCGAGCCAGCAGCGAAAATCTTGCAGCGAAAAATGATCGATGATTCTCAGATCACTCAGGAGTATCACTCGTAAGCATCTGTGCCCAAGATTGACAACATGTTGATATGGAGCCATAGCTCAGCGGTAGAGCAGCTGACTGCAGATCAGCGGGTCACGAATTCGATTTTCGTTGGCTCCTCACCTTTTTTTTTTTTGCTTTTTTTTTTTGGATTCGGTTCGTTCCTGCTGCGCACTTGAGGGTCATCCTTTGTTTCTTTTTTGTGTTTTTGTATTAATGATACTCTGGTTTTTGTTGCGTTTTGGTTTGTAGAGCAGTTGGAGGGCGAAATTTTCGAGTTTGCTGGTTTTGTTCAATTTCATGTGTTCACCGAGCTTCAAACTATAACTTTTGCAACGCAATTCAGCATTTGCTCACATTTCCAATATTCAAATACCGACCCCCAGAAACCACACAACACTCAATTCTGACACAGCATTCTTCTACTCTCTATCACTCAAGCGAGCAACTCGCATCGGTCCAACTCGACTGGATCAACCAGCTCCCGACCTCAAATCCCATTTTCACAGCTCCCAGTCAACGTTTCGCCCAATCCACCATGAAATTACAAAACTAAATCATATTTCAAGCAATTTGATCAACGTTGACTGGAGCTCTCGACGATCGGCACACTCCCAATTTCAATGCGCGCTCATGACATTGGCGGGCAAAGCGCGGTCGATTCAGCGCAACCCAATGCGGCCGATCGCCCTCTCCGCGCTCGCTTCCTCGACGACATTCTCGCAGATATAAGCACACACCAGTCTGGCTCCAACGCGGGGACCAGCAGCAGCGCAGGAAGCACTGTGAGCGACGCTGGACTCGTCGCGACGTCGTTTCAGGCCATGCTGCTATCCGCGCCCGTGCTCGCAGGCCTGAGCGCTGCGGGATTCACTCGCCCTTCACTTGTCCAAGCGCATGCCATTCCGATCGGGAAAACCGGTGCAGGTAGGCTCCAGGCTCACCCCTCAAATTGTCACCCCCTTTTTGCTCAGAATGACCAAACCCATGTTGAAATCCGCCTGCTCCTGCAGATCTGATCGTCCAAGCAAAGAATGGCACAGGCAAGACATGCGTATTCAGCGTACTTGCACTAGAAGCAGTCGATACAAGCATTGCTGGCCCACAAGTAATGATTGTAGCTCCAACGCGCGAGGTCGCCGTTCAAATTCGCGACGTAGTCAAGTCAATCGGCGAGAAAATGAAGCCACCACTGCAATGCAATGTCTTTATCGGTGGTACGGCTAGTGCGGCCGACAAGCCGAGTGCACGAGTCAGTCATATCGTAGTGGGAACACCAGGTAAAGGCCACGCATGTTGTTAGTTCTGTTCACCTGTGAAGCAACTTCCCCTTCTCTCAACCGCTGCTCTGCAAATCAGGACGCCTCATGGGCTTGATCACGGCCAAGTGGCTCCCAACACAAGGCATTAAAATGTTTGTCATGGACGAGGCAGATCGACTGCTACAAGAGCCGTGCCTGCCGCACGTCAAGTAAGTCAACAGAACTTTCTCATCTTTTCGGCGAATTGGCAACCCATCATGCCTTCGCGCAGTGAGACGAACATATCTGCTCGTCTACCGACCTTCTCGCGATGATGGAACTCACTTTTCAACACTCTCGCAGCACCATCTTTTCAGGGCTGCCGAAATCCAAGCAAGTGCTCGCTTTGTCTGCCACATTAGACGAAAGCCTTGTTCGCCAGCTCGAATCCCACATGACCAATCCAAAGCAAGTTCGCATTACTCCCGAGCGCCCGACATTGGCTGGAATATCCCAGTACAAGCGTGTTGTCGTCTGCGAGAGCCTCTTGCCAGCGCAGCAAACAGAGAGCAAGGTTACCGCGCTCCTAGAAATACTTTCCAAAGTCCAGTTTCATCAATGCGTTGTGTTTTGCGGGTCACGCTCAAGGTACATTGATTGTTGCGCGCTTGTGCTGTACTCAACTGACTGACTGTTGCTGACCCTCTGACTGACACAACCATCATCATTCTGCCACTCCCACAAAGCGCCGACAATCTGGCTGCTCGACTCTGTGATGAGCAGTGGCCAGCGACTTTTATTTCAGGCGATCAAGACCAGGCTCAGCGGTTGCACGTCATGCAGTTGCTGCGCTCGTTCCGATTGAGAGTTCTCGTTTCGACTGATCTTGTACGCGCGTTCTCGACGAGGACAACTTGATGCGCTCTGAACAATTTGTACTCACAGTTTTCGTTATTTTGTGCTGTTAGATTGCTCGTGGCATCGATGTCGATCGCATCAATCTTGTCATAAACTTTGATCTTCCTCGAGATCCAGAGACGTATCTCCATCGTATCGGACGAACAGGACGATTTGGTAGGTTGCAATCCGAGAGAGAGGATTGGTTTGGCCGTTGTGCTGGATTGACTGGGAGGTGTTCTGTTTGTTGTTGTTTTGTCGGCGGTAGGTACTTATGGAATCGCCATCACACTTCTCCTGGCATCCGAGCTCGACCAGCTCAACGACTTTGCTTCCAGTTTGCATGCGCAGATTTCTGATCTTCCAGGTAACTTGTCGCTCTGCGAGGGGACATGCGTCAAATAATTCTCACGACGCAATTTGTACCATTGCCAAACAGAAACCATGCCAAATACTTTGCATCACTTTGATCTGGGAGAAACCGAAAAGATTGCGGAAACCAAGTTGGCCAACCTCACTGTACGCAGTTTGCCCCAGCTGCAATGACTTTCGTTCTTTTTGAATTGCCAACTCTTCGAAACTGTAACAGAGCGAGGAGCGCTCAACCCTATACACGGAGGCTGCCATTCGTCCCAAACCTGCCAAGCATTCAAACCCACCACCCCTTCGTGGCACTTACTCGAAGCATCGTCAAGCCGCAAACCATCACCACCGGCACGTATTCTTCAGAGCCATCGTCCGACCACTCAATCGAATCCTCGCCCAGACGCGGCACCTACACGACTGGACGAGTGTCGGCGTTCGCACGGCTTGCGCCGGATAACACATCTCGATAGCATCCGCAGTCTGATAGCATCCGCAGTCTGAGACTCATTATTATTGTTTTTCATAGTAATTAATATTCTTTAGTCATTTCTTCCCAGTTTAAAGATCGGAACAAAAGCAGTTTAAAGATCGGAACAAAACCAGTTTACTTGGCAAACTGTCGGACCAGGGCAACGACGGCCTGACCAAGAGCATCGGTCTGCTCTCGTGTCTCAGCCTCAGCGTAGACACGCACAACATCTTCGGTGCCCGAGGGCCGAACGAACGAGCGACCCTTCGGGACTGCAGCAACAAGCTTGTTGATTTCAGCCTGCATGCCCGCGGGGCTGGTCAGCTCGCGCTCGGCATTGGTGGTTTGGAAGAGGGCACGGTTTGGAACTTCGACCTTGAGCTGCTTGTTCGGCAGGTCAGTGTACTGAGCGTCCCACTGATCGAGCGACCAGTGCTTGAAAGCCAAAATGGCCTCGACCATCAGCAGGTCGGAGATGGCATCGCCAACAGTCACGTTGATCACGTCCACAAAGTTTCGCAAGTCCTGGAGGGCCTGACGAGTGCTGGCATTGGCGCTGAAGGCGGATGAAGAGCAAAAAAACCCCAACAAGAAACAAAAACAACCAACAAACAATTCCAGAAACAAATCAGCAACACATACAAGGACACACAAACCATCACCGAATCCTGGTCGCAAGCAAAGGCTCACCTGACCAAGCCGGCATCAAGGACCTGAATCATGTGGTCGCTGAAAATGACCGTGCCGTGGCCGTTTGCTTCAAAGTAGACACCAATATCGTAAGCAAGAGCTTCGTGATGCAAATGCTTGACACCCGTCTTGGCACAGGGAGCAGGAACACCCTACACGCACAAGAGCCATGCGACATCGACCCACGCAACGGAGGAAGTAAGACGCAATATGAATGGTGATGATGGGATGAGTTACAATGCGCAAAGTCGAACGTACCAAAACCTTCTCCAGATACTGTGTCGAGCTGCCATTGGCATACGCAGTTTGGACAACACCAATGGTAATACCCTGCCGGATGCCAGCAGCTTCGAGGCGATCGATCAAGAACGCCGCGGCCAAAGTGGCAATCTTGTCACCGTCCAACAGATGGAACTTGGACTCTGTTCACACAGAAGCGTGCGCCAAGTAAGCACCAGAAGAAACACAAGGCGATCAATGCAATGTCAGGGTCGCTTCAATCCCAAAGCGCTGTGAGACTCCGCACCTTGGTCGGCGTAAAAGTACACGATACGATCAGCATCACCATCGAGCGACGCGTAGCGACCACCGGGACGCACAGTCACACCAGATGGGAAGGTCTGCTGAACTTTGACAAAGTCTGCACCGCACTGCGCACAGATACAGAAAAAATTCAAACAAAAAAAAAAAAAAAACAACAAAAAAACAACTGGCGGAATCAGTCTCAATTGCTGCAGGTCACCTTCAAAAGCCACAAAGCAGCATCTCTGTGAAATACATCCAACCTTGTCATTCAGAGCGCCAGCTGAGCCATCGTTGACCACCTCGGCCGCAAGACTCGAGGAGATGCGGGGAATGAGGGTGCGGAAGGCGCCAGCTCCGACTCCGTTGGCACCATCGACGGAAAGCGAAGCTGGCTTGAAGTCTGGATTGCCAGAAGCCGCCTATGAGGGGCATTGACAGGCAGCAAGGACCGAGAGGTCAGGATGACAAGTCAATACGAGAAGAACGAAATGACAAACCAAAAGAACGACAAAGAGAGATGAACAAAACGCACGGAAGCAATCAGCTTGTTAAAAGCATGGGCGAGCTTGTCAAAGTAGCCGTCCTCTGTGGGCTGACCGTAGAGATGCGTGTTGGCAAGCTGCTCGTTGCGAGTACGGGTCAAGTAATGCAGCTGGGGCGTCGTGAGCACTCCTGCATCAATGACCTCCGCGTTCAGCGCTCGAAGGCCATCCACAAGAGAGGCGACCAGTGCGGGGCCGCTTGGACTGTTCGCACATTGAAGCAAACAAAAGCGAAACGGGAAGAAATTCGTCAATCATCCTCGCTCACAGAATCATTCCCGCCCCCCCCCCTGCCTGCTGATCAACTGCGCGGGCGTTTTCATACCGAGTGTCACGAGCGACAATAACGCGTGGCACAATGTTCATGTCAATCTTGAGTTCGGCCGCAATCTGAGCCAGAACGGCGTCCAAATCACCGTTGGCCGCGTTGGTGACACGCGTGGCCAGGCTCTCCCACTGCGGCACGAGCATTTCACCGAGCGGCTCAACAATCTTGACGCCATTGTCCTGTGTTGACCGGGTAACGCAAGCGGAACGTGAGAAGCAGGAGAGCGTGGCAGCCAGACCGAGTCAAATAGCAGCCCTCAGTGCCAGCCATCCACACAACACGCCAGCAAAAAACACCGCACCGGCTCGGGATTGTGCGAGGCTGTGATCATGGTGCCAACAATCTTGCCACCAAGCGCGCGAGAACGCAGGGCTGCGACCAGGCCGACGCGGAACACGACTGGATCCATGATTGCGGCTCTATTGGCAAACGATAACCAGCAACGCACGACCGGGTTTGAGTGCTCCGTCCCGCACCACAAGAGGAAAACGACAAACAGCACATTGATGACGATAATGAACAGAGCCAAACAAAAAAAAAAGGGAGGAGGAGCAGAGTGTGAAAGGAAGCCGTCCCTCAAAGCGAGGACGAACAAATCGCGCGCTCCTACTCGGCAAGAACGAACTCACTTCATGCGGAAGCCAGCTGTGCCATACTCAAAGACGGCAGTCTCAGGCTTGGGATGGCGTGCACTTGCTGCTGCGACGGGAGAGAGGGACATTGTGTCTGTTGCTGCGTTTGAAACAATCGAAATCTGCAAACAAAAAAAAAAAAAAAAAAAAAAAAAAAAAGATGAATGAGTTTGACAACACGCTCAATCCAAAAACGTTTCAAAATGCAGTCACTGCTTAGTTTGTTTGTTGATGATCTTCAGTAAGGAGCAAACGAGTTTGTACGATGACAACAATTTTTTTCTTTCAACAACAACAGCATCCAACAAGATCTAACAAGATCCAACAACAACAACAACAACGTTCGGCTCAAGCTCAAATCGACTCGCTGGGCTTGAGGGCAGGATCGTAATAGTCGTAGACAATGAAGAAAGGGACGAGTCCACTTGTCGTATACTGGAATGCACGATGGTAAATGGATGCACAGCACTGGAAGCGGATGCTGTGATACTTGTACCGACAAAAGAGACTGCCGCGGTCGTTCAGGACAAGCCGAAAGTACGAGAGCGGCGAGCCAGAAAGCTTGTACGCAGCTTCAGCGATGTTGTCAAAGTTTCTGAGGTTGCAGGCGGCCTGGCGTGAGAGGCCCATGAGCTTGCAGTCGGGCAGCGAAACGTGCTCCTTCAACAAGGCCTCCCGAAAATTCTGCCAGTGGGGTGCGTACGCCAAAACAAGCTGCTGGTCGGTGACAGTCCCAACACACAACACAGCATCGCCGGCTTGGCGATGAGAATCAGGGCCGTTCTTCCGGTGGGATCGACCGGAAGCCACTTTGCTCAAATCGTACGCATTGGCATGCAAAAGCTCTGGATCGTCCGGTACAGAGGCCTCGAGTTGATCGATGCAGCTGGCATGGTGAGCGCTCATGAGCACAGGCATTTTGCGGTACACACGAGTGGCATCCTCGACAATTGGGAGTGGGATTTTCTCGACCTGGGTGATCCGACTTTTGCGAGAGATTGCCGCGTTGTCGTCGTCGTCAGCAACAGACAAACTCATTCGTCGTGTCACTGGCCCAGATGAAACAGGGCGATTCGACGGGTGTGAATGGTTTGGCGTGGCAAAACTCTCGGCGGGATGCGAGCTCACATCATCAACAAGGCGGTCACAGGCCGATTCAGCGTTCGACGAGGATTGATTTTGCTCGCGCGGGCGCTTCGTCTGCGCTTTGGGAGGAGCAGCATTCTCTTCCTCAAAGCGGCGTTTGGCGAGTTTGATGATTCTCCGATTCTCCATCTTGGCGCGCAAAATCGCCTCTTTCATATCCCGCTGAGTCGAGTGATGTCCGTTGGAAGCGAGGGAACACGTGGGCATAATCCGCACGTTGATGAGCCGGTGAGCGGCTAGGTTGAGCGGAGCAGAGGCAGACTCTAGTTCTTGAGGTTCTTCAAGCTCTTGTGGCTCTTGTGGCTCTTGTGGCTCTTGTGGCTCGTGCGTGTCGTGTGTCTCGTGCGTCTCTTGCGACTTCCAAGACTCAAGGGGCTCTTGGCCATCAACACGGAGATCATCCGCCTCAAGCAGCCCATCATCACGATCTTCGGGATCTTCCATAGCCACCGTTGTTGCCTTGGCAAACGCATGCGCGTAGCGTCTTGGGTAAGCAGCGGCAGAGGCAGCAACAGAATGCGTTGCCGGAATGGTCGATGCGGCGTGCTGGCTGTAGAGCGCTTGGTGAAGCGTGGATTGCCGAAAACGAACTGTTGGCTTCGGACGGCGCTTGGTTTGCCGCTTCTGCGGTGCCAGCCGTTGATGCTCCTCCTGCAAGAACGTTTGCTGCCGATGTGTCGTGCGAGCGAACGACGATTCCGCGTCAAGCTCTGGGAGTGCGGAAGCAAGCTGCGGAATTGGTGCGTGCGAATCCGGCAGCTGGCCACGACTCGGCGGCAGCTGCTCAAGGGGAGTCGTGTCGTTCAGAGCGAGGTCCACTTGGGCAGAGTCGTTGTTCGTGGTCGCGTCGGCGTCCAAACCTTCGTCTTCGAGGTTCTCAAAGAGGGCAGACAGGTTGGACGACGGAGCACACCGGGATCGTCGCTCACGCGAATCATCATCGACCCGTGATTCAGGCTCGGGGTCGAGATGGTCGTCGAAAGCGAGGTCCAGATCGACAAAGTCGTTAAAGTCGGCCGCTTCGTCCAAAAGCAAGAAATCGTTCAGCTCAAGGCCCGTCTGTCCCGCTTTCAAAGAGGCCTCGCTCTGCCCATGATTCTTCACAGCAGAGCGCAGAAACGCCTCAAAGCTCGATGGTGGCGAGCTTGGGCACTCTGGAGCGTCTGCATTCGTCTTGAGCAGCATGGCGGCGTCTTTGTTGTCCCAGAGCAAGACAGACTGCGAGCTGCGCTCTGGATGAGTGTGCAGTGCTGGTGCAACAGTGGTAGACGTCATCAAAGGCTCTGTGTGACGCCGATGCTGGTGTGGCAGCTGCTGCGGCTGCTGCTGCTGCGGCGGCGAGCGTGAAGGCTGGTGGACGATGGCGTCGAGCGCTTCGTCGTCGTCGTCGTCCACCAGCGAGACGATGAGAGGCGAGCGCGTCTTCGCTGCAGAGCTGCTGCTGCTGCTGCTGGTGCTGTTAGAAACGAGCGCCTTCGCAGAGTCAGCACGGCTGCCAGCCATTGGAGAGAGCAAGCACGGGGAGGCCTGCCACGACGACATGAGAGAAAATGAGTTTGGCGTTTTCCCGCGTTTTTTTTTTTTGGTTTTTTTTTTGGTTTCGGCTGGCTTGGTTTCTCAGGCTGTCCGTTGCCAAGGGCTTGTCGGCGTCCTTGGAAGTAGGTTGCTCGTGTTGTCACAGTGCACAGACGCGAGTCTGCCGAGGGGACGAGGAGAGAGAGCGAGAAAGCGAGCGATGAAACGCCAAAAAGAACAAAAGAAAAAATAAAAAAAGAAGGAAAAAAATATAAAAAAAATGAGTGAATCAGTTTCATGCAACCGTCCTGCAAATGGAATACAGCAAGTCACATTTTCGTTCGTGTGAGTGTGCGCAAGTGCCCCAAACCCCCCTGCAATGTGAACGCTAGCAATAGTCGAGCAATATATGGGGTCGGGCGAGGGGCGGGAGGCGCGAAGAGCGAATGTTTTGTTTTTGGGGGCGAGCGTGGATGCAACACACCGTTTCAAATTTTTGTTTGTTTGTTCGATCGAGCTGACACGGGATTGGCTTTGACAGCGCTTTGGAGCCCGAGCCCGAGCTGGCGGACGACGAGCCTGGCCACAAAACGCACAAATACGAGTTGGGAAGGAAAAGAAACGAACAAAAAGAGCGAAACTGCGGTTTTATCCTTTTTGTCAAGTTCCATTACAGCCAAAATCATCCATTTATGTGCACCAAAGTAAGAATTCGACAGACACACCAGAACCGCTGGTCTTGGTTGCAGAGCGATATCTGATGGAACCAAAGAAGACCAGAACGAGTGCGCCTAACGCTGTTGCTGTTGTTGTTGCTGTTGTTGCTGCTGTTGTTGCTGCTGCTGCTGTTGCTGTATTAGCTGCTGCTGATGTCGAGTGCAATTGCCTCATACTGCCGATCGCTGAGGATGCGGCAGCGAACCGCAATGCTGTTCTGTTGGAGTGGATAGAGCAGGACAACTGCCCGATGTTGCTTCATAATGCAAAAGACGGCCTGTCAAAAAAAAAAAAAGTGTCCAGCAACGTTAGGAGTGTAACACACACAACCAACCAATCGGCCATCCAAACAAAAATAATGAAGGCGAGCCTCACCTTGTTTTGCTTGGACAGGGCGGTAAAAAATCGCAGAAATCCTTCTGTCGAGGCTTCGCTTGGCATCATTTCGCAATCGAGACTTGGCCAAGTCTCAAACTTGTCAAAATAGCTCAATGGCCACACTAGAGCTGGCAGCAGCACCTCTGGCAAAGAGCCGAGCGAACTACAATCACGATGCGCGACGGGTATTCGATCCAAAGGCACAACACATACCAATCCACAAGCCCCGTGATGAGTGATCGACAGATCTACACGTTCGCCGCCTGCATGAAGCTCTTACGGGAGGGCTGGATTCTTTGTGATGGCGATCAGATCAAACTCTTGTGAAGGAAGCTGGGTCTAAACCGCAAACCAAGAACCAAAGTCAAACATAACCAGAATGACATGAAGCAGGGGGGGGGGAGGCGCGCACAGCAAGAACAACAATTTGGAACATACAGAAGGGGACGTCTTGAGCTTTCCAGTCCATAGCTGGCGGGACTGTTGAAGATACATCTGGTGGAGTTTCTTCAGCTCCAACTGTAATTGTTGCCGTTGCTGTTGTTGCTGTTGCTGCTGCAGCTGTTGTTGTTGCTGTTGCTGTTGCTGGAGTTGCTGCTGTTGTTGCGACTGCTGTTGTTGAGCCTGCTGTTGCTGCTGTTGTTGCATTTGTTGCATTTGTTGCTGCTTCTGCTGCAGTTGCTGCTGTTGCAGCTTTTGCTGCTGTTGCTGTTGCTGTTGCAAAACCAAGTTGAATTCCAGGTTTGCCGTTGCTTGTGCTTGCTGGGGAGTTTGTTGTGCTTGCTGATGCAAGGTCTGTGGAGGCTGCGGTGCTTGTTGCCTTTGCAACTGCTTTTGAAGCAACGCGAGCTGATTCGCCTGAGCGATTGCCGAAGCGTCTCCTGCTTCTGCATGACAAAGAGGCCAAACCAGACGTCAATATGAAGAGAGTCAGGGCAATGCCTGACAAAAAAACAACAACAAAAAAAGGAAAGCAGAAAAAGAAAGAACAAAATAACAACAAGACAAACAACCCCTCCAGATATCCACAGTACGTACGAGAAGCTCCATGAAGTAGCGGCGATGCAGCCGGCAAGTTGACCCCAACAGTTGCAGGAAGCGCCCGTTGTGCATTGACTCGGGCACGAATGTTGTGTAAAAGTGCTTGTTGTTGCGGATGCAACATGCCAATGTCGGCTGGGGACAGGTGCATTGCGTCAATGGTGTCGATGCATTTCGCCATCACCTCCATCGTGACGTCCGCGGCTTGCAGCTTGCCAATTTCACCCAGCAACGCGAGAAAATGCGGCGAGCTGGCGTCACCCGCAGGTTGCCCAGGTTGGCGACTCGGACGCAAACCGGCAGCTGCTCGTCCTCGCGGCGTGGCTGCTGGCTGACTGGGCGCTTTCAATGCAAACTGCATGGGGACGGCTGTGGACGACGAAGCCGCTGCAGCATCCACAGCCGGAACGGAAGGTTGCTGCTGCTGTTGCTGCGGCGGTTGGAACATGTTGGCTGTTCGCTGTTTCAACAACTCGACTTGCTGCTGGGCACGCACGTGTTCGGCAGCCGCGGCAGCCGCCGCTGGATTGGCAGGTCGCGTTGGGGGACCAAGTGGGCCTGTTTGTCGCTGCCCTTGCTGCTGAATTTGCTGCTGTTGCAGCAGGACTCTTTGAGCAAGCCATTGTTGTTGCTCATCCAGTGTGGCGTGAGATGGTCGAGCTGAAGGAGCGCCGCCAGGCGCCACAATCGCGTTTGCACCAAAGTGCTGAGCTGCAGCAGCGCCTTGATTTGGCGTGCTCCCTGGGAGGACAGCAGGGTTTGAGCCATGGTGAAGGGTAGGTTGCCCGCTGAGATCCATTGCTGAAGGTCCAACGCTGCCGGTCGCGGCGGGACGTGCTTGCACAGCCGCCACCTCTGGCTGGTGTGGAAACGGCGCACCGCCCGCGGCGGTTCTCGAGGGTATCGCGTGCTGCTGCTGCTGCTGGGCCATGGCAGAGGCACCAGCAGCCCCAACAACAGCGGAATTGGCAGAAGGAATCGCCTTGCCTGATTGTGCTACTGCAGCATTGGTATTGCTAACTACGGGGACGGAGGTCATAAAGTTTGCCGGCACGGGAAAGCCGCGAACGATCGCTAAATGTTGCTCCAAAGTGGCAATCGAGGTCGTCACCTCCGTAGGTATGCTGCTCTCTTCAAACAACGCCCGAAGACTCGGCAACTTGCGAGGCGCGATGACGGACAGACTGATGCGTTCCTTGACCAGGAGCTGAGCCAAGTGAGAAAGCGGGCCAAGAGCCGCAGATGCCGGCTTTTCGGCCAAGTCACTGTCAAATGGTACGTTCAGCACGGGAGCATCGAGAGGAGCCGAGTTTGCCACCAGGATGCACAGCTTGAGAGTGGATGGGGAGCTGTCCATCGTCATCCAGCGGTTGTTTGTCGCAACAACAACAGCAGCAGCACCACCACCACCACCACCACCACCAGCAAGTGCTGCTGCGTGTTGTTCTGTTGGCACAACTCCGACGGACGTATCCATCGGCGACAAGTCCGACTTGCCATTCGACAGAGACGATTTCGAATGCTGCTGCGTTGTTGACCCGGCTCTTCCAGATGACGACGACAACGAAGCGTGGCTTGCATTCGCAGCAGCAGCAGCAGCAGGAGGAGGAGGAGGGGCGAGCATCTTGTACGCTGCCGTCAATGCATCGCCAAGCATGCTGAACTGCAACCCGCCGCCAGCAAACTCGATGGCAGCGAGGTCGGCCTGGAGCTGAGCGACCTTGTCGGTGAACGGGAAGACGGTCAGCGGGGCCTCTCCGCAGCCAGGCATCCCGCCAAACTGGATGAGCGCAAACTCGCATCTCGGTGCCAGGTTGCGGACGTGCGCCACCAGGCGGTCGAGATAGGTGGTCTTGAGTATTGGGAACTGGGCGTGCAGCGCTGCAGTCGCGTCCACCACGAGCACCTGCCAGTTTCCAGCAAGATTTCAACAAGTCACAAAAAGAAGGAAGGTCCATAGGAAAAGTCAGTTGAGTGATAAAGTCATCAAAGAATGGATGGATGGGGGTTGTTCAATGAGACGGATGGTCAGGAGTGTATGGGACAAGATTGGGGGTTTCTGCCCCCGCTCACACGACCTCCAATCAACACTGCGCTTAGGGAGTGAAAACAAGGTATCAAGTGATCATAATAGAATACAACAAGTGGAAACGCACCACGCGGACCAGCTTGAGAGACACAGCTGGCTGCATTGGAATCGGAGGGCGGATGAGGACTGAGCTGCTCAGATTTTGAGGCGTGGTGACTGCTCAAATCACAATGGTCTTGACTGAATTGAACTTGAATTGAATTTGAAGAAAAAGGGGGGAGGGGTTTGTATGTGCACATGTTTAATCTCAACCACCCCCACTCGCAACCAAATGCGTTTGTTGGAATACAATTATGCTTGCTGCTGTTGCGAGGACGAAGCCGCTTCATCATCATCACTCTCGGGCTCTCGATAAGAGTAGTCAATGTCATCAGGACCAATATCGCTCTCTTGATCCGAACCATCGCCTCCAAAGCTGTGGTCGTCGCCGCCGTCGTCGAACACGAGCGGAGGGGGCAGGGTTGCAACGCACTTTTCGAGGAACTGAAAGTAGGCAAACTGCTGTCCAAAGTCCATGTCGTACCAAAAGTTGACGGCAATCACGCGCTTGGCGTCAAAGACCTGCGGCGTAGGAGGCAGCTCGTCGGAATTGGCCGGGTTGGCAACGGGCGTTTCAATGTACGACTCGGACTGTTGGACGTGATGGTACCACATTGCAGGCAGATACAGGACATCGCCGCGACGAATGGTGCAACGCAGCGGGGTTGCATGGTAGCAGAAAAGGGGAAACTCTTGCACGTGGCGATGTTGGTTGACGAGCAGAGGGTCGACGGGAATCCAGGGAATGGTGGGGCAATTTTCAAACGAGTCTGCCTCAGCGTCAGCGGCGCCTGTCGTTTGGGGCGCAGGCGCTGGGGTGCTACTGTCACCAGCAGCTTCCGTTGGCGCAGAAGAAGAAGAAGGCTCATCGTCGCTTGTTTGCTTGGGCTCTGGCACAATGTCCCACCGCACAACCCGATTGTCCGCCGCCGAATCTCGGACGGGAACGTAGCGACAGCACTTGCACTCTCGATAGTACAGGTATGGCACGTCTGTGGGCGGGTAGATGGTGAATGTTTTGCTTCCAGCCACGACGGCGTACAAGTTCTCGTAGTGATCCTTGTGCAACGAGGTGACCGACTGGGCATCTCCAATCCAGATGTTGGCCGCATCTGGCTTCATGCCTGTTGAGGGGTGTTGTGCCGTAGGCATATCAAGGGGCAGATGCAAACGTGAGTGACAACAAAAGTGAACAATCAAGATGAATAAAGCCACGACAAAACGCCATCCTACCGAGAGCCTCGGTGGCGAAAGGAAGGTCGGGCGTGACATCGTCCAAGAGTGATGAAAATTCAGAAGTGAGGTTGCCGTTTTGTTTGGAAACGTAGGCAATCTCGGCGTCGACATCCATCTTGTTCTTGTCGAAGGACACTTTGCCCTTGTTATCTTCGAGCAGCTTGAGAAACGCAGCGAATGTCATTGTGCGCTCTTCCGGCATGACAAACAAGTCTTCCTTCAAGATGGCGTCGGCGTAGCCATTCGGAGTGACTGAATCGAACGTGGAGAAAAGAGAAACGGGTGAGATGCGGCAGAGAAATCAACCTTACAACCACAGTATCGCGTCCTATCGACAGCATGATTTGCAAAATAGCACTAGTCATTGAAGCATCATCATTGTCTTGAGACGACCGACCTGCCACTGTGACGGGATTGTCCTTGAGCTTGTCGACGAGATAGGCGTCCGTCCAGCGCTCGAGTGCAGGCCAATGGTCGATCGCTCCTGTTTCGCAATGTTCATGTTTGAATTCAATGACGAGCGACAACGGGAAGGTATACAAGGTGTCATGCCAGAGATTGAGTTGGAGACTGAGCTCGTCCATGTGTGTGTGTCTTCCAGGGTTTTCAGTCTCAAGTTCAAAGGTCATCTGCAAGTTTGTCAAATGGAGGACATTTCATTGAACACACCTGTGATGATGACGGGCTTGTTCTTGCTGACATAGTCGCGGTAGAAGACGAGCGGCGAGGGCACTGGGATCCGGTCAATCGTCTGCGACGTAACATGGAAGTCTACCAGGTCAAGCTCAAGCTCAAGTCAGTCCAGCATCAAAACTCCACTTCAATTGCGTTATTATTGGATTCTCAGATTTGAACCAATTGTTTTTGGATGTTGATCAACAACGCAAGCAGGAGCGTGCCGACCTCGAATGCTTTGGCGGAGTGTCTGAAACACGTCCGTTTGCTTTTGCGTCGAAGGCTCCATTACGAAACTACTGTGAAAAGGACTGAGCAGCTCAGATGTATTCTCAGAGATACTCTATCATGCTTCTGACGGAATGGGTGCTTGGCCACAGAACGTGAGGTTGGTGCAAAAACCAATGGAATCAGTCTCAAACTTTGAGATCAGTAGACGTTGCAATGAGCCAATTCTCTTCCCTCCTTCCCTCTTCTCCAGAGCCAGCTGCAAGGTCACAGGTAATCGCGGATAGTGTAATAACTGCCCTGCTACAAAAGAGACGCTCTTCCGTCTCAGCTTGCCAAATAAATCAGCTCGCTTTTTGTTCGTTTTGTTACATTTTAATCCTCCCACTTCGAAGCTCATGAACGCAATTACAAAATCAGGATAATCAGAACAAACTCAATACAGTTCAAATGAAGATGTGCAATGTCACAGCTCACTCTTTCTGCATTGCTGTGACGTAGGTTTGGTTTGTTCACAAAATCTCATAACAACGCTCTCGTTCAATCTCGTTCAAGATCAGCCGTTGCTTGCTTGCTTCTGAGGGCCGCTGTTGGGCTGTCGTCCCAACAACTTTGGAGGGCAGCTGGTGGACTGTCGGTTCACCAAACGCGAAGCTGAGGTGGGAGGGGGGGGGGCGGAAGGAAGGGAGGGAGGACTGTCCGATTGTAATGCGTGAAGCTTGTGACAGACTGATCAAACAGCTTGTGCCTTGGGGCATGGTGGGGCATGGCTGCTGCTGCTGCGGATGTTGGAGTGACAAATAGAATCGTCTGCAAAGTTGCTCAGTGCAGCAGCAGCGATCAGAGACTGGTGAGCAGGGTCGAAATCGCTCAGAGAATCCACTCACTCTTTGTGATTGTTGTGTTCAGGTTTGCCATGTCGCTGTCTTACGAGGCGATGACGCCAGAACAGCGGAAGTTGTATGAGAAAGTCAAGAATGCGAGTGGCGAGCTCGAGTAAGAGAGCAAAGATAAAATCAAACAGCCGAAAGTGCTGAATTATGACACTGACACAAACCGACAGTTTCCGTTTCATAATGTTTGGTGATGCCGGAGCGCAAGCAATCGCTGTAGCACTCAAGGTGAACACAACGCTCACCAAGATCGAGTAAGTTGGCTGCCTGTGATGAACGAGATGGTGCGACAGATCAGGGCAGCCGAGTCGAGGCACTAACGAACGCTTGACAGTCTGCACGGCAATCAGATTGGTGAGGTTGGAGCACAGGCAATTGCTGAAGCACTCAAAGTGAACACGACGCTCACCAAGCTCTAGTAAGTTGACTGGCAGTTCTGAATAAGATCGAGTGACGAATTCGTCTTGCCGAACCGTGGCACTGACAGGAGCGTGACAGCCTGCGCGGCAATCGGGTTGGTGATGCTGGAGCACAGGCAATTGCTGAAGCACTCAAGGTGAACACAACACTCACCAAGCTCTAGTAAGTTGACTGCCAGTGATGAATGAGATGGTGCGACAGACCAGGGCAGCCGAACCGTGGCACTAACGATAGCTTGACAGCCTGCAGTACAATCAAATTGGTCATGTTGGAGCGCAGGCAATCGCTGACGCACTCAAGGTGAACACGACGCTCACCCAGTTCGAGTAAGTTGACTGGCAGTGATGAATGAGATCGAGTGACGAATTCGGGTTGCCGAACCGTGGTGCTCACGTCGGGTTGGCAGCCTGCAGGACAATCAAATTGGCAGAGTTGGAGCGCAGGCAATCGCTGACGCACTCAAGGTGAACACGAAGCTCACCCAGTTCGAGTAAGTTGACTGGCAGTGATGAATGAGATCGAGTGACGGATTCGGGTTGCCGAACCGTGGCACTGACAGGTGCGTGACAGCCTGCGCGGCAATCAAGTTGGTGATGTTGGAGCGCAAGCAATCGCTGAAGCACTCAAGGTGAACACGACGCTCACCCAGGTCAAGTAAGTTGACTGGCAGTGATGAATGAGATGATGTGACAGATCAAGGCAGTCGAACCGTGGTTGCTGACAATAACTTGACAGCCTGCACAACAATAAGTTTGGCGAGGTCGGAGCGCAAGCAATCGCTGAAGCACTCAAGGTGAACACTGTCCTCACCCAGCTCATGTAAGTTAACGCCAGCAATGAATGAGATGGTGCGACAGATCAGGGCAGCCGAGTCGAGACACTCATGATGGTTTGACAGTTTCAGCACGAATTCGATTGGTGTTGCTGGAACACACGCAATTGCTGAAGCACTCATGGTGAATACAACGCTCATCCAGCTCGAGTAAGTTGGCTGCCAGTGATGAATGAGATCGAGTGACGGATTCGGGTTGCCAAACCGTGGCACTGACAGGAACGTGACAGCCTGCCCGGCAATCAAGTTGGTGATGTTGGAGCGCGGGCAATCGCTGAAGCACTCAAGGTGAACACGACGCTCACCCAGCTCGAGTAAGTGGCCTGCCAGTGATGAATGAGATCGAATGACAGATTCGGACTGCCGAACCGCGGCACTGACAGTAGCGTGACAGCCTGCGCTACAATCAGATTGGTGATGTTGGAGCGCAGGCAATCGCTGAAGCACTCAAGGTGAACACTGCCCTCACCCAGCTCATGTAAGTTAACGCCAGCAATGAATGAGATGGTGCGACAGATCAGGGCAGCCGAGTCGAGACACTCATGATGGTTTGACAGTTTCAGCACGAATTCGATTGGTGTTGCTGGAACACAAGCAATTGCTGAAGCACTCATGGTGAATACAACGCTCATCCAACTCGAGTAAGTCGCTTGATCAGCCAGATTCAGACGAGTTCTTTCACTCAATGTCTCAACAGTTTGGACTCGAATCGGGTTGGTGACGCTGGCGCTCGTTCCGTCTCAGAAGCACTCCTAAAGAATACGACCTTGCAAAATCTCAAGTACGTGCTTCAATGTTGAATGCCCACCAACTGCGCAACTCACTGCGCAATCGTTAGTCTGTGGCTTAATCAGATCAAAGACGCTGGCGCTCGTTCCATCTCAGAAGCACTCCAAAAGAATACGACCTTGCAAAATCTCAAGTAAGCCGTTTCAGTGTTGAAAGCCCAGAACTGTTTTACTCACTGTGCAATCGGTAGTCTGGCGGAAAATCGGATTGGTTATGTGGAGGAAACGGTCTTGCGCCACAGTATCCATCCAACCTTGCAATTGTAAGTTTTACGCTTCGTCCGAGTTGTTCACCAACGAACCTTTCTGCCCTCACTTTTCCTGCTAAATTCAGACACATTGCTGACCAGCGTCGATCTGGTTCTGTTCGATGCCGGGAAGTCCGCGTGGTCGTGCTTGGCGATCCTTCAGTCGGCAAGACCTCGCTTGTTAGGGGAATCGCCGACGGTTACGTGCGACAGGCGTTCTCCAATATATTCAGTATTGCCAATTCCACCGATGGCATTGACATTTCGACAGTCGTTCTTCGTGAGAAAGACGAATCCATGATTTTGATCGTTTGGGATTTCGCTGGTCAAGAAGTTTATCTGGTTTCGCACCAGTTCTTTCTTCGTGAACGAACAGTCTACCTGGTCTTGTTTGACGTGCGTGAAGACTTGTCACTCAATTCGCGCCTTGCCTTTTGGCTACGCAGCTTGCACGCTTGCGTTCCAAACGCCGATATCATTCTCGTTGGAACACACATTGATGATCCGTCATACACTTCGGAGCGGCAGCAAGAGCAAAAACAAAATCTTGCCAATCTGCTCAGCACCCTGAAAGAATCAAGTGTTTCGTTTAACGTGCGTTCGACCGTCTACATCAACGCGCGGAACTCAACAGGGGCCCCGAGCATGCCGGAACTCAAGACTGCATTGTTTCAAGCGGGACAAGACATGCCGTTTTACAATCGGCTATTGGATGGCCAATACCTTGAGCTCAGAGACTCGCTACGAAAGCGAGCTGATCAGTTAGTCGCCCAAAACAAACCGCCTCTCTGTCGATGGCATGAAATTGTCGAGCTTGGCCAGTCACTGCGTCTCAGCGGGCGAGCAATCGATGCATTCATGGAGCTCTTGCGTTTTCAAGGCTGGGTCGTTTTCCACCGTCTCGCAAACTCTGCTACACAAGACACGTCCAATGTTCCCGCGCTGCAACCTGCAACTCTCCTCGCTTCGATGAACGATATAGTCATCTTGAACCCTCAATGGTTCACGACAACAGTCCTGACTGGAGTGATTACTCAGAAACCTCAAGATCGATGGGTCAAAGATGGCATTGTGACTCGCAAGGATCTGCTTCGAAACGCTTGGAAGGGCATCGATTCTGCGATTTGTGATCAGTTTGTGCTGCTCCTTCAGCGATACGAGCTCTTGTACAAGATCGATGGCGATCAGCCTGGAACCGATTCTGGCACTCGCTATGTCATCCCTTCGTACCTGCCAGCTTACGAGTTTGACTCTAGTAGATGGTCACTGAAGCCTGCAGCGGGCGAGCCGCATGAAGTTGCTATTGTGATGGAGACCAAGTTTTTGCTGGAGGGATTTTTCTCGAGGCTGGTTGTGCGCTTTCACGAGCGGAAATTCCGTTTGACGGCGTGGAAAGATGCTGTTCTGGTCAATTATGGCGGTCCTCGAGCACTGCTACGTGTTCATCGCAACGCTTCCAATGTGCGCCTCGAGTTTACCGCTCGCGGGAAGCATCCAGAGAGGCTGCTTCCAACTCTGATTGAGATTCTTGACAAGCTCAGCGCGGATTGGTATCCTGGAATCTCGTGGAAAACCTACCTGCGCTGCCCCATGCACGAGCCTAATGACAAACCATGCCTGTGGACACTACGACCTCAAGTTCGGGATGCGGTTATCAACGATGAGCAACCTTTATCTTGTTCGCACACGCACATCACGTTTCCAAAGGAGGAATGGCTTCCAGTTCTCAGCTCGCTTTTGCAACGTCGCTTGAACGCTGTTTCGCAACCCACACCGGAGGATATCGAAGCGCAACGGCAACTCGAGCCGCAACCGGCACCGGCGAGCGAGATCCAAACAGCAGCCACGCAAGTTGCATCACTTGTCGCAGCTCAATTGCAAACGCAGCTTCAAGCTTTTGCGACTACCAATGCGCAACATTTTACCAACTTTGCGACTGAAGCAGCAAGGAACTTGAAGAGTTTCCAGGAGGCTCTGGACGTCGTCTTTGGATCAATTCCAAACGAGGTCAAAACCAATTCTGTCGAGTTCGACAAAGTTCTGAAGCGCATTGATGAGCTTGCCGACAGCTTGATTTCGCGGCTGGACACGGCAGAATCTTTGCAAAAGGAGCAGAGAAACGAAATCGCTCGTTTTTTCACGAGTCAAGTCCAAATGCAACTGGACTTGCTGGACAAACCATGCCCCTTGTTGTTTGTCGTGATGCCTCCGGCTGCGACCCGGAACTGGTTTTCCAAGCTCAAAGAACTTTACAAGTCACGCCACACTGCGCACCTGCTGTGTGCCCACATGAATTCCAACAATCAGCCCGAGTGGCATCGTATCGACAGTCATCCTGGCTACGAAATTGCCAAGTTTTCAAAGTGGCTGAAAAAGTATGGCCCCCGTGTTCGCAGCCTGCTTGAGTTTGTGCGTCCGTTCCTGAAAGCAGCCAGTTTGGCTCCTGGTGGACCAGATGTAACGGATGCGGTTGATTCAGCCAGTTCTGCTTTGGAAGACCCGCTCGAGGCTCTGCCCTACTTGCAAAGATTGCTCGACCACGCCGATCAGAAAAGGGGTTCCAGCGCGAAAGGAAAGCAACCAGCGCCTGCATCTGCTACTTCCTCAGAAGTCACACACTCGTCCCAAGAGGCAGCAAGGGAATGGGCTGCTTTCCTGTCCAAGAAAGACGAGTACAAGTCCTTTGCCAGTTTGGAGCGAGCTGTTGTGCTCAGCACGGGTGAGGTTCGTTGGGTCTGTCCGAAGCATGCGCAAGAGCCCATCTATCGCACCAGCTCTATTTCGAACAGCTCGTCCGCCGGCTCCTCTAGCAATCCTACAAGCAGCTCTTCCAGTGGCAACGTTGCTAGCAGCTCGTCCAGTGGCAATGCTACAAGCAGTTCCTCCGCGCCATCCACTTCAACACCGTGATGCAGGCACGTCGTGTTTTGTTTTCACTTGCCGTCAAGATTGTGCTGTTATGTCTGATTCTTTTCAATTGTGTGCATGTGTTGATGTTCAATACAAATTTGATCCTCTTTTTCTGCTTTGTGTTGAACAGTGCAAAAGTCACGAAACACAACAAGAGAGATGCCAATTATGCTGCGTGGCCACATGTATAACAGAGTTATTGAGCGATCCTACACAGCGAGAAACATGGGTCGGGGTGAGAAAACGAACAGGTTGCTCGAGGTTTCATCTTTGTTTGACTTCCTTTGATTAAAGCCACAGTTTCCAAACCAACTCAACAACCATTCAAATTCTGATTTTCCATCCATTGAAACCAATTCATTCACAAAACAAAATCCGACGAAAAGAAACAAAAGCTCAGTTTTTGATTTTTTCTTTTTTGTTTAGGTTTGTATTTTTTTTTTTTTTTTTTTTTCGCTGCTTGTTGTTGACTTTTTATTTTTTATTTATTTTATTTTATTTTTCATTGCAAACGCATTCTGTTTGTTTTATTTTTTTCCTGTCTGTTTTTTTCTGTTCGTTTGTTTTCTGCGCGCAACAACAAAACCGCGACATGCAAACACACTTCATCGCATCGCTCATTGCGTTGCATGGTCGTTGCTGACCTTGACGAGCGAGCACGACAAGCGTGACGCTTTAGATCTACGCTCTCGTCCTTTTTTTTTTTTTTTTTTTTTTTTTTTTTCGTTTTGGTGTTTGGAATCGCACTTTTTGTTCCAATCCGTTCTGTGTTCCGACAAACACCCGACAACAACCATCAACGTGCTACTCTCATTGTGTGCTGTGCAATGAAAAAAAGCGACCACACACGCGACGAAACGCATCTCGAAGAACTGTGCATCAGAAAAAAAAGAAAAAAAAGAAAAAAAAAAGGCACTTGTTTGCAATTGCTTTGTTTGGAGGCCTTTTTTTTTTTTTTTTTTTTTTTTTTTTTTTTCGCTTTGTGTTGCGTGATTTGAGCGATTTTGGTGTGATTCTGGAGATGTTTGGCTTTTTGTGTGATTTGAGATTGAGTGTGATTTTGAGATTGAGTGTGAATGTTAACGTCAAAATGCAACGCGTTTGAGAGCGTCAACAGTGATAAAAGTGAGGGATTCTGCAACGCACTGATCGTTTCATTTCGACTTGACTGATTGACGGCAACTCGATTCGCCACCCCAGTTAGCACTGAAACCACAATGATGAACACAATGTAGAAAGCCCAAAAAACAGTTGTCAATAATGAAAGAGAGAGAGAGAGAGAGACGTCCAATGCAACGTTCAGTCTCGAATCTGAAACCTTCACTGAACTTTCACTGACTTTCGCTCTGACTTTCTTTCTCTCTGACACAGAAACCAACAAAAGTCATACAAAGTCGAAATCATGCCGCTCGTCCCCGTCTACACGCAAACCGTCGAATCCGTGCTCCTGGGCATTGGCGAAGGCATTACGCAGCTCATGATCATTCAGGAGCAGGCTGCCAAGGCGAACGCAGCCATGCCGGATCTCACAGGCCCTGCTGCGAGCGTGTCGGCCGCCATCCTCAACCTGGCAAAGGAGGCTCGCTCGCTCTCGGAGGAGACGGATGACGAGCAGGTCCGTGTGGACTTGAAGAAGGCCTCGACGATTGTCGACCAAGCCGTCAACGACCTCAATTCCGCTGCCGCCAAGCTCAAGGCTGCACCGACCGACAAGACTGCCTCTCTGCAGCTCGTGGAAGGTGGTCGCGGCACTGTCAACGGAACGGCTGCGCTTCTCGACGCCTTTGACCAGTCGGATGTCCGAAACATTCTCAAGCAGGCCCAGGTTGTCCTCTCCCAGCTGGAGACCATGCGCCCCTGCAAGACTGAGGCAGCCCTTGTCGACGGCGTGCGCACAATCTCGACCCAGTTGCTCGATCTGGCCCAGCTCACCGAGGAGCGCCAGCAGTCGCTGACCCTCGCCAAGCTCAAGCAAGAGCTGGTCGACGCCAACGACGTGCTCCGCAACCAGTCGCCCTCCATTCTGCTTGCCCTCAAGCTGTACATTATGAACCAGTCGTCCCCCGATACTGCCACCAACCGCGACAACTCGTTCAACCGCCTTCGCGACTCGGTCAACGAGATTACCCGTCTCGTCCAGCTCAAGTACTACGGCGTCGACGACAAGGCCAACCCCACCATGGGCACCGCCTTTGAGAGCCTCCAAATGCAAGTCGCTCGCATTGCTGCCAACCCCAACCTTGCTGCCGCCGCACTTGCGCCGCACGGCGACTTTGCCCGCCAGCTCGACGTCATTGTGCAGCAGGCCCAGCAGCAGGCGAACGCTCATGCGTCCTCGCCCATGCGCGCCGACATTCTCGGCCACATGCAGCGCGTCCAGGCCATTCGCGACGAGGCTGCCCAGCTTGCCGAGCGCATCAAGGCCAACCCGAGCGACGAAGTTGCGCAGGCTCGCTTTGCCGAGCTCATGGACGAGCTTCCCCGCGAGCTCCGCCTGCTCGAGAAGGCACTTGCCGACGACGCCATCCACGCCCAAATGGCCGTGTTTGCCAACGTTGCCGAGCCGCTCTCTGCGATCGTGCAGGCAGCCCAGAGCGGCAACGCTGCTGACGTCAACGCGGCCGGCGTTGAGCTCCAGAGCCAGACCGCCACGCTGGTCAAGGCGTCGCGAACGGTTGCTTCCAACGCTCCCGACTCGGAAGTCAGCAAGGAGATTAACACGCTGTCCAAGCAGCTTGAGGATCTCGTTCCCCAGATTGTCGTTGCCGCGCGCCTTGTGGCTGCCAACCCCGACGACCAAGCGGCTCGTGCCAACCTCGACCTGCTCATGAAGAGCTGGGACAGCAAGGTTGCCCGCCTCAACGAGCTTTCCGAGCAGGTCGCCCAGCCCCACGCCTTCCTCGAAGTCGCCGAGCGCACCATTGCCGCCGAAGTTGCCAAGGCCAAGGCCGCCGTCACCGCTCAAGACAAGCCCAGCTTTGACAAGGCCGTCAAGAACATTAAGGCAACCGCCGCTCGTGCCGGTCGTCTTGCTGCTGCAGAGGAAAAGAACACTGACGATGCCGATTTCCGCAAGAAGATGGCCGAGCGTCGTGCGCGTATTGAAGCCTGTACGTTGATGTTGATGTGGTTTGTGTTTTTGGCACGCCTCTGCTTTCGATTCTGACATGTCACATGTTATACTGTTTGTTTTTGTGTTGTCTCTGCTACTCTTGCTCATCAAAATCGCAGCCATCAACGGCTTGGAGCCGACCATGAACAAGGCCTTCACCTCCCGAAACGCTGCCGATATCGACGCTGCAGTGCAGCCTGTTACCTCGAGTGTCTCGGAACTCAAGAAGGAGATTGCCCAGTCTCAAGGCATCGAGGCTTCTGGCTCTGGCTCTGGCGCAGGTGCTGCTGGCGCCGGCAGCTCACAGGCTGGCTCTGCCTCTTCGACTGCCATTGCCAACGAGGTTCGCAAGTCAGAGGAGAAGCAGGTTGCGGAAATTGCTGCTGCCGCCGGCGTTTCTCCCCAAGCTGTTGCCAGCCATCCCATTTCTGTAGGGGTTTTTTTTTCCTTCGACGTTCGTTTTTTTTTTTCTTGTTTTTTTTAAAGGGGGGGGGGTGGGCAGTGTTTTTTCACCTTTCAGTTGTGTGTCGATGACAGATTGCTGCAGGCAACCTCAAACTTGTCGCCAGCCGATGGGACGCCAAGAACAACGCCCTCGTGCAGGCGGCCGACAAGATTTCGGAAAAGATGCGCACCATGGCGGCATTCTCCATGCAGCCCAACAACAAGAAGGACATGATCGACATGGCCAAGTCGATGGCTAGCGAGGTTGCCGAGATTGTCAAGCTCGCCAAGGCCGCTGCCGAGCAGTGCTCCGACCGCCGACTGAAGGCCAACCTCCTGCAGCTGTGCGACAAGATCCCAACCATCTCGACCCAGCTGCGTATCATTGCCTCTGTCAAGGCTGCCAACCCAAGCGACAGCGACGCCGAAACCCAGCTTATTGCCGGCTCCAAGAACCTCATGGATGTCGTCACCGAGATTGTCAAGGGCACCGAAGCTGCTTCGCTCAAGTCGTTCTCCAGCGTTGCCTCCACCGCAAACGTCGCACTTCAGTGGAAGCGCAAGGCTCTTGGCCATTAATTCATCTTCTGCGAGCTCTTTTTTTTTTTTGTTTGCTTACTTGACTGCCTTGACCCCCCTCCTCGCTTTGCTTTTGCGTTCTGTTGTACTTTTGTGTATTGTGCCGCTCTTTGTCTTTTGTGTTTGACTTGTGTCTTTTCTCCACCAACCAAAATTTGTGTGGGCTTGGCTCCCAACTTTATCAATTTCGGTGTTTGATGTGCTTTGCCATTAAATGGAGTCGTTTATGAACAATGCAAAATCGTCGCGTTCAACGCAAACGCAACGTAACAGCAACACGTGAATCGATGGTGATACAGTTTAACTAACTCATTGGTGCAGCAGAGTTGTGTCAAACAGCCGGTACTTGCGCGCGAACGGCAACTCCGGATTTGGCGCGTACGACATTATGCAGCAATCCATCCACCCGACAGAGGCTTCAGGAATGGCTTGCGCAAGAGCACTGCCAAACAGAGGGACCGAGATGGGCACCGCCTGGTCTTGAGCTCGGCTTGGCTTGGTGAGCAGCTTTTCCATTCGATTGCGCAGCGCTTGCTGCGATCCAGTGTTTTCGTACAAGTTTCTTGGCGGAAGGCCTGGGAGAAATTTGACCTGTAGGAGACAAAGAAGGCGAGAGTTTTTGATGGGGCTGAGTTGGGCGGAAGCAAATTCTACCTGCCCGACAGTCAACATTCTTACCGCGTCAGCGCCAAAGACGAGAGCTTCAAGCAATCCAGTGTCGTCCTTGAGCGAAAGTGAGAACATGTAGACATACTCCATTGCAGGCAACGCCGCGCCATTCGCGACACTCGCTCGACAAGCGGTGCACAAGTAGTCGATGGAGGCGTTTGGGCCGAGTGGAAGCGTTTCTGGATTGGCGCCTGCTTCCACGGCTGCCGTGAATTCTCTGCACTCAAAGTCGAGAAAGGGATTCAGGATTGTTAGCGCGGTGGGAACACACGGCGCAACAACGCATCAACCCAACTTCCTACTGGAATGAAAAATGAGGGCAAAACCGGCGCGAAAACTGTGCAATCTCCTGGGGAAAGTGCGCAATGACTTGGACTCGGCATCGAAACTTGTGAGCAACCTGTTTCCAAATTACCAAAAATTAGACGTTAGCTCCTGCACCCTCCAACCTCGCGTCTGCTGGTTTGCTGTCGTACATTCGGATGCGTCAGAACTTGACGAAGCGTGGACAGTGGCTGTCGGTCATGCTCGGTTACTAGAAGCGACGTTGCAGTGAGCACAAGCCGATAATTCAAAACACCACAAAATCAGCAATGTTGACGTTACAAGAGCAGGAGGTCTGCATGGCGCGTGTTTGCATGGCGCGAAGATGAAGTTGTGCCTTTTCCGCTCTTGCAAGAAACTCGCACCGAGATTTCTCAGCTTCCCTGCGAAAGACAACCATCCACACACGTTTAGGAATTCCGTTCCAAGAACCGAAGCCAATCCGCCTTTTTTGCTTACTCAAAAATTGATACAACAGACGGGTCGGTTTTGCTGATGGCTCGAATTGCAATTTTGCTGATGGCTCGAATTGCAATATCGTTGCCTCGCGAGACATGCAACTCGAGCCGGGGACCTTGGTTGCTGGCGTGATGCGGACAAAATCTCCTGTTGCCAAACCTTGAATCTCATTGATGCGCCTGTCCCACACCAACAGCGGAGCGCACTTCAGCGGCGTGGCATCGCCTGGATGCAACAAGCCATATCCCGGAATTTTATCGGCAGTGATTTCGCTGTTTTCAAAGGCAGTGATTTCGCTGTTTTCAAACAAAAAAAAAAAGGGTCGGAGCATAGCAAAGTCAAAACAAAAGCTTTCATCCCCACGAGGCTCAACAACAACAACAACCACCGCTAGACTGACCAAGTTGGAGGGGGATGTGTGCCGTCCCCAATGATCAGCTGCGCACAAACCGCGGCTGGATTGGGCGCCGTCCCGGAGGCGTAGATCTGACACACCAGACTGCAGGTTGTGTCGGGCTCCAGCTCACAGAGCCGCTTTGTCACAGTGCTTTGTGGGACAACCTTGGTGTGCGCAACCCAACTCCTCAGGCGTTCAATCTCCTGCATATCTTTGTGAGAAATGCTCACAGTTTGATTGGGCATTCCGCGCGGCGTCAAGGCGGCGTTGGGAATGTTGGTGAAGCACACCATCGACATTCCATAAGAGCTGAGGCCTTGTAAAGAGCCATTGTGTGTTTGAATCTGCCACGCAATGCCCGCAGTGAGAAGAGTCGACTTGTAGAAAAAAAAAGGCACCAGCAAAAACAACAAATATTACCTTGATTCGATGCAATCGAACAATGTCGCCTAGCTGAACCTCGGGAAAGGCATGCTGTGGCAAGAACAGATTGCACATGAGCGGGTGTTCACCCTCACTGCCAGGGTCGCATAATGTGAATGTCAGGCACCAATCTGCGGTCAAGTGGGGGTTGACACACACAAGGTTTTCAGTGAGTAAACTTGGGTTCGCCAGACAGACTTTTGACTGTTGCGTACGAGGATTTGCTTACCTGTGCCACGTGTGGGTCTCGGGGGCTTGAGGTACACGACCACACCAAACAAGTTGATGCTCTCCGCTTGGCGCACCTTGGATATGGGTGTGTACTCGTATTCGGCCGAGGAATTGGGACGGGCAGGACCTTCAGACGCCGCGCTCGAGTTGTTAAACACTTCTGCTTGGAATTGGACAAGTGTGAGAGGGACGTGCGGTAGAACACGGGCCTCAGTGTGATCGACTTACGGGTTGACTTTGGAGTGACAATGAGTACTCGAGGTTGGTTGGTTATACCGACTGTGAAAATCTGCCAATACAAATTCGTCACGGTTAAACTCGGACTAAATCAACTTGATGCAGAGACAGCTGTTCATCCATTACCTTTGCATATGCTGTCGGCATGTCAGTGTCCAGAACCAAGCTAAACGGATGACCTTGCGCGCGTGTGCCGGATGGTTCGATTTGAAACCCGGCGAGAATGAGACGATCCTACAAGACGAATGGGATGAGCACGTTCGCTCTCAAAATTTCGTCTGCTAAAGATCAATGCTGAGCAAATCAAACCATACATGGGTCTGGAGCTTGGCAGCATGCTGTGCAAAGCCACCCTGGAGGAAGACGGCAATGTAAGACAGGGTGTCGTCCTCGCTGGCGCCCTCGTCTGCGTGATCAGCCCACCCCAAGTCCATCATTCAGTCAATAAAACCAGTCAGAGCAATGACAAACCACCTCCCAGCATCCAGAAACGCGAGCACCGGCGCGACAGGGGGGGGGTTTGGCAAGCGACGAGCAAGCAAGAAGCTCCAAACCTTGGACGATCAGCTTGACGGACGGCTTCTGGAGCGGAGGCAAGTTTACCAGCTGGTGCCTGAGTGTAACAATGACCTGGACAAGCAAACGTGACAACAGTCCGTGAGCTGTCCTCCCAACGGAAGGCCGACACGAGGACGAAAAGCGAAAACGATTCGCGGGTTTTTCGAGCCACAAGATTTTCCCGCGCAAATTTTCGTTTCACGCCAGAGTCCGTTGTGTGCGAGCGCTGGGGCGCATCGGCCGCAGATTTAGGAACAAGAATGTTGGTGGAAAGTCAAACCTGGATGCACACCGAGCCATCGGTCGGCGTCGAGTCGGTCAAGGTGGCCACTGCCGTGCGCTGCTGGTTGTTGCTTTGATCGGCTTGCATTTTGTTGGGACAAGGACTGCCCCCCGTCCTGCTGATCTACATGCAAAACAAATCATGGTCAAAGGTCGCTTTAGTGTACCATTACCACGCATGTCATGTGCGGGTGGGTGAGTGACTGGAGCTTTTCAGCATTGCGCTTCTCGTTCAAAGCTCGATGCAAATCCAATGCAAATCCAAACTTACAAGCGGCGAGTTCTCTCGATTTACTGGGGTTTTTCTTGTATTGGAAATGAAATGTGCATTGGGAACAATTGTTACTTGTTTTGCCTCCATCCAAGTTTGGGGCGAACGTCAGTCGTTATATTTTATTTCGTGAGTAGCAAAACCATTCTCAGTGGTTCGACTGACTCCCTCCGCCAACGCACACCCTCCGCTTGTCCAAGCATGGCGATTCAATACTAGGCTGTATTTTGATTGTCAATCAAGCAACGCCAAAGTGTCGCTGCGCAATGCCTGACGCAGTGAAATGAGGGCTACGATGGCGAGCAAAGCAAGAATTGCGCGCCAAATTTTTCTCGACTGTTTTTTTCTGTTGATCTTCCTTCTCGCTCTGCCGCTTGTGCTTGTTGTGCGACGGAAGCATCATCACGATGAATCTCGTCCATTCTTGCACACTCGCGTTGGGCGAGCTTGTAGCGCTGGCAGGGAGTGCGGTGATTGCCTTCAAAACAAAAACAAAATTTGGCGGGAAAAAATGGCGGGAAAACGAGAAGCATGCTTGCACAGTTTTGCACCCAGTTGTTCTGTCTCTGCTCAAGTCCCGCCATAGTTCTGCCCTCACACATCACACACCAGTCCACCCAAATGTTGATTCTTGCGCACCGAGTCGTCGGGTTGCGGATCGAGTGGGGTGGTTGCTGGATTGTGCTTTTGGCGGGAGAGTTTACCGCTTTTTTTTTTCGTCCTCTTCCTTCTGGCCCCTAACCATCGACAATCCTCACACACAACAACCAGCTACAGTATCGAGATTGCCATTTGCGGTTCTGTTGACTCATCGAAACCCTTTTCGCCTGTTTGATTGACAGAGACAACACTTTTTACACACAAACCCTCAATCATGTTCGAAGCACGCCTCGCACAAAGCAATCTCATGAAGAAGATTCTTGACGCCATCAAGGATTTGATCACTGAGGCCAACCTCGAGATTTCCAGCGGCGGTATTTCCCTCCAGGTAAAGTCAAAGATTTCGTTGAGATGTCGAGCTGATTGCCAGCAGTGTGCTCAAACGAACTCTGCTTTGTCGTCACAGGGCATGGACAGCTCGCACGTCAGTCTCGTCGCCCTCCTTATGCGCTCGGACGGCTTCTCGCCCTTCCGCTGCGACCGCAACCTGACTCTTGGTGTCAACCTGCAAGCGATGGCCAAGCTCATGAAGTGCGCCTCTAACGACGATATTCTCACAATGACTGCCGAGGACAACTCTGACACGCTCAACCTGCAGTTCGAGAGCCCCGGTAAGTGGTGTGGTTGAACTCGAAATCTGCGTTTTGTTTCCTTCTGCTGAAACACTGTGGCTGACCATTTCTTGTTGGCTTTGCTTCAATCCACCTTGCCAGCCCAAGACAAGCTCTCCGAATTCGAAATGAAGCTTATGGACATTGACTCGGAGCACCTGGGCATCCCCGAAACCGAATACGACGCCGTTATCCGCATGCCTTCGAGCGAATTCCAACGCATTTGCCGCGATCTCGGCGCTGGTATTGGCGGCGAGTCTGTCACGATCGCTTGCACCAAGGAGGGCGTCAAGTTCTCCGTCACTGGCTCGGTCGGCTCTGGCAGCATCACCCTTAAGCAGACTGGCAGCGTCGACAAGCCTGCCGAGTCGGTTGTCATCAACATGGCCCAGCCTGTCACTCTGATTTTTGCTCTTCGCTACCTCAACTCGTTCGCCAAGGCCACTCCCCTCTCCGAGTCTGTTTCGCTTTCCATGTCTCGCGAGGTGCCGCTGGTTGTCGAGTACAAGATGAACGACACTGGCTATGTTCGCTTCTACCTTGCCCCCAAGCTCGAGGACGAGGAGAACCAAGAAACCGAAGCCGAGGCAGAGGACCGACCCAACAAGGGCTCCAAGTCAAAGAAGGCCAAGGAGGAGGATGCCATGGAGGAGGACGATTAAGTCCACGAAAATGGCTTCTACCTTAGTTTTGTTTGTCTTTTGTTGCACATTTTTTTTGGCATTGGTTGTCCTTAGGCCCAAGGGTCAGCCTCCCCTTTCGAACGAATGCACACCTTTTTTCGTCTTGATTGCATGTTTTGTAACATTGAATTTTTGATTTGCGATTTTCTACATCATAGTCTGTCGGTTTTTATTTATTTTGATTGCTTCACAATGCAACTGTGGCCCAATCCAAGACTATCATTGACCTAGAAGCCGCTTGAAAGTCGCGGCAACGAGCTGCGGCTTGACCTTGCCTTGCGTTTCGGCAATGGCTTTCGAGACCAAAAACCCAAACATGTTGTTGCGTCCTGCGCGATACCCGGCCACCTCTTTGGGGTGGGCATCCAAGATGCGCTGACAAAGCTGGTCAATCTCAGCAGGATCGATATTTTGGGTTTGTTGCGGGTCAAGCAGGAAGCCACGCTGGGCTGCCAGGCTTTGAACCGCTCCCGTTGGAGCAGGCAGCTCTCCCAACTTGCACATGTCTGCGAAAAGCGCCTTGGCATTGCGACTGGTGATTCGTTCTTGATCAATCAAATGGACGAGTTCCGCGACGTGGCTTGGCTTCACAGGAGACTCTGCCAGAGAGGTCTCAATGTGGCCCATCAACGACGAAGTAATCCATCCACAAACGCGTTGGCCGGCAGTGCGGGCGCGTGCTGGAGCATTATCGCCGTTCGTTTTCGGAGCGTTGGTCCCTGACGCCAGGCCTTCGAGATGTTTGACTGCGGCCTCGAAATACTCGGCAGCATGCGGCTCAAACACTAAAACGGCAGCATCGCTGCGTGCGAGCTCATACTGGGTGCAAAACCGCGCAATCGTTGCATCTGGCAGTTCGGGCAGCGTTTTTCGCATCGACTCGACATACTGTGGAGTCAAGCGCAATAGTGGCAAGTCGGGCTCTGGCATGTAGCGATAGTCTGTTTCTCCCTCCTTGGTACGCATTGGCACAGTGACACCGGCCGCAGCATCGAAACGGCGTGTTTCTTGGACAATTTTGTCGCCTTCGCCAAGTTCGATAGCGGCAGTTTGCCTCGCGACCTCAAACTGGATGGCGCGCTGCAAAAACCGGATGCTGTTAATGTTTTTGACTTCAACGCGAGGAAAGCGCCGTAGCAGTCGCTTCTGTTGTGGTTGCGAATCCTGCGGTATTGCTGTTGCAGCGTCAGAAGAGGTTTCGTATTCGTCGATCGAAATGTTGGCGTCGACGCGCAGAGAGCCCTCCGCCATGACACCATCGCACGTTCCCAGTTTCTGCAAGATGAGCTGCAGCTTGCGAACGAGCTCTGCCGCCTCTGCAGCGCTGGACAGATCGGGGGCGGTGACAATTTCCATCAGCGCAGAGCCGGCGCGATTCAAGTCTACCAATGTGGCGTTGGCCGGAGTATTTGGCAGATCGTGAAGTGACTTGCCACTGTCCTGCTCCAGCTGCAGGCGCTGGATTCGAATGCGCTTGGGGGTGATGGCCAGCTTGGCGAGCTGAGCGGCCGAGATGCTCTTGTACGACGCGCGATCGGGCAAAACTTCGATATCCAGCCAGCCGTCCGTAACGACGGGCACACGCTGCTGCGTGATTTGGTATCCCAATGGCAGATCGCCATAGTAGTAGTGCTTGCGGTCGAACGCCGAGACTGGCTGGACGGTGCCGTTGAGCGCAATGCCCGTCCGCACGGCCGCGTCGACGCAGTGCTGGTTGAGCACAGGCAGCGTGCCTGGGTAGGCCGCATCCAGAAACGTCACGCACGTGTTTGGCTGGGCCGCGAACGACGTCGGCGCCGTGGAGAAGAGCTTGGACGAGGCGACGACCTGCGCATGGAGCTCGAGGCCGACGACCACGGCGAGCTGGCGGCGTCCCGAGCTCGCAGGGGAAGCAGCATCAGACCGCGCTGCTGTGGGATTGAGATGAGCGGCGCGGCGGGCAGCCCCGGCAACAGTGGCGGACGAGGCCAAAAGCAGACGAGCGAACGGTGAGTTGAGCTGCTGAGACTGAGAGCATCTGTGACACAAAGGAAGAATGAGTGGGATAATTCATTTTGCATCGACCTGAATTGATCGGGGTGTACAGGAACAATGGACGACTTTTTTTTATCAAACAATTTTGTAATGTGAACAAAAGCAAACGATCATGCTCTTCGGTTGGTTTGGTGTTACTTGGAGAAGAAGGACTGCACAAAGGAACGCAGCGGCAATGGCGCGAGTGGATGAGAGGCCAGCAGGAGCGATACGGCAAGCATCAGGAAGAGCACCAGCAAGAAGAGCAGCACGAACGCAATCTGTAGATTTCGCACTGATTTCCTCAGCACGGCCAGCTCTGAATTGCCAGAGACCTCATCTTTGGAGTGCGAGGAGGCCAGAGGCGCGGCGGGTGCAGTCCGAGCCGGTGTCGGCACCACTGCGGCGACAGGTGAGGACGCGGTTGGCGCTGGAGACGGCTTGGCGGCCGCTGGGGCAGTAGCAGCACCAGCAGCAGCCGAGGAAGATTTCGCGGACGAAGCGGTGGGAGCTGGGTCTGGTGTGGCAGCTGGATCGACACCGAGGACTTGTCCAGAGCCAGTCACAAACCGACATGGCAAACGGTGCTGGAAGGGCTTGGTCGCGTTTGGCGCCTCGACGAGCTGTGTCCACTGGCCGTTGATGTCGTTCGCATTGGCATCACTAGGGAAGGGCAGCGACAAGACCAAAAACTTGTCGCGCAAGCTCGACACAAAGCCATTGGCTGTTTCCTCGGGGGTTGCGGCTTGGGCGGGGAGCGAGCCGACGCTCATGAAAATGCTCACCACAATCTTTTCTCCGGGGGAAAGCAGCCCTTGATTGGGGCGGACTCGGTATCGCTCTGGAGCCGTGGTCTTGACCTTGAACGCCACAGGTGACTTTTGAACGCTTCCTGGTAGTGTGTGTGCGAGCGTGATGGTGGATGTGACTTCGGCATTGAACGGGCCGCGGAATTCGAGGTAGTTGACGTTCGGCGATACTGCCAAAAAGCCCTGCGAGAGATTGAAGGAGAGGGGAGCGAGTGGACGGTGAGTATTCGGGTGCGAGACAAGTTCCAACATTCAATTCTTCAAAGCTTCTTACACTACCAACGTCGGACTTTTCTGCGGGCAAGAAAGAGACGCGCTTCTTATGGGCTGGCTTGCTCTCATCGGCTCCAGCATTGGCGTTGGCTTGAGCAGGCGCAGCAATGGCGGGCGACGACGAGGATGAGGACGAGGACGCGGCCGGACCAAAGTCGTTGCGGGCAACAATGGCAAACTCGCCGGGCGTGTACGAGTACTCGTACGAGTCGAGACCGCCCTGTGAAATCAGCAAGGATGAAGGCTCAACGTAGGTTTGAATCTCCTTGCGATTGACAAACTTGATCAAGGCGAGCGCGCGCGGACTCAGCCAGTTTTTGATAATGCTCCAGGCAGCTGTTGGTCAGTGTGAGCACCAGTGTGAAGCAGTTGAGTCAGTCCAGGCAACCATCGATTGCAAAGCTCCAACCCCAACCCCAAACAACCCTAGAACCTCAGGCGACGTACAGTTCAGAATAAAGGAAATTTCAAACACGAGAATCTGCCCGAGCATGTTCGGGTAGTAGAACTTGAAGCAATCGATGAGGAATTTGACGAGATCCATGTCCAAGTTGCCCAGACCCGCACCAGTCATGTCGAAGATCAGCGTAAACTTTTCCGTGTTGGGACGCGCCGACTTTTCCTGACGCTCAAACCAGAGCAGAATGTACTTTTTGACCAGCTCGAGCCGCGCCGGGTCTTTCTTGTGGCGACGGATCATGAGGTGACCAATCAGCCGGTTGCTCTTGTCGCGATTGCGGAAGAAAAAGACGCCCGAGTTGAGCAAGTCCGGCTCAATCGAGCTTTCGCGCAGCTCCAAGACGCCAAACTGGCGCCGCCATTTCAGGCAGTTGACCAGCAGGGTTTGAGCCTCGGGCATCTAGTTGGTTGATGGAGCGCGAGTTAGGCATCGATCGTGTTCACTCAGCACGTCCACTCAGTAATTCTGAGCTGCTGAGCTTGGACTGAGTGAGTTAAATGGTAATCTAACTTACAGCATCAGCAACGCGGTAGAATCGCGCAAGGTACTCGTCATCTGTGGCAATGCGATCGACGTCGACCGAGTTGACCTTGTTCTCTGCGAGCAGCGGCTTTGCCTCAGCCAGCACGAGTGCGCGCAGCTCTGCGATCGTCTCAGGCTGTGAATGTCCATCGAAACGTCAATGCGCGCAGCTCTGCGATCGTCTCAGGCTGTGAATGTCCATCGAAACGTCAATACAAAGCCAAAGTGAGTGAACGACAATCAGCTGATCCAGTCAAAAGTCAAACCGGTCGGTCGGCATTGAATGGGAGTTGAATTGCAGGAACTAAAGCTCAAACTAGAATGGAAAACGAATGGAAAAAAAGAAAAGAAGCTGAGCTTCAATGGAAAGGAACAAAGAAGAAGAGCCGTCGGGCGAATGAAAACGGGAAAAAAAGAAAGAAAAAGAAAGGCCGACGTTGAATTGAATTGAATTGAATGAACATTGCATTGAAGATTGAAGATTGAGCAGCGATGGAACGGACGCGGAACGGATGACCGTTGAGAGAGGTGAGATTGAGCGAGTGAGAGTGAGTGAGTGAGAAACGGAAGAGGGGGGGGGGTGCTGTGGAGAGGGGTTGAGGGGGAAAACGGAGATCTCAGTTGTGCGAGAGTGACGGGGCTACTGGGGTCAGAGGGAGGGCAACGGCTCGAGATAGAGACGAGGTAGACGAGGTTAAAGAGAGATTGAGGAAGGTGGAGGTGAAGGCTGAGAGTGGCAGTGAGGATGAGGATGAGGTCGGAGTTGGCTGATTTGGCATTACTGGAACTACTGCATTGGACGACATGATCCAAAAAAACGAAGAGTGACATTCGTCTGAGTAAAGAAAATAGTGCTCAGAAACAAATAACAGACATAAAAAACCCCATTACTGTACTGTACTCCACTGTTACAGCACAAACCGCGAAAGATCGCTCTTCAAAAAGCTCTCATTCACGGTGCGGCGAACATCGTGCTCGTTAATCACGACAGGAATCAGCTCGGACGTGCCAGAGTCGCTCGTGTGACCAGTGGGCTCGATGCCGGCCTGAACTGCTGCCGAACGATGGTGCGCTACTCGATCCGGCGCTGAAAAGCTGATGTCTTCAACAACCCGCTCCAAAATCGTGTTGAGCCTGCGAGCCCCAATGTTCTCCACCGCACCGTTGACCTCGTATGCAATGCGGGCAATTTCACGAATGGCTTCGGCGGTGAACTGTCCCAATTTGACACACACACGCATGAACGTCAGCTACAACAATTACAACTCATTATTGCAAAGTACGAGCAGCAGCTGGCGTACCGAGAGAGCGACACCCTCCGTCCGCATGAGCTCCACTTGTTGAGCAATCACATTTGCCTCTGGCCACGTCAGGAGCTGGTACAGGTCCGACTCAGAGAGCGCCTTGAGCTGCACACGAATCGGGAATCGGCCTTGCAGTTCTGGTAGCAAGTCTGACGGCTGACTGCTCCGGAAGGATCCACTTGCGATAAACAGAATCTGGCCATCAAAGAGCAAGAGTTGGCGACAATAATACATCGTTTGTTGTTTCGCAATTGAAACGACGAACATACATGGTCTGTGCGGACTGGACCAAACGGAGTCGAAACGAGTGTCCCTTCGATTAAGGGCAAGAGATCACGTTGTACTGGCTCGTAGCTGGCTTCGCTCACTATAGAAACACAGACACAAACCAAAATGCGAGATGGGGATGAGGAAAGAGAGCCACCAAAAAACTGCATTCATCAAAATACAGCAAAATCCTCCACTCACCAACACGCCTCGAGCTGCTGGTGGAGCTGGGAGTTGGCGTGCAAATCTTATCAATGTCCTCAATAAAGACAATGCCGTCTTGTTCAACGTGCTGGACTGCGCTTCGCACAATGAGCGTGTCGTTCAATAGGACCGACGCCTCCATTTCCGCCAGAAGTGACAGCGCGTCCTTGGCACGCATGCGCATCACTGGTGGTCGGTGGATGCGAGCCTCGGCTGCTTGTGTATGCGGGTCACTAGCGTTGGGCACAGCACCATTTGTGGTGGAGCGACCCGGAGTGCCGAGGGCGAGATGAGGCTGTTGAACGTGGTGGTGATGGTGGTGATGATGGTGCTTGGCATCCGCAACAGCAGCTCGGTGCTGGAATACCTGCAAGAGGGACTTTAGTTGCTGGGACATGGCTCCGAGGGCGGAGGCGATATTTCCAGAGTTTGAGGCTTGTTGTTGCTGTTGTTGTTGCTGCTGTTGTTGTTGCTGGTGTTGTGTGCTTGAAGGTTGATTCTGCTCGAGCTTTGACACGGGCGCTGGTCAAACCGCCGTTGCTCTCGAGAAATCGGGAAGCGCTCATGTCAGCGAGCATTTGTGCAAAGCTATCCAATGGGGCAGCATGTGCGGCATCGAGGTCTTCAGCGCTGAGCGACGTAAACTCAATCATGCGGTCGTCGGTGCGCGAGAAGTGAATCATGCGCCGAAGCGCCTCCTTGGTCTCTTCAATATGCTCTGGTGAAAGCACCTCGGTTGACTCGGCATTACGCCGCGCAATAATGTCGCCAATAATGCGATCCTCCACGGCGCGATGAATCTTATCCCGCACCTGTGCACGCGTTCGCGTACGCGCTGCTTGTACACTCAGTCGCACAAGATCGTGGATGGCATGTTCAATATCCTGCCGGTCATTGGCGGCAGCCGATCGAATATAGCGCGTGGCCTCGACTTTGATGAACGGGGCATCCGTTAGCTTGGCCATGCGGCGAGCAATTTCCGTCTTTCCTGCACCCCCAACAAAATGGTTGCATCATTGTCAGGCCACCGCCAGACCAACAGAGAGCAAAAAACCCAACCAAAACCCCCCAATATTGTGGTCGCGAGTGTGCCTTACCAACGCCAGTGCTGCCAATCATGATGATATTCTTGGGCACAACGACATCGCGCATGTTGGGTGGCAGCTGATGTCGTCGCCATCGGTTGCCTGTCGCCACACACACACACACACATAATATGGAGTGAGAATCGCAAGGACGCAACGAACGCAAGACGGAAGAATTCTTACGCAGAGCCAAGGCGACAGCTCGCTTGGCATCAACCTGCCCAACAACATGCTTGTCGAGCTCTGCGACGATTTGCGCGGGAGTCTTGAGCACCGACAATGGCGGTTGGGGAACGGAATCTGCACCAAAATTCAAGCTGAGTTGGTGACAAATCTGTCCCTGTCAAACTTTCTAAGACTCCAAATCTGGAGACTGCTCACCAGCGCCGTCTTGGATGTCGATGCCATGCAACGCGAGCTTGGACTTTTGGATGGACTGCATCAGACTGTCCGTGTCCTCAATGACGGAGAGACAGGTTGCGAGGAACTCGTCGAGCGATGCGCGGAGTCCGAGCGCGTCGTTCCGATCGCCCGAAGTGCCAGGAGCGTGCTTGATTGCGTGGATGTCGGCTGTGGACGGCGGCAGCAGATGCAGCGGCAGCGTCGGCGGAATGACCGCTGGCAGCACCGCAACTGGTGACGCGGTGGCTGGATTGGAAGGCGGGAAGCGCGACGAGTGGCGCCGAGCATGCTTGATGGCTGGTCGTGAGGCAGGGTTACTACTATGGGACAACGCAGCAGCAGCAGTAGCTGTAGCGGCAACAGCGGCGGGCGATGATCGCACAGACCGTGCAAAACCGGCAGTCGCAACGAGTCGGAGCATGACTCGATGAAGCAATCTGACTGAGCTCAGATTGAAATGATGCATGAAAAGGGGTTTGGCAAGATGTATTACAGTAGTTAGAGGGAGATGCGGGGGGGGGGGTTAGTGGGCATACGGAACTTGAAACTTTGCTTTTGCATCATTCATTCGATTCACACACACAAACACACACCCACAAACACACATCAAGCAGACCGATGCAACGGGTACTGAGCTACGAAACCGGACAAGGCGAAAAAACCGCTCGCCAAAACGCTCATCAACAAAAAGACCCAACAAAACCCAACACCCTCATTCCCATCTACTACTGCGTCTGGGCAAGCGCAGCGACAAGGGCGGCACCCTTGCCACTGCCGTCTTCAGAACGCTTGAAGTGGATCTTGGTTGAAATGCCGGGGAGCAGCTCGGCGACGGCGGCAGTCAGTCGGTGCTCAAAGTTCGGGTAGCGCTGGAACAGCGTGCCGTCGACAGCCACGGTGCAGTCGTGGGTCTTGGCGATCTTGGTGGCCACGGCAACAATGCCTGCAGCGGCGATGCGGGCGGCGCGCGTCGACACGAGCTCGCAGATACGCTTGATGATCATTCGGTCATCAATGGTGATCTTGTTCAAGGGCAGGCCGAACTCACGATGCAGCAAATCGCGAGTGAGGGAGAGATCAACAGTGTCATCGCTGTCGGAAGCAGGGTGTGCACGGTTAGAGAGATTGATACACCCGTCTCTGTAGTCAAGGATCACCAACAAAACCCCCTACCTCTCAATCTCGGACATCATCGCAGTCTTGAAGGCCTGAACCTCGCGGAACTTGCTGGTGAGGGTGCCCTGGAACAGCTGGCCGCTCTCGGCAAGCTCGACGGCAACGAGACGCGAGATTTCACCAAGATACATGCCCGAAATCATCTTCTCGAACAGCTGCTGGCCGCGGTTGATGGACGCAGCGTCCATGGTGCGGTCGTGCGGGGTGTACGGCAGGCGCTGGATTTCGTCGTCGAACGCACCCCACTCCATGTTGATAATGACCTTGCCAGTCTTTGGGGCGGGGCCAGTCCACTTGGGGATGGCCGTCACGTCCTCGAGGTAGCAGGTGTTGGAGCCCGTGCCGAGAATGAGACCGACGTAGCAGTTCTGGTCGTCGAGGCATCGTGCAATCTGGGTGCCAACCGTGTCGTTGACGATGGCAGCGACGTTGACCTTGATGCCCTTGCGCGCGAACGCCTCGTTCAGCAGGCGGCCGACGTCCTGGCCCTCGACGCCGGACGCGTGGAATCCTTTCGTCCAGCGGATGAGCTTGCCCGAGTTGATTGACTCTTGCTGCACGGGGAAGCTGAACGTGAAGCCCAACGGCAGCGTCTCAGTGATGCCGCGCGACTCCAAGAAGCCTTGCACCGACTCGGCAATAAAGTCAAACAGGGACTCGCCGGTTCCCGTCATGAGCTCTTGCGTCAGAACGTACTTGTCGCTCTCCGACTTGCACTGGCCGTGTCCGTCGAGCGTCAGCAGCAGAACGCGAAAGTTGCTTCCGCCGAGGTCGAGCGCCAGGAACCGGCCCTTCTCCTTGCCGGTCGGCAGGTTGGAGACGTGCGAGATGATCATCTTCATGGCGGCGCCGTTCTCCTTGGCGAGGCCCTTGCGCATTTCCTGCATCATGCTGTTGACAATGCCACGCAGCACCTCGATCGACGCGCCATACGCACTCTCGACGCTCGCAATGGCCTTTGCAGCAGCGGCAGACGGGACGCGTCCGTGCGCATACGTGCTCGAGGCCCGCGGCGCCGCATCGCCCGACGTCGACGCACCCTTTCCAGCAGCAGCAGCACCTGCGCTTCCAGACAGGGTCGGCTTCGGGGTGGAGCGCGGCGGCGGCGGCTTGGACGATGTCTTGCGCCAGTAGAGATACGCCCCGACCGCGCCAACGACGACGGCAGCGGCTGCGAGCGCCTGTCCCGAGGTCACTCCCGCGAATGCGTTCGTCGTCGTCGTCGAAGTCGAGGGTGAAGTCGAGGTTGAAGTTGAAGTCGAGGTTGAAGTCGTGGATTTGGCCATCTTTTGTTGCGAAATTTCGAAACTGGGAAATTGGGAAGTTGTTTGCTCTGCGTCATCGTCATTCACGATTCACGATTCATGATTCATGATTCATGATGATGATGATGATGGAAGTAAAGTAACAAACGGGGCACTTTGGGGGGTTGATTTGGAGCAGATGGGGAGAGGAGGGAGAGAGATGGAAGACCCAAGATTGCGCAAACTGGAAGACCCAAGATTGCGCAAACTCACTCATCGTGTGTTGAGGGGATGGCTGTGAGCAGAGGGGACGGCTGCGTGCTGATGCGCACTTTTGCTCTTTTGGAGGTCATTGCTTGTGCTCGATTGAGTGAGGGGGGAAAGCAAACAATGGCGGCAACAATGGCGCAATCCACCCCTCGCTTACGTCTGATCACATCATCATTCACCGTCCCCCCCTCCACTCCAATGGAAACAAACAACAATACAATTTATAGACATAAATGGAAGTCATGGTCTGATTGTCGTCGTTGCTGAGGCTTCACTCCATCTTTTGCTCAGCTTTCTCCTTTGATCATGAAGGAGACCTTCCACGATGCCGAGACGTCCCAGCGAATGTAAATCGCTTCGAATTGAGCCTTGGATGCGATGGGGGTATTTTGTGATTGAGTGGTTTGTATGGGGACTGCATTGGAGAGCGAGAGCGAGAGAGAGAGGAGAGGGACAATGCATGTGTAGCTGTAGCTGGGCTTTGGTTGTCTCACTCACTCTCTGGCCCTACCACACATATGCAACCCTTGACGCTTCAACTTCAATGTGCTTGCAGCTCGCACATCCACTTTGGCCTGCTGTCGGACGGCGACATGCAGCGCATCTCGCATATGCGCGTCGTCAATCGCGAGCTCTACCAGCAGCCAGACCGCGTCCCGACGCCACACGGTCCCCTCGACAAGCGACTGGTGAGTCCACGTTGTGCTGGGGAAATGCAGTGGGTTGTTTTGCGTTGTGCCCTGGCGATGCAGGACGGCGTTTTGGCGGGGAAAGGGCGTAAAGACGGCGAGGAGCAGAGATCTTGGCAATGCACATGCATTGAGGGAACAGGCAAGGCAAGGAGGGAGGGACAGCAGGCTTTCCCCCCACTCTGAGACTGTTGAATAGGATGCCAGTTTGATGAATGGGGATTGGGCGAAACAGGGGACGGAGTGGAGGCGACAGAGACGGATTCTGTGCATCTCCATTCGCTCTGTTGTCACCAACGTAGCGTGGTGATGGGGGACCAGGACGCGGTTACTACAGCTGCGCCGGCAAATTCAAGTAGGATTTATGTCGCCAGCAAAGAAAAAAACCTTCAGCGGGAACCAGAGTGCTGGGCTTTGAAAACAAAAAGCAACCTCAATTGTGGCGATGATGACATTTCGCGCCCAGCTGAGCTCACCCGTGCTTCTGATCGGTTCATACACTAACATTCGTTTTGACAAAACAACAGGGCACATCAATGAAGCAACACACCTGCGAAACATGCGGACATCCTATGACATCCTGCCCAGGACATTTCGGAGACTTGCAGTTTGAGCTGCCTGTCTTCCACTATGGATACTTCAAGGCCATCACCACCGTGCTGCAGAACATTTGCAAGGTGAGATTGCGCTTTGATGCCAAAACATGCTGCTGCGTTAGGCTCTCTCCCAATCAAACCAACCCAAACACCCACTCACTCCTCCTGCCTGCCTGCTGCTGTAGACTTGCTCCCGTGTCATGCTGCCGGTCGAGGAACGCCTCTTTTTCTTGCAGCGGCTGCGCAACCCGCTGCTGGAAATGCTGCACAAGCGCGCCATCTGCAAAAAGGTGAACGAAAAGTGCCGCCGCCTGCACAACTGCCCTTACTGCAACGCGCCGAACGGCCCCGTCAAGAAGGTGGCCTTCATGAAGCTCTCGCACGACACCTACCGCATGAGCGAAAAGCAGCGGTCGGACGACCGTGTCGACTTTCTCAACTCCTTCCAGGAGGCGGTGGCGCGCAACAAGGATTTGCGTCCTCTGCTCACCAAGGCAATGGACGAGCTCAACCCCTTGCGCGTGCTCCGGCTCTTTGAAGCCATCCCCAACGAAGACGTCGAGTTGCTCGGTCTCGATCCCCTCAAGGGCCGGCCCGAGCGTCTCATTCTGACGCGCATGCTCGTCCCTCCCGCCTGCATTCGCCCGTCTGTGGCGATGGACGCTGGGGCTGGTTCCAACGAAGACGATCTCACTATGAAGCTCTCCGAAATTGCGTTTATCAATTCGGTCATTCGCAAGTCGCTGTCCAACCCGACCAACATGATTGCAAATCTGGTCGAGGAATGGGAGCACTTGCAGAACGTGTGCGCCATGTACATTAACGGCGATGTGGCCAACCAGTTGCCGCAACAAAACCTAAAGCCCGTTCGTGGCTTTTGCCAACGTCTCAAGGGCAAGACGGGTCGCTTCCGAGGCAACCTGTCGGGCAAGCGTGTCGATTTTTCGAGCCGCACCGTCATCTCCCCAGACCCCAACCTTCGCATTGATGAGGTGGCTGTGCCCGAACATGTTGCCAAGATTCTGACCTTCCCCGAGCGCGTTACCAGCCACAACATTGAAGAAATGCGCCAGCTGATCATTGCTGGAACGGACCAGTATCCTGGCGCAAACTATGTCGAGTTGAACCGAGGCGCTGGCGGTGGTTTGACTGCAGCAGGTACCGTCGCGACTGCAGGCGGTGCGTCTACATCGGCGGCGGCCGGGGCCACAGCAGCGGCAGCAGCGGCGGCAGGAAGCTCGGCGGCAGGCCAAGTCAAGGGCGCCGCGGCCCCTCTCGTCAACCCAAAGCGCTACCTCAAGTACGGCAACCGCCAGGAGATTGCACGCGATCTTCGCGTGGGCGATGTTGTCGAGCGTCACTTGCGCACGGGTGATATCGCGCTCTTCAATCGCCAACCGTCCCTGCACAAGCTCTCCATCATGTGCCACTTTGTGCGCATTTCGCCCTTCCGCACCTTCCGCTTTAACGAGTGTGTCTGCACGCCTTACAATGCGGATTTCGACGGTGACGAAATGAACTTGCACGTCCCTCAAACGGAAGAGGCGCGCGCCGAGGCCATGGTGCTCATGGGTGTCAAGTCCAACATGATTACCCCGCGCAACGGCGAGCCGCTTATCGCCGCCATCCAGGATTTCATCACGGGCGCCTACTTGCTGTCGCGCAAGGACCTCTTCCTCGACCAGAGCATGTTCACGCAGCTGTGCGCATGCATGAGCGACGCCGGCATCCAGATTGACATTCCTCCGCCTGCCATTCTGAAGCCTGTCCGTCTGTGGACTGGCAAGCAGCTCTTTAGTGTCCTGATGCGGCCCAACAAGCAGTGCAAGGCCCGAATGAACCTCCGCACCGCGTCGCGCACGTATTCCAAGAAGGACGAGGAAATGTGCAAAAATGACGGCTTTGTCAACATTCGCAACTCGGAGCTGTTGAGTGGCAGCATGGACAAGGCACTGCTGGGCTCTGGCAGCAAAAGCACCATCTTTTACGTCCTGTTGCGCGACTTTGGCGAGCAGACGGCTGCCGACGCCATGTCGCGCCTGGCCAAACTTGCGTCGCGATTCTTGTGCAATTACGGGTTTTCCATTGGCATTGGCGACGTCACTCCGACGCTCAAGCTTTTGCAGGCGAAGGAGGTCATGCTGCAGGTGGGCTACACCAAGTGCGACGGGTACATTGAGGCCTTCCGAGGCAACGCGCTGCCCTCGCAGCCTGGCTGCTCGCCCGAGCAGACGCTCGAGTCTGTCATCAACGGAGAGCTCTCTCAGATTCGTGAGGATGCTGGCAAGATGTGCTTGGAGGAGCTCGACAAGTCCAATGCTCCGCTGCGGATGGCGCTCTGCGGCTCGAAAGGTTCCAACATTAACATTTCCCAAATGATTGCCTGCGTCGGTCAGCAGACCGTCAGCGGCACGCGCATCCCCAACGGCTTTGAGGACCGCGCACTGCCACACTTCCCGAAAAAGTCCCGCTTCCCGGCCGCGAAGGGTTTTGTTCGAAACAGCTTCTTTACTGGCTTGTCGCCGACCGAGTTCTTCTTCCACACGATGGGTGGTCGTGAAGGTCTGGTCGATACTGCCGTCAAGACTGCCGAGACTGGTTACATGCAGCGCCGCTTGATGAAGGCGCTGGAGGATTTGTCCGTCCAGTACGATTCGACCGTTCGTGATTCTATCGGCGGCGTTGTGCAGCTGCGGTATGGCGATGACGAGCTCGACCCTGCATCCATGGAGGGCTCGAACAAGCCTGTGGACTTTAAGCGCGTCTTTGAGCACGTTCGCAACAACTCGCCCGCTGGAAGCGACCAAAGCCTCTTCCCGTACGAAATTACCCAGTTCTCCCACAAGGTCATTCTGTTGTACCTGGAAGAGCGCCGGGCTTTGCAGCGTCCCGGCACGCGTGCCATGCACGACGAGCCCGTGCCGCAGTTTTACGAAGAGTTGCGCGGATTTTTGCAGTCCGTTGCTGACAGCCTTGCGAGCATGCGCGACAAGCGTGGTCTGGATCCGTACTCGATCGGCCCACTGGACAAGTCGGATCCTCGCAGCGTTGCTCTGAGCGAATCCGCTCGTCTTCAGCAGTCCATTGTCGATAAGGTGGCCAAGTACACGAGCAAGCAACTCGAAGGCTTCCGTGAGCTGTGCGTGTCCAAGTACAAGCGTGCCACCATCGAGGCCGGCACTGCCGTCGGAGCAGTCGGTGCACAGAGTATTGGTGAACCCGGCACCCAAATGACACTTAAGGTGAGTCAGATAGATGCAAATGGAAGAGAGGCAGCTCTTGGAAGGTTGGAGCTGACTGTTTTGCTTTTCGTTTTGTGTTCTTTTGATCTCTGTAGACTTTCCATTTCGCTGGTGTAGCCAGTATGAACATCACACTTGGTGTCCCGCGTATTAAGGAAATTATCAATGCTTCCAAGGTGATCAGCACGCCCATCATCACTGCAGAGCTATTGGATCAATCAAAGGAATCGATCGCGCGTATCGTCAAGGGTCGAACTGAAAGCACCCGCCTGGGTGAAATTTCAGACTTTATGCGCGAGATTTTCACTCCCCACCAATCCTTCCTGCATGTGCGGCTGAGCCGCTCTCAGATCCGACAACTCTGTGTAAGTTTTGTGCTACTCTTGGTGTGCAGGTGCAAATTCTCGCCCAACGTAACCTTGCTGATGAATTTCTGCTCTTCTTCTAGCTCCAAATTGATGCCGAGCAAGTCAAGAACGCTCTACTTGCTTCCAAGCTTCGAGGTACCAGAATGCTCGATGATGCACCAGCTATGGGCGCCAATGATTTTCAAACACTAACGGACTCACTGTTTGATTGACTGGCTTGGTCTGTTTGACAGCAAATTCACGTGGCGTCGCCTTTCGATCTGTGCATCAAGCCTCCAGTGGAGAAGGATTCTAGCTTGTCCGAGCTGAAAAAACTGTCCAGCTCGTTCTTTTCCATCCAGCATCTCAACCATGCGATTGGCAATGTGATTGTATCGGTATGGACTTTGCAGTTTGCCTTTTTTTTTGTTCTTCGTCGATTTTGCGGCGGATCACGTTTCTCATTTGTTTCTTTTGTTGCACCCGTGCGATTTTCATGTTTTAGGGCATCTCGACGGTCAAGCGCGCCGTCATCAACCAAAAGACGCCTGGCAAGTACAATCTGCTCGTCGAAGGCACGAATCTTCTGGCTGTCATGGGCATCGAAGGTGTCGATTGGATGCGGACCAAGAGCAACCACATTATGGAAATGAAGGATTCGCTGGGTATCGAGGCTGCACGGTACGTCATTCGTCAGTGGCGATAGCTTTGGGTTTGAAATGGTGGTTGATGCGGTGTTTTCTAACCTGCCTTTTCACACTCCATCCTCCTCCTTTCTCAGATCGACAATCATGAACGAAATTCAATACACGATGCAGAGTCACGGCATGAGCATTGACACGCGACACCTCATGCTTCTGGCAGACTTGATGACCTCCAAGGGCGATGTTCTCGGCATCACCCGGTTTGGCATTGCCAAGATGAAGGAGAGTGTGCTTATGCTGGCATCTTTCGAAAAGACCACCGACCATCTGTTTGACGCCTCGCTGTACGGCCAGACGGACTCTGTTCGCGGTGTTAGTGAGTGCATCATCATGGGTATCCCGATGACGATCGGCACTGGTCTGTTCAAGCTGCTGCAACGACAAGCAGTTGGCTCGAACGCAGTGAAGAAGAAGCTTGCTCAGCGCTCCTTCCTATTCGACAACCCAAAGCTCCACACGACGTCCAGCTGATTTGAGTGCTTTGTTTTTTGTTCCGTTAACGATTTGCTTTGCTGAGGTGCTTCTTTGAAATAATAAAGTCGAGCATGTTCAGTTGCGTTTCTATTCATCCCTTTTTTGTTTTTGCGCTCGTCGTAAAGTCAAATCATTTAGCTGCATCTTATCGATTTTTTGGAATTATTTAAGCACTGATCCAAATCCGGAAACAGTTCAGTCTACTTTTTTTGTTTCCATTTTTTTTTTCAGTCGCTCAGCCAAACATGAGCGCGGCCGACAACAACAATGGTGTTCCAGCACTCGCTAACGCCGGCATCGTAGACAACCCAGCCAACGTTGCTCACAGTGACACTCGACCGGGTGTGTCGCCGACCACTCCATCGTCCATCAGCATGGTCAATGCCAATGTCAATGTCAACGGCAATGACGGCAACAATCGTCTTTCAGCCAAACGCCCACTTGCTAACGCCGATCTCGTCGACGACCCAGCCAATGGTCACGACGGCAACACTCGACCGGGTGGGTCGCCGACCACATCATCGACCGTCAACATGGTCAATGTCAACGGCCATGACAATGATGGCAACCACCGAGACCGAGCGGTGAGTGCGCCGGGTGAGGGTGGCCGGCAGCGGATGGGCGGGTCGGCGAAACGCGCGCGCGTGGATGACAGCGACGACCACATGTCCGACGACGACAACGGCGACGACCGCAGCGATGGTGGCGCAGCCCCACACAGGACCATCGACACGTCGGATGGAGCCCATGGCGCGTCGACCGAGGAGAGTGCGACGAGCGACCGAGCCAGCGAGGCAATGGACGTCGACGAGCCAGACCGCAGCTTGTCCGGTCAGCTCGCTGATGGCAGCGACGACGATGACAGTGACGATGGCATCGGGAACTATGGATTCACGCACAGCTCTGAGGATGAACACCATGCTGATTCCGACAGCGATTCCAGCGACGACGATGGCGAGGGCGTGCGAGGTGAGGTCGATCACCTCTGAGCTTTGTGTCGCTCGATTTGGGCAATGTGTACCGGCATACGAAGAGCATTCACTCCATTCGAGCTAACAATACTAACATTGTCATGAAAATGGTCCTGCAGAGAAACTGTTCGCCTGGCTTCATTACGAACGACTGGCCAAGCGCAATCCGCTTGATGTTCTCAACGAGCTTGGGCTGCGCATCGATTTTGTATGGAGCTGTTGGCGGATTGTTGAGCTGACCAACGACGGGAGTTGCTTTTGGTGCTTATGCTGTATTGGTTTTGGACTTGGCAGGAAAATGATCAGACCGAGCCGTCGGAAGAGGAGCTGTGGAAGATTGTGATGGAGGCCGTTTTGCGCATGACAGCGTCAGCACCTCGCAAGAAGCTGGAGGATGTCAACACCATTGACGACGTGGTTCGTCTCATCAAGACAAGCAAGAATATCGTCATTCTAAGCGGAGCAGGGGTATGAGGACAACTGTAGTTCATGTGCGCCACATGCATGCACGTTCACTCATTCTTTTGATGCTTTGATTCATCCATAGATCTCTGTTTCGTGCGGCATCCCAGACTTCCGTTCCAAAGACGGCGTGTATGCGCGTTTGCGAGTCGACTTTCCAACGCTCCCAGATCCCCACGCCATGTTTGACATTGAGTTCTTCCGTTCCGATCCACGACCGTTCTTCCAGTTTGCCAAGGTATGTGACTTTGTGGCCATCACAAGAAGATGCATCAGAGCCGCAAGTGTGCCTCCCACATATGCACTGACGTCTGTTTTTTTTTTTTCGCAATACTTTAACCGATGTAACAGGAGCTCTTCCCGGGCAACTTCCTTCCCGCCGCGAGCCATTACTTTATTTCCATGCTCGACCAGAAGGGGCAGCTTCTGCGAAACTACACCCAAAACATTGACACACTTGAGCACGTTGCAGGCGTCAAGAACATGCTGCAATGCCACGGCTCGTTCGCGACGGCGTCGTGCATGGTTTGTCACGCACAGTCCGACGGCATGCTGATCAAGGAGCAGGTGATGCAACAGATCGTGCCACGCTGCAGCCAGTGCGGGCCTGAGGTGGAGCAAGCAATCATCAAGCCCGATATCGTCTTCTTTGGCGAGCAGTTGCCGCAAGCCTTCCACGACTCGTTGATGCAAGATCGTCAGAAGGTGGATTTGCTGATTGTGATGGGCTCGTCGCTCAAGGTGCAGCCTGTTGCCCACATCCCAGGTGACTAGTCTCGACATGTTATGCTTCTGCTTGCGTTCTGGAAGAACAAGTGTCTGATTTTTGATTTTTTGTGTTTGTTTTTGCTTGGTCGGCAGGATGCTTTGACGAGTCCGTTCCCCGCATTCTCATCAATCGCGAGCCGCTGCCTCGTGTTGCATTTGATGTCGAGCTTCTTGGCAACTGCGACCAGATTGTGCAAGAGTTGTGCGCTCGGCTGGGACCCGAGTATGATCTTCAGGCGTTTGCGGCAGACAAGGCGACCGAGACTTTTGGATCTGCTCCAGCTTGGACGCAGCCGGGCTATGTGGCCCCGCCAAGCACGAGCTCCAACGCGGAGGCTGGCACCAGCATGGCAACAACGGTTTCGGTGGCCACCGAAGTCGTCGCGACGTCCGCCGAAACGGGCACGACAGAAGTTGTGGTAGCGACCGCCACCGCTGCTGTCACAGAGTCTGCAGAAGACGCTCCAGCGGCGACCGAGCAAGCAGAAAACAGCGAAGACGACGAGGACGACGAAGAGCAATTGGGCGAAGAGGTTCAAGGCGTTCGCGAGCGGTTCCGGTTTGTTGCGCCGGCTCGCTATATTTTTTCAGGCGCCGAGTTGCCTGCTCCTTTCAAGCACTACCGCGGTGGCAGCGATAGCGACAGCGGCAGCGACGATGATGATGACGGCGACGACGAAGGCGACGGGAACGACGATGGCGACGAGAACGGCGACGAGAACGGCGCCGACATGGACGGTTCCGGCGAGCCTCACGACGACGGCGACGACGACGATGATGAGAATGCCGAGGTCGACGAGCAAGGCGTGAATTCTGATTCTCAACACGACGAAGACGGTCAAGAGGATCAATCCGATTGAGCGACGTTTGGGAGCGTTGAACGCGCAACCAACCACTTTCACTGTTGATCCATGTTATTACAGCATGCATTCGTTTTTTGCCATTGATGCTGTTGTCTGTTTTGTTCTGGCTGACTCAGAGTCAGCTGCATTTATTCTCATAGTACAAAAATGAGAGCAATCGAGTCTTTTTTTTTTTTTTTTTTTTTTTTGTTTTTTTCCCAAGCTGTTGTTTCTGTCATCATGGTCAACATTTCCACTGCCGATCTGCGCGAACCGCGCGTCTTCCTCTACATTATCGTCTGGGTAAGTGAAGGAGTGACATTGACTTGCCGAGCAAGAGCGAGCGAGGGAGCGTGACAGAGAGAGAGTGACCGAGCGAGGCATTGAGAGAACAATGGAATCACAATCCGCGGTTCGACCCGCCGGCACTTTGAGTCGCATTTCGTGAATTGCGAAACTGACAAGCATATCAACAACGACGGGGAATGTGAGTGTGAGTGTGGGGTTTTGCTGTCTCAGCTTCGACAAGTCAACAAAGAGCCAAAAACATGGCCATAAAAAAAAAAAAAAAAAAAAAAGCGAGAATTTCAAAAAAATAAAAAAAAAATGAAAAGAATCCAATACAAAATAATACAAAATAATCTTCTAAATCTGCTGGAAACTCGCTCTTGTCGACGTTGACTTTGTTGTGCTTTGTTGACTGCTACAACTGCACACTTGCATTTGAGCAAAAGTGAGCGAAGAAGCGCGTCAGTCAGTCAGGAAGAGGACACGCGTCAAACCCATTTCTCGCCCTTCTTTTTCCCCCTTTGTGCTTTCATGCTAACCCCTTGTGCTTGGTTATCATTCTTGATTCAATACATTGGCGCTAGTTCCTGGCCATGATCTCGTTTGGCTGCGTCGCGGGCCCCGATTACCGCGATTCTGGCTCGCTCGCCGGCGCATGTCCCGGCTCGTTCAAGTACGACTCGCTCGACGCAATCTGCAACAGTAAGTTTCACAACTACTCACAACTTTGGTTTTTACAACAAAAGCCGCCCTAAACAACTTTGTGATGTTTCAAAAACTCTTCAAAAACTCTTTCTAGATGACGTTATCGGCAAAAGCTCATGGAAGAGCAGCGGCGTCTTCATGGTCGCCATTGGTGTGATTGTCTTTATCTGGGCCTTCGTGATGACTGTCGCTCATGTCGTCTTCCCGTCCAAGCTGCCGCTGTCCATGCCAATCATTGTAAAGCGTTCTGCTTGTTTTTTACTTTTTTTCTTTTTTGGTTGTCCATCGCTCGAGCGTCCTGGATGGCTTGCTCAATTCTTGCACCGTTTTTCTTCTTGGCTTGTTCTTTTGCAGGAGCTCGGTGTCAACATTGCCATGGTTTTCTTGTTCATCATTGCCTCGGCCGTCTGGGCCAAGACAGTTTCTGACATTGGCGACGAACTCACTAGCTTTGGCATTTCGTTCACCACCTGGAGGGCAGGCGCAGTAAGCAAGCCAGATGGTACTCGAGCGCGTTTTTGAGACGTTGCTTTCACTCACCCATTGTCAACTCATTCTGCATAGGCATTTGGATTCTTGTCTACTTTTGCGTTGCTCGCGCTGGCCGTGTTCATCGCCCTGAGCATTCGCCGCGGCGCCCCTGCTGCTGCCCCTGCTGTCGTGTAACTCAACTCGACCGAGGCATTGTGGATGCGGGTGCTTTAAACAACCTTCAACATCGCTCTTCGCCAATACATGTATAAAACCAACACCCATACTGTAGATCTTGATCTTTTCGTTCAACTTTTCTTCTTTTTTGTTGCTGCAAACACAAAAGAACAAAACAAAAAAAAAACTTCATGCGAACACACGCTGGGGGTAAAAGCTACAGAGTTGCGAGAGGCAACAAGGACATTACTCGTTTAATGACCATGGCCGCCCATCATCGGTGGTCCACGACCACGGCCGGCCGGCGGGCCGTCAGCAGGGTTGTGTGCGGGGGTGTTCTTGATCGTCTCGTCGACCGACAGAATGAGGCAAGCGGCCTCGGAGGCGGCGGTGATGGCGTTGATCTTGACAAGTGCGGGCTCCCAAACGAACGTCTTGAACGTGTCGGTAATGTCCTCGTTGAAAATGTCAACACCAAACCAGGTGCCGTCAGCCTGAGCGTGCTTGAAGCGCAGCTTGTTGAGGATGTTGGTCGAGTCAAAGCCGGCGTTGTCGCACAGCTGACGGGGGATGACCTCGAGGGCCTTGGCAAAGGCCGAGATGACGAGTTGCGGCTTGCCGGCAATCGTGCGCGAGTACTCGCGCAGGTAGCGAGAGAGCTCCATCTCGATGGCACCGCCACCAGCAACAACAGAGTCGCTCTTGAGCGCTCGTCGGACAATCATGATGGCGTCGTGCAGCGAGCGTTGGGTCTCTTCCAGGAACTGCTCGGCGCCACCACGGATGATGATGGTGCACGTCTTGCTCTTGGGGGTGCCCGTGAAAAAGTTGTAGCGCTCGCCACCGACCTGTCGCTCGTCGAACGACTCGCAGGTGCCGAGAACGCTCTCTTGCAAGTCGTTGACGGACGACTGAATGGCGCCACCGCATGCCTTCATTGTTCGCTTCAAATCCTCGTCAGCCACACGGCCAGCGCAGAAAATGTCGCGGTCGGCAAAGAACTGCGTGGCAACATCGCCAATCGGCAGCTTGGACAGGACGACCTTTGCGCCGCTCGCGACAATCTTTTCGAGCTTGTCGTACAGAATCTTCCACTCTGCATCGACGATTGCTTGGTATTCCTGTGGGGGATGATGGGTGGGATGAAAGTCAGAAAAAAACAAAAACGGCCAAAAAGCAAACTACCTCAATCCTTCCACAAAAAAACGAACTGAGAAAAGAAAACTCACATCGACAGACTTGACACGAATCTCGGCATTGTCACGCTCAGCCTTAAGTTCGAGCTCAATGTTAAGAAGGGCAATCTTGGGGGAGGTGTAGCTCTTGGGCTGCATCTCAAAGCCGGCGTACGAGAAGGTCTTCTTGAAGGCAACACCGGGGACGAGCACGCTCTCCTCGAGTGCGCCACCCTGGACCTTCTTCATGCCAATCATGCTGAGGGGCAAATCCTTGTCGAGCGAGAGGACGGCGTCGACAACCACCTGGGAGAAGAACTCCTTCTGGCGAGCAATAATCTTCGAGTTCATGGCAGTAGCGGCGCACTTGACGAGCAACTCGCGCTGTTCCTTGGGATCGGCGCGCTGGATGAGCACGGCAATCTCACGGATGCGGGCGACGGCGAGGGCGGTGGCCTGTCGGATGGCACGGACAATGACCTGCGGGTGCACGCCGTCCTCGACGAAAGGCTTGGCCTCCTTCAGGAACTCGCCAGCGAGCAGCACCACACTGGTGGTACCATCGCCGACCTCAGCGTCCTGCGACTTGGCAATGTCGACAAGCGTCTTTGCAGCGGGGTGAACAATGTCGAGCAGCTTCATGATCGTAGCGCCGTCGTTTGAGATGGTGGTTTTGCCTGTTTTTGTTGATACCATTTCCAAAAGTTGAGTGAGTCATGAGGTGTGCTTTGATGCTTTGTGGAGGACCACAACTGTGGATTGATTTCACAGAAGCGCAAACGTCAGATCTCGCTTTTTTTTTTTTTTTTTTTTTTTTTTGCTTTTCGCTGGATTTGCATTGGGTTTGTTTCACTTTTTGTACCGAAATGCTTGTTCGTTTCGCGGCTCAGTTTTTTGCGCACAGAGAGCGCGGCGCATCGATGCAAGACGCACACACACACACACCACTCTACCACAAGCACCGAACGAGCGAGGCCGATCGACTGAGTGGAAGACGAGGGAAAAACAACAATAAAAAAATAATGAAAGCAAAGCACATGGAAAAGCAACAAAAAAAAATAAAATAAAAAAATAAAAATAAAAAAATAAAAAAATATTTCGGAGGATCTCGACTTTTGGTGCTTTTGTTTCGCTGCTGCTTTTCGCTTTGAGCTCGATTCGACGCGATGATGACAAAAGACATCAAAAGCGCGAGAGAGTCAACATCCAGCGAAAAACACACTGGGTCCCTCCAAACTTCTGGCTGGTCGAACAAAAAAAACCAATAAAAAAATAACATCAATGCAATGGAAAAACTAACCATGGCCGTCAACGACGAGCTTGTCCATGCCGCGGGGACCGAGGGTGGTGCGCACGGCGTCGACAATGATCTGGCACGCATTGATGTTGCTGATCAGCTGCGGCTTGCCCTGCGACGAGTCGGTGCCTTCCTTCAGCAGGATGATTTGTGGTTGCTGAAGCGAAGACGAATAAAAAAAAAAAAAAAAAAAAAAAAGTCAGTGCAATGGAAAGTCCATACAAGTCCCATACAAAGTCCGTTCTCCCGTCCTCAGCATCCTCAGTCCTCAAAGAGGTCCCCACTCTGTCTTCACATTCAAAAATCGAATGGGAAACAAAAATGGGGTCATGATTGCACAATGTGTTACCATGCGTCCACCGGGGCCCATCATTCTCGCAAAGGAGTGTTTGTTTGTCGTTGGTAAGATGAAAAGAGGACTGAGGACGGACGAGACGAGGAATGAATGATGATGATGCATTCACCAAGCAAGAACAGTCAGGTGGTTGCCTTCCTTCGTGGAGGGAGTTGCTCAAAGCTCGAAGCCGACATACTTCTGTTTGGTGACTCTCAGTTCGTGAGTTTGTGTCGTTTCAGTCCTTTTGTTTCTCCTTTGCTTTTATAGAAAACCGCTTCATATTGAGAGTCCTCTTCTATTACCGTTGGCATTGAGCGCCACGAGCGACTCATCCCCGCTCCTCACGGAGTGAAGACTTGGACTGAGTGAGTGATTGATTGATTTGAAGGCTCAATGCAACTCAACACGGTTGTGCATTCATTCTTTTTTTTTTTTTTTTTTGCTTTTTTTGCTTTTTTTTGTTGTCATTTTTCTTTCTTCTCATCGTTGATCAACCAGACGATCATTTAGACGCTGAGAATCTGAACACACACAAGACCAGAATGACTGCTGGCGGGACGCGGTCGACGTCGTCCCCACAAGCGCCGGCTCGCGCTTCCTCCGCTTCCACTGCGACAACTTCATCATCTTCATCTTCGTCGTCTTTGTCTGGAAGCGGCGGGACTGGGGCTGGGGCTGGGGCTGGGATGGGACTCGGCGGTCCGCGCTACTCTGCATTGACGCAGGACGCGATTGATGCGATCGAGCAGCTCAACACGGCGACGGTTGAAGACGAGGACGACAGCGACATTCTCAACGACGATGACGATGACGATGACGATGACGATGATGATGGTGACAGTGACGACGATGAGGACGACGAGGACGACGTGCTTGAGGAAGCGGCTGCAGCGGCGGCGTTTGCTGCGGCGACCTCGCTCGGCTCGTCCAGGCGGATGGTGCGCCGGCGCGTCGCTGCAGGGACAATCACTCCAAGTGCCAGCCACAGTCATAGTGGCAGTGGCAGTGGCAGTGGCAGTGGCGTAGGCGGATTCGAGTCGTCGTCGTCCTCGTCGTTGTCGTTGCATGTGGGCCAATCTGGTGCGACCGACATTGGTGAGCACCACCACCCGAGCAGTCATCATCATCATCATCATGCTCATCATGCTCATCATTATCACCATGGACAAGGACACGCTCAAGATGGCGGCGCGCTTGGCTACCATTCTCATTCTCACTCGCATTCGCAGACAGGCAGCCTCGCCCATCACCTCAATGCAGGCGAGTGGACAGTCACGGCCGATCCAGATACAATTGCAGGCGCAATCGCTGCTGCTTCTGCTATTCCAGGAGAGCACGCGGCGATACACAATGCTGCAGACACCCATTCTGCTGCCAATTCTGCTGCCAATTCTGCATCGATCAACGCTCGAAAGCAGCCGTCCTCGTCTGCCAACACGACGCCAACTGCGCCTACACGCAAAAACGCTCGTGTGACTCAAAACGGAGCGCACCAGCATTCCGGCTTGATGCTGCACTCTGCTAAAACTGAAGCAATCTCGCTGCAGCAGGCTCGCGCACACGACGCTGCGTTCGATCCGAGTCATAGCCACGAGTATGAGCACGAGTCTGACAGCCAGGATGATCCTCTATTTGCGTCAGTGCTGCGGGGTCTCAAGGCTGCGACGCATCCGACCTTGCAGCCTCGGCGCCTGCACGACGAAGAGCTCGCCCACATTCACTCGCTCAGCGGCGACGGCACTGCTGACGATGCACACACGTCCCCGTCCTCTAGCGCGGATTACGAATTGACAGTCCGCCATCGCCGAAGAGCCGACGAGCATCCTGCGCTTTCTGCCGCGTCCAAGCGTCCACGATTAGCCGCAGCCACGACGGACGAGTCTGACTCTGAACTGCTCGACGATCTACAAGGTGCGGCGCCTGCAGGTAGCCAATCTGCACGAACGAACGTCCATCTTTTGCTTTCTGCAAAGTATCGAGCAAACGTTCGTCGCCACCAACGTTTGCAGCAGCAGCAGCAACAGCAGCGAGCATCGGGCGGAGAGCACGGCGAGCACCAACAACAACCGGGCTTCCTCGATGCACATTTGCGCTTTGGCGATTCGGCCACTCACGCTGCTTCTCCTGCTTCCATTGCCGACTCGCTTGCCTACCAATCGATGGTGCCAGAGTTGCCAACACTCACTGGATTAGAGTCTGTCAATGCCGCCGTTCTGGCCAGCCATCGCGCTGCAGAAGCTTCTGCCGCCGCCGCGCTCATGCCGGAGAAACGCAAGCGAGGCAGACCGCGGAAAGTGCCCCTTGTCGACGGACAGGAAGCGTCGTCACCTTCCGCTGCCCTTCCTTTGGACGCGCCAAGTAGCTCTGCCCCAGTCGCCACCACCACCAAACCGTCTGCAAAGCTATCTGCCAAGCAGGCTGCCAAACAAGCTGCACTGGCTGCAGACACCACCACCAAATCTAATGCCAATCCAACCAGCACCAAAGCAGCACGCCCACCCAAGCAGCAGCCGCCCCCTCTTGCCACCAGCTTGTCCAATCTGGGGCCCATCAGCAGCAAGCGGCATTTATCTCCCGCCGAACTTGTTGCCGCCATGGCCGCTCGCACGTCGTCGTCTGCTGCCGCTGCTGCCCCGGCTTCGTCTTCTTCGTCCTCCTCCTTGTCTTCGTTCCAGCACGTTCCCGCTGCGATGGCAACGCTCCCGCCAGTCACTTCGTCTCGACCAGGATCACACGGATCGCTGTCCGGCTCCTGCACTTGCGCGATGCGGCTTGCTCCGGTCATCAGCATGTTTGCCGAGTGGAAGGGTGCGGCCAAGGATGCAGCAGCCACAGCCTCCGACGCGACCGGCGCTCCAGTCAAGAAGGGCCACCGTCTTCGGCAGCAAAACGAGTGGTTGCTTGAAAACGTCTGGGACTCGAGTGTGGCCTACCAGTTCTGCCGCCAGTGCGTGAGCAGCCTCCTCCACGTTGACGAGCACCGTCTTTCCAATCTTCGCCAGAAGAAGGCCAACTCTGTGCGCGCTGCCGTGAGTATGGTGAAGCGAGACGTCGAGCCTGGTCGCGTGCGCGACGTCGTGCTGCCAAAGGGCATCCACGATCGGGCAAGCTGGTGGGCTTTGCTGCCCGACCACGCCGTGGTTAGCGTTGGTGCCCCAATCGCCTTTCACGGACTCAAAGCCCAGCGCAGCAACAACCACAAGGGCGATGATCTGCTCGAGCATTTCCTCACTTTTGTGGACAAGAACAGCTCGCCCGTTCCTGCACACCGGACTGATCTGGACCCCTCGGTGCAATTTGTGTTTGATTCGCGCTTCCGCCGCATCAACGTGCCATCTACCGCAACTTCCGATCAGAGCAACGCTGCCGAGGCCAACGCTTCGTTGACGCATGCATTCAATCTACTACTCCAAACGTTGTATCCGGTGGGTCCGAACGGAAAGCCAGTCACCGTATCGCACGGTACTGTCAAGACATGGCTCAAGGCACATCGTCCATCTCACGCAGTTATGAAAAAGCCCCCGAAAAAGCTTCTTGCACGCCAGGAAGCATCGCTGTGAAGTTTTGGGCATTGTTGGTGGAATTTCATTCTCGACCTTGGCTCTCACCCGCGTGATTTCTTCCACCCACCCCCCATCTGTAATATATAGCTGGCAGAAAATGCCCGAAACACCATACTGGCCTTGTTCTTCGACTGTCGGCTTTTTGCGCTGTCGCACCCACATGATTTTTCGCTTTTGATTCACTCGTCACATTTTCTTATTTTAGACCGAAATAAAAAGCAACTTGGCTCAATAATTCTAATATCTGAATTTTTAAACACACATAGATCGACAGACACATAGATACTTCGCAAAAAACAAACAAACAAACAAACAAACAAACAAACAAACAAAAAAAAAAAACTGAAACAATTATCGGAAACTCAAACATTGGTGCTGCCGAGGGCGCCAACGAGAGGCGCAGTACTTGCAGTGCTGATATCACGATCTAGGCCAGAAGACTTGGCATCTTGCGAGCTCGACGACAGCTCGACCATGGGTATCGAGTTGGACGGTTCTTCCGGCTCGCTGTACTGCCATGTATCAGAGTCGCGCGGGACGTGCTCGAATCGCCCAGTGCGAAGCAAGTACATTTCTCGAACCACTTGCGTGTTGGTCGGGTTGAAGATGCTGTATGCGTACTTGATGATGGCGTATGGCATGATGGCAGTTGTCACCGAGAGGATGACCGTAAACCAATACGTCGGGTTGGGCCAGAGCATGAAAACGACGCCAAAGACAGAGTTCATCTTGGCGAGGACGTTCATGTACACGAGCATGTACAAAAACCACAGCAGGACGGAGGCAGAGCAAATCACCGCGCTCAGCTTGGTCCACATGTGCGTGTCGAGGGCTAAACGCAGGTTGACCAACACAACAAGCGTCGTGTAGCAGACGGTGCCGAGTGACCACATGTCGTACTGCTGCCCAGTGGGAGCGACAGCGATCGCGAATCGCGGAATCAAGTAGCAAATCAAGGACTGATACGTTGCGTCGAGGATGGTTAGCCAGAACTGCTTCTTGTTGAACAGTTCGTTTCGCATTCCTTGCAAGTAGAGCTCGGGGAAGAGCATGGCCGCGCGCGCCTTCACAGGCTGCTCAAAAACCGCCAGAACGATCGGGGGTAGCGAAGTGAAGGCCAGGTTGAAGAACATGATGTACGTGTACTCGTAGACGGTCTGGGCCGAAAAGCCAGCGGTCGTGTTAAACCAAAAGTTGACCAAAATGTACGCGTAGTTTTTGTAGAAAAAGTAGAGGACGAGCCACGTGATGCGATGGTACGACCACACACCGTGGACCAGCAGCAGCTTGCGTAAAAAGGAAAACTGGGCAATGGCGTAGTCGCTGGCCATGACCGCCTGCATGCCTTCGTTGCCGCTGATGCCAACGCCAATGTTGGCCGCCTTGATCATGCTAACGTCGTTAGCACCATCACCAATGGCAAGCGTGATGGTACCGAGACCCTTGCGCACTAAATCCACCACCGAGGCTTTCTGGAGCGGCGAGCAGCGGCAGCACACCACCGAGGCGCATTGTTTGGCCAAACTGAGGAATTGGTCTTTCAACTCGGGCGAGAGCGAGTGCACCAGGGTGGCGCCGTTGACAACGAGTCCAAAGACAGGACGGCCGTCGGGGTTGGAATTGTTCATGCGGCTGGGATCTCCTGCCGACGACGTGCTGGCACTTGCGCCAAACGGATGGTCACCCGACGAGTGGCTGCCTGTGCTGTAGGCGGACGCCGTGATGGCGCCAGGGATGATGGTCGAAATGCGATCGCGCGCCACTTGGCTCATGGGGTCACTTGCAGATTTTGTGAGGGGATCTTGCGAAGTGCTAAAGGCGATCGACGGATCTGTCGATGCTGCCTCATTCAACGGGCTGTCCTTGTCGGAAGCCGTGCCCGCGGCCAAGTCGGCGGTTACAAACCCAAGCAGCTCTGTGATCCGAGCTTGCGTCGACTCGGCGTCGGTCGCATTGAGAATCAGCACCTGCATGCCTCGGCGGAAAATCTTGCACGAAAAGCCAATGTTGATGGCGGTTTCTTGCTTGTCACCCGTGAGCATCCACAGCTTGATTCCTCCCCTCGCGAGCACGGCGATCGTGTCGGCAACATGGTCTTGCAGCTTGTCGTCCACGGCCGTGGCGCCGACGAGCTGCAAGCCATTCTCAATGCTCGCGCTCACCTCGGCAATGGCCTGCTCTCGGTCTTCCTTTGAGATGGCGGCCGCGCTAAACTTGGCATCAAATGCCCGCCACTCGTCCTCAGTGAGTGGCTTCCATGCGAGACAAAGTGTCCGAAGGCCTCGTTTGGCAAAGTTATCGAGGTGGGTGCGCGTGGCGTCGAGCAGGTCTCGAGCTGACAACGCGCCACCTTCCTTCTTTTCGGCCCCAGGCACCGTCAAAAATGCCGGAAGAGCCGACTTGGCCAGCGGTGCCAGCAGGGGGATGACGACGTCATCGGCTCCCTTGAGCAGCAGCTTGATTTCATTGCTGCAGCAAGCAGACAGAGGTGTGCATGAGCGAGCCATGCCAAAAGGTGGAAACAAAAGCACAAAAACAAAACAACGGATCGATCAAACCAAATCACAGACTCCTTACGTGTCGCGGGTGCGAATAATCACCGACATGCGCTTGCGGTCTGAATTGAACTCGAGAACATTCAGCACATCGTAGAAGCGATCTTGCCCGTCAATGTTGATTTTGACCACATTCATGGTGCGATCCACAAATGCAAAGCCAAAGTCCCTGGCGGCAGCGACAAGGCACGCTTCGTCTGGCGACTGGGCCTGGTAGCTCAAGGTTTCTGGCAGTCGCTGAGGTCGAGTCTTATCCGCCTCCTTGTACTCGGCCATGACTGTGTGGCACAATGCCAGGTGTTCCCAGAATGCAATCAAATGCTTGTCAACGAGCCGTTGACGAATCATGGCAGCGTCGTGGTACTGCATTGGTTGCGAGTACGGCGAGTTTGATGTGACTGGTTGAGTTTCTGCAGTGGCGGATAGTATTTCGCGGTGCGTGAGCTACGACAACAAAAGAAAAAAAAAAGGGGATCTGTTGCGCCCGCTTGATCTACACAACAAACTGCAACACAGCGCGCTTACTGGATGTCGAGCCGGCACCGTAAATGACGCCATTTACACTGCACCCATGGAACACCATCCTATTCTGAGTTAATGTGCCAGTCTTGTCGGAAAAAATGTACTCGAGCTGCCCAAGCTCTTCGCTCAAGGCAGAGGTGCGCGCCCAAGCAGGCGTATCGGTTGCAGCCCAGTACATGTCTAAATCCTGACTGATAAATAGAGCTGAGAGGTTGTAGGTGTGGAGCAAAGTCGGAATTGTGAGTTCAACAAGGAGACCAGTCCCACTGAAGTCTGTGAATGGCCAGCAAACAGCGCTCACCTTGCACGAGCTTGACCATCTCGACAGTCACATAGAGAGAGATGGGCACGAGCGACTGCAGAATCAGCGCAAACGACCAAAAGTTGATGAAGGCACTGAGATACCTGTTGGTGGGAAAGTACAGGTACCAATGCGTTTCTGGAGGACTGATGCCGTTCACCGCCGACAAAATGGCGCCGATAAGGCAGAACAAGATCAAAATGACGAAAACAAAGATAATTTCCTTGTTCATCATCTTGTCCATCTTGGTGCGCTTGAAGCGGCCTCGAGAGCTATTCTGCAGAACTTTTGTGTCGTGCCCTGCATAGACAACAAGGCCGTAAATGTAATCCGTGTTGCGCAGGATGCAGCTGCGAAATAGCACGTTTTGAATGCCGATCGGATCTGTTTGGGCGAAATTGTCCTCTGCAAACGCCATAGACCCCTGGAACCGAAACAAGTTGTTGTTGGGGCTCTCGCACTGGACGCGAGCGGCCAGTGACACACATCCTTGCGCAGACGCGCAGCGGCCCCGAGTCAGCGCCAACGCTTCCTTGGGCTTGAGGTTGGTCTCGCCATCCATGCTGGCGGTGTCAACGTAGCAGAGGTTTTGCGGATCCGATGTGCCGATCAGGACGACATCCGCTGGAATGGCATCACCATCAACAAGTCGCACAATGTCGCCAACCCGCAGCTCCTGCCAAAGCACGCGCTCAAGCAGTCGTCCGTTCGAATGGTTGGCTGGCAGTTGGTCTGCACGACCGCCACCAATGTCCGGCATTTGCGACGACGCAGAGACAGACGAGGCGGACGACACGGAGCGGTCGGACGATTCGTCGGACGACAGCTCGGTGAATTGACCTCCTTGGTTGTTTGCTTGCTTTGTGGACGGCGAGGGCCGATGCTTCTCATCGCTTGGCTTGCCGTCAAGTGTGCCGTGGGTGGCCTCATACTCACGAATAATCTTCTCCCGTTGCTGGCGGCTCGCGAGGCAGCGAGCAACAAGCGCATCAAAGCAGCGCATCAGCGGTTGCGTCAAGAACGACAGCGGATGCAAGCGAGCCATGGCCTGCTGCTCCTCTCGCGTGAGTGGCCGTTCTTTGCAGACAACGCGCGTGGTGACAGAGTAGTTGACTTGAAGATCGCTCTTCCGGCGTTTGTAGTCTTCCACGGCGTCCTTGATTGCAGACGTGGTGAGCACAAACAGCAACGGCAACGCTGCCGTCGACGGATTGACGGCCTGTGTGGCCGGAATGAACGCCAGAATGACCATTGCCAAAAAGTAGCAGTTGGCAAAGCGGTGGAACTGCTCAAACAAGTTTTGCGGGAGGAACGTCAGCGCCGTGTACTTTGTCGTCGTGACTTGATTTTGGCAGAAGCCCGCGATCTAGCGACGACCAGAAGATTGTAAGAAACAACAAAGTCAGTGATTGTTACGACAAATTAGGGAGCACCGGAGCAAAATTTCTGAGACGAAGTGGTTTCCAAGGTCGATCACATCGTGTATCTGCCCTACTACCACTACTACGACGACTACTACTGCTACAAGCTATTTACTACGAGTCCGCCGTTGTACGAGTTGTCAAAGTGCAACTGTGACGTTTTGATGGTTGGCTCACAAACGCGGTTCCACAACAAAAAGCAATCGGTCGTTCCAGTTTACGATTGGTTTCCCAATTCACGCTCACTGCGCGTCCCCACCTCAACCTCGAGCACAACTCACTTCGTGCCACTAACGTTTCGCTGAGTGGCTACGCAGCAGCAGCAGACGGATGATGAGCGTAGACGCAGCTGGTCACATCCTTTTTTCCAATGCGCAAAATGTTGATTGTTGTTCGCACCCGCATCACTTGAGCAGCAGCAACCAAAGTGCGAAGCTGCTCGTCCCACTTTTCCACTTCCGGTCAATCCCATCATCAACAAACAGTCAACATCGAAGCGCAATCGAATGCAGAGCGACGCAAAAAGCGAGAGGCAGAAGAAAAAGCTACCAAGCGACAAAGCAAAAACCCGATCGCCGTGAACTCAAATAAAACAAAAACATAACAACAAAAGCGTCGACGAAGAACAGAAGCACAAACGCAAACACACACACTGAGAGAGAGAGAAGAAAGAGAGAAGAGCATTGTGTCAAACAAGGGACTCGGGCACCAGCGCAGAGCACAACCGAGTTAAGCGGGAGCAAACAACAAACAACAAAGGGTGAGAGAGGGCGTCAAAACCCAACCTCCACCTTCACTACGATCAGTCCTCCAGTCCTCCAGGTTGCTGCTTGTCCCTTTCCCCCCTCTCCACACATGAAACCACCAACGCAACACCCACTCATCATCATCATCATGAGCAAGACGCGACGATCAGATCGGGCCCTTGGCTTGCTTGCCTCAGAGTGGACCGGGTCATTGCTGTGCAGCAATCGAGCTGCGGCGTTCGTTGATGCCATTTTGCTGCTGGTGTGTGTCGAGGCAGCACGAAACGCCGGCTCTCTCTTTTGTTGCACAATGACTTGATTCAGATACTAGGATTCAGTGAGAAGTAAGGCAACCCAGGACGAAGGAAGGGGACAAAACCTTCCCTCTTCAATTGAAATGAAACGAAAAGACTGACTTGTAACTTGTGTTGTTGACCGTCTCAGATGATGAAAAAGAAAACAGAAAAAGCACATCAATAGTATTTATAAAGCAATCTTGTTGATTGACAAAGGAAATGGGGGCAAAAACTGAAGCACAAGCAACACAGTCAACAGCGGCCAGTTGCTCAGGTTTCACAAAAGCCAAACAAAATCCGGAGGGGAAACAAACAACATCAGAACAGAGAGAGAGAGGCAGGAACGAGAAATGCGTGTTGCGTCTGCGGGGGACCAAAAAAGAGGGGGGGGAGCTTATGCGACGCACATGCCGCTCGAGCAGTGGTGGCCAGCAGAGCCGCTCCAGTAGCAGTCAAGGTCAGTGACGCAGCCAGTGCAGATGCCAAAGATGCAACCAGAGGCGGGGTCGTTGCAGCCGCCAAAGTCGCAGTAGCCGCAGAAGGTGGTGCCGACGTTGTTCTTGACGCACTCGCCGTTCTGGCAGCAGCTGCCGGTGGGAGAGCCCTGGCAATCAGCAGACGAGACGCAGGTGACGGGGCCAAAGATCGGGACGTTGCCCGAGCCGGAGGGAACCTCGCTGACGCACTGCCAGGCAGAGCCCTTCTTGTGGGAGCAGTGCTGGCCAGAGGGGCAGTCGGTCGAGATGATGCAGTCCGGAATGCCGAGGAGCTTGCGGAGATCGATGAGGCCGTCCTTGAGCATGTCGCCAAAGGAGACGACGAGCTGGGAGAGCGAGGCCAGGTCGAAGGTGACCGAGTGGGGCTGGTTGTAGATCTGGAGGGTCATCGACATGGTGGGGAAGATGCCGTGGGCAAGGTTGCTCATCGAGAGGTTCTCAATGCTGAGCGCGGTGAGCTGAGGAATAATGTACGAGAGGTCCGAAATGAACTTTTCCCAGTCGTCGACAAGCGAGTCGGGGCGGAGGTAGTGCGGGGGAAGGAGGGCATCCATGAACATGTTGAAGGCGGTGGTGAGGTTGGCAAAGCTGAGGTCGATGGCAAACTCAAAGTTGGGGTGCAGGGGATCCCAGTCGGTGACCATCGAGACGGCCATGTGGTCAATGCCAATCAGACCGATGGAGGCGTTCAGGGAGACGCCCTCGACAAAGTGGATGATAATGTCGTTGACAACAAAGTCCTGGGTGACGGGGGCAATGGCGAACGAGACGCCCTGGAAGTTCATGGAGCCGGGGACGGTGGTGACGTCAATGGCAGGGTAGGTCGAGTCCTGCTGGGCGTTGTTGAAGGCGCGGGTGACGTCGGCAAAGGCAAGGGTGGCAACCTCCGTCATGAAGAAGACGTTGACGGGGTTGGTGATGTCAACAAAGCCGTTAATGTCAATGACAACGCCGCCGATGGTGATCTCGCCACCAACGCCGAACGCGGTGATGCCAGAGGGGCCAAAGCCAATCTCAATCCAGGGGTTGGTAATGTCAAAGCCCTTGAGGCCGGCAATGTTGGCCCACTCGCCAGCCATGCTGCCCTGGACGGTGACCTCGGCGTCGGAGGAGAAGGTGCCGCCAATGTCGAACGTGAGCCAGTCGCTCTGCTTGGCAAAGAGAACCGAGGCGCCAGTGGTGATGGTGACGGTGGAGGGGACGGCAATGTCGATGGTGAGCGAGAAGCCGTCAAAGTTGACGTTCGGCTTGACGGGGATGGTGGTGGTGCCGAGGGTGAAGGCAAGACCCTTGGTCATGTCGCCAAAGACGGGCAGGTACATGGAGAACCAGAACTGGACAGTGTCGGCGTCAGCCTTGATCGTGGACATCTTGGTGAAGAGCGACGAGGGCTTGAGGATGGTGATGACGTCGAGCTCGAGGGTCAGGCCGGGGAGGTAGGCACGGCCGGTGGTCGAGTCCGTGTAGGCGGCAGTGTTGATGACGAGGGTAATGTCAGCCGAGCTGAAGGCGAGGTCGTCAGTGGCGGCAGGGGTGCCAGAAGCGCGGCCAGCGATCGTGTTGACAGCGTTGGAGAGGCTGTCGACCTTGACGACAAGCTCGCAGACAACGTCGGAAAAGTCGTTGGTGCCGGCAAGGTGGATGTCGTACGAGTTGAGGATGGCGGACGAGGCGAAGGTGATTGAGGCCTTGCCGTCGAACGAGAGCGAGACGAGCGACGGGGTGGCAGTGTTGACAACAAGGGCAACCGAGATGGGCGACAGGGTGAGCCACTGGAGGCCGAACGGGGCGACCCAGGCGCTGGCGAGGGCGCCAGAGAAGGTGAACTGGTTGGTGCTCGAGGTCCAGTCGGCAGAGACGGCAAAGACGACGGGCTGGGGGTTGCTCTTGAGGGCGAGGGTCAGATCGAGGCTGGCGTGGACGCCGTTGGTGCGGCCAACAGAGAAGCCGACGTCGACCTTGGCGTAGCTGACGACGGGGGTGATCTGGACGAGGTTGGCGAGGAAGTCAACAGTGACCGAGCTGACCTGGAGGTTGTCAAAGATGGGGCCGTAGACGCTCAGCGAAAAGTCGGCAGAGCCGTCGCCGAGGACGGGGGTGAGGAGCTGGCGTTGCTGCGAGCCAGAGGCGACCTTGACGTCGGCAACAAAGGTGAGACCGCGGGTGGCGCCGGCGTTGGTGGTGATGGTGAGGACAACCGAGGCAGTGTTGAGGGTAAAGTCAGCAAGGGTGTTGTCGCCGAGGGAAGCACCGCCGAGGGCAGTCGAGAGGAGGGTGGGGAGCTGAGTCGAGTCGCCGGTGGCAAGGTCGACAGAGACAACGAGGGTCCAGTCCTGGAAGTTGTTTGAGCCGGTGAGGTAGAGGTGCGAAGCGCCCTGGCCGGTGGTCTGGAAGGGGAAGGAGGCGGCGCCGTCAAAGTTGAACGAGGTGAGGGTCGAGCCGAGGTTGTCAGTGTTGGCGTTCGACGTGTCAACGACAAAGTTGAGGGTGGCGGTGGCCAGGCTAATCCACTTGACGGGGTTCCACGAGGCGAGGAGCTGGCCGGCGAAGGTGAGCGTGTTGGTGGTCGAGTCCCACGTGGTGGAGGCGACGAACGAGACGGCGGGGTTGGTGGTGAGCTGGAGGGTCAGGAGGGTCTGGATGTCGACGGCGGGGGTGGCAGAGACGCCGGTGAGGGTCACGTCAACCTGGGTGCCGAGAATGTTCAGGGCGTTGCGGAAGTGGAGCTCAACATCAATGTCAATCTCGGCGGTGGCAGCCTGGGGGTTGTTCAGGGGGAAGGTGGCGAGCAGGTCAAAGGTCGACTGCGTAAAGGTGCGGTTGAGACGCTCGAGGCCGGCAAGCGAGTTGCCAGTGGCAAGAGCACCCTCGACCTTGACGACAACACCGGCAACGAACGAGTAGGTGCCGATCGCAAAGGCGGTGGTCGAGGCGTTGACCGAGCCGCGGCCCTTCGCGCTGACAGAGACCTGGGTGAACCACGAGTCGGCGGGCATCTGGGCAAACTGGACGCCCTGGGCGATCGAGTAGCCCGAGCCGATCGTGGCAGACAGACCAAAGCCGAGCTCGGCAGTGCTGATCGAGAGGACGGTGGCGAGGAACGAGAAGGTGCCCGAGACGCCAAGCAGGTTGCCGCTGCCCTGGCAGAGCAGAGTGGGGAACGAGTCAAGGCCAATGAAGGTGCAGCCAGCCGAGGTCAGGACGATCGAGCCGTTGGGGTCGGTGGAGGTGGCGGTGGCAAGCTGGCCAAACAGGGTGGCGTTGTTGACGGTCGTGGCGGAGAGGGTCAGGGTCTTGGTGGTGGTGTCGAGGATGCTGGCCTGGAGGGCGGTGAGGACGGCCGGGGGGTCTGTAAAAAAGGGTGTGAAGTTTAATATCAGTTGATGCAGGGGATGTGTGTCACGAGACTGACAAAGGTGGTTTGGTTGGATGAACAAATCGAACGAAACCCGGCAAAAGCCCAATGTAGTTGGATCTTTCTCTTCCTCTTCGCCCCCCCCCCACTTCTTTCATTCAATAAAATAATAAATATCAAAACCAACAAACATCCACTGAGCGAAGGGAGTCGGGGTCATGGGGTCCAGGAGCAATCCCAAAACGCGAACATATGCCCCAACAAAGCAAAACGACGATGAGCGAGTTGTTTTTTTGTGCGGTGCTCCAAGTTCGGTAATTTGCTGAACTATGATTTTTCTCCTCGTCCCCAAAGCACGATTCAAAGAATAGCAAGCAGCAGCAGCAGTAGCAGCAGCAGCAGCGAAAAACCGAAACGCCGACAACAACAAAATAAAAAGATCATTTTTTTTGTGCCGTTATGTAAAAAAAAGAAAAAAAAAGTGTTAAAAATGGTTCATTTTCCGCACGTCGCGTCCCCGCCTCATTCAACTTCAAAGAAGCACAGAACAAAACACACGAAAAATCACAGAATAGAGTAACAGAGATGAGAGGGGAAAGAGAAGCCAGCCGCCAACGGAAGCAGAAGTATGAACAATCGACACCCCCCAGGCGTGGCTCATGGCGCAATAATAAGAATAATAGCAAATCATCACAACAATAAATGATTTGAAAATAAGCCGCAGGAAATAAAAAGAAAAAAAAAAAAAAAAGCCGCGCAGCTGAACACAAAATGAAAAATAAAAAAATCCATTGAAAACAAGTCGTGGGGTGGAGCAGAGTAGAGAGCTGGAGATGAATAAAACGCAGCTTACCTTGAGCGTTGTCGCCAGTGTGGGGCTTGGCGTTGTTGGAGTCGCCGGAGGAGGACGTGGTGACTGCAATGACCGCAGCAAGGGCAGCGGCAAGGCAGACAGCTGCGACAAGGGCAATCGTCTTGCGGCTGGTGCGGCGCTGGCGGACGGTCAGGAGACCCTCGCTGTCGCCTAAGACACAGGATGATGATGATGATGATGATGATGACGCAGGGCAAGGCAGCAGAAGAGGAGGAAGGGCAGAAAGGCAAAAAAAAAAAACAAAAAAAAACAAAAAAAAAAAAAAACAAATGGAGGTCAGCAGGGATCATAAGGCTTTTTTTTTTTTTTTTTTTTTTTTTCCGTTTTCTCTCTGTTTTCTGTTGGACGACGTACCGGAGCCAAGCTCGAACGTGCTGTAAGCAGAGTCGGAAGCTGTGTGTGGGAGGAGGAGGAGGAGGAGAGCGAGAAGGGAGAAACAAAGTGAGGTAGGCTTGAAAAAAAAACCATCTTAAAAAAAAAACAAAAAAAACTTACGCATTGAAAGATAAAGAAGAAAAAAAAAAAAGAAGAAGAAGAAGAAGAAAAGTGTAGACTGAACTGAAACCGAAAAGACAATGATGGGAATGAAAGATGAGTCAGAAGTGAATGGCAGGAAGTGGGCGGAAGGGAAGGGGGGGGGGAAGGAAGGAGAAGAGAGCGAGAAAATGGAATATGGCGGGAAGGGTTTACCTTCGATCTCTTGTGCTTGTCTGCGTTCGTCTCCTTGCCTTTGAATCGGCTCCAGCTACATGTGCCTTTCATTGACAAAAAGAGCTGTCGAACGAAAACCAAGGTTGTCCGACGAAATCCAAGCGTTGTTTTTTTGACGAAAAACAACAACAAAAACTGTTGCTCCAATGCTGTCGGCGTTTGTTCTGAGCGAGGACGAACGCCACATCTCGATCGCTCTGAGATCGCCTTACTGTACTGACTCACTTCAAACAAAAAAAGCGCATCCCCCCCCCCTTTATGATCTGCTTTCCCTGTTCGTTCTTGTACAAAAAGCTCATTCCCGCCATTGTTCTTTTTTTCACTTTGTCCGTTTCCTTCCTGTTCCCGTTTTCCCCTTGCAACACTGCTTTGACCCGGTTTTCCCAAGCCGCTTCCTCCTATTCTTTCAAACTCGGCGCCACCTACCATCCTCAACCCCACCGAAGCAAAATTTCGAAGCAAGCCTCAAAGTACAGCAGTAGTTGTGCGTGACGTGACAAAATAATGCGGACCTGGGTGCCCGTCCTACTGTCCATTCTGCCCGCCGGGCTCTCGCTGCTGGTTGGCGCGACGGCAGCCATCGACTTTGTGCTCTTCCTGGTCACGCTGCTGTGGCTCTTCTATGTGCTCAAGAAGCCCGAGGACCTGTTCCAGGCGGCCACACTGCGTCGCGCGCAGCTCGCCTCTCAGTCCCAGCCACTCCATTCCCAGCGCAGCAGTGCAGCAGACGCCTCCTGGGCCACCCCGCCAGCCACGCCAGTCTCGCGTTCAGCCCAACGGGGCTCCTTGTCGTCGTCGTCGTCGTCGTCGTCCCCTTCGTCGGTGCCGCGTCGCAGCTCTGGCGACAATGCAGAGGCAGCGGGCATCATTGCCGGGCGGATTCCGACGTCTGCTGCTGCTGCTCCAGGCGGCTCTGCGCCGGCGCTCGCAGGCCTTGGCGCACAGCAGACAGTTGGCCCCAGTAGCGCTGGAACGCACCTCCCTCGAGGCGTCTTTGCGGAGACGAGCAGCTCGAGTTCCTCAGCTGCAGCTGCTGCTGCCAATCATCACGGCGCGCGAAAGGCGGCTGCTGCTTCCAGCAATGCGACGAAGGACGCTGCTGAGGCTGGCGACGTCATCGCGACCGTTTCCGATGCGCAAAGGCACAAGCTCCGAACGCGAGCTGGATATGTGGCTGCGTCGTCCAATCTGACGGTCGTTTCAGAGGAAAAGCAGCAGACCAAGTCATCATCGTCCTCTTTACAAGAGCACAAAGTGTTTGAGCAAGCGTCGTCGAGCATACGGCGAACGGTTCGAGTTCAAGACGGCGCGACCAACGCCACTGGTTCCGACAGCATGATTCAAGAGGAAATGCTCGAACGCCAGCGCTCTCGCAACCCCGCCCTGTCCTATGCCACCTACGATCCAACCGACTCGGATGATTTGCTAGATGACGACGAGACTGGTGCGCCAGTGGCGGTGACTGAAGCGCGCAGGAACCTCCTCGAACAAACCAGCAAGTTGAAGGTGACCCTCCAGCCGCCGCGAAGCTCAAGCGTCGGGAATATTGACAGCAGTGATAAGGAGGCAGACGACGATGAAACCCATCGAGAATACATCGAGGCGATGGCTGAGCTCCGAGGGCTCGAACGTCGCGCGCTTGTCACGTCGTTGATTGCGCCGTTCGTCGGTGCGATCGGCATTCATCTCTTGGGCAGCCAGTCCGAAGGTGTGCTGATGGCGCTGTTTAGCCCCCGACTCTTCCTTGTGGCCTCGGGCTTGCCACCCTTCCTGCGGCTGTGGAATACTTGGACGTCTCGGGCGCACGAACTCCAGCAGCAGCTCGACCGGCCCTTGATTGAAGCAGAGGCGATGGCCGAGCGCGAAGATCGCCTCAACACGCAAGTGCACACGCTCGAGCACGAGCTTGCCAGCGTCCAAGGCGAGCTTGTGGCACTCAAGTCGCGTGTCGACTCTTCGCTGCTCAAAATGACGCGCGTGCTTCGGAACAGCAAGGGCGCCATTGACATGCACACGGAAGCATCCACACAGCGACTCGTCTCGCTCGAGACGCGTCTTGCCGAGAGTGAAAGTCTGTTGAAATTCGGAGCAACCTCCCTCAGCCCGACCGAGGTGACGTGGTTGTCGCTTTTCCGATGGGAGCGTCCATCAGTCAAAGCTGCTCGCTTGCTCATGCTTCTGTTCCGACGATGATTGGATTTTCTTCAGGATTTTGTCGTTTTCTTGCTTGTTTTTGATTCTTGTTTGTTTGTTCACTGTTTGCTTTTATCGACGTTTTGGCTTTTTCCCCCCCCCCCTTGCTTTGCTTTGCTTTTGAATCCCCGCTGTTCCGAGTTGTTTGTATTATGCACTGTGCGCTTGAGAATTTATATTTTCATTACTCGCTCACACGTCCGAGCAGAGCAGGACTTCTTGAATCGTTCAAAATGCAAGAGTAACATCCCTCAGAATAAGTCTGTCATTCAGCGTGTCCTATTTACAACAGAGCCTAAGCTTGTACATGTCCTCCTCTAGCTTGTCACAAGCTGCTGAGACGCAGAACGCAAGGGCCGCCATGAATGAGATTGATGTTGGCTTGCTCTGCGAGTTGGATGGCCTTGGCTGACTCTGCACCGGGCTGGAGCCAGACGTTCTTGATTCCAAGGTTGATTGCGTCTTGAATGATACCCTCCGACACCTGCAGACAAACCGTTGGAGTGAGTTAGCGACAAAGGTTGTTTCTGAACAAGCTGAATCTGAGCTGAACAGAATCAAGGGAGCACCTCCCAAATCCCCACCTTCCAGCGCACTGCCTGTTCTATTCAATTCTCAATGCGCGAGACGAAGGCGTTCGCTGGAACGACGCGAGACTTACGGCGGGCGGAGTGATGACTGAAACAGAGTAACGCGACGGCTCGGTCAGCTGCGACAGGCTCGTCACGCAGACCAGTCCTTCGATCTCGGGTGCCTTTGGGTTGACTGGCACAACATGCTGTTTCGTAGATGCCAGTGGGAATTGAAAGCCGCATGTTAGCATCAGCAAAGTCATTCTGCAAGTCAAAATTTGTGCTACGAGTCGTGCTTCAACCGCTCTCACGATCATCATCATCATCACACTAACCTTGTTGGCCTGCTTGTACTTGAGCAGCACAGAGTTGCCGATCTTGGATGGATCAGCCGACGCGCCAACGACGGCAAACTTCTGCGTCGCGAGGAACTGAGCAATCCGGTCTGTTGCGACGGTTGGTTTGATGGAGCAGGCAGCCATTGTGAATGGAAGAGTGAACTAGTGAACGAGATGAGATGATTAGTGGTGTACTACAGTACTAGTTTGTGATCGCTGCACTGTTCGATGTGAGCAAAGCAGCCATTGACGTGAGTGAACGATTGTTGTCCGAATTTTGTGATCGCTCTCTGTTTGGAGCACTTTGCTGAGCACTGCAAGTAATCAATCCCAATCGAGACATGTCAAAAACTAAGGCAACGCTCAGGCTCTTCCATTTCTGGAAGCTCGAGTTCAGTCTCAGTCTCAGTCTCAGTCTCAGTTTTTTTTTTTTTTTACTTCTCGAAGAAATGGAGTTTGATGCGCCCGTTGACGACGTCGACGTTGAGGTACCGCGCAAGCACTGATTGCGAGCGCGCTGTGGACGAGAGAGCGAGAGTGAGATCCAGAGAGAGAGAGCAGTGTAGAGCAATGTAGAGCGAGAGTGAGCGAGGTAGAGGGAGAGCGCACAGGTCAGCTTTTCAACGGGTGGCCACTCGTTCCACGTTGACAGATCATTCCCAGCGCGATTCGAAAGCGGCCACACATGAACGGCGTTTTCTATGAGGGAATGAGGGCGAACGCTTGCTCGATCGTTGGTCTCGTTCGCTCGGTGACGCGTTCCAAAGTCAAATCTCGCCAAGACTGAGTTTCTTGGCTTTCTATTCAATTGCGACTCGACCTGAGGGACACCCTGCCGTCAACACACACTCTCACCTTATTTTCGTATCACTGTTATTTTGACCGAAACTTTTTGCAGCGCTTTGAACGCGAGCACAACGATCTGATCTTGCGGACGGGAAGTTCAACCGACAACGCCAAGTTCAACTACGCATGGTGTCTCGTCAAGAGCAGATTTCGCGGAGATAACCGCCGCGGCATTGAGATGTTCCAAGGTGAGGATGAGGCACATTTCAAGTGCTCAGATCTCGTCTCGAGCTTTACAATGCAAATCCATCGGTTTGCAAAGCAACGCAATCTCAATCACTCCGTTTGCTCTTGTTCATTGCTTCGAATCTCTCTCTAATTGCCGACGACGTCCAGATCTCTTGGCAAGCGGAGATCGCGATCGGGAGTGCCTGTTCTTCATTGCGCTAGGGTACTACCGATTGGGCGAGTATCCGAACGCACGCGTCTATGTCAAGCGTTTGCTGCAGATCGAGCCTCGCAATCGCCAAGCGTTGCAGCTGGATGCGGCGATCGACAAGTTAGTTTCCAAGGGTAAGGAAGGTGGTACTTTGTCAGCTGCTCTTTTTCGTTTTCGCTTGGTGGGTTGTGCTCACACGGCTCACGATGGTTCCGAAACAATCCAACCATTCTGGCAGATACTCTTATCGGTGCGGCAGTTGTGGGTGGACTGTCTGTCATTGTCGGGCTCGGTATCATGTTGTTAAAGAAAAAGTAAAAGCCATGGCCCAAACAGCATTTTTTTTTTCACTACAACTCATCATTCGAACTTTGTTTCGAAAGCCGCAACTTGACGTTCAGCGCAGCAAGCAGCTTTTGCATGTATGGGAGTTGTTGGCGGAGGTATTTTCGACAGGCCAGGGTTCGAGGGGACCCTTGCGAATCATCCCTGCGAAATCAAACAAGATCATCAGAGGGGTGTCAGTTTTTCGTCTGCCACACTTTGCCACATTGTGTTTTTGCTCCTGCAGCATCATCATCATCAGCATCGACGCGAGTCTTACAAATCCATCTGCCTGTAGATCTGGAGCTGCGCTTCAACGACATCCCGGAATTTGGAAAGGACCGCCACGCTGCGCGGGTGAGATCCGAGGCTGTACTGAATGCGGACGAAATGCAGTGCTGGCTCGAGAGTGGAAATGTACCCTTCCAACGCATCGATGGTGGGCGTCGAGAGAGATTTCAGGCTGGTAGCACTGGCAGGAACATGAATCGCGGGCGCCAAACCCAAGCAAAACACCTTGATGCCGTTTGGCACGCCAAAGCGAATCAACTGATCGATTTTGGCCTTCTTGTCGGCGCTTGAGAGGGAAGAACCGCCTCTCGGAGAGGTCGGGTCGACTGAAACATCCAGGAGAAGTTTGATGCAATCGTTGGGGCTGGGCTCCCGCGTCCAGCCGTGGTAGTACAGGTACTGGTGATTGGCAAGACTGGGAGAGGCCGTAATCGCACGTCCGTTGCCCTCGATGGCCTCAGTGCTGGTCACCTCAACAGCGCCGCCATCGTCGGACAGTTCGAGACCAAAGTGCCCAACGCGTCCGTCGACGTTCTCGTACCGTTGCATCAGATCGACGAGCGGCATCAGGTGCAGCCGGCCATTCCACCACACGGCTCGCGTTGTAATCATAATGTTGGCCCACATAAAGTTGTTGCGCGTCCACGCCGATGACGTGGTTCCATCTGTGTTGTTCAGCGCGAACAGCGATTTCTTCTCGACGCGCCCAAGAAGAGACGAGAGGTCGACAAACCTCCGATCAATATTGGAAATCAGCTGCACCATGTCTGCAAAAATGGGGGTTTGGCGGAAGAGCCCCAGCTCTTCCCGCGTGATGGAGAGCAAGGTGTTCAGCTCAGAAAGCGCTGGCAGAGTGCTGAGAAAGGGCCAATAGTCCGATTCTTGCCTCTTGACAAAGTACTCGTGCATCAGCACAAGCGAGAGACGATTGGTCTCGCTGCCATCCCAGTCGGCGGTCTTCCCAGCCTGCAGATCCTGTTGGGATGTGGCGTCAAGCGCCGTCAACAGCTCTCCAACATCCAACGATGCTTTGGCTGTCTCGTCATTGATGAGAATCCCGAGAGGAATGCGAGCAATCGTCTCAAACTCGGCGAGTGGCGAGCGAGCGATGACAGCGAGCGGGAATTGACCGTCTTCCTCGTCGGAGCGGTCGACAAGTTGGATTTTCTTGCTCCTGCACTTGTGCTCATGCAACCAAGCCTGAAATAACTGGAGTTTGGAGCTGGAGACCGGCGCCGTTGGCTGTGACGTTTCGAGTCTTGCGGGAGCGGGTGTGGTTGCAGCAGCAGCCGCTGGGGACGACGACGGCAATGGCACCGATGGGATTGATGGTGACGATGATGGCGGCGAAGGCGCAGGCGCAGGGGTTGATGATGGCAGTGAGGTTGATGATGATGATGCTACCGAGGACGACACCGTTTCCGATGCTGGGGACGGAGCAGGAGCAGTTGGCTCGAAGGAATTTGCAAAAGTGGAAATCAGCTCCGCAACCAGTCTTTTGCGTTGAATGCGGTACTGCAATGCGAGGCGACGATGCAGAAGGCGCGGCTTGTCTTCTGTGCGTTGCAAGGCGAGCTCATCGGCGGCAACAGTGGTCGCAAACGACTATTGACAAAGTCCGAGAACGCAACAACAATAACACGATCAGATTGGCAGCGTGAGAGCAATGTGCGGGACTCATGCTCTACAACCCCGAACAAACAAAACACCATGACGTGCGTACCGCAGCTATACTCGTCAACTTGACGATAATGCGTTCCACAGTATCTGCCATGTTTAACTCGCGTCCTTGAACACAGTTACTGAAGGACTCGACTGGTGATCTGTTGCGTCAGAATAAACAAGGGAACGTTCAGTCAAAAATAAAAACCAAACAAGCACACCAACAAACAACCAACGACCTACCGATCCGGCGAAAATTCATCAATGCACGCGCGGAGCTTGAGTGCATGGAGATCGTTGATGTATGCAATAGCCTCCAGCGCACCAGTGACACTTGGAGGCCGGGTGGCGCCAATGCACACAATGTGTGGAATGCCCAACTTGAACGCGTACTCGCTCTTGAGCAAGAGAGCTTCTCGTTCGCCATGCAGCAAGTCTGCGAGATTGATCTCCACGCACTCGTGCGGATTGGACTCTGGCACAAACCCGTACAACTGCAAGAACCTGTGCGCGCAGCTTTTGGGTCAGCGGCAACCCAAAGCAAAAAACAACAATCACTGCACCCTCACATATCGGCTGGCCATGACAGCGGGCTCAAACACTTACTGGGCGTTGGAGAGATTTCCATAATCGTCCTCCACCTCCTCGTTTTCATTCACAGGCCTGTCGCACGTCAGCAGAAACATGCCGTTCTGAAAGTCGTGATGACGGTAAAAGAACTCGCCCGACTCGTCAAGTCCTCGGGTCTGCCAAAATGACGGGGGATGCAGGTAATGAGCCAAAAAAAAAAAATAAAAAAAAAGTCACTGCTCGAAAATGCCGAAAAACAAGAAATGCAGTTTTTCGATCAGAGTTTCTTACAGGATGGAAGCGGTGATTCAGAAGGTCGGCAAACGGAATAAGATACCGCCGAGCATGAATGGTAAATGCACGCGAGAGCACGATTGCGCGGGCCCAGAGAAAGTCGCTTAGAACGAGTTCTGCCTTTCCTCCGAAAATGTCGGCCTCATGCTGTCTTAGCGCCAAGAAGCGACCCTGCAGCTCACTTTTCTGTTGCGATACTTGTTCGACAAGTTGCTCATTCTGATGCGTGAATCAGACCGCGAACAAATGTGAGCATTCTTTCGCGACGATCAACGATTGGCACCCTTTTTATGATTCAAACCTGAAGTTGAGCCAGCTCTCCATCGTTAAAGAACAAGAGGTTGGACAGCTTCTTTGGAAGGATCTGCAAAGATTGATGCACACCAAATGAGGTGAGGCGCGGGGGCGGCTTTCTGAGATTGGCGATTCAACAACTTGAGCTTCCCCAAGATTTCTCACTTCAATGTATGGGGCCCACGCAGACCTGGCGCCAAGCGCCTTCTCTCGCAATAGAAACAATGCCAAGAGATCGTCTTGCGAGCCAGATTCGTGCCAGATTGTCGTAAACGCACGCGGCAATCCAACTTGCAGCGCTGTATCCAGCGATCTGTGATTCAAGCAGCAATGCCAGTCAGTTTCAAAAACAAGCGACCTTACCAAGGTGATTTTCATCCACTTGACGTCTTTGATATGCTTTTTGTGTGCTTACATGGTGAGCAAGGTTGGGATCGCGGCAATGCGATCGTCCGGCTTGAGCGGATTGTCGGCGATCAATCGGCGGCCCTGGTGCCAATCCTGCGAGACATCGACGTGGCCAAATTCGGCTGTCACCCACAGCAAACCAAAATACAAAGACCCCCCATCACATCGCATCCATGATGAGTACTTGGCTCAATGTAACGAATGCACTCAATGTAAATTGCTGAGGATCCACCGTTACCGCCATTTCCGCGCATCCAGGTCAGAAAGCGACTCATGCTGGTCTGTTCCTGGCTGTCCATGATGAGCTCAATCTCACTGCCCACAGCCACGCCAGACGCGGCGGCGATCAGCACGAGCACGGCCAGCCCAAGTCTGCTGCAATGCATCGCGACCACAAAGCAAAACGTTTAGAAGATGACTGGAGCGTATCTCATCACTTGATATACTATTGTGATGTGTTGTTATTTGTTCAACGTTGACACATCCTGCACAAGTCTGACGAGATGAGATGATACGTTGCCAGTCTTCATTGAAAATCTGACAATGTTCCGCAACGCTCTTTCCCAAGTCGCCCGCCCGGCCCTTCTCCGCGGTGCGTTCCACATATTTGGGGAGGCGGGGGGGGGGGGCGGCTTTCAACCCTTCGTTTTGAGTTTGGAGTGGTGATTCGGTCCTGTTTGATGTTGAATGGGGCTGGGATTGCATTGGGATGTGATTTTAGATTGTGTTTCCGACTCCGATCCAATCCCCACTCACTTCCGAACCCCTTGTTGCTTCTTCACTAACACCATCATCATCATCATCAAACCAACAACAAACCAACAACAGCTCCTGCGACGCGCGCATTCACGAGCACTGGCGCGCGCGCGCTGGCCCCGTCGGCCGCGTTCGAAAAGGCGCAGAAGGACGTTACGACGCTGCCCGAGAAGCCCGGCAACGACGTCATGCTGCAGCTGTACGCGCTGTTCAAGCAGGCGTCCGAGGGCAAGAACACCAAGCCGCAGCCGTCGCGCTTCAACTTTGTCGACCGCGCAAAGTGGGACGCCTGGGCCAAGCTCGACTCGCTCAGCCAGGCCGACGCCGAGAAGCAGTACATTGAGCTCGTCACCAAGCTCCTCAAGGCTGCTGGCAAGGCTTAGTTCTCTCTTTTTTTTTTCTCTTTTTGCTGCCCGCCTCCTCTGGACACCTGATATCTCTATTTCGGATCCAAAATAGTCGCTTGTCTGAGAATGGAAGAACCGCGCAATGTCGAAAATCACGTGCTTTCCTTTTCACCTGATTTCCGTTCTTTCTTTTTATGGGGATTTCCGTTCTTCTTCTTTGTTTGGGTTTCTGAGTCTCGTTCTTCTCTGGTTTCTCTTTTGTTCGTGGTTGGGGTTGTGATTTCTCAGAGGAAAAAAAAAAAAAAACCAGAAAACAAAATTGTCGTTGGATGTTTGTTTTTGTTTTTTGGTGCTCTTTGGTTGCAAGCAGTTCTCTGTTATTGTTAACCAAATGCAGCGAAATAGTCAAACTCAACAAAAAGCAAAGCTTCGTTCAACATCTTTTTCTTGTTTATGAAGCGGCGCGGGTGAATGGAGGAAAACCACGGAAATCGCACAAACTAAACGCTTTGTTCTTGTTGCTGTTCTCAGGTGGCGCCGCCGCTCCAGCTGCTGCCTCAGAAAGCTCTGCCACCACCACCACTACTACTACCCCTGCTTCCTCCGAATACAAGGACATTGTCTACACGCTCGACTCGGGCGTGGCGACCATCCGATTCAACCGACCCACCCGGAAGAACGCCTTTACGGTGAACACTTACCGCGAGGTCGAGCGCGCACTCAAGCAAGCTGGCGCCGATCCTGCCGTTCGCGTCGCAGTGCTCACCGGCACGGGTGACATGTACAGCTCGGGCAACGATCTGTCCAACTTTTTGAACATTCCGGAAGGTGGCCCCGAGCAGCTCGCTCGTGAGAGCGCCAAGTTGCTCGAGGACTATGTTGCCTCGTACATTCACTTCCCCAAGCTGCTCGTTGCCGCAGTGAACGGCCCGGCCCTCGGTGTTGCCGTGACTGTGCTCGGCTTGGCCGACGTGGTGTTTGCGACCGACCGCGCAACCTTCAAGACCCCCTTCACTGCGCTCGGCCAGAGCCCCGAGGGCTGCTCGTCGTACGTCTTCCCGCAGATCATGGGTCCCATCAAGGCGAACGCAATGCTGCTTCTTGGTCAAGAGCTCTCCGCCGCCGAAGCGGAGCGGGTTGGCTTTGTTTCCCAAGTGCTTCCTCACGAGCACTTCCACGACGCAGTGCACCGCAAGGCTCTCGAGTTTGCCAAGCTGCCCCCGCAGTCCATGCAAATCTCCAAGCGGCTCATCCGCGAGCGCACCCTCGGCGTTCTGGACGAGGTCAACCGAACAGAGTGCAAGGTGCTTTCCGAGCGCTGGCTGTCTGAAGAGTGCATGAACGCCATCATGGCCTTCATGGCGCGCAAGCAAAAGTGAAAAAAAAAATAAGCAGAGGAGGGAGGGCTCTTTGTGGATGGCCTTTTTTCCTTACAACAGTGCGCCTGTTCCTTCCAATAATGAACCTCGTTGTGTTTGTGTATCCACCACACTTGTTCTTGTTCTTTCTGTATCTATATCAACCCTGATCCATTCATTCACATTCAGTCTTTGTTTTCGAGTCGTAGGAAAGCGGGATTAGAAACGAGAGATGCTTTCGCTAGTGCGTCGGAGACTTCTCTCCACGACGACGAGCACGAGCGTCGCTGCTGCTGCTGCTGCTGCCACGGTGAGTGCTGCTCTTTGCATTCGTCATTCCAGACCACCCTCCCGCAATGAGCTGGAGCGAGACAGAGAGTGAGACAGAGAGCGAGAGTGAGCAGTGAAGCAATGGTTTCCCTTGCACATGCTTTTCTTTCGTTTCCCCGCTGCGATCGTCCCCCCCCCCCGCGTCTCTCGCTGTGGATGCGGACTTGTTCGACCAAACTAAACTTTCATCGGCAACACACTCTCCAACACACTCTGTTCTCACTCCCGCTCTCACTCTCTCCTCACTCACTCTCTCTCACTTCTAGCAATCCATATGCTTTTTTTTTTTTTTTTTTTTTTTTTTGCGATCGCTGGATTTATTTTTTCCATTGTGTTTTGTATTGCTTTTTTGTATGGCTTTTTGTGTCTTGTTGTTCGACGCTCATTTGAAAACGCTTGTTGTCATTTGTTGAATCCATTCGTCAGACTCGCGCGATGGCGCACACGAAAGCTGCTGCCGCTGCTCCTCCTGTGGCTCTGCCGCGAGGATTCGGCTGGACGTCGCAGCAAGCGGCAGTCGAGGCACTGCTGCCAGAAGGGCTGGTGGACACTCTCAATGCAAATCGTGCTAGTGCTCTTGGTGTTGCTCAAGACCAGCAACAACCATCCGCGCGGACAAAGCCGGAGGGAGTGTCGATGGAGGACTGGGTTCAGGGCGAACAGCAGCGTGTGGCAGACCGCGCTCGTGCTCGCGTCAAGACCCAACTGCTCGCCGATACGACGCTCACACAGCTCAGCCAAGGCTGGGAGAAGATTAAGGCCCTCGCAGACACAGAGCTACACATTTACAACCTGTTGTTTGGTGTCAATCCGCCGTATCCCGGTGCCTTTTTCGAGTGAGTGGCCTCGATGCTTCTGTGGTTCCGTGGTTCTGTGGAGTAGGCGGAGTGTTGTTGGTTGTGGCTCGGTGGTGTTGCATCATGCTCCAGTGTCGAAGCGATTGGGGCGGAGGTTGCGGAGGTGCGACGAAATGTTGCCTCACTTTTTTTTTTCCTCTTTTTTTTTTTTTTTTGCTCTCCTTTTTGGCTCGTAGCTTGCCCAACGAAGTCGTGACTCGTCGCCTCAAGTATCTGTTCCCCACCATGCTCAAGCCACCACAAGTCGACGCGAGCTCTCGTCGCCCACATCACGGCATGAAGGTTTGTTGGCCCCCTTTTCCCTTGTTCGCTTGTTTTCGCTTTTAGCTCTCTCCCTTCTATCGTGCTGACTCGCAATGTTCCCACTCCCACTCCCTTCTCCAATCTAGAATCAACTCACAGACCGACCCACGTCGCTGGCCCACTTCACCGGCCAACCCGCTATTAACGACAAGCTCTTCGAATTGGACGCCATCTACGATCGGTTGTCGCGCGACGCATATCCGCCAGTGCGAGCTGCGCAGCATCTGCATGCATTCACCGGATCGATGCTTTCGGCAAACATGTTTGCAGTGGAGGGAGCGCGTGCCTTGGATGGGGCAAAGCTTCCGAGCCGGCAGAATGAAAACTGCATGGACGAAGTCGTGTTTCGCGCAGCGCTCGATATCGACCGCGTGCTGACGCCGGCCTTGAACGACACTGTTCTCGGCATTCCGCAGCTCTTGCAAGCACACCTGGACAGCCTCGCCGCCGCAGAAAAGCCCGCAGACGCCACCCCTGCCTCTCTTCTGTACCAGCTCTTCCTGGCGCCCTCTGCCCTTCCAGGCAATGCGCACCAAGTGACCATCCTTCGCGGACTCGTTATCGAACAGCTTCGTGTGCGTCAAAGCGACAGGAGTGTCCGAGCAGGACACAACCCGTTCGTTGTGCTCGATCGTGGAACGCTCGTGCCCGTGACCTTTACCGACGCATCAGCAGGCTCGGAAGAGCCCAAGCTTTTGAGAATCACTGACGAGGTGCTGCTCGGCACGGCAGAGTCGTCCGTGCTCCCTTGCGAGCCGACGCTTTACGACGTCCTGATGGCGGTCGCCCACCGCGCTGCCCTGCTGTTCCCGTCCTTTGAGGCCTTCCCTTCCATCACACATGACGGCAAGCTCACTTACGAGGCTGCACGATGGCACGTGGCAACACACCTCGGCGAAGAGGGTGCTCGCGCGTTCGACCACGTTGTCGACCAGATTTCCCTCGCTGTGCCCTTCGGGCCCCGCGACGGCTCGTGGCAAGAACCCGCCGCAGAGTATCGGGCTTTAGCTGCCACCGGCGCCGCGGGCGTGCCTTCGACCAGCTTGCTTCAGCGTATCGCTTCTGCCACACCACACAGCGTCCTTGTTCGCGCCCGCCCGCGCACACCCACCACCGGCTGGCTCCGACGAGAGGCGCTCGAGCAGCAGCTGTCGATGCCGCTGAGCATGGCCATGCACCGTCGTGTCACTCTCCGCCTGACCAAGATTGCTCGGCTCCCCAACGGCCACATTGTCTCCAACTACCTCAACGACCATCGTGAGAGTCGCCGTGCCTCCTCCGCTCGTGCCGGCGAGCGCAAGGCACACCCGGGCAACAGCGTGGTCACGTCTGGTCGCCGCAAGGCTTCCGTGGCTGTGGTGCGCCTCACGCGCTCTGCCAACGTCGACGGCACCATCACCGTCAACGGCCAACCGCTCGGCAAGTACTTTAACGTCCCTGTTCCCATCCGAACAGCCATCCTGCCGCTCGAGCTCACGGGCACGCTGGGCTTTTTCAATGTGAACGCTACCGTCAAGGGTGGCGGCCTCACTGGCCATGCCGGCGCCATCCGCGAGGGCATCATGCAGGGCATCATCCGATTCTTCCCCGAGTTCCGTCCGCTGTTCCGCAAGACCGGTCTGCTGACCCTTGATCGCCGCAAGGTCGAGTGCAAGAAGCCTGGTCGCAAGAAGGCCCGCCGTGCCTTCCAATGGGTCAAGCGTTGATCCAGCAAAATTCGCAGCGCGTTTGTACTATTTTGTTTTTGCCCCTCGCCCTTTTTCTCCTCTTTTTGTTATTTTGTAATGCAAATAGCAAATTGTTGCGCCTTCCACAATCCGCACCTTTACTGGAGACATAATGTCAGCGCGAGTAATGTATTTTTTCAAGTGAAACAAAGCAGCTACACAGCATCAACAACATCATCAACAACATCATCAACAACAACATCTACACCAACCGACTACATGGTAAAAGCTTTCGGTTTTCAATAATAAATAATATCAAGCGATACACAACATGAACCAACAACGTTTCGTTTTAGACTTTTAGACTTTGATACTCTCCAATGCGACATTGCCGGTTTCCGGAAGCAAGCGCCAAACGCCAAGGAAGGACATGAAAAACATGAGGCCATAGTACAAAAAGGTAACGGCAACGCCGAACTGGTCGATCGAGGTGAGGAAGGTGATGGTGATGGCGAGCGAGCAGCCGGAGAGCACGAGCGAAAACATGCCAGTGGCAGCACCACGAATCCTCTGGGGGAAGATTTCTGGCACGACAATAAAGAAGAGGGGTCCAACGCCAATCTGGAAAGCCACAAGCGTCAGCGCCTGGCCCGTGATGAGCAGCGCGAGCCGCTTGCTGCCGGGATCGAGGAATTGGAAACCCGCTGCAATCACCGACGTGCCGATCGCCACACCAAGTGCCGTAATCACAACGAGAAAGCGTCGCGAGAAGTGGTGAATCACCGGCATGCTGATGAGGGACAGAATGACAGAGCTACCTCCCGAGATCGTGCCGGCCAGCACGCCATCCTCGTTTGAGTATCCAGCCGCTTTGAAAATCTGAGGGCCGTAGGACACCAACGCTTGAATGGCATTGTTGAGGATGCACAGCATAAATCCGAGCACCACGCTACGAAGCGAGAGCAAGGAGAAGAATTCGCGGGCAGTCAAGTGGACAATCTCATCTTCTTCTTCGACGACTGCGGCAAGATCGGTCTTGCGCTGTGGGTCCTCTGGGTCTGGCATTGCGCCAATCGACTGAATGCTATGCGATCGGGCGGATTTTGTGGAGGCGTGGGCGTGTCTGGATGATTCAAGCAAGCCGGATGTGTCGTCGTAATCTGCGTGCTCGTCTTCCGACAGATCATCCTCCTCGTCGGCAACGCTTTGTGCAACAGCGAGACCCTCACTGGCAGCAGCAGAGTCGTGCGCGTGCCGCTGGCTGCGGCTGTTCGTGTCGGTGTGGTGGGTGCGTGTCGGGCGCGAGGCTGCCGCACCCTCATGCGAAACTTTGACACGCGTTCCTGTTTTCGTTCCCACGGTGTGGTGGTGGTGCTCGGAAACAATTTCTTGGTGCTGCTGCGATGGATCTGACAAGCGGTCTGAATGCCCCATGGACGAGTACGATGCCTGAGCTTGCGATGCATGGTGGAGGAAGGCGGTGGTGGTGTTGGCAACGGGCGGGTCATCATGCCGGTTTGACGAGGACAACAACAACGGCGCCGCCTCGTCGGGCTGCACGTCGCCAACAATGCCCCCGAGCGCCGCGGTGGACGGTGCTGAAATGGATGGTCGGCGCGATCTGCCACCCTTGGAGCTAGAGGTGGAGCGGCGGCGTTGCTGCTGCTGCTGATGGTGGCTGAACGAGGCGAGCTTGGAGAGCAGATAGCGAGGACTCTCCGGCAGCCATCCCGTGACGAGCAGCATCACGAGAATGCCGGGTGCTGCACCGACGCCGAGCGCCCATCGCCAGCTGAGGATGAGCTGGATGCCGTACGACACGGCAAACCCCGTGTTGATGGAGAGCTGGAAGACGGCAATCAGCAGCCCGCGCGAATTGGCGGGGGCGCACTCGGCAACGTACACGGGCACAATGAAGCAGATCACGGTCGACCCGATGCCCAGCACAAACCGACACGCACACAGAAACCAAAAGTCGTCGACGATGGCCGAGACGACGCTGGCGACCGTGGAGAGCACGCCGCAGAGCAGGGTGGTCCAGATGCGCCCGAGCCGGTCGCCCATCACGCCAGCGACCGGCGAGAACGCGAGGCCGCCGACGAGCGTGGCCGAGTTGAGCAGCTCGCTGTGGCTGGTCGAGTTGACAAAGTCGAGGTCGGCGCTGATCGGGTCGAGCAGTCCGCCCAGCGACACGGTGAATCCAAAGATCATGCCGGACGCAGCGCACAGCAGGAAGAGCAGCACGAGCGTCCGCTTGGACTCGTCTGCAGGCCGGCTGTGCGAGTACGTCCATCGTGTCAGACGCAGCAGCGAGTGCACGACCCGCTCGCGGTCTGCAGGCGACGATCTCGACGCTGCTGCTGCTGCTGCTGCTGCGGTCATTGGCGGTTGCTGCTGCTGGTGGTGGTGGGGATGGTCTGAAACAGCAATCTGCGGATGCGGATTTGACTCGGGATTGCCAAACACGGGGTTGTGGGTAGTGCTGGTGCTAATGTGATGACTGGTGTCGCTTGTGCTCGTGGACGAGGACGAGGCGCCGGAGGACGAGGACGAGGAGGACTGGGCGTACTGTCCGAGGATGGAAGAAACCAACATGAACAAGCCACACCTTCCGTCGCACCGTTGCTGTGTGTCGTTGATCTTTTTTTTATTGCTTTTTTGTTATCCTCCTCGTTTGCTGCCTTGTTCTTGTTATTAATTTAGTTTGCTTGTCAAGACGAAGACGAAGAGGAGGAGGAAGACGAAGAAGAAGACGAAGAAAGAGGGAGAGAGAGAGAGAGAGCGAGCACTGCAACTAGGAAATTGAAACCAAAGTGGATCACCGAAAAGACTGGGCGAAGGCAAGGACTTCCGATGATGATGATGATGATGCCGAGTGAAATGTCATCGTCAACACAGGAGGAAGCAGGTTGAAAGCATGGACAGAAAGGGATGCGACGTGAGAAAAATGCGATGTTGTGCAACAATTATGATGTGCGGGAGATGGGACTGGAACTTGGCGCAGCCGCAACCAGGCAGCTCAAAAGGGCATGAGCCTCGAAGGTCGCGGATGTTCACTGATACAGACAAGGCCATCACCAGCATGAGAGAGAGGACAGCGACCGTCAAACAACCAACTTGCATCCTGCTGAATTTTTTTTTTCGATCGCTTTTGCGGAGCGCGCGTGCGATGTGGCGATTTACACGTGGATCGAGATGAGATGCGTCGAAGGACATTTTTGTGAAGCCTGACGGGGGGGGGACGGAATGTACATAACAACGCTGGACAATTCCGCCCCCGTAGGAACCAAAACATGACTCCCCATCTGAAACAAACGCTGCAGCAGCCGGTTCGGGTCTACTTGAGGCTCTTCGGCTGGGTCTGGTTGCCCCACTCCCTGCAAAACAAAGCGAAGAAAGCAAGTTACCATGCTTGCTGCTGCTCAGTGTGCCTTGTAAATTTGGGAAGGGGACGCGACATTGCCATGACGTTTCGTCGCGCACTGGCAACAACGGAATGGCATAGTTTTGTTGTTGTTCCAAAATTGTGTGTTTTCCCTACCTTGAATCGGCACGCTTCCCACCGCATGTACGTACTTTTCCCTGACAAATACAGTGAAGTCAGGGCATTTTGGAATGACTACCGACGGTATTTACAGAGTAGGAAAGATTCAAAAGGTCGAAGGACCCGATCGGCAACCAGCTCAGTCTTTGTCTTTTTGCTTGTTCGTCCAACCCCATCTGAGTGTGGATGTCTGTTTGAAAAGCAAACTAACAGCGTGGATGAGCTTGAGTCTTGTTTCCGACGAGGAGGTGGGGGAGGGAGGGGGGTTACCGGGCAGCACCATGATACCAGGAGTTACCACTCGGCACTCTTTTGCACCCGTGCTTGGTTTCTTGCCTTTTTCAGTCCTATTTTCTTTCGTGCTGCCATATGGCTAGGACTAGAGAATTACTGTTGTTTTTCACCCTACCATTAATCTGCACGCACACTTTTCTTCGTTGAAGTTTGTTGGTTTTTGCTGGATGTCGTGTTCTCACATTTGCCATCTTTGCATTGTGTGTGCTGCATCACAACAGCTGACATGAAGGAACGTCTGTCAGTTACGAGGACCGGCACATCTCGGCTGCTTCCAGTTGCCCTCTTGCTGGTTTTGGCGCTCCACCAGTCCTCCCTAGTTCTGGCTGAAAATGCCTGCGACGTTTGTTCTTGCATCGACACCACCGTCAACAACTGCCTGAACACCATTACTACCATTCCTACCAACATTCCCGTTACCACGACAATCCTGTACGAGATTTTGATATTTACAGTCGTTTTGGTTTCGTCTTTTTGGGGTTCTGACCAGCGTTGAACTCGACTCCCCAATCTCGCACACTTAGGGACCTGTCCTTCACCGCCATCACGATCATCCCCAATGGTGCGCTGAATAGCCTGTCCGCCTTGCAGAGGCTGTGAGTTCGTGCGAGTGACGAATAGCCAGAAGAAACCTTTTGCTCGAACATGCTCATCGCAACATTCTATCTCGCAGGTCCTTTTACGCATCTGCCGTTTCGTCCATCGAGGCAAATGCCTTCCAGGGCCTCGCCAGTCTCATCGACCTGTACGTCTCTCTTTCTCTCGCGCCACCGTCTATGACTTGCATTGCCGCTCTCATTTTGACTTTTGCGTGCTTGATGCCTGGATTGGACAGCGATCTTTCGGCCAACCTTTTCACCGAGCTTCCAGACCAGGTGTTTTCCTCCCTGACTGCTCTGACGTTCCTGTTAGTGGCTGCTATGTAGTTTCATTCGTTGCAATGCGATCAATGACGTCTCATGCTCCATTTGATGTCTGTTGGTGGAACAGCACCATGACGGCCTCGTTACTCACAACTGTTTCAACCAACACTTTCACTGGGCTCGGAGCACTGACCGATCTGTAGGCGGAAACCAAAAGCCAAAGCGGATGCACATCTGCATTTGCATCGCGACTCACACAATGGTGATATTTCTCCAAACTCAGTGACATGAGCTTTTCGGTGAACCTGGCCACCCTTCAAGGCAGCCCGTTTGCACCACTGTCTTCGTTGAGCAACCTGTACGGATTTGGGAAAAGGCTGGTTGGCACTGATTTGGGTTTGCTTGAGCGCTCATCTTCTCCCAAATCTTTTCGACGCCAGCTTCCTTGACTCATCCAGCATCACCACAATCGAACCGCAAACCTTCGTTGGTCTGTCGTCTCTGCTTCAGCTGTAAGTGGCTGTTTTTGACCGTGTGCTAGTTTAGTGTGTTTCTCGGGGCTGGGAAAATAACTGACCTTACATTGGACGATGCAGCCGCATGCAAAGCAGTCTCGTCACCAGCCTGCCCGATCTTAGTTTTGCCTCGCTGTCTGCGCTCCAGCAGCTGTAAGATAAACATTCAAACGAAAGCAATATTTTGCATCTGAGCGACTTCATGCACGAAGCGTAATCGAGCGGCTTTCTGACGTGGCTTGCCTCTTCTCGACAGAGATCTGCGTCGGGGTCAAATCACTACCATTTCCGCAAACGCCTTTCAAGGTCTGACAACCCTGACATACTTGTACGAAACAAACCGGCACAGTTCTGTTGTGACTGTCTATCTCTCCTACTCGACTGAAACTCACGTTTCGTTCCCGTCGCCAGGCATCTTGCCAGGAATCCGATCACCTCTCTGCCGGACAATGTGTTTGCGCCAATCCCTACCTTGCAAAACCTGTATGTAGATGACTGACTGTGATGCGCCATGGCCCTCCTTCGCTCGTCGTCAAAGTCACTGACATGTAAATGTTGTCCTGTTGCCCGCGCTCAGCTTTTTAGATAGCACGCAGCTCACCAGCATTACCAGCAACACTTTCGCCAGTCTGACCCAGCTGCGCACACTGTACGCTTGTTGATTGAGGATGACGGCACATGTGGCTTGAGGCTCACACGCTGGTTGCCAGGTCGATGCGCACCAATCCGCTGACTGCCATCCCAGCTAACGCATTCAGCGCGCTCGGTGCCTTGACTTCCTTGTACGTTGATCATGCTTGGTAACGACCTGGCAAGCGTGCAACTCACACCTTCCACTGAGTGACTGCAGAGACTTGAGCTCGAATCAGATTTCCAGCATTGACCCCCAGGCGTTTAGCGGCATGACCAACTTGCAAAGCTTGTAAGAGATGATGACAGAATGGTTGAGTTCAAGGGTAGTTTGATCTGTATTGACGGTGGCTTGGGGTCTCCTAGGTCTCTGAATGGAAATCCGTTTACAAGCTTGCCCAGCACCGTCTTCAATGGTCTCGTTTCTCTGAACTTCCTGTATGAACCTGATGAAAGCGCCATTCTGACTGCAAAAACTTGTTCCGTGTGTTCGGCGTCGTTGCTCATTTTCTTTGCGAATGGGATCGCACAGAGCCATGGGTTTTACTCAACTCGCGAGCATTCCGGTCAATCTTTTCAGCGATCTTGTCAACCTTTTGTCCCTGTGAGTAAACTGATCAAGAGCTTCGACTGATTTGGGCATCAAACACGCACTTGGGCTTCTAACGAGTCGACGCTGCTCTGGCGGAGTAGGGCGGCAGGATCTTCGCCCATTTCTGCACTTGAGCCTGGCGTGTTTTTCAATCTTCGAAACCTTCAGACGCTGTACGTCCTTCCATCGCCGTCCATACTTTGCGACGACGACGGAATTGGAGGGGGGGAGAGCTTGCAGCTGAAAAGTGCTGACATTGAACCATTGGAATAGTCTCCTTGGAGGAACCCAAATCGCTACCATTCCAGAGAATGTGTTCTCAGGCCTTGCTTCGCTGACCTACTTGTAAGTTTTGTTCAAAATGCTGTACAATGTATGCGGACGTCGATTGCCAAACTACAAAACTCAACACTCGCCCGTTCTCGTAGGGATCTGGGCTTTTCTCAAATCACCGTGCTGCCCGAACACGCATTTGCCAACCTCACCTTGCTGCAGACACTGTACGCCTAGCATTGCAGCGGTGACTCCTGTCTCCACTTGAAGATTGACTAACAAACAACTTGGTGTTGTGTTTCAAAGCTTCTTGGACGGCTCTCCCATTACCAGCATTGCCCAGACGGCCTTCGACAATCTTCCCAGCCTGCAGCTGCTGTAAGGACGCCCAAAACTCGACTCGGCAGATGAGTCGCGCTGAAATCTGGTCTAATCCCTCCCCTGTTTGATTGTTGTCGGGACTGCCTTACGTGCAGCTCAATGGCTAGCACTCAACTGACCACGATCCACTCCAATGAGTTCTCAAACCTCGGGCTGCTCAACACACTGTACACAAACGAAATGATGCACTGCTTCTGCAACGAATCGATTGCTCCGAGAGTCACTCACTTGAAAGAGCGCTAGGTACCTGGACTCAAACTCTCTGCTCACGACAATTGAGCCCAACGCGTTCATCGGATTGACTTTGCTGACAACGCTGTAAGCCAGTCGACACTTGTGATGCAAAGTTACGAAAAAGGCTCGAGTCTCTGACCACATTTTCGATTTCCAACAGATCGCTGAATTTTGACCCAATCACCAGCTTGCCTGTTGGCGTTCTGACGGGTCTGTCTGCACTGCATCTGCTGTAAGACATGCGGGCATCAACGCTGATATCAATGCCTCTCGTACTCATCTGGTTTTTTGTTATATGCGACTTGCCAGGAACTTGGGCGGCACACAAATCGCCTTTATCGAACCGAATGCATTTGCTGGGCTTGGCGCTTTGCAGAACTTGTAGGGGTTTCAGGGAAATTGCTCTGGTTGCATCGAACGTCTGCTTACGCTGCGATTTCATGGCGACTTTTGGCAGAATCCTGTCCCTCTCTCCCTTGACGAGCGTCTCTGCCAACACCTGGACTGGATTGACTTCGCTGACAAACCTGTATGAGTTTGTAGCAACTTGCATGTTAGTTGTGCAGCTGAGGAGTTTGACTCACACCATGCTACAGGGAGATGTCTTCGACGCAGTTGACAACGCTTTCGGCAAATTCTTTCAATGGCCTTTCTTCGCTTCTGACGCTGTAAGTTGGCTATTGTGCGGAGCTCTAATGCTGCTCACCGCAGTTTTGCTCATCACTTGCTCTCATGATGCTGCACATCAGGTATCTCTCAAGCAGCCCCATCGCAACCGTGGCTGATAACGCATTCTTCGGCCTGGTGTCTCTCCAAACGCTGTTCGTCCATCCTCGACCTTGTACTGTTGCGCGCGTTGCACGTATGGCTGCTAACGACAGCATGCATCCTCTTGCGCAACACACAGGTACTTGGACTACACCCAAATTGCCAGCGTTTCGCCGTACTCGTTTGCTGGGCTGACTGCGCTCCAGTACTTGTAAGCGACCCGCATCACAACATCAGAAATTGCCTTGCAACAATGTCTTACTCTTGCAAGCACTGCGCGCAGGACTTTGGGCAACACACCTCTCACAGGCCTTCCCGCCAACGTGTTTTCCGACCTCTCCTCTCTGATCAACCTGTAAGGATCCAACGCGCACAAGTGCAGTCTCGCCTGCAACCAACCAATTGGACTCACCCTCTCGTCTGCAACACAGAGACTTTAGCGGTTCTCAACTCGCCACCCTGTCAAGCCAGGTGTTCCAGGGCTTGAGTCAGCTCCAGATTCTGTAAATGCTTTTCATCCGAGCGCGTTCGAATCGTTCAACGGCCTTGTTCTCATTCATGCTGTGCACCGCTTGTCTAGTCAATTGGGCGCTACTCGGCTTGTGAGCCTGCCTCCCTACGTGTTCATGAACCTGCCGAAGCTGAACTATCTGTAGGTTGAAACCACACAGTTTCCCCCATTTTCCTTCAATGGGCGAGCCACTCATTCACAACCACCTTCCGTTGACTCGCTGCAGCTCGTTGTCGTATCTTCTTGCAACAACTCTCCCGTCCAACGTGTTTGCAGGTTTGAGCGAGCTCTTTACGCTGTAAGTTCGTCCTCGGAGACAATCTCGCAGGAAGGAGATTTTGGCACCTCACTTTCCATTTCTTGTTTTGCCTTGCTTCGTCAGTGAACTGGGCAACGCTTACGTTACGAGCCTGCCTGCGGATGTCTTCCAAAATCTCCCGTCGCTTTCTTTGCTGTAAGAATCGTGCTTTTGCTTGCGTGTTCTTGTTTCAGCAGACGCAACTTACACAATCCCTTGCATGCAGGTATCTGAGTTACACCCAGCTGACAAGCGTGCCAAGCGGACTGTTGTCGGATCTGTCGGCACTCATCACTGTGTAAGTGTCCCAGTCGCGAGGTTGGCTTCGTCGAGGCGCTCGCTGCCTCCTGTTGTTGACTGTCACTCGCCAACGTTCCTCCTACAGGTCGCTGGCTGGCAATACGTTTACCACCTTGCCTCCCGGGTTGTTCCAGGATCTCACCGCTCTGTCGTTTGTCGACTTTTCGTTCAATAACTTTACCTTTGCCGGAAACACGATCGCGCCCCCGAGTACCTTCGGAACTGCCGAGTTCCCCACGCGTGAGTTTTTTTTGTGTGTGTGCGTGTGTGCAGGCTCATGCGCTCGTCTCTCACCTCTCTCTCGCTTTTTCTGCTTGATAGCGTGCCATCCTTCGTGCGCCACCTGCTTTGCTGCGGGAGCAAACGCTTGCTGTGGAACAAACTGCTTGGTCTGCAACTCGACCTTGACCTGCACACAGTGCTACGACGGCTATGTCAAGTCGAACGGAGCGTGCGTCCCGCAGCCCACGTCCTCGTCGGCGTGCCCGCCTCGACCCAGCCCACACGCCTGGTTGCAAACCCAAGCATCTTGTCATTGAGCGTTTCAACACGATGAAATCGCTGAAAACCAACTTGCTCGGCTTGCCATCAGGAGACCACGGCTCGATGAAATCGGTTGCGATTGACGACGGTCGTCTGTTGTTGACCACCAAGGCGAAAGGCAACTCGTTTTGGGCCACCACGTTGGCGGCTCCTAACGCCTGCTTTGATGGCTCCAAGCACGACTACATCCGTCTTCGCGTCACTGCCCCGGCTCAGGCTCGTATTAGCCTCGAGTTGCAAGCCAAGACCAAGGATTGCCACACAGTCACCGGCTCTCCCGCATCTGTTGCACTCCAGCAGTATTCTCCCAGCCCCTTCGATGGTACCGAAAAGATCATTACCATTCCGCTGAGCGCCTTTAGTGGCGTTTCTTTGACGCGCCTGCACGCACTCGTCCTGACGGGATTCGGCCCGAATCCCATCACAATCCTGGTTGATGAGATTGAGTTCTTCAAGTCCGCGCATTGCTCTAATCCGACCCCAAGCGCGTCGCCGTATGCAACTCCCACCGCTTCTTCGGCAACACCGACGGCTTCTCCGCCTGCCTGCTCGCCAGTGGTGGTTGACGACTTTAGCGACAATCGCGCTTGGACAAACTCGCTCGGCTATCTCACGAACGACGATGCCTCCATGGACTTGTTCAAGCAGTCGGCGGGCACGTTGCAGCTTGTGGGAAGTGTCGACGGCGACTCGTACTGGTACTCGCTGCTTGGCGGCAACCAGCCCAAAACATGTTTCGACGCGTCCCGTTTTAGTGCTCTCCAGCTGGACGTCAAAGCACCTGCAGGTACAAACCTGGTCCTTGTTCTCCAAATGCGCAATGCAAAGTGCACCACCTGGTCCACGCAAGTCAGTGTGCCGTTGCAGGCGTACACGACCTTCAACGATGCGTTCCAGACGGTCGTGGTGCCCTTCTCGTCGCTTCCCGCAGGTTTCAACGCCAGTCGCCTGCATGCCGTTGTCCTGGAGGTCCATTCTCCAGTCAAGGGCATGATTACGCTGGATAATGTTCGCTTCGTTTGCGCTTAAACGGAAGCGAGTCGTTTTTTGATGGTTTTTTTGTTTATTGTCATGAGCTTTTTCTAGCAACCGCGAGACCACCTCATGGTGCCCCGCTTGTACAGCATTGTTCGACCAATTGCATGTGCGCTGTCTGTCCTCTGCATGTGTCCAGCACAACAGTAAAAGTATGTATTTCACCATTTGAATTTGGCCTGAGATTTTGATTGAAAATATGCTTTTCAGCTGCCGAGTTTCAACAGTCTCAATGACACGACCTCTGCCAGCTATTTCGAAACCCACCTATATTTTTCTCGTCCATCTTGTAAACCCTGCAGACGATCGCTGAATTGAGTGAGCGAACATTGCTCTTTTTTTTTTTTTTTTTTTTTTTTTTTTTTTTTTTGGTTTTTTCGCACACTTTTTGACACCGAAACAAAGTCCTCCCCCAATGCAGTGTTGTCGACGTCGGCGCTCGACATTCGCCCTGACGGCAGTGATTCTGGTGACTGGTGCAATCGCCTTTGTCATGTACAAGGATGCCCTCCACTTCCCCGGACCAGCAGCCGTCAAAGCGCCGGTGGTGGACGGGAATAATGAGTTTGACAGGTCGGGTTCTGCGCCAAACGACAGCAGGCGCAGCACCAGCACTGCGCCCAAGGCCGAGAGCGGGGAGAGCCTGCACAGCGACCCACTCTACCAGCTGCGAGTAGAACTGGACGCCCAGAACTTGCTGAATGAGCAGGCGATGGAGCCCGCGCCCACGTTTGAGACGCGCGAGCAGTTTGAACAGGTCCTCAGTCAACTTCCGCTGGACGAGTCGAGCAAGTACCGCATCCACATGCACTACGTGAGGCGACAGATTGCAATTGAGCAACCAGACGTGACCCTCGTGTCCCAGTGCGACGCGGACCACCTGCACGAAGCTATTGGCCTTGCCCAGTACTGGGATGGACCCGTTTCCGTTGGTGAGTTTTGCTGTCTCTCGTTTTGCGCTCCACCCCCCCCACCCCCCGCTTCCACCAAGACAAGCAAGCTTCCAAGCATCAACAACAAATCTAGCGAATCGCCGAGCCTTCTCTGTGGTCGAGAGGGGAGTGAGGAGACACTGAAGTGTCCAACTCATCAAGATCCCCAACACTACTGCGTTCTCCCTTCCTCCTTGCTGCTCGCGTTCTCACCCCCCCCCCAAATCTTCTCTTCTTGCACGCAGCTGTCTTCATCCCTGGAAACGTTTACAAGGCCCTGGCGACGCTTCGTCAGATTCGAGCCTGCCATGACCGAGTCCGCGAGCGAGTCAGCTTCCATCTCGTCTACATGGAGAACGAGTCCGTGTATGAGGAGGTGGCTGCGTCTGAACTGCCGCTGGAAGGCGCGTGCGAAAACTTCCAGGATCCGTACGAAGAGCTCCGCGCCAACAATGGGACTGCGGTCCGACCAAAGCTGCAGCAGCAGAAAGCACCCGCCAAATACGATGGCGTGCCGTATCCCAACAACTTTTTGCGCAACGTGGCTCGCTCTGGCGTGTCCAGCACCTTCATGTTTGTGATTGACATTGACATGCGTCCGTCGCGCGGGCTTCGGCTTTGGTTTTTGCGCCTCGCAGACAAGCGGCCTCGCGCTTCGCTGAGAACTGCATTTGTTGTGCCGACCTTTGAGCTCAAAGCCGGTGCGCCCATCCCTCGTATTCGCCAGCAACTGATTGACACCTATCTACAAGGCAACGCCCGGTGAGTGGACGTGTGTGATTGCTGCTTGTCACGACGTTTGTGGTTTACTGATATTTTTTTTGTCCTGTTTTTTTGGTTTTCCAGGCCGTTTTACGAGAAGGCGTGCTGGAAGTGCCAAAAGCCAACAGATTTTGACCAGTGGCTTTCTGTCACCTCACCCATCTCCAAGCCCACGTACAAGGTCGACTGGAAAGGTGCGTGTGGCAGTTTTGGTTGTGGTGCTGGCTGCGTTGCTGATTCTCGGTTCCTCCCGTGCATTCTCAGATCCATGGGAACCATTCTACATCTCATGGACCAACTTGCCGCTGTATGACGAGCGTTTCCAGCGGTATGGGTTTAACCGCATCTCCCAGGTTTGCGAGGTGAGATCAGTACTACGGGTTTTTGTCGACTTTAGGTGGCTTTCCTCGGTCGCTTTGGAAGACTGACTCCTTTGATTCATCCTTTCAGACATGGGTGTCGGGCTTCAACTTTGAGGTTTTGACAGGAGGGTATCTACTGCACGAGGGCTTCAAAGAGCCCGAGTCCTTCCACACGCAAAAGTCCCAAGAGAACGACGCCAACCGCAGTCTCTTCCGTCAGTTTAAGCAAGATCTCAAGAGCAAGTATCCTTCTAGTACGAGGCGTTGCTAGACTTGATCAGGCATCCGCGGTTCTTCTGCCATTGAATCCTGCTTGTTGTTGTCGTTCAAGGTGTTGGGTTTAATTTTCATTTTGTTTCAGGGTTGTATGTACTAGTAAACACTGTTTCCATCTGAATCATTAAAATCATTAAACTAAAAGAACTAAATGTACAGAGGAAGACACGCAATGGCAAAACAACAACAACAACAACAACAACAACAACAACAACAAAAAAAAATGCCATGGCGACAACAACAGAATAAAAACTCAGAGCACTGAACTCCAAAAACCCCATACTCTCAACGCTCGTGAAACAATTCCAACGCAAACAAGATTCTGTCACGAATGCGAATTGCGCTAACGTTGTCTTCAAAGGGAAGAGCAATGGTGGTGCCCGAAAAGTGCCGGACGTGGAGCGAGGTGCTGTTCGGGGCAGCAAGGGCAACGGTTTGCATGGAAGCAAAGCTAATGTCGCGCTCAACAGTCAGCCCTTCACCAATGCGCATGACCAGCACACGGAGACTCGTCACCATGATGATGAGTCCAATGTGGGCAGAGAGCTTGGCGCGAGCAACGAAGCGCTCATTGACGTCACCGCCGTTGGCGCTCATCAGAAGCAGCAGGTCGGCAGCCTCCGAGTCTGAATAGGGTCGTATGACGAAATCTGGTCCAATGGAGCGCGGGCGGCGCGTGCGAGAGCGCTCAGGGATGTCAATGGAAGACGTTCCCGCCATCCGCACGACACCCGAGCTCGTGTCCGCCACCAGGTCAAGCACACCTGCTGCACTTTTGGTGACGACACCGAGCAGCCCTTTGGACACGCCCTTCATGAGTCCTCCAACACCTCCTCGGCGAAGGCCTTCGGCAGGCTTGACGACAATATCAGCAACGCCGTCGAGCATGGAGAAGACACGCGAGATGGGCGCCTGGTTCTTCTCGCGCTCCTTGACGTACTCTTCATCGCCCGACATGGCCGCAATGCGATTGGCGGCAGATCCGAGCACGTCAATGCTGCGAAGTAGCGCCCACACTTGCTGCGACAGCTCGGTCTTGAACCTCTCCACCAGCACGCCGGTCAGCTGGCCACCGCTGCTGAACTGGACGTGCTCCAGCACATGCGCCGTAATGTTCAACTTGGCGCGGGAAAGCGCAAGCGAGATCGACGTCGGAAGCACTTTGGCGCGCACAGCACGCAGCTCAAGCGGCAAGTGAGAGCGCGATGGCAGCATGGCCAGGGTCATGATGATGCGCAGCTTGGGAAGCGAGAAGAGCTCAAAGTAAAACTTGCGGTCCTCACGCTCTGAATGCGTGTCGTGGGAGAAGAGCGACACGAAATGGTCGTACTCGCTAATCACCAGCGCAATCATGGACTCTGTCGAGGTTCCAGCTAGATCGACCACCTGGTCATCAAGGTCAATGTGAACATCCGTGAGTGGAGTGTGCGGGTCGGGCAGGACGCCACCGAGTACACGACAGGTCGCCCGTCCTCCTCCTGTTGAGCGGCCACCCGCGGATGCGACAGGGGTGCCCGATGCCAACGGTGCAGCAGCAGCAGCCACAGCAGGCACGATAGACCCTCCTGAATTTGAATTTGCGGGAGTGGTCGTTCTACTGGTTTCCGCCTCACGCGACGACGACGACGACGCCGGCGACATGACTCGGATGTTGAACAAGTTGGTCCGCTGCAGCACGCGAGGGGTGTCCCGCCGATTGAGAATGGCGGCAATCTCAAACCCAATGCGCGCCAAGCGTAGCATGGCAACCTCCTCGATGGTCAACGCCAAATCCTGCAGCTGGATTTCCAAGCGGCGCACGATTTCGTATCGCGGCAGCGGGCGTCGGTCACGCTCCAAGATGCCGTGGAAAAAGTCGCCTCCAGCACTGTTGCCTTTCGAGATGGCAGGCTGCAACATGACTGGGAACCGAGGCTCGGCGTCGTACTGCGAGTCGAGCTGCAAGTGCTTGACGGAGAATTCAATCACCTCCTGGTACTCGACGCGTTGTATCTGCAGGCCGACCTGTTGGAGGTGCAAGTAGGCCATCTCTCGAGGTGACGCATCCATGATCGACACGCCCACTCCGGACAAGACGGCGGAAAATTGCACACTGGTCGGAACACTGGCCGCGGGAGTAGCAGGAGACGAGTGGCCCGGCTCATGGTACTGCCTGATTGCCGACGCAGTACGATGCTGCAGATTGGACACCAGACGTCCAGAGGACGATGGCATATCCGCGCGGTAGTCTGACATTTGGAGCACGCGCGTCGGCCCGTCAGACACGACAGCTCCTCGAAGAACGCCATTGCCGCCTCGCAAGCGTTGAATTCGGAAGGTTTGTCGCTGCGCACGTGCGGAGGAGCGAGACCCAAGCACCACTGGGGTTCCAGGCTCGAGTTTGCCGTCCTTCAGCTCGAGAACAAAGTCGGGGTTGCCCTTCAAGCATGCACGGCCGTTCGTAAACATCCACCGAGGCCCGGCGGTCGAGGCAAAGATTGTTCCACTCGTCCGAGTCGATGCGTGCACTCGAGCGTGGAGCTGCAGTCGGCTACCCGAGAGATCGAGCATGAATCCCGTTGCCTGATTGAAGACCTGGCCTTGAGGGGACATGCGCCACAGCTGCGTGCCAGCCGAGTCTGCTGGTCGCTTGGTCGCGAGATAGACCCCGTGCATATCCGGCTCAAGGGACCCGTCCAAGCCACTCGCGCGAGAGGCTGTGGGCGACGAGTTGGACATGGCCAGCAAATCCGCCGCTCCTGTTCGACGGCCTGCCACGAGCGGCATGACATTAAACCCGTGGTCGGGTGTACGTGTGGAAGGGGAGCTGGGGTGCGGTGGCCTCGCAAGCAGATGCGTTGCGGCTTCAGCTGTTTGCGGATTGCCCAGAAAGAGTTTGGAAGGCGCGATCGCATCCAGCACCAGATTGTCGTTCAGTGCAATGTAAAAGTAGTTGGGGTAGTACAGCAGCTCGCCTTCCTTGTGCAGCGTGCTCATGTCGTAGGCCACCGCATTGGCAGGGTCGGTGCCCTCGACAAAGACCGAAACCGTCCGCGAGCCCATAATGTCCTCCCAGGCATAGTTGGCAGAGCAACCCGGGGCCAGCAGCTCAAAGCAAGCCCTTGCGCCAGTCTGGAAGAAGATGACGGGCACTTCCGAGTGGTTCTCGATACGGTAGGGCGGCAATCCATCGTCCTCCCTCAAAATGACAATGCGCGCGCTGTCACGGTGGACGACTTCGACGTGCAAAATGTAAATCTGCTTGGCGTCGGTACTGCGCAGCTTGACAAACAGCGAGCCAATGGCGCTCAGGGCAAAGCCGCTCGACCACACGTAAGAGACTGGATGCGCAGGATTGGTGTCGCGGTCCTCCATGCGGACGCACAGAAGCTTGTCGAGATCGTCACGCGGCCAATGGAAGGCAGAACGAGCTCCTGGTGGAAGCGAAATACCGCTGCTGCTGCTGCTCTGCATGGCGACTGCTTGTCGCGAGCCGACCGAGACCAATGGCTGCTGCGAGTAGCTGATGTGGAAACGGGTCAAGTTCACGAGCGAGTACCGCGGATGCAGCACGACAATCGTCGTGTTGCTAAAGCGGCCCGTGCCAAGACTAATGTTGACACTCACCTCCGAGACCACGTCGGGGCGGTTGTTCATCTGGGGCTCGCGAAGCACGACCAGAAAGGTCGATCCAACATTGTCAATGGGGAAGGCGGTCGACCAAATACCGCTGCCGGCCCGCATGCGACACAGATTGACGCTTCCGCCGCTGGTGCTGGCCTCAGAGCCCGACTGGTCAAAGGAAAACATGAACGGCACGCTCGAATGGCCCGAGAGGTTCTCCATAAACTGTCCAGCAGCAACATCCGCGCCAGACCTGTCATGCATGTACAGCAAAGGCAGGCCACTTCGGTTGATGAACCAGTACGGCGCATACACGGCCACATGCCGAGCACCGTTGGACACTGGGCGCTGGTTGTTGATTCGCAAGCGCAATTCGCGCCGAGCTTGGTCCTGAATGGACAATGCCGTTGCGACATCTCGCCTGAGTGGCATGCCGGAGCCGGCTCCGGCAGGGGAGTTGGCCAGATGCACATAAACGGGGGGAGACCAACCAAAGCCCTCCATGTTGATGGTCAAGTCTGTCGTTTGCGTTAACAGATTGATGGAGTGAACGTGGACGGTTTCGCCTCGCTCGAGGGTGCCGCGCACGACATTTCCGCCAAGGGAATAGCGAATCGAGTTGGCCAGCAAGTTGGTAAACTGGATTGGCGGAACCAAGTGGAAGACGTGCGACGGGTGCAGCCGCGGTTGGTCGTTGACGGAAAATTCATCGTGGGACACGTGAAGCGCAATGTAAAACCGCTCGGGTCCAGCATTCGCATTTGGGCTGGCGCTAGCTGTAGAAGTGGGGCTCGTTGTGGTAGTAGCGCTATTGTAGGCAGCGCGTGGCTCGGTCGGCACAAAGGAGGCATTTCGGGCAACGTTGCAAACAAGTTGCACCGCTTCGGTCGTGTTGAAGGGCCCGCGCGCTGTAAACTCTGGCCACCGAAAGTCGCGCGACCAGCTGTACCCAGACGGGGCGACTGCCAGACTGCCCTGGGCAACAGCCAATGGCACGGCAATCTGCTCGCCTGGGGCGAGCGTCGAAACAACGCTGCGAATGTGCTGCGCCTGGATGGACACGTCTGGCGAATCGGGGACATTGCCATTCTGCGGCAAGTAAATCAAGTCGAGGGGAATGCGCAATCCATTTCGGACTTCCACGCCAGAGCTAATGTCAATCACTCGACGGCTCTGCTCCATGCGGAACTGCAGCACGATATGCGCTCGGGACGGAGCCTGGTTGCGCATCGGTGTCATTGTCAAGACCGCGCGACGATCACGCTGAACAGACTGCGGTGGGAGCGGCTCGTAGCCATCCACCTGAACGACCAAGCGACGGCGCAGCTGGTCGATTGACAGGGCAGAGTGTACCGCAGCTCCACCAAAGGCGCGAGGTCGCCGGCCAACGTCATCAAACTCAAACTGCAGCTCCTCGTTGGGCTCCACGATGGAGAACAGGGGGTCAATGTTTGCGCCCATACAGCGACGGAAGCTCACACGCACACCGGTTCGATTGCGAACGGCAAATGGACGGAACTGCCGGCGAACGGTCGTCGTCCCAACACTCTCACTTGTGGTGGTACTGCCTGCAGCTGAGCTCTCAGACGCCTGCTGGGATGCAGAAGCAGACGCACTCGCCGCAGACGCGCGCCACGTATTGAGCGTTTGCAAAACCGTGAGGACGGACGCTTCGCTCAAGTTGAGCTCAAGGCGAGATTTTGACTCGAGCTGCGAGCTCCATGCAACACCTTGTCTGAATACTTGGAGACTGCACGGCCATGGCTCAATAGCCGGCTCCCAGGACGAAATTCGCGTGTTGAAGTGATCCAAGCAGAATGAGCGCAAATTCAATCGACCCACAAGCGGGGTTGTGTCTGGGTCGGGCGAGCTCCAGTCGGCGAGTTCTGCCCGCACACCACGCACGGTCATACGGAGGAGGGGAACGTCAATGCCCTGGCTGTCGTCAATCAGGGTGATGCTGGAGTCGTCGAGGGTAAACTGCAGCTGTTGTCGCTCAATCACCGACACCTCGCGGGCCGAGCTGGCGTGCACAAGGCCAGTGGAAGTCGAGGCAAAGAGCGCTGGCGACGATGCCGAGGCTGGAAAAGCAGACCCAGACGGACGACGGGCGCCGTGAGCGGCGTGGAGAGACGCTGGCTGGGACTGCAAAGCCGTTTCTGTCGCGTCGAGGAGCAGGGCAGCCAGCTCGTCGTCAAACCCAGAGGTGGCGACCGCGTCGCTCAGAGAAGGACCGCCCGTCGGAGTCCGACTCAGCCGCTGGCTCGATGCCGTGGATGCATCAGCGGCAAGAGGGGAATCCAAGTCCGCAGCACCACCAGCAGCAGCAGTGGTGCTTGAGACGGGAGGGGGCGCGATCAGCTGCAGCTGTTTGACATTGTTCAGCAAGACGCGGTACAGCAGCAAATCCTTGTACGACACGCGGGCTTCGATGGGTTGCAAATGGACATTGATGTGCGTGGATTTTACCGACAAGGTGAGCGCGTCAACAGCGCCCTCCGAGGGCAAACGCTCGAGCCGTTGATGCACCATCTCGAAATCAGGCTCAGACTCGGACTTTGGTGGGCCGCGCTCTCGGGCGGGATGCAGCTTTGCCGTGTCAATGCCCGCGTTCTGGTGCGTGTCGACAGCAAGATTGAGCGACGCTCCGAACGGCTGAATGATGGACTGCGCGGTAAAGTCCTCGTTTCCAAGCACGGCCGAGAACACCTCGCAGCCAGACACTTCCACAGAGGCCAGTTGACTGAGTGGCGGCATGGTGGTGAGCTTGGCAATCGTGCTCATCAGGCGGAGCACAATGGCGTTGGTGTCGTGGTGCGAGACAGACTCGACCAAAAGTGCCTCGACGTTGGTCACACTCACAATGAGATCGAGTGCGCCTGGCGGCTGCTGCACGGGTAGTATTGGCTGTTGAGCGGGTACATTTGCTGCAGGAGAGGTGGCGGCTGCAGCTGCAGTTGCTGCAGGTGCAGCCTTGGCCGCGTTCAACCGACGGGACTCTTGCATAAAGTGGGACGGCAGCCACGAGGCAGCAAGCGTCGATCCAGCGGCATCGAACGACGGCGACGAAGGGTCGGAAGGATCCGACTCGTCGTCGGACGAGATAAACTCGTCGTCCGGAATCGACGTCACGCCTGGAGCTGCAGCTTCTTGAGCTTGCTGATGAGTCGCTAGAGCAGCAGCAGCAGCAAAGGCAGGAGGAGTCTTTGGGGTTTGCGTCGGGGGCGGGCTTGCCCGAGGCGGAGGAATGGCCCAGCGCACAAGAAGGCCACACCAGTCAAACACGAGCAGAACGCGCGCGGAATCAAGCAGAACGCTGCACTTGCGACGAGTTGGCTCTGACCGTACTTCGACCTGAAGCTGGGCAGGCGGAGGACGCGACGCTCCCTCTTCACTCGGCGACGTTTTGGAACGAGACGTTGGAAGCCCAGGCGCCTTTCGAGGTGACATGATTTCGAGATGAACGTTGCCGCCATTCGGACGGGCATCAAAGACACTGATGGCTCCGACCTCCAAGCGCAAGTTTGACGTTCGGTTGTCGGCATACCCAGTAAACTCAAACAGCGTGTTGTTCACGTGTAACATGGCTAGTGGACTGGGCTTGGCGTGTCCGGTGCAATCCAACATGCTCAACGCCACCGTTTTCAGGGTGACGGTGAACTGAATGGTTTCGCAATTCTCGGCCGGTTGATCGATTTCGACTGGCGGCTGCATCTGCAGCGTGTTGTGCGAAGAGCCATGTGCCGTTGCAGCAACAAACGAGGCGACTGCAGCAGCTGTTCCTTGCCGGGGAACAATGGCAGAAAAGCCCATTGGCACTGGCGAGGCAAAAGTGTCGGCCACAGGCTTGTTGGAAACGGCCAGTGGATCATACAGTAGCTGTTGCGGGATGGGTTGCGCCAAGCTGGAATGAGCACTATTCGCCATGCTTGAACCAGGACCTGCGACAAGCGGCAACGACGACGAGCGCGGTTGCAAAGCAGCATCCGTGGCAAGTGGGGGCGTCGGTGCATGGTGCGCTTGCTGTGGTGGTTGGTGTTGTTGCTGCTGCTGCTGCTGCTGCTGTTGCTGTTGCAAGCCCATCGTTTCCAAGTCGTAAGGCTCGCCCAGATTGTCAAAAATCATCGAGAGAAGCAGGCGATACTGCTCGTCGGTAATGCTGATATCCACCTCTGAAAAGTTGGCACGAATGTTGAGATTGGGGATGCAGCGGTCCTGGGTCAGATTGCGGCGAACCTCGACACCGACGTCAATGTGCTTGAATATGGTGGGCGGGTTGGACGCCAAGAACGCCTTCCATTCGTCCAGCGTCGCGGGCACGGTGCCACTCGTGAGGTGAAGATTTCTCGCCGACACTCGAAGCAAGTCCACCTCCGGGCCAAGTCCACTGGCCAGGATTGCATCGTTCTGAGCGTCTTCTCCGCGAGAAGAGGTCCGAGCCTTGCGTTGCCGGTAGGCAATACTGGATGCAGACAACGGCTCGCACACAAACTCATTCTCCAGCGTGATTTGTCCGAGCTGCGCAAGTAGACAGGCGGGTGCTCGGGAATTTTTCGGCAGGGCAATCAGTGGCGCATCGATGGCAATGTCGAGGGCAATCTTGAACGGGCGCTGCTCCTCGTTCACCATCATGCCTGCGCCAATCGTCCGCATGCGACCAAGAATGGTGTGCAGGTAGGTAAAGCTGCTGATGAAGGCTTGAATTTGTCGAACAAAGCGGTGAATGTGCACGTAGCGAACGGTCGACATGCGGAGCTGCAGCTTAATGTCGTGGCCTGGCCACTCGGCTTCCAAAGCACTTTCAGGCGCTGTAACCGACGACGACGACGACGACGACGACGACGACGCCATATTGGCAGCTGCCGTCTGAGAAGCAGCCTTGGCGGCAGCACTTTCGGCTCGGCGAGCTCGCGCTGCGGCCAAGATCGCACCGCCGGGGTAGTTGAACTTGTGCAGGGTAAAGCTCAGCACATTGGCACCAAGAGAATCAAAAACAGTGGGGAAGATCGTGTCCTCTGTCAAGTCCTGAATCGACAGCTTGCCAAGAACCCCGGCAACACGCACCGGCTTGTTCGGACGGGTGCGCACCTCCGCATCCAGATCACCAACAGCAAAACGAGCAAACGGACCCGCAGGTAGATTCAGCAAGAGGGAGAGCGTGCCGAGAGAAACATCAAGGGCCATGCTGGCGGGTGGAGAGTTGGGTTGTGCAGCGGCAGCGGGACGATTGCTGACGGGCGCAGGCGTAGGGAATTTGCCACGCGCCAAGTTGCCGAGTCGCGAAAGAGGTCCCGTGGAAGTCATGGCGCCCGTCACCGGTCCACCCCGTGCCAGTAGCTGCTGCAGTGCAGATGTAAACTGGCCGCTCGAGTCGCGATCAGCGGCCGACACGGCGGGTGGGGCGTTTCCAAACCCGAAAAAGTCCAGCAGCACGACCCAGGTCTCCAGATTCACGCCGAGCTCGACAGCGTTCAGTTGCACCTGCACAAAACGGTCGGTTGAGTGGTACAGAGTCTGGTACAACGGAGACTCTCGAACTGTTTGCACGACACAGAGCTGCACGAGCGAAGCGGGCAGGGACGAGGGCTGTCCGTCGTCCACCAAGGAAGGCGAGGCAATGGATTTGACAAGCAGCTTGTTCTTGCTGGTGAGCGGCTGTAACAGATCGTGGACTTCCAGGTTTCGCAGCGAAATTTGGACACGCATGTCGCAAGCGCGGCGAACAATGCCAAGCGCAAGATTGCTAAACGAGACGTCCACCACCGGACGCTCTCCGCCACGCAACTCACCGCACAGCTCCACGATAATGGCTCCGATTGCAAAGTCCCCGGACAGCTTGGTTGCCATGAGTGTTGCGTCGCCAGCTCTCTGGGACGTCGGCGGCTGAAATGCCGCTGCCAAAACCGTTGCCACCCGAGATACAACTGGAGCATCTGTTGGCAGGGAGGACTCCAGTGGCTTTGTTGTTGGTTGCGGGTTTTGTGGGACTGGAGGGGTGTTGGCGGACGGATTGCGCGATTGAGACGCAAACACACGCTGCTGCTCGCCGAGGACGACCGAGGCGGGAGGATTTGACTGTGTAATGTTCTCGTTGATCGTGTCCAAGATCTGGTTGAAAACCTGCTTGGATAGCACAATGTAAATCTTTTGGATGGAGCCCGAAAAAGTTGTCGCGACGAGCTGCTCAGGCACCGCGGCGCCGGTGGCGTACGACGTGTGCGACAGCTCCAAGGCCACCTCTGTTTCGCGCAGAATCGCGTCGTGCGAGAGAGCTCCGAAGCGGTGCCGGTTTGAGCGGGCATTCATGTTGGCGAGCAAGAGGCGCACCTTCATGACATGGCAGCCAGACTCTGCGTCCCAGTCAAACGAGTTGCTGACGGTAAGCTCGCCAAGCTCGGCAGTGAGGACTGCGTCTGACTCGGAGTTTCGCGGAATTACAATCACGGGAGACTTGGCATGAATGTCCAGCTTCAAGCGGAAGGGTCGCTGGAAGGTCTTGGGCGTCGGCTCCGGCAAAAGCAGTGATGTGGGTGCTGCGCCACTGGTATCCGCCGAAGCGGCAGAAGAAGTCACTGATTGAACACGCTCAATCATATCCGAGGCCATTTCGGCGGCAGAATCCTTCACGGAAGCCAGAATGCGTGGCAAATCCAAAAAGCTGTCAACATAGCCGTACAGCTCGTTGAGGAAACGAGAAGTGTAGACGCAGTGAATAGCAGCAAGGCGAACGCGAATCAGCGCGTCATAATCGACCGCCTGGACATTTTCAATGCGGTGTCGAGCAAAGCACTGGGCCACCTGCGGAGGAAGGTCGCGACCAAGACCGTGCTGTGCAAACACAAACTCAAGGGCCTCGGCCGCATCCTGCGCTGTTTGAAACACCGACTTGTAGCGCCTACCTCGCGGCGTCAAATCCAAAAACTGCAAGCGTGTCAACCTGCCCGTCGCAAACGTTGTCCCGCCTGTACTGTTGCCTGCGAGCGAGTTTGCAGACGACGACTGACGCGCATGCATCAGCTGCAACTCGACACCTCCAACCTGCGCTTCAAACAAGGGCTCCCAACGAGCCGCCAGCACCAGTGTCAGTTGGTGTACACGCGCTCGAACTTCCACCACAGTGGCAGCTGCCTGTCCCAGCAGCGCGGCGGGCGTGGCGGTTGGTTGGGCTGTCATTGTAGAGGACTTGGAAGGCAACAATGACATTGCAGTCGCCTCCCTCTGAAGGATTGGGACTGGTTGTTGTTCGCCGGAACTGGGTGATTGGGGTTTCGCCGTGGTGTCGTGAAGCACGGCGAGTAGCGCGTATGCAATCGTGGTAAACTGGACCACGGTGTGATAATTGACACATACACTGAGTTGGTTGAAGTCAAAGTCGAGTGTTTGGTGTGCAGGCAGATTCGCGGGGTCGGTCAGACGGACAAACTGGCGAGAACGCTTGGAAATTCGAGTGTAGGTCATCGAGATGAGCCGCCGCGCCGCGTTCGGGTCGTCTTTTTGACTGCCAGTCAGGCGCTGTCCGGAGGTCAAGATGTATCGCTGACTGGGATTAGGAGCAACGGAGGGCGAGGCCGACGGGGAATGAGCGTCGACCGTGGATTCTTCGGTGAGATGCAGGCCGTCCACCTGCAGCGTGACGGCCAGATCGAATGCACGTCGAACCAACTGGGCGTGGACGCCGACGACCTCCAGGCTGGCAAAGGGTTCAGAGGAGCTGGATACCCCGAGTGTTGGGTCTCCAGGGTGGGACTGGGACAAGTGGAGGCTGAGGGAGGGGAGGTGGAAGGTGACGGCGAGCTGCACAATGTCCGCATCGTCGTCGTCCGGGGACGGGAATTGACTGGATTTGGCCTGTTGGGCGAGGCTGGGCTCTGGGTCGGACGAGGAGTCCATGACACGAGCCAGAAGAGTGGACGACGCCTCCTCGCGATTTGCGCTCTGCAATGTTGGCGCAGAGGCGTGCGCACTGCTGGATTCCGCCGAGGACCCGCCGCCAAGCAGCAACTGCGCACTGGCCAGCACGTGACCAAGCTTGCGCTCGGACGCTTCGACATGCAGCGCAGTGACCGTACCATCGACCTTGATCATGGCAAGCGACGAGTGCTTGAGCGCCGAGTGGGCAAACACGCAATTGCTGACGACCAGCCCGATGCCAAAGTGCCGGACAATGTGTGCGTCGTGATTGCGCGCTTGCCGATTCGGGGCGTGAGATTGCCATTCAAGCATGTTGTCGGCCACCAACACTTGCACATCGGTCAGCGCGAGACGGTACCGATCGTACAAGTGCTGCTCGAGAGCAAACGTGCCCATTTCCGTTCCACCAAGGTCGGACGAGCCGAATGCGTTGCTGGTGCTTGTAGTTGTTGTTGTTGCTGCTGCTGTTGCTGCTGCAGCAGCAGCATCGAGTTCGGGCTCAGCCAGAATGAAAGGATTGCGCTGTGACTGTTTTCGCAACGCTGCCAGGACTGTTTCGTCTTCTGGTTCTGGTTGTAGACCCGTTTCGCTCGCAAGCTCATCGACGTCCGAGTCCTCGGCTTCAGATGGAGGAGTGGATGGGGGAGTGAAAAACTCGACATCCAAAACACTCTGGGAGAGCGTGTCAGTCCCGAGGGTGTCGTCAGTCCCACTAGACGACAAATTGCCACTTTCAGAGGCAGCAGGTAGTGATGGCCGAGGCGGCGATGCAGCAACCGACGGCGGTTTGGCAAGCTGGCGGAGTCGCAACGCGTGCTGCTCGAGCCGACGCTGACGTCGGGCAAGCACGGCCGCCGACGGCTCGCGAGTGACTGAAAATACACCCAGATCGATGACGAGCAAGGATGAGCTCTGCGCTGTCACATTTCGCGGTACCAGCAGACGCGGCGCGTGCAGCAAGATTTGCGTATCGGTCCACTTGCGGGACTCGACAACACTGCGAATGTTCGCCGCAGTCTGCGTACCCAGTGCTTTGAGTTGGTCGCGCGCCGCCACGGTGAGTTGGCTCTGGTGCTGCAATGCCGGAGGAAGAGCTACAAAGGTATTCAGCGCGTTCAGAAGCGGGGCGTTGTACACCAAATCGAGAGAATACATGACCAGTTGGATGCGAGCATCGGCAACACCGTCTGGCGGCCGCACATCGTAGCACAGCCGAAAGAGGGGATCGCCCTCGGGCCGACCGGCGTCATCTTCACCGTCCTTGCTACTCGACGCGGCGCCAATGAGGACGGGGTAGAATGTTCCAGGGGTGAATGTGTCGTGCACCTTCACATCATCCAGAGACACGTCAAGCTCGTAGGATCCGTGCAGCTTTCGTCGTTTAAAGCCAACGTTCAGCTGCGAAAATACGGCCTTTACAAGCGCTGAGCTTTCTCGCTGCTTGGTCGACGGGGCGAAGAGTTGAATGGAGCCTGAGGCAAGGCTGAAGGATACTCGTGAGAAGAGAGCAGCGCCAGCAGGATCAATGTGGTCGATCGTCGACTCGCCGTCCTTGGTGCCAGGCGGAGAAGGGTGCGACTTGCTTGACTGCCTGTAGCCGATAATGTCAAACAATTGCTCCCGCTGTTGGTCTGTCAAGGTGAATGCCGAGTTCCCGTCCGCAGGTGGAGTGTCCGTTGCTGATTTTAACGATGCAGTAACAGCTATTGGAGACGGAACTGAATTGGGAGTGGGGCTGCTCGAGTTATCGCTGCGCCAACCGGCCCATGATTTTGCCCACCCGCCCCAAGTTGCCATCTCGCGATCACGCTGGTACTTTCGCTGCTCGGCCGCAAGTTCCTGTGCACGGGCCTCGCGCACCAGGGCAGCCATCGCCGACAGCTGTGGATCGTTGGCGACTTTTGCCGACGCGAGCGACCGGAAGAGTCGAATGTCGTCGATGGCAAGATCTCGCTCGCACCGCTTGAGTTCTTCCAAGAGGTCAGCACTAGCGGGTGGAAGAGTGGTGAGTCGCTTGGCATGGAGCTGCACATACTGCTGCCGAAGGCGTCGCCGCTCCCGAAAATAAGCCCAGCTCCATTTGCGCTTCGCCTCCCGGGCTTCGTGAAACCGAGCAGCGACGGCAAACTGCCACCACGCTCGCGGATTCTCCTTGACGGAGCACGTCGGCCGGAAGCGTTTGTGCCTGAGTTGGAAGCGAAAGGGAGGCAAAGAATGGTAAAATCAGTGAACAAGTTCCTGCTTGGAATCCTCGGTTTTTGATGCTCCCCGTTGCGTGATGCTTGTGTCATCACGTGAACAAAACACACAAGAGAATTCGACAGCCATCTCCTTACTTTTGGCGGCGAGAAAACTTGTGCAGCGCATCCGCGTAAGTGAGCATGCTCTTATACTGGTCTTGATGTAGCACAAAGGCAATGGCGTCGCACAGCACATCGGCCACGAATCTTGGACCATCAGCAAGCTGGAGCAGGAGGAAACGGCGGACACCCATAAGTCAAAACTTTGTGCTCGCCGGGAAACCAACTTTCAACTTTCTCACGCAAACTCACCGAGCCTTTGCGGAGCTGGATGCGAGCCGTCGAAGTGATGGGCTGCACGCAATAATTGGCACCCTCGGGCTGAGCGCCACCGCTTTGCCAGATACCTCGAGTAAGCTCGGCTCGGAGATCTGCAGAATCAAGCTTTCCTAGGATGTTGCTCGAGTCGTTAAAGTAGACTGCGAGATGGCTGAGAGAGCATTGTTTGTGAATGACATCTTGACTGTCACTGAGAAACTTTGGCGTCCAGTTGCCATCCGTGGACACGGCGGCAAAGCTTGCTAGCGTGATTCCAAAGGAAATTGACTAAAAGGCAGAAATTTAACAAACAAGCAAAAAAAAAAAAAAAAAAAAAAAAAAAAAAAAAAAGCAAGGCGCACAGAACTCAGCATGATGATGACACGGCATTGCATCACTGCAAGGAACCAAAAAAGTGAGTGAAGAGCTCACCGGAGATACACTGGAGTCCTCGTAACGAATGTGAACATTCTTGATGCTCAATTGAATATTATCAATGATTTTGGTGACGAGGGACGCGGTAAATGTCTGCAATCTGTCGAGGAACATGTGCAAGTCAAAGCACGGCTGACACTCGACGGGTTTTCCGATCGATGCAATGCGAGTTACCTCGATGTTGCAGAACCCGATCCTTTTTGAGTTCCGCTCCCAAGATCAACCGACGCCAGGCCCGACGAGACCACGTCAAGCGCGTCAATCATGTCCTGCTTTGCCTTTTGTTGCAATTCATCTTCGTGTGCTGCATTGTACTGCAGTGCGACCAAAAGAAAAAAAAGTCACACTGTGAAACAAACGCCAACCAACCAGTAGCTCACAATCAACGTGTTCAACAGGTGTGATACAAACCTCAAGATGTAAGCTCGGTCCCGCAAGCAAAACCACGTTTTCTATTTCAATCTTGACAGGCTCGCTCTTGAGTTTGCTCCACGGGATGGTGACGAGCAATCTGTCCAAGAATCCTGCGCAAGCAATACGGCAACAAGTTTCAAGTGAGACGGATGGTCTGGTTTCCACAGAGTGATTTCCATCATGGGGGAATCGTTGGGATTGGCTTCTTGAGTGGGGGATCAATTGGAAGTCGCAGAGCTTTTCTCGGATTCTCAGACCTCGATCAAAACCCCCTTTTTTTTTGGTTTTGTTTGCTCGATCGCTGCCGCTGACTTGCGGTCATTTTTGCCTCGTGTTATTGTGTCATGCAGTTACCTGAGCGAACGGCGACTGGCAGCTCGAGCGCACGCAACGCGTCGCTTCGTAACGCGAGGTTTTCAAGTTGAACGTTTCCTACAAATCCGCCATGAAAGCGACAGATTGGACAGAGCAGAACATGTTAGTAACTATCGATTGAGGACGAGTTGATAACGCGTCGACTTGGCTCGGTTCAAAGCAGGGCAGCCGAGAACTGCGACTTCCCGCCAATACAACGCCATACAAAACGCCATCTACCACTCTGCTCCACTCCACTGCCCTCTCTGCCACCCAGTCTGCCACCCAGTCCCGCCTCGCCTCAAACGCAACGACGTTAGACTTGGGGTCGGCTGTTACCTTGCCAGACGCCGATGGACAGCTGGTCCTTGTTGAGGCCGTCGACGTAGTCGCCAAGAACGCGGTTGAGCACGTCCACAATGACAGACTCGAACATGACGGATTCGCGACCGCAATTGCTCGCTACGTTATTTGCTTATATTAGTGTGTGTTTGTCTTTGAAGTTGGTTGTGGTCAAAAGCGTCGATGAAGAACAAAGAAGAACAAAATTGAAAGACTGAATCCGACATTTCTGAGAAATGATAAAAGTGGGGGGTTTAAAATGATGCACTTATTGAAAAACACCTTGTTCAAGCTCACTCCACTTTGACAACATACAGTTACAGTTGCAGCTGTGAATTGAAAGGGGAAATGAGCTCGGCAAAGAAGCGATGGCAGATACTGGCAGCCGCACTCCGTCCGTCCTCGTCCTCGTCCTCGTCGTCGTCATCATCGCCATCGCCATCCGCGACCAACGATCTGCTCGCTGAGGGTGCCGGCGAGGGTGCCGACGGAGTGAGTGTGCGGCGATTCGCGTCGTACAACCTGTTTGAAGTAACGCCAGCCTCGACAGCAGCCGGCTCGTCAGGCTCAACCGCTGTGAGTCGAATGGATTTGGTTCCTTCACTATCCTATTTGAAAACTTGTGGATGCTGGCAGAGAAAGAGAGAGAGTGTGTGTACGTCGCAGCAGTATTGCATGGATCGGGTTTTGCTCAGTGTTTCACTTTTTTTTTTTGACGATTGGTGTTTCACTCTATTTGCAGAATACCAGTCGTGCAAGTGTGCAATACAAAATCAAGGCAGCAAGTGGCGATTCCGATGCATTGATAATCAGGTGAAGCCTTTGATTCTGAACGCTCAGGTTGAGAGAAACAAGCGAATCAAGCGAACTTTTGCTGACCTTGAACTCTCTGTTCAGCCATCCTTCGTCGTTCAAGAAGGCTGTTACCCCAGAAGCATTGATTGGATTTAATAACACGGGAAATGTTTGTACGTGATCGGCGGGGTGGCGCGAACCGGTTGACTTGGCCTCTGAAAGCATTTTCGAACCGCACTTTTTCTGACCTTTGATGTTTGTTTGGCATCTATTAGGCGTATGGCCATCAGAAGAAGTCCTTGCGTATTATTGTTCAACCCACTCCGACATGTTTCGGTCAGTGTGCCCCCGGCATTTGTTCAAGTTCGATTTCTTTTGAGGATTTGACGCCGAAATCACAAACTTACTTCCCAACTGTTCCGATTGTAGAGGAAAGCGAGTCATCGAGCTCGGCTCGGGATACTCGGCACTTGCGGCCTTGGTTGTTGCGGCAACCGGACTGCCAAGCGAGGTTGTTGTGACTGACGGAAACGAAGCGTCCGTGCATGATATCGGCTTTCGCTCGCTTTTGTCGTGAAATTTTTGCATTCTTGTTTGGACTGCTGACATGTGATGATCACTGGCCCGCTTTTCGCTTGCAGCCATTTGTTGGCGTTTGAATTTGTGTTTGATTTGTGTTTGCTTTCATCTTGCGTTCTCCTCCTTGACGCTGCGTGTCGTGGCGACCTTTGCTCTTGCTTGCTTTGTTTTGACGTTGATACGCGCTCAGATGAATATCGAGGCAAACGCCAAGGCGCTCAATTGCCCTGTGAAAGCGACCATGTTACGCTGGGACAGGGATGCCGTGAAAGCGTCAGGGCTTCAAGGTCCATTTGACGTTGTGATTTGCGCCGACTGGTACGTCTCCTGAAAAAATGCCACACGTCCTCATTGTCCTCACTTCTGCTGGTATCGACTTGACCTAGTCTCTTCTTTGAGGAGTTCCACGAGGGCCTCTGCCAAACGCTGCAAGACCTCGTCGGACAAGACGGCACAATTCTATCGTTCGCACCAACTCGTGGTCACACTCTAGACGCGTTCTGTCGCGTTGCGAGTGCGAGCTTTGAGATTGAACGCAGTGATGACTACGAACCGCGGGTGGTGGCTGTGCGCGATGCGCAAGAGGCAAAGCAACAATCCGCACTCACCGATGCGGCGGGTAGTCCGCAGCCGTTTGATCGGAATCTGCATTACCCCGTCTTTTTAACACTTCGTCGACTCAAGCACAAAGACTCGTGAAAATGCAAAACGAGCATGTACCGTATAAATTCGCTTGTTTGACTTTTTCTACACGAGCACCATATTAGATACGGCAGCGCCATCGTTTTCATTGGAATCGTCACCTTGAGACAGACTGACGGCGAGGGTTTGACCGCTGTCCGAGTCGACAGCCGCTGCTGCAGCTACTGCTACTACCGCAGGAGAAGCAACGCTCCGATTCACCGACATTGGCACCACAACGGGCAGCGGTGCAACAAACTCGGGCTCAGCGATGGGCCGCGGGTGCTTGACTGGTACTGAAGAGACGGCTTCCATAGACGGTACCGCGCTAGAAAAGGCAACCGTTGCGGTCAGAGCAACGGTTGCCTGGCCAGTAGAAGGGTCGATTGGCGAAATGCCACTTTTCTTGAAATTCAAGAGAATCGAGCAGAGTTCTTGCGTTGATGGACGATTGGACGGTGTATGATCCCAGCATCTCGCAATCAATCCTTGCAGCGACGAGTGCACCAATGGTGGGAAAGTGGGCCTCTTGCGCTGCGAGCAAATCAGCATGAGCAGCTGCAAGCCGTTCAGGTTGAGATCTGCGAACGGGGTCTGGGCAGTCAACATGGACCACAACAACAGCCCAAATGAATACACGTCCACGCTGGTGTTGTATTTCTGAGACATGGCGATTTCTGGGGCCATGAAGGATCTGTGTTTGCAGAAAATGGCAAACAGGTCAGATGACCCTAAAAAAACAGCGATACAGTTTGCACGGTACACCCTTCATCAAACTGGGCTCATCCACAGAAGAAAACACGCAAGAGGAACGTACGGTGTACCGATTCTGGTCATTGTAGAAGACTTGTCTTCGCGCGAAATGCCAAAGTCGGCAATTTTAGCTCGACCTGCCTGATCAAGCTGTTGGATGTGTAGGAATGTACAAGCGTGAGTGTGATTGTTACCAAACACTTCAACGAACCGGCGCACGACCGACACAAGCAGAAAATCGAGACAGTTGTTTTGTTGCTTTTACCAAAATGTTGGCTGGCTTGATATCGCGATGAATAATGGGCGGCTGCAGGTTGTGCAAATACAGCAGCCCAGAGGCAATGTCGTGAGCTATTGAAAAGTATTCCGTCTCGGCGATTGGGCCAGACTTCAGGGCTTGTTGTAGTGAGGATGGCACAAACTCCATCACGATGCACAGAAGCCCGTCACAGCAGATGCCAAGCCATTCGACGATATTCGGGTGCCTCAGTTTTCTGTTCAAAGGGATGGCAATTGAATGAGCGATGCGACGGAACGATGAGAACGGGAGAAATGAAGCAGGGCAAAAGTGAAAAGTTGGCCCTTACTGCAGTGTTTGAGCTTCTTGGAAGAACTGGTCCCGGACTTCTCGGTTTGGGTGCTGATCGTGAAGCAGCTTGACTGCAACCGTGCGATCTTGCAATATTCCTTTGCGCACTTGGCCAAAGCTTCCGACGCCAAGCTGCTCCAAAAACTTGATGTACCGGTAATCAATCTGCCACTGCTTGTCAAATAGCGCGGCGGCAGTGGCAGAGTTGGCATCAGACTCTTCGGGTTCGTTTTCTTCTTGTGGCGGGTCGGCAGCCTTGACCGGAGATCCGCCAATGCCTGGCGGATGAGCAAACTGCTTCAAGTGCTCCACATTCTTTCGGTAGCAATGAGGATGATAGGTACAAACAGGACGATTGTCGCTTGCAAATATTTCGCGAAGTCCGTGATTTGGTATTGAGGGGCCCGGAGAGGGTGAGCTCGAAGACTGTTTGCGAAAAAAAAAAGGAAAAAAAATGAGTTTCGACTTAAAACCCGAACATGGATCACCACCGCAATTGCTCCTCTTGTCACTACATACCAGTGAACGAGCTGGGCTAGCTGGCTTGATACTGCTGCGAAGAAGGCCGACGGGATTTGCGGCATTGGCAGAAGTTGCGGGCGGAACATCGTCGGAGCGACTGCGCTTGCTTTGCTGAAAATCGATGCCGCGCTCTGGTACGAGGTCATAGGCTGCGTAAGGATGCGGCGAATTCCAGTCAACGCGATCTGCATCGACTGCCGGTCGCTTGCCGCGAGCCGCGGGCTGCAAACGCGATGAGCTGTGCGAATGGTCTCCAGCAGCGCCTGCTTTGTCGGAATCGCCCAAAGAAGACGACCCAGCAGATGTCAACCGTCGCCGTGCTGTTGACTGGCGAGTCATCGTTCTTCGGCGCGGGATCGAGTCGTCCTCGTCCGAGTTGAAACCATCCAGCGTTGCATTGTACGCCTCGTCGTCGTCGTCGTCGCCACCGTCACCGTGCTGACTGGCAGAGCGTTGGCGACTCTTTCGAGAGCCAGCTGGCGATGGTGTCAATCCGCTACGGCGACGAGGGACACGACCCACAGCGGCAGCGGTGCTAGCTCCATTCGTCGTGGAAGAACCGACATCCGGATCCTCCTCTGCCTTGACGCCAATCTCGTCGACCATGGACATGCCACGGGATGAATGGACGACAGGCTCGTCCTCCTCTGTGTCACTGCTAGCAGCTCCAGCAGCAGGCAGCGCCTTGCCATCGTCGGGACCGTCGCTGCGGATGACGCTGCACTTCTTTTCGACGCGTACTGGGCCATCTGCGCCACCCAGCCCGGATCGCTTTGCCTGCGCCAGAAGCCCCCACGAGTGGAAGCCGGCACCAGCGAGAATCCACGTCAGTCGCTCGCCTTGGAGTGCGCGCTGGGCGTAGGCAGACTTTTTTGACGTGTTTTGGGCCATGAACTTGATCCCGCCCGCATTCACAAAGCGCACATGCTGCGACGCCGTCGACTCGACCCGGAAGGTCTGCTCGGGGCCTCCAGCGATAGATACGTTGACGCTCACGGCATTCGAGTGGATGGCGTGGTGGATGTCCCGCGCAGCCTTGAGTGAGAACATGTCATACCACAAATAGGCAAAGAAAAGCTAGGAAAAAAGGAAAACTCCCGCCAAAAATATGATGACAAAAACAATCAAAAGAAGAAAAACGAGTGTGCTGAACGAACAACGACGAGGACGACGACATGATGGAAGAGAATGAAATCAAGGTTTATGAAAGGAGAGCAACAACAACAACAACAACAAAAAAAAAAACACACACACACACACACAAAAAGACACTATTCAAAGAAGAGCACGAATTCAAAACATGAGGAACAATGCAGAAGGAGCGACGTCCTCTTTCACTGAGGCCGCTCCTTGTTGAGCTCGGAAATGAACTTTTCTAGTTGTTGGTAGATGAATCGCGTCACTTCGATTTGCTCGGCCAAATCAACGCGGCGGCCGGTGACGAGGGTGCGCTTGGCGTCAGTGTCTGTGGAGATGGTCTCGAGAACCTGCTTGACTTCGCGCTCGAGTTTGCCTGGGTTTTGCAGTGGAAACAAATCACAAAAAGTGAGGGACGGAACGACGTGCCAAACAAACAACGCCACGAGACAAAACACAAAACAAGCACCATCGGCGCCTTACTTTTGTGGAGCATCACTTGCTGTCGAAGAGTCTTGCTGGTGGTCTTGAGCATTTCTTGCACGCGCCAAAAGAGAACAACGTCGCGGCACTGCAGGTCATTTGGTGCTTGGTTTTTATCATAGGGCTGGCCGAATCGGCTGCTGCAATACGACGCTGCCTCAACACCTCGCTTCACAAAAGCGTCTCGATAGACGACAGCGAAAATGTCTCGAATCTGAGTTTTGCCAGTAAAGGTGCCAAAGTGTTGCAAGAGCATTCGGAGGTCAGCATGCAGAATGAAACTGGAATGAGCAAACAACAGCGACTGCTTCTAAAAAAATCTCTCACCGCTTCGTCGTTCACTTCGAGCTTTTGGTTGCGCTTGACATTGTTGCGAATGGTGGCAAGCTCGTCCCGATCAAGCTCAAACTTGTGGAGCCAGGTCTTGTGGCTGCTGAGGAAGGACAGGAGCTCGTCTCGAATGGCCTTCTGTCGCTTTTGTTGCGCCGTCGCGCTCGTCCACCGGGTCCAGCTTTCGGTTCGCCCAGGACCGAACAGCTCATGTGACTGCTTGTCCAGGACTTGCGCATACTGCAACAAGGTGCTGTGCATGAACGAGATGGCCGCGCGCCAAGTGTCGGCATTGGTAATATCCTCGTCAACCAGTGCGTTTTGCTGAATGACGGCCAGGTTTTCCACGACATCATTGCCCCACGCGTGCGAGTTGCGGGAGCGCTGCTCCACCTCGACCTTGAGCTTGCCGAAGACGTCCTCGCTGTCAGCAAACAGCTTGACGATACCAGCCTGCATGAGAAGACGGAGAACGACCAGCACAAGCAAGTAGTTGTGAGTGACTGGTTGCCACAAGGTGAAGGAGGGAAGGGCAGAACCCCCCAACCAACAACAAAACCACACCTGCAGAATTCGGGTAAACTCGGTCATGAGCGTGCTCCGGCCCATCTCCACGGATTGGCCTGGAAGGATGGTGCGTGCCCACTTGACGAGCTGCACGTCCATCTTCGTCTTGAACTCGGCGGCGTCGCGCGAGCGAGCTGATGAAAGATAAATGCTGTCGACCACTTGAGGGCGAATGTTCTCCCACATCTTTTCGAACAGCATTTGCTCCCTGAATGGATTGGGGGGGGGGACAAACACAGAATCCAAGCATCAACAGTGATCAGATCGTGTCCAAATCGCAGAAGGAGTGACGACATAACATTGAGTGGCGGCGAAAAGCGACTTCCAGCCAACTCACCATTCTTTGGCTCCGATCTTGCCGAATGTGGCAACGTTTTCCAGAATGTCGTGTTTTGCAAGCTGGAAAAGCTCGTCCTAAATGGGGCGCGAAATGTGAGTCAACACGATTGAAACCAGCAACAAGCAGCCCCGAAATGCTCAAAAAGGACGTACTCGGCTCATGACACGGCCTTTGAAAGTATTGCGCCATTCCGTCTCCTTATTGTAAAGATCCGCCTTGATAAGCTCGGTTTGACGTTCAATCGACGAGCGAACTTTTCGCCAAAACTCCTGCAAGCCACACCCAGTCAGCATCCCAAAAGCAAAGTTTGTCAAAAGAAAAGTTTGTCAACAAGATTTGAATACAGATAGGCTCTAATTTCCTTGCTCCCTTCCCCCCATCCCCCATCCCCAAAAATCACACATTACCTTCTGAACGGCTCGGGTGAGATTGCCAGTGGTGGTCTGGTTGGCTTTCAGAGCACCGCTCTTGAACAGCTTGGAAGTCAAAAAGTAGTCCTCTTCGTACTTGCGAATGTCGTCAATGGTGTCCTCGGTGTTGCCCTTGCCTGTGATGACGGCAAAGTAGCCCAGTGCGTTCATTTGGAAGATGCGGCCGTCGAGAATGCGCTTGATCTTTTCGGGGGAGGTGTTGAGCTTTTCGGCCAAGTCAACCTTGGTCAGCACAAAGATGGTGCGCTCGCCCTTGGGGTCGACACCCGCAACGACGTCTGCGACGGAACTGCGCTCTGCGTCGATGGAGCCGTCCTGGATGCACAGAATGATGGCGTTGGGGTTGTGGATGTGCGACTTGCACATGTTCAAAATGTCGTCGCGCGTCTCGTGCGCCATGCCTGCCGTGACGTGGCTAATGATGCCAGGCAAGTCGACCAGGACCATGCGAGGCATGCGGGGACCGCGCACGCTGAGCGAAATGGTCTCCTTGCTGACCGTGTTGCCTGGCTGGACGCTGCTGCGCATGCGCGACTCGATTTCGTTGCGCAAGGCCGCAAGGTCGTCCTCGCTGGTGAGGTCGTACTCGCGCGTGCTCCCCTTGAATTGGGCGCGGCGCTGCGGAGCCTCGCTCAGGGTGACCTGGATTGGCGAGCGCGTCATCATTTCGCCGCCGCCGCGCGGGAAGATGCGCGCCTGCGCAATCATCTCGAGCACCGAGGTCTTGCCTGCGCTCTGGTCGCCGACGACGACCACGCGAGGCAGGTTGTCGTGCACGGAAAAGTTCTTGTCCGTCTTGGCCAAGAGGTCGAGCACGTCCGAGTACATTTCAATCGTGCTGCGCTTTCCACCGGTGGCGGACGACAGGCCGCCGGAAAGCGTCGCGCCCGTCTGCTTGAGGTGCAGGTAGCTTGTTCGGAGCTCCTGGTTGGACTTTTCCAGCGTGTCAATTTCGCGCTGCAGACGTTGCTGCGTGTCCATCAGCTCGCGCGTCTTGTCGTCGACCTCCTTTTGCAGGAGGGCAATCTCGCCGTCCATTTTGACGCGCTCGGCGTCGACGTCCGCACGGCGCTGCACCTCGGCGGCCTCGAGCTTGAGCTGGAGCTGCTCAATCTCTGCGAGCCGCTTCTTGTCCACCTCGAGCAGCTGCTGGACTTGGGCGAGCGCCGCCTTGACGGCCTCTTCCGCGGCAAGCAGTCGCTCCAGGTTGCGCTTTTGCGTCTCCTCGTCGCTTCCTGCAGCCGCAGCCCCCGCCGCGATGGCCGCTGCAGTCGTGTTCCCTTGCTGCGGTGGCGGGGTTGCTCCAGCGCCGCCATCGCCGCCAGAGGACGAGTCGTATTGGTGCGTGTGCGACGGGTCTTGCGGCACCCCGCGCGTGGAGAACGTGTCGCGGACGCCCGAGAGCCACGACGCCGCCGTGTCCGCCGAGTCTGACAGCATGTTTGAGAGCGCATCGAGCGCAGGCATGTCTGGCAGGGACGCCTTGAACGACTCGTAGCCCTTGAGCGCGGACGCCCCGATGGCAGCCCCGCCGGCGCTGATGAGCGAGATGCGGCCCAGCGCAATGCGGAACATGGATCCTGCCGAGAAGTGTCTGACGCCCTGCTGCTGCTGCTGCTGATGGTGATGCAAGAGGAGGAGGAACGGGGACGAGGATGCGGGTGTTTGCTGCAATGCAGCGAGAGCAGCAGTGGACTGGAGGGCAGACCTGCTGCTCATGCTCATGCTCGCGCGCGAGTTCACTGCGGATGTTGATGCAGAGTGGAAGCGCGCAGCAGCAGCAGCGGCGGATGTCGTTCGTGCTGGCGACGCGGCGAGGCCTGGCGTCATCAGCAGCATCGGGCGAGCGCCAAGACAGCGAGCACCACTGTGGGCTGAGGTCGAGCCGAGTCTGGTGGTGGTGGTTGCTGCTGCTGATGATGTTGCTGCTGCTGCTGATGATGACAGTGATCGCAGCAACGCCGCGCGCGCGACAGCTGAAACAGCAGCAGAGGCAGAAGCAGAAGAACAAAAACAAGAACAAGAAGCTGCGCGATTTGCTGCAGAAAGCATTGTTGAAAAAAAAAAAAAAAAAAAAGTGAAATGAAAACTTTTTTTTTTTTTTTTTTTGATTTTTGATTTTTGATTTTTTTTGATTTTTTTTATTTTTGATTTTTGATTTTTGATTTTTGGCGCGCAATCTTTGTTTTTGTTTCTTTGATTTTTTTCGTTTTTCTTGCAAGATTTTTTCTTTTTCTTTTTCTTTTTCTTTTTCTTTTTCATTTTCTTTTCATTGAAATATGAGCGGATTGAGTCAAAGTGCGAAACAACGCATCGACGCACTTCAGCAGCAGCAGCAGCAGCAGCAGCAGCAGTCGCAACGGCAGCAGCACCAGTCGCAAGGAGGAGCAGCGGGACGAGCGAGTGGCAGCGGAGGCAGTGCTGCTGCAGCGTCATCAGCGTCGACCGTCCCGCCGGCGTCCAACCCAGGGTGGGTGTTTGGATCGTTCACGCAGCCCGGTAGCGGTGGCGGCGGCGGCGGTGGTCGTGGCGGCGGCGGCGGCGGCTACGGCTACGACCAGGACGACGAAGACGAGGACGACTTTGACCTGCTCGAGCAGCAGCGTCTGCGCTCGCTCAACAGCACGGGCAGCCTCGGCTCTGGCATTGGCGGGACGGGTGCTGGTGCTGCTGGCGGCGTTGGTGCCGTTGGCGATGACAACGACGCAGAGTACCTGCGCTTCAACAACAAGGACGCCGTCATCTTTGCCATCGACTGCTCCGACGCCATGTTTGAAACGCTCGACAACGACGAGGTGAGTCATGATTGGGGACCAAAAAGGGGGGGGGGAAGGAGAAGGGAAGGAGAAGGGAAGGAGAAGGGAGTCCAGCTTGAAATCTCAGATTGACAATCCAAGATCAATCTGAGACAAAAAAAAAGGTGCAAAATACCAAATCTCACCACCTCTTGCCCTTCTTCATTTGCACAGGTACCATTCACCATCTCGGCACTCTGCGCCAAGAACGTGCTCTCCAACAAGATCATCTCGAGCGACCACGACTTGATTGGCGTCGTCCTGTTCAACACCAAGGAAAACAACAACAAGAACAAGTTCAAGCACGTCTATGTGCTGCAGCCGCTGGACACGCCGGACGTGCGCCGCATTGTCGAGCTGGAGGACTTGGTCGCAGACCCGGCGTTCGACGGCTTCAACCGCAAGATTGGCCACTCGAGCTCGGCGTCCATTCACGATGTGCTGTGGACTTGCTTCAACATGTTTTCGGACTGCGCCACCAAGGTCGGCTCAAAGCGCATCCTCATCTTTACCAACGAGGACGATCCGCACGAGCACGACGCCGGCCTGCGGCGCCAGGCCGTCATCAAGGCCAAGGACTTGTACCAGCTGTTCGTCACCATTGAGCTCTTGCCGCTCGGGACCAAGAAGACGGGCGAGCGCTTTGACATGTCCAAGTTCTACAAGGACATTGTGCTCGAGGACTTGGACGACGAGCTTGGCCCGACCGATGCTGGCTTGGACACTGCCCGGCCCGACCCCTCGCAAAGCTTGAGCTCGCTCATGGACAAGATGCGCCGCAAGACATTCAAGAAGCGTGCGCTCATGAAGATTCCCTTCGTGCTCGGCGACGACGTCCAGCTCGGCGTTCGTGTCTACAACCTGTGCTCGGAAACCAAGAAGGGCTCGCACGTCTGGCTCCACGCGCAAACCAACAAGGAGATCAAGACAGTGTCCAAGATGGTGTGCCAGGACACGGCGTCGCTGCTCATGGCCTCGGATATCAAAAACTACTTTCCGTACGGCGGCGAGAAGGTCATTTTCGACCCGACCGAAGTGCGCGAAATTCGTCGCTTTGGCCAGCCCGGCCTCGTGCTGATGGGATTCAAGCCGACCGATGCTGTCAAGCTGCACTACAATGTCAAGACGGCCAACTTTATCTACCCCGACGAGACTGTCGTGATGGGCAGCACGCTGCTCTTCCACGCCCTGCTCATGCGTCTCGCCGACCAGGACAAGGTTGCCATCTGCCGCTTCATCCCTCGCATCAACGCCACTCCTCGCTTTGTCGCGCTCGTTCCCCAGCTCGAAGTCTTTGACGCCAACCACGTTCAGCTCCAGCCCCCAGGCTTCCATGTGATTTACCTTCCGTTCGCCGACGACTTGCGTTCGCTGCAGTATGAGGAGAACGAGATGTGTAAGTGAAGACTGCTGGGGTTGGAGAGTCGAGAGAAGAAGGGACGGCGCGATGACAGTTTTTGACCGACATTCCTTTTTTTTTTGTTTGTTTGTTTGTTTGTTTGTTTGTTTGCGTGTTCGTTTGCGTGCCTGTCTTTGGTCCTCAGGTGGAAAGTCGCTCATTGTCACGGCGTCAGATATCATCAAAAAGCTCACATTTTCCTTTTCGCCATGGGACTTTGAAAACCCGAGTAAGTCACATTGAAAATTCGTCGTCGTCGTCGTCGTCGTGGTCGTCGTGCAAACAACGGGTGTCTGTTCTCATCAGCACTCACCGCATGATGGCAACCCCTCCTGCAGACTTGCAAAAACACTACCGAAATTTGGAAGCGCTTGCGCTCGGGCGGGATGTGGCAGACGACTTTGAGGACAATGTTCAGCCCGACTTGGACGGCATGGAAAAGCAGGCCGGTGTGCTGTTTGCGAAATTCCGCGATGAAGCCTTTCCGCCAGACTACAATCCTGACACGGCTGGCACCAAACCTCGGCCAAAACGAAGGGTACGGTTTGTTTGTGTTCGATATTTTTTAACCAACACAAAACGCCATCATTGGCTGACTCTCGTCCCCGCTTTGCCCCACCAAACAAACAGGCTGAAGGCGATCCGCCGCCAGTCAAGCGTGTTCGACTCGAAGATGGCGAAAAGCCCGATGTGGAAAAGTTTTACAAGGATGGCATGGTGAGTTTGTGTGTTTTTGTTTTGTTGCAAACCCTGAGATTGTTGCTCATTTTGACCGGTTTTGTTGCCGTTCGTTGACCACTCTTGTTGCCTTTCGTTGCTGTAGCTCGAATCCTTGACCATCCCCATGCTGAAAGAGTATTTGAAGAAAAAAGGCCGATTTGGTTGCAGCCGTTCAAAAGCATTTGTCGCCGCGAGGTTGATCGCACTTTTTGTTTCGTTTTGGTTCCTCGAACAGGAAGAAGCGTGTGGTGGTTGTCAGATTCCGAACATTTTCAATACACGATGAGTTTTGCCAGCGTTTCATGACAGTCCATCGCCCGTTTCATCGTTCATGCGCAAAAGGATGACCAATTTTGTTGAGAGTAAACAATCAACCAACACAGCACAATGACAAACACCAAGACAAACACAAATTCTTTTCAAAAACAAAAGGAAATGCAAGGGAATGATTGGATAACAATGCTGGAGAATCTTGGTTTACCAGAATGGGCACCTGTTTGTTTAACAAAAAAACAATCAAGGTTAGGTCCCATTCAACACTCGATCGCGTGAAATTTCCATTGAAGACAGGAACATACCAGCCGACGTAGCATTGACACAAATTCTCGTGAGACTGCGCCTGACTGATAAGCTTTTGCACTTGGGTTGCAGTTTCGAGAGTCTCAGTAGCGGAAAAGTCGCGACCTAAATAGGAAAGAGCACAAAAAACAAAAGGTGAGCTCCATGAAGATCGTGCAGACATGCTTTGCGCGACAAAAATCTCAAGCAACGCAACGCACCAGTAAGTTTGGCCTGGACGCGATTGATGACAGTCACAGCGCGATTGTTGACCATTTCTGGCTGCGAAGACATGAGGCCATCTGCAAAATTTGTACCGAAGAGTCAAAGTCAAACAGGTGCTTAGAGAAGCAACTCAAAACAAAAGAGGCATTGCACACTAAACGAGCCCCGTACCAGTGGATTCGAGCAGCTCGCTCTCGCTTCGAGCACGCTTCACACTAAATGGAATGGCGTCCTCCATAATCTCAGAGCCTACCAGGTGACCAATCAGCACGCAACAACCCGACAACAAGTCAATGACTCTGAACAAACAAAAAAATCAAACGAACGCACCGTTATCCAGGTTGCCGGTCTGGGCCTTGGAAGGAGTCGTCTTATTCTTCTTGTTCTTCACGTTGCCTGCATGAGCGAGAGAAAAACAAAGTGAGGCACAAATGCAAAATCTTCCTCACGGCACCTCACGGCAACAACAAAAAAAATGCTGTTAATGCAAACCTTCGATGAGACGCCAGTTGATCAATGGATCGTAAACGAAGGCCTCGAGCACGGCCATCAGTGACTCTTTGTTTTCGCGAAGCACCCGCATCACATTCTCGCACGTCACGCGGTAGTTGCCTTCGATGCCGCTCACCTATTGAGGAAATAGTCCCTAGTCAGCAAATTGCAAAAAAAAAAATATCTCCGACGTATGTCGAACAAGGAAATGGACACGCACCTCCATGGCATTCACGAGCATGCGTGTAAGACGGAAGGGAATGCGCTCGGGGAACTTTTCACGGTGCATTGCAATTTCTGGAAAGGACAACGCACGCACATGGGAAAAGTGAGTCCACGAAAAACCACCGCAAAACACAAAAAACACGTCAACCAAACAGCAGCAACAGCAGCCCTCACCAAAGCAATCGCCAAAATCAATGTGGATGACGTTGCCAGAGAACCGATCGAGCATGAGATTGGAAGGGTGACGATCGCCAAGACCCAGAATGTAGCCGACCATCGACATGACGGCCAGCGAGCGCGTGTAGTTGGTGCGCCGCTCGAGCCAGGCTTCCGAGTTGGGACTCTTGAGCCACAGCACCTTATACAAGTCCTGGCCAGTCGTGTTGTCCAAGGCGTACTTGAACACTTCGACTTTCTGGATGAGCGTCAGGCTGTCGTAATCAGGCGCCATCTGCAACATGAGACGGTGCTCAATGTTGAGCAGAATCTTGCGGCTCTCACGATAGTCACGGATGAGCGCGTGCAGCGTGTCGCAGTGCGACAGCCAGCCAATCAGACCAGAGTTGGGACCAAGCGGAATAACCTCCATGCGCTGGATGCCGAGACGCAGCTTGAACGTCTCTGGGTCGTGGCCAAGCAACGTGTTGACGAGGCCAAAGAGCTGCATCACACGCTCGTCCTGCCGCAAATCCTCATGACCCTTCAGCAGGTACGTGCAATCGCGACCGTCGCTGCCCTGGATGGCGAGCTTGCGTGGGCGCTGCTTGGACGTGATGACTGTGAGTTGCGGGCCGAACGCGCGAATGCGGTTGATGGGTTCGCCGGGCCGGTAGGTGCCGGGCACAGCGATATCCAAGTCGTTCGCCTCGAGCAGCTTGGGTGACACGTATTGCAGTTCAAGCGAGGTGAGCTGCGGCAATTGCTTGGAAATCTTACGGAAGACGTGGTAGTACAAGTCCCAGGCAGAGTTCAGGTCCTTGATGACGCCAGAGCGCTGGAACTTGCGCGTCCAATCGCGTGCCATCATCAAGTCCTGGCCGTAGGCCTGATGGAAGGAGATTTCACGCAGCGTCTCTGGGCCGCGCTCGAGCGTCTGGTGCAGCGGCTCGAGTTTGGCGAGCATGCCTTCAATGTTGCGCTCGCCAAAGTACAGGCGCGACGCCTCCTCCAAATGCTCGTGCCACATCTCGTGCCACAGAATGGCCACACGAATGAGCTCCTGGGACACGAGCAGCGCTTGGTCGACGAGCGTGCCTGCGTGGTTGCGAATGTTGTCCATAATGGCGTACGCAGCGTCGCGGCGGGCGGGACTCTGGGACTTGGAGGCCACCGTAACAGGGTAGATGAGCGCCTGAGGATGCTCCTTGCCGATGCTAATGAGCAGCTGGGAAATGAGGCGCCCGACCAGCGGCGAGGGCGTGTGAATGCGGGCAATCAGCTGCGGGATGACTTGCAGCCAAGTGTCAATGCTCACCGTCTTGATGCCCTCAACCATGGCGTCATGCACCTCTTGATGCGAGCCGTACTTGAACCACAGCGTCAAGAGACGAAGCGTGTCTTGCAAAGAGTTGCCTTGCATCAACGCAATCGATCGGAAGAATCCCGTCAATGCCGGGGCAATGTGCGCGCGCACTTGCTTTTGGTTGGCGTTTGACTTTTCAAAGTGGGAGACAGCCTCAAAGTTCATCAAGGCCCACGAGTGCCAAGCCTTGTACCACGTGTCGTCGTAGGTGGTGGCGAGCAGGTACGAGTCGAGAATTTTCGTGATGGCGCGCTCGTTCAGCGAGTCCATCAGCGCCATCTCCCACTCGCCGAGCTTAATGTAGCAGCGCGCGAGCAGCTTGGCCTGGTCTGGCACCGTCATGGTGACAATGCCGCTGGTCAAGTCCGAGCCGGGCGACTTTGGCCCACGCGACGACGGGGAGGATGGAATGGCCATGGGAAGCTGCGAGCCAGAGTTGCCGAGTTCATTCAAATTGCTCATGAAGGACATGTTGGACATGCGGTTGGCAGTAATGTTGTGTTGTTGTTGCTGTTGTTGGTGTTGCTGGTGCAGCTGAACGAGATGCTGCTGCTGCAGCGCGAGCGGCAGATTGTGCTGCACCTGCTGCTGCTGCTGCTGGAGGTGCTGCTGGAACTGGTGCCCAGAAGCGACCGAACCAGGAGCAGAAGAGGTGGGCGTCATGCCGTCGGACATGGAGGATGCGCTGTTGGGCGCCTGCGAGCCTCCCTGCTGCGGGTGCATTTGGGCCTGGGCGTGCTGGAGCGCCTGCACCTGGAAGAGCTGTTGTTGCAGTTGCTGCTGCAGCTGCGCGCGGTGCTGGTGGTGCTCGACTTGCCACACGCCGACGCACTCGCGCAGCTTTTCAAGCGCCTCCTTCTTGTTAGCAGTGTGCCAGAGATACTTGAGCACGGCGAGCGAGACACGCGGGTGAGCGCTGAGGAACATTTTGCGTGAATCGACGTGGTGCAGCAGTTGCTCGGGCGATGCTGCGGCAAGGTGCTGCAGGCTCGAAGCAGACAGCGGGATGGTGGCACTCGTTGCAAGCAGGTTGCACAGCGTCTTGTGGCCAAGCATCATCTTGCTGCTCTTGCGGCACAAGGACGCAAACTTGATCCAAGTTTCCTTGTCCTCGTGCGGCGGGATGACAAGCGAGCGAACCTTGAGAATGCGTTGCCACACTTCCACGTTGCGCTGGCAACCACGCAAGCGCTTCATCCAGGTGTGGCGGATGATTTGCTGGCGGTCGGGCTGGTCGGCGTACAGCTTGTACTGCATGACCTCCTCCAGCTCTGCCAGCATTTGCACGCGCACTACAACGCCGTACGCGCGGTTGTAACTCTCGCCGGCAAGCGCAGTGAGCTCGGTGTCGAGCAGGTCGCGGGTGACGGTGATAAAGTGGTGCGCCGATGGGAAGTTGTTGCGGTGCAGAGCAAGCACGGCTGCAAAGAATGCCGCATCCGGAGACTCGCGCGGCATCACGACAAGATAGTCGTCCATCGACTCCCAGCGACCAAGACCCCAAGCAGCGTTCGCCGCCATCGAGGACAGCGCGCGGCGAGAACCTTCATCCGCCGTTTGCCACTTGTCTTGACACAAACGATGCAGCTCATCCCAGTCGCCCAATGCGTTCAGGCAGCGCATGCGACCAAGAGTCAGCTGGAAGTTGAGAGGGTCTTCCTTTTGCTTTTGCTCGTACGAGGCAAGCGCTTGGTCCCATTGTTGGAGCTTTTCGTACCACGACTCGTGCACGGTGATTTCAATATCTGGATTCTGCTGCGCATAGACAAGGATACCTGCGGCGGCCTCGGGCTTTTGCAAGAGGTTGTTGATGGTGATTAGGGCCTCGATGGTTTGCGGGTTGGGCGCAGAGTAGAATTCAATCTCCTTGTAGTGCAGGGCCTTGGCGTAGGCGTGGCATTTGGAAGCATACTCGCCCAGGGTCTTAAAGTCGATTGGCAGCGTCTTGTCGTCGTGCTCCATGAATTCGGCCAGATTGAGCAGCGTCTGCTGGATTTCTGGAGGAATATGAGGCGAAAGCAGCGCAGTTTCGAGGGCTTGCACGAGCTCTTCTTGGTACTGCTCGTACAGCTCCGTCCAGCACGACACGAACGCAGCGTTGAACAGCTCGCGCGCAAGGGGCGTGTAGATTTGAGACAAGGCCGAGCAGGAGCGGAGGGCCGGCGAGGGCGACTCCTTGAGCAACTCGACGCTGAATCGTCGAATCCACTCGGTCCAATCCTCTTTGGTCGACTTTTGCGTCACCTCCCACATCTTCTTGAGGTTCTTTTGGTTGACGTGGAGCTTCTTGATGGTGCCAGCATCCGGGTCGTCCAGGACGGGGCCTGCGTTGGCAACGCTGCCAGCACCGCCTGCGCCAGGCGCTCCGCCAGCACCTGCGCCGCCAGCACCAGCCGCACCGGTACCCGCAGCATTGGCAGCGTTGGCGCCGGCATTGGCTGCACCAGCAGCGCCACCGGGTGCGGCACCAGCGCCGGCATTCGGCGCGACGCCTGCCATGCCGGGCAAGCCACTCGCGCTGAGCATGCCAGGTCGGGTGGCACTGCTCTCGATAATGAGGACGTCGGCAAAGTCTTCTGGAAGGGGAACGTTCTCGAGAATGCGACTCACGAGCAAGTCGTACTTTTGGTGCTGAATGCGATGGCGGGCAAGCACGGACGAGACGAGCGGGATGAAGATGATGTAGTCGGCGCCAAGCTGGTGCACCAACGCGGTCAGCGCGAGCATGGCATCCTGGCGCAGCTCGGGCGAGCCGTCGAGGACACGCGTGAGCGGGTGGATGATGCGGGACGCATAGTCCGAGAAGCTGAGCTTTCGGCAAAGCAGGGTCAGTGTTTGGATGGCAGTGCGACGCACATCCACGCGCGTTTCGAACGACTCAAACAGGGTCACGACGGGTGGGATGACGAGATGCAGGTAATCGTCGAGATTGGAGCCAAAGACCTCGAGCGCGTGGAGCACCTTCAGCGTGGAACGGTATTCGGCATCGTCGCGCATGAAAACGCGCAAGATGTGCGGGATGAGCTCTGGCAAAAAGGCCTTGAACTCGCCTCCAAGCGCTAACGAAATGCTTTCCACCAGCGAGAGAATGGTGATTTGGATGGCGGGGCTAAAGTCCCAGTACTCGCGGATGAGGACAAAAATCTCGGGGAGGTAGTTGCGGATGTGCTGCTTGACAATGGCAACAAGCGCGCCGAGCTGCTGGAAGAGGAACTCGCGGAAGCCAGGCTCGCGAGTGCGCATCACTTGGAGCATGGGCGGCATGATTTGCGGGAGGAAGGGCACGCAACGCAGACCCAGGCTCTTGCAGATGAACATGATGGCCTGGACCACCATTGTGTGGTGCACGGCCAAGGACAAATCCTTCAAAATGCGCATCAACCGCCGCGATCGACACTGTCGGGCAGTACTCTTCCGACGACGGCGACAAGTCCAGCACATAGCTGGGAACGCCGAGACCACCGACGACATCGTCAGACACATCGCCGCGATCATCAGCAGCAGTAGCAGCAGCAGCAGCAACATTGGCAGCTGCGTTTGCGCCGTGGCAGCGCCGCCAGCTCCAGCACCTGTGCCTCCGAGTCCGCCACCAGCGACGAGGCCACCGCCGCCCAAGTTGCCGCCGCCGTGGTTACCGCCCACAGCACCGCCAGGACCGCCAGCGCCAATCGCAACGGCATCCAGCATGTCGCCCGCGTCGCGTGCAACTTTGGTCTTGTTCAGCGTGGAGGAGGACGACGGCGTCGAGGCGATCGTAGGCAGACGCGAATCCGGGCGGTGGCGGTATGGATCGAGCGCGCCCAGAATGCCCAGCACCTTGATGACTTCGCGACGCACGGGGGCGACCTGCTCCGTCTTGAGCAAATCCAGCAAAATGCGCAGCAGCTTGGGATAGCGCAGGTAGGGCTCGATGACGTAGCCAGTGCTGGCAGCCAGCTTGCCCAGCGTGCGCAGAGCAACCTCGCGCTTTGCAACGGACGACTGGTCTAGCAGCGTCTCAATGATGAGCGGCAGCAAGTCGTTCACGTGGTGGACCATGTCTTGGGCGCCGACTTGGGCAAGCTCGCCAAGCGCAGCCAGAATGTTGGTTGAGACGCCAGGAGACAAGTCGCGCAGCTTGGACAGCAACGTGCGCAGGATGGGCTCTACGTAGGGCTTGATCAGCCGCGGTGCGTTGGAAATGAGGTTGGAGAGCAACCGAGCACTCTCCTCCTTGTTGCGCGACACGCCCGAGTATTCGAGCTCTGTCAACAGCTGGATCAACGTCTTGCGCAACGACGGCATGACGTAGGCAGGGTTGAGCACGGTAAGGCGGCCGATAATGCCAATCGCCAACTCTCGAATGGCGAAAACCTCGTCGTTCAGGGCGACAAACAAGGCGCGGAGATTCTCGGCTTGCGCGAGGTAATTGTCAAACCGATCGTCCAGCGAGGACAGCACAGACCAGCGAATGTCAGAGTCCGGGTCGGCAATACCGACAATGAGCAGCTTCTCGAGCACCTCGCCAATGACCACCACCGAGTGGATGCTTTTCGGCGCTTGCGAGATCTTCTCAACAGGCGTCACGGCAATCGACGAAGTGCCGTGGGTGCTCATCGGACGGGGTGTGGCCTGGCGATAGTTTGCGCCCAGGCTTGTGGTGCGAGGGAGAGCGGCTGCATTGTTCGAGCGAACCAGCAGCTGAGCGCAGGTGAGGGCCGCCTCTTTGCGCACACCCGCGTTCTCGTCCTCGAGATACTTGACAACGCAATCCTTGACAAACTGCGTCAGCACGTGACCGCTAAAGTCAAAAGCGCCAAGCGTGTGGAGTGCCAGTGCGATCGTGGCCGCGTCCGGAATCGTGCCGTCCGCCTTGTCGATCGCGACGGCGACTGCACCGCCGCCGCCACGCGGCATTGTACCGCGCATGACATTCAGCTTTGGTACTCCGGGGTTTTTGAATGTCTGGCGCGCGAGAGTGTACGAGATGTTGTCCAATAGGCGATCTGAGAGGGTTTAGAAGAAGGCCAATGGTAAAGATTAGGAAACAATTACAAAGACAAAAATCATGTGGAGGAAGGGCGGGGCGGGGGGGGGGATTCGTCGTACCTTGGATTGCGGGAAGCAACGTCGGGATGTTGCCTGCAAGATCAATCAAGCAGTCTGTCAACGGCTTGTTCAACCCGGAACCGAAAAGAGGCTCGAGCAAATCCTGCAAGTGAGGCTCGAGCTCTGGGCCAACAGCTCGCGACAGCATGCTGATACATGTGTAGACTGTGCGCTCCTGTGGACCCTTGCGACTGCACGCCCATCGCCACGTCAACAAGGTGAGTGTTGGAAGAATCACCAAATCAAAAACAAACAGAAACAAAAACCAAAAAAAAAAAAAAAAACGGACGGGTGGAGGGATTCAACACGCTCTGCATCTCTAAATACGTACCCTTTCACACTCAGTGACTCCTTGATTGGCTGCAAGATGGAATCGAGATACGGACGAATGTGCTCGCCGACAGCGAGAGCCATCTCGCCGATGGACTGGAAGGCGACGGCGCGATCGGTATTCTTTTTCAAGTTGCTGATCAGGTGCGCCATGCACGTTTTGAGATAGCTCTTGATGAACTGGTCCTTGTAGTAGCTGGCGAGCGCAGGCATGAGCACAATCACCGCACGCTGCACGAGCGCGCTGCGGTGTTCGCGGTGCTTGAGCACGATCTCGCAGACTTCATCAAACCGTCCCTCCATGAACTCGCCCGTGTTGCGCAACAGCTCGCCAAAGATCAAGAGCGAGCCGTGAATGGTGTCGTCCTTGTTGGACACAAACCCCTTCTGCGCCTCTTCGTACACCTTCTTTGACCACGGCGACCGAATGCGTGATTCACGCTGTGCGGTCAGCGTCAGGCATGCTCGTAATGCGTCGATGGCGCTCTCTCGAATGACCAGCTGTGT